CCTCTTTCTGAGTCATTGTCAATTCTGTCGAGAGCGATATGCACAAGTCAACCTGTGGCTATTCTTCTATTCCGCTCACCCTGACTTGTGCCAACTCGTGTCGATCACAAGCTGCGAACCACGAGTCAGCCTGAAAATTGGAGATAAGGCGGTCCGGAGCGTAGCCGAGGTTGGCTGCCAGAGCATGTTCGGATCCCAGGCATGCTCTGGGTCTTTTCCTACCACTTCAATCACGCGCCACTATCGTCACTCCCCTCTGAGTCCGCTTTCACTCCCTCTAGGCCAATCGGATGTCTTCACCTTCTATACCCTTCCTTCGACAAGTTGTAAGCTTGCCCTCTGCCTTCTTTGGGTTGCATCGCATTACTGCCACCATACCTCTCTCATCTCTCCCTTGTCACCTGCCACTGCCTTTTCTGGTCCATCAGTTAGCTGCCACCATCCCCACTGATTTCCTTATCGAAATTCGATATCTCAGCTCCTCCTTATCACCAACGTCAATGGTGTTGAGCCTTGTAGCCATAATTTTTTTTCCATGACTGGTCAGTCGTCTGGTCAGGGTTGATTGGGTTGTCTGCAGTATAATTTTTCCCCGCACAGTTCCACAGTATATCAGATCCTGTGGTCTGTACGGAGAAAAACTGGGGGGCTATAGGGGGGTATATAGGGAGGAAGCTGTATAAGCAGGAGAACCTTTGGATGCCAGAGGTTCAACTCACACAGTAGACTCTCCCCCCCTCTTGGATGGGCAATAGGGAGGAAGCTGTATAAGCAGGAGAACCTTTGGATGCCAGAGGTTCGACTCACACAGTAGACTCTCCCCCCCTCTTGGATGGGCAAGCTGGGCAGGAGCTAGCCACCATGGAGAAAGCGAAGTGGACAGGAGAACCTTTGGAGGCTAGAGGTTCGATGGAGACTAAGGATTTCCCCTCAAGCTGGGCTAGCTACCCCATGACGATATCCTGGACCAAGGACAGCATATGGGTAGAGGATTATGGATACCCAAGGTCCCTCTGTAGTTGTGCTGCTACAGGGAGTACCCTGAGATCCGACGCAGCCAATATCCAGGGCCGAGGAAGCCAGAGGCCTCTACTATGCTCATGCTGCTACTAGGGGATGCCAACCTGGGGATGTCAAGCCACCACCAGGGTCATGCCAGCACCCTTAAGGTTGGCCCAATTAGAGGGAATTTGGCATATCAAATTTTTTTTCCCGGTCTCTCTCTTGGTGGAGGTTGCTGCGAAGGATTGGGGGGCCATTGTGATGCGTTTTACCCGGGATGTCCGACATTGCCCGTGTGGGGGGGCTCTGTGACAGGTATATGCATAGTACACGGCCAAATGCCATACATCAGTCGATAGATCACTCTGTGACAGTAGCATAGTAACTTGATCTTGTCTTTCATCTCTGTTTGCATCCTCTTCCTCTCCTCGTACCCCTACGACTGCCTGAGTACGCCTTAACTGCTTCCTCCGTCGTAGGCTACGATTACTCTTTGCCTGAGGGATGTCTGGACTCCAGCATCCAGTCTGAGCATACTGCATCTGCTCACCTCCTGCCCCCGTAGGTTAAAACGGGGTTCCTACCGGTTCCATTTCACCACCCAGAGGCCCTCCCGGACCCGCGATGCACCGAGGCATCACACATAGCTAGCGATAGATAAGGTAGCGAGTGACGCGTGTAGAGTGGGCGAAGTGTTGTTTATTATACCACCTTTATATCATCGTGACTTTCGCGTCACGCTCACTTCGCGCTCTCGACGCGCCAAATTCGACGCGTCTCGCTTCTCCACTCAGCCGCGTTTTGACCCACCCGCCTTCCCCTTTCACGCGGCTTTGGGTGGTCCGACTCCTGCTATGCGGTCACCCAGAGTTGCGTCGAGTGGGGCCACCGCTCCTGATCCGGACTTCGGCCCGGGTCCTCCAGTGCGTCCCTCGGGCTTCGTCAGCCAAGCACCCGGAGCGGCTCTCGGCCTCACCCAGACACAGTCAATCCGGCGGGTCTCCCGTTCTCACTCAAAGACTCGGACCTGCTTTTCCCGCGGCCACTCTACATGCACAAGCTACCTTATTCTATAATAAGACTGCCCAGTCCACTGCTGTCCACTGGGAGGCAGCGCAAGAGGGAGGGAGGTGGGTGCCAGTGGTCTAGGATCGGGTGTAAGGTCGTGGTCGTCATGGCTCGTGGCCGTTAGGGCCCAAGCAAACGGCCTCAGCTGCAGCTGCAGGCAGCGTCCGCCGTCGAGTGTGATGTGGCCGGAGGAGAAGGGAGGACCCCTGATTATGCCCCAAGAGGTAGGATACCAAAATCCGGACAGATTTTGGAAAATTTCAACCTAGGTTTGACCAGAATCCGGACAAAAATCAGGTTGGAGCTAAAAAAGTTAGAACCAAAGTCCGGAGGAAATGCTAACCGACCAGCACCATCCGGAGGCGCGCATTCGATCCTCCCAGTGTGTTCCATTTTCCAACTTGTTCCTCAAGTCTGGAAGTCTTGGGGTCTTGGCATCACTGATAGTCCTTCCCACACCATCGTTGCCGTCCTGAGGCTTTTTCGCAAGTGCTTGGTCTCACAGGTCCTCCTGATGGTAAGACTGTGTCATTCTATAGACTCCTGGCCGCCCCTCGTCATAAAGCCTGTGCCAGGGCGGAGCGAACTCTTCTTCCGTCGCTGAGTGATGTACGCATCAACAGCATTGACGCACGACATGCCTTCCTACTCCCAGGCTGTCGGAGACTTGGTGCGTGAAGACCACTGAAGAGGGTCTGGGGGAGTCTTTGCCCCAGCTACTCAGGAGTGCCAGAAACAACTCAAATACGCCTTAGATATTTAATGGCATTTTTACGATTTTTTGTTTGTATTTATCTGTGAAAACACAGTGAATAATACTTGTTTGAGCGAGGCTCGAACGCGCGCCTCCGGATGGTGCTGGTCGGTTAGCATTTCCTAAAGTCCGGACAAGAGATTTTACCCTTAGACAGGTCGCAAGTCCGGACAAATTTTCCTCAGTTGGGTAACTTGGGTCAGTTTGGTGGGCAATTCACATTGAAATAGACCACATTTAAGAAAAAATCAGGTGGCACATAACGGCTATCAGAGCCTGAAAAACTGTTCTTTAGCTATAATTCCACCTTTTCTCGGCTAACTTTCGCTAATTTAGCGCTTTTTGTCAAGGTCAGATGCGAATCCGGACAAATTTTGCACCTTCGGGGTAGGTCGGATCAAAATCCGGACAAAATAATATGTGTTTGGCGTCCAAAAAACGTGGACAAATTTTTCATTTCACCGATTTCAGAATCCTACCTCTTGGGGGATAATCAGGGGTCCTGAGAAGGGCCGATGCTAATGTCACACCCCCCATTAAATATTGATAAATTTAAATGAGACTGCAGATGAGGTTAGCGCTGAGCAGAGAAATATAGACATACTTACTCAGTTCTCTTGCCATCTTTGGAAGCCTAAATCACTTTCTTGTCTGACAGCTAACAACAAAATTGTAGGCCGACCCAAAAAATTCAGACGTTGGAGCAAAAGGCTTATGCGAGACAGCGCCGAGGGACGGCAGAGCCGACTACGCCCACAGCTCCACCCTCAATGCGCTCCAACAGCCACTTGGAGCCACTTGGATGGCATAGACAAGATATCCCGATTTTCTTGGGTCGGCCTACAATTTTGTCGTTAGCTGGAAGGTGGTCCTTTTGCTGAGCGCACTTGAAAGTCGGATCAATTTGGCCCGGCCGATGACGTAGCCGGAGGACTGTCCGACATAGCCGATGGCCGTGCACCATCCATTAAAACTTGGGGGCAAGCTTGGAAACAGCACTAAAACTGCATGCTATGGCCAAAGTAGAGCCCTTTCAACGAGTTAATGGTCAGTTTGGGCTGGTTTTCCAATTGTAGTGCAAAATGGGACAAAAGATGATGTGCACGCGCGGAAATCATGTGCGCGCGCGCAAATTATTTTTTGTACAAGCGAACCCTCATAGCTCGTTCCAGACAGAATCCAATTCCCATACTGTCTCAAGCCCATCGATGCGTGTCGAGGGCGCAATTTTTTTTGGTAGTGATGGAGTGAGAACAAGGTTTCTTCTTTGATCCCTTTGCTTCTATGAGGGTTCGTTTGTACAAAAAATAAATTTGCGCGCACACACATGATTTCCCCGGCGCGCACACAAATTTATTACATAAAGTGCATAAAACAAGTATATAATATCAGATAGTGAGAAACACTGTCGAGTCCACTAGGCAGCGGGCAAGTCCGGTGTGGTCGTGGCCGTTACGGCCCACGCGAAAGGGAACGACCTCTCAGGCAAGCCTCAGGCGGCGACGATCGACATGGCCGGAGGGAAAGGGCCGACGTGACAAGCAAAAAAAAATGTCACAGATGTTGTTGATATTGATGTTTGATCGATTTGATCACTGTAGGAACTTCAAAGGAGGAGGCTAAGCTCTCACTTAGCCCTAAGCGGAGAATAAACATCCTCAATCCCGTAGCATTTGGAAACCCGAACTAGCGCTTGACATTCTCTGAAGGAGGTCTCTTGACAGGAACTCTCTTCGACCCTCGCTAACCCTACTCGAAATCGGATCAATTTGGCCATTGACAAACTGATGACGTATGTCATGGCTTACACTGTAACCGTCGATGGGACTTGTCGGGACCAGAACTTTGCATGTTTGTCCGAGTCGAGTGAACGGCTCAAGATTCAAGAACGGCTGTTTACATGTAATGACAATAAGGTGCAGGCCTGAGGTATCAATGTCTTATGGAGCAAGGACATACAACCTTACCTTACTGGTGGCTGCCTCGGCAGTGCTGCCCATTACTATAATACTATTACCCAGGAGAGGCTGGGACCGCGTGTTTCAGCTAAAAGTAGAGTCCTTTTTGACCTTTTAATGGCTGTTTTGGAATTACAGTAAAAAGTGAAATGGGACCAAAGATGATGTGCGCGCGGGGAAATCATGTGTGCGCGCGCAAATTTATTTTTTGTACAAACGAACCCGCCATGGCGGCGCTTGCCGATTACCAGTCCACGCTAATCCAGCACGCAATGGAGATCGGCGCGCTCAAATTCGGCGCCTTCACGCTCAAATCCGGTCGGTGAGCCCAGGCGATCTTTGTGCCCCCTTGTCGCTTGAACGAGGCCAAGAATTTCGCCCTACTTCTTCAACGCCAGCGTGCTCAGCTCCGGGCCCATCCTTGCTGTTCTTTCGTCCGCTTACGCGGGCACGATCGTCGACGCGCTAAACTCAGCCGAGTCTCCGCTTCCGACCTTCGATATTTTATTTGGGCCAGCCTACAAAGGCATTCCCTTCGCTGCTACCACTGCGCTCGTGCTCCACACCCAACACAACCTTGGGGTCGGGCTTGCATATGACCGTAAGGAGGCAAAGGACCACGGTGAAGGCGGGATGATGGTTGGCGTCCCCGTTGCGGGCAAAAAGGTGGTTATCCTCGACGACGTGATGACCTCTGGAAAAGCTTGTCGCGGGGCCATCGACATAGTCGTCAAACACGGAGGCGAGGTGATTGGCGTAGTTCAATGTCTTGACCGCGAAGAAGTCGGTCAGGATGGCGTCAGCAGCACTGTCGCCGAAATTGAGGGCTTGGTGGGCAAGGGTCGCGTCAAATCGATACTCAAGATGCGCGATCTGATTGCGTGGCTGGAGACAAGTGGGATGACAGGAGAGTTGGAAGCGATGAAAAGCTATTGGGACCAGTATGGTTTGAAATGACAATTTTTATCAACAAAGGCTACAAGAAGACAGATGCTACAAGGTCAGAGAGTTCGCCCACAAGTTGTCTATAGTTCAACCGACATCGAGCTCCGTAGAAGATGAAGTTGTGATTAGAAGGGGAGAAACTATACGTCTACACATAACGAAAAGTAAGCCAATGTTCGACCAACCGTCTGGATGTGCTTACCTGGTTTGGATTTTTTCTTTGATAGAGAGCGACGGCCACTGATCCACTCTCCAGAAACCTTGACCAACGTCCCCGTTCCAATAAGCAGCAACGCGGCAATGGTCAGTGGCGCCGCAAGTAGAAGACGCATTGCCCGTATGATGTCCTTCAAGATCACCAACTTGTCCGCTTCTGGTGCTTTCTCAAACTCGTCAGCGCGCCGTGTCCAATAGTCCTTGACTTTCGGATCAGGGTGGACAGCTGCGAGATCGTGCATAGCTGCAAGAATGGCTGCCTCGTCGCTTCGCCGCCGCTTCTTGTTGTACTTCTCGATTCTCTTCTCCAATACATCGAGCTTGGCCTGCCATTCTGCTTCAGAGGGTGCAGAAGAAGACTCCGCTGGCACCACCACGACTGGTGGGGTTTTGTCCCCGGAGACTTTGTCGTCAGAGACCCTTGGCGGCGCGGATTCACATTCATATTGTGGCGGGTCGGAGGGAGCTTTCTCTTCAATGATGGCCATGAGATTCCAGCAGTGGGAGTTGTGGGTAGTCAGCGTCAGGTTTTAAATGACGGAAACATTTAAATTCCCATACAAATACTGCGCCATACTGCGCCGCAGGGCTGTCATTTATTTATGGCTCAACGTTGTGTTGGAAACATGTTAGTAAAAATCAACGAGGCTCAAATCAGAATTTCGGACCTTTGTTTTAGCTGCGCATTTGAACCATACGAAGGAGGAAACTTGAACAAATTGTGGGGACTTTCCCAGGGTATTTCTGAATCTCGGCTGTGGTGGTCGCGAGCATTGAGAAGTGTTTGTAACCCACAGCTGGCTAACGACTCGCTTTAGTTACAGAGGCACAACTGTGCATTGATACATACGTCATACAAATTCGTGAATATCTACTGTACGACTCGAGCATCACCAAGCTCCAACTCGAAGGAAGAAGCTTAGACTGCTCGAGTAGCCATTCACTCCGTGGATTACTTGATGAGCGACTAGCACTCATTCCACGCAGCCTGGCCGCGATTCAGCGCATTGCACTATGTTCTATGAGAGCTGAATCAGCAAAAGCTCCTCCCGCGATGGAGATGGCCCATACCTCTGAATGAACGAGTGTGTCGTCAAATGAGTGGCGTTGACCTGTGCTTCTCAAACGAAGGTAGCGTGTCATCGGCGGGGGCATCTATGTCCTAGAAAGAGTGTTGCATCAGTCTGCCAAAGACAAGGTGCAAAAGTGGGAAAGAGCAGAATGAAGTCGCTTGTTGATGTAGTGCCGAACACGAATGGGAGGAGCGGAAAGGGTCGTGGACAAAATGACTTTCAAGTCAAGACAAGACTACAAACGAGGGTCAGCAAAAGTTCGGTGCAGAAGATAGGAGGAAGCAGAAAAAAGGGACGAAAGAGCGCGTGTCAAATGAATGTCGTCTGGATGAGTGTAGGGAGGTTTGCGTGTGCAGCGTCGAGAAGGATGTGGCGAAGTGTTAGCTCGCGAAAGACTGTGGTCAAAAGGACGGTGATCGAGTAAGCGAAGCATCGTGAAGGAGCAAAAATTCCATAATCAACCTATCAATTGAGTATCAGCGAGCGAACAAACAACAGGGAAACAAATCGGGAGAATTTATTGTTCCTTCTTGGCTGTCCTGGATTAATATCAGTCGCTGAACCACCGTGCATCGAAAACACTATACCAGATCTCGTGGCCATTGATCTCGTCCCAATTGCGGAATCGCCGCGTCCCTTCCGCAAAGGCGAAAATCTAGTCACTCGTAGGAACCCAGAGAATCAAAACAGTCGAATAACATACTTTAAGCAGGAAGTGATCCACTTCATTGGGAAGTTGCGTGCCATCAAGGTCACCGACCAAGGCCAGCTTGTCGACTTCCGGATGCTAGAGCCAGATCAGATTGAGCATGGTCAATGAAGAAAACTCTTACAGCGCCAGAGAGGAGCCATCGAATAACAATGCCCATCGGGTAGAGGTCTGCGCCATAAGAATATGGTTTTCCAGCAGCAACATCAGGGCTCATATATTGAGGAGACCCAGCAACGACGGAGATGCCCCGATTGCGAGCGGGCCAGAAGGATCGCCCACGGCGCATATCGATCGGATGGACAAAGTTCTGGGCGAGCCCAAAGTCTACCACCATTAAGCGGTCATTGCTGATGAGGATGTTGTCGGGCTTGATGTCACGGTGAACAATGCCCTTCTCATGCATGGTTTGCACTGCTGTAGCCTAAAAAGCTATAAGACAACGAGAACCAGAGGCATGAGTGACATACCAGCTGACGAGCAAACCCAATGCGCTCTTCAAAAGTATATTCCTCGAGAGGAAGGTCGTTTAAGGTCAAGTCACCGAAATCCTGAAAAGGGCTCAGTAATCCATATTCAGACCAAGAAGGGACAGACCATGACAATATAAAAGTTGCGGTTGTCTTTAAACACACCATGAACCGTCGCGAACCCAGGCAGGCCCTGCACCGTTTGCATGCAGATGACCTCCTTTCTTACCATCCGCCTTACCTCACGCGACTTTGCACGCCGCGGGATCATCTTGACCGCGAAATACTCACCAGTAAACGGGCAGTATGCCTTGACAACGCAGCCGAAGCCTCCCTGGCCGAGAGGCCGAGGGTGGAACCAGAGCATATTGGGGTCGATGGAAGGAATTGCCCATCTCGTGGCTCGCCAGATATGCTTGTTGAGCGCTTCTGGGTGGTCGAGATACTCTTCATGTCCTCGATGCATGATGCGCCACACAAGACATTTGAAAGGGGAGCGCGACAAGGGTTGTACGCGATATAAAGCGGTGAGAATTGGTCGGTAGCAGCTCGAAAGCCACTGAATTCCACCTTCGACGACTTCATCCATTTGCCGTGGACCTTCCATCGTGAGAAACACGTCCGCGACCATCTTGGCAATTATCTTGATAGTGTAGCTGAGTTTCTGTGGGTTATTACGGAAGTGGCGGTAGACAAGGTATAGCTGGAAGTCGCAATAATAAGTTACCGATGATTAGAGGGAAAGTAGCACGCACCCAATGTCCCAAAGGCAGGCAGAATCCATTCAATATTGCGACTTTGAACTCGTTAATGGCATTGGTTAACACGGTCCAGTCAGCAAAGACAAGACCAGCAACTACAAGTACCATCAATGTGAAAGCACCTAGGAAACGCGCACCTTGGAGGGCGTCATGACGCGTCAAATGCGTGGATGTCTCTGCGGTAGGCTTATCTGCCCAATCCATAAACGCACAGACAACCAACACAAGGACGACAGTCAGGACGAGAGCATAAACAGGACTGTGTGTGAACTGGAAGCAACCCAGGAGAATCACCACCATGCATAAACCACAGAGTGGCTCAGTGGCGGCGGTGAACTCGAGTGCCTCGGCCACGACGACCTTGATGTCGCCAACGACCTCTAAGATAGTAAGCCATTGCTGGCAGAAGGTTTGAACCACAATTGTGGCGAACATTTGGATGGAAACAATGAATGCTGAGAGCATGGTGGACGTAGCAGAACAACAAGTTGTTGTCACACTGTAACGAACGCGAAGTGAACATCACGTGTGGAGAGTGGAGGCTGGCTACTGTGGGCGGGGCAGCGCATCGTCGTCGGTGCTGTTGTCGGGGAGAGAGCAAAAAGCCTGTGGGAATATGCCCGTCATGGATGGCGGCAATCAATTGCAAGGCCTTGTAACTCCGGCGTCTAGATAGGCGCCTTCGAGATTACATCTTAAACTTCTGCCAAGATTTACAAGTATGAAATCGTCGTTCCTCCCCTTGAAATAGTTTGTACAACCACAGATTCTACAGGTGCGCAATACCATTTAATCGACACAAAACCAAAAACCCGAAAATAAGAATTTACAATACCAGTTTCAAGCTTTTCGGCGCGATAAGTACGCCAAACACGGCTTTTGAGTCCATATATAGCTCAAACCAGCGAAAATTTTCGCGATGTGATACAAAATAGTATATAATTGTCCATATATGAAGCATCAAATTTACGCCAAAGCTCCCATCGGATCGTATGGAGGCAGCACAACAGGGTTACCGTTGTCGTATACCCGCAAGAGGTCCTTCGGCGCGTACCCACGCGGCACAACCACCTGATACACAAACCTAAAACCCACATATTAGTGACCCTGGGCAACACTGGAGGGGAGACGCTCACTCGTCAAACCAAGCCGAACTCATGACAAAGTATCCTTTGTCGCCAACATCGGGACCCCAAGAGTTCTCGACCTTGAACCGGACAGGGCTGCCGTTCGAGTCAAGATGAACTCCGGAAATAACCATTGCATGGGTCATGGCTGGCGAAAAGAGTCAAATAGGATCCACTGAGTGGGACGACACCAACCCGACTCGTTGATTTGAAGGCGCTCGGCTTTTGTCAACCCAAGTGTGATATCGAATGTGCTCTGATAAAGCAATGAGTGGGAGAGGAGACTGGCAAAATGACACAACCTCGTAGTTGTAAACAGTAGGGTCCATGACACCGTCGACACGAGAGGAGAATTTGCCTGCAAAAAAATGTTAGGCAGACGACAACAAAACGATGGAAAGTACTCGCCAACATCACAACCGAAGAACACGGGCACTCCAGCTTTGACCATCTTGACCACGACGGATTTCATGTTCTCCACCTCAGTGTTAACATCTATGGTCCATCTCAGTTCCCAAGTGCGACAACAAGGCATGAAACAGACACAAAACCGGGCGACCGCCAAATACATTGCCGAGTCGGTCCACCGTGAACAGAGTCGAGTAGGCATTGCGTGGATCATTAATCAGGGAGAAGGAGTCGGCCTGGGGCGAAACAAAGGTCTTGTAGAATTGCAATGGAGTGCCCTCCCAACGCCCGACTTTGCCTTGACTCTGGTATTCCCAAACAAATTTGTCATTTGGCCCGGGAGGAACACCAAGGGTGGCGGTCATAATGTTATAGACGTCCTTCATAAGCTAGAAAGGGTTATTTACCGCACAACCGAGCATGACAACACATACTTCTTCTTTCTTCACGCGCAAAGCAGCGATAACAGTCCCTTTGGACAAACCCTGGGTCTGCATAGAAGCATATGCGCGGCGGAGAATGAGCGCATGTTCACGAAGCTTGGTTTTCAACAAGCTGTTGATAGGGCTCGACAGGCTCGAGTGGGTGCTTTCAGGAAAAACCTGCGGATTCGTCAGCAGGTTAAACGAGGTAGGCTGCAGGAAGACACACGGTTTGTGGAACAAGACCGTAATTCTCCACGAGGTTCACAACCATGTCCCACTGGCCCCCGTCACTGATGAGGTCGCTCGACAGGAAGCTCACAACCCGGTCGTCAATCTATCAAGGCGTTTAATTGGGAAGTTGGAAGCGAATAAGGGACGCACAGGCTGGTCGGCCAGCTCAATCATATTCTCGAGGTAGTAGTTCGCCTTGTTCAGCTTGTCATAGAAGAACAGATATGACTGCGTAGGTATTGAGCACCCTCAAGGTCATTGGGGTAATAGGATTACTTGGGACAACTGGAAGTCGTCCAGCTTGAGCTTCCGGGTAATCTCGTACCGCATAACATTGGTGGACGCAAAAAGCCAACACCGTCCAGAGCTCTTCTGGTTGGTGATGGGGCTCGTCTTGGTGTCGAGCTCGACGTTGAAGAGGTGTGAGTTGGAAATTAGTGCAGGGCGGGAGAGCAGCGCGCTTGAAATGTCGGAATGAACGAGAATGCTTCGAGACAGCTTGGTCTTGGAGCTGGACACCGCCCGCTCCCATGACTCGATGTTCTGTGAAGAAAGAGAGCCGTTGGCCGAGACTGGGCTCGTGCTGGCAGTAACCTCGAGGCCAGCGAAGCTCTGCGCTAGTTTCTCGGAAGTTTCGGGCTCAACGGTCGAGTTCGCTGGCTTCGAGGGAGTGGTGCCCATGGTGGTAAAAGGCAGACCTTATCATCGTTGCATGCTGCGATACCTAAATTAGAGAGCTTCGGCATGACCGGGCCGGAGTCGCCGGACCACCCAAGGAAAAAATAGAGCAAGTACATTAGTGCGACTTTACATTAGTACAATGTCCTCGTTTCCTCGGGACCACATCTACTTCAGGCCGCCTTCGTTAAACGTTCAATTTCTTGTATGCCTTCATCGTGCTCCCAAAATCCATTAACCACTTCCTCAGTGCGATCAACTTTTTCGGTGTCATTGGAATCATTTTCCAGACTCGCAAGGTAGACTTCCCTCGCTTTCGTCACGCTGGTCTCGCGAGTTTGGACCTCTGCCCGCTCGCTCCAGAGCAGTTTCTCCAGCACATGTCTGACCACCGCCCGGACAGCGATGTATCCGTGGGAGGCCAGCAGTGCAATGAGCAATGCGTTAAACAGTAGTTCTCTGGCTGCTGCTGAACCATCTGGGGTTGGCGAATCCTTGGACATGGACATAATATGTCGATGTACCCGGTCAATCGGCGATTCGACCGTCGTTTTGCCCGCTGAGTTACACGTATTCCGGGGGCAGAATAGGTAGACGAGTGCCGAGTTGGTTAACGCGCCAAGCCAAGTGAGGAACCCCAAGGTATCAAGCCATGGCCCGATAGTATCAGTTCGGACAGGGAGTGGGCGACGGACGTGAACAGTTAACTTGAATGCGTCAGAGCGGAGTTCGAAGAAGTTGTTAATTAGTGCCATCACTGCGCAAGAAAATGTCAATTCGACCAGCAAGAAAACGATCAAGACTAACCAGGAGCCAATGGCCAGATTGTCGACCACAAAACCACATACCCAAACTGTGTCACCATCTCGTTGTAATCCACAAACTCTTCGTAAACCGGGAGAGCGACCTCCTTCCGAACTTCCTCTAAAAATTCGCGCTCTGCAACACCGCCACGCTCCTGTTCGTCTTCAAACACCACTCGTTTCTTCAAGGTTGGAGGAGTCGAGGCACCGTTGCTTGAAGAAGAGGATGACGAATTGGACGACGTATCATTCTTGTTTCCATTCATCTTAGGGCCTTTCGCCTGTTTCTTGAGGAACTTTGCTTGTAATGTGGCGACCTTGCGAAGAACGAAGGGCAGTCCGATCTCAACGAATGTGTTGACGACCTGGTTCGTCACCGTATAGGCAAACATCTGGTCCCGTAAACGGCCAGCATTGAGCTTCTGGCCTGCGATGGATGTGTCCACGTTCCACAGACTACTAGTCGCATTGAGAGTCTTTTCAGAGGCTGCATTGATTGTCGAGTTTGTCTCGGCAACGGCTGCAGCTGAGGAGGCATGTCGCTGGAAGAGCCAGACTTGGACAGTCTGCATGATGCCTTCCCCAAACGGAACGTAAACGAATGCACTCAGCGCCAATCCCAAGTAAGCCACCAGCGCGCTTAGCGCAAATGTCTTGATGGTAAGGGATGCCGCATGTGAAGACTGATGAGCATGGTTCTCCCATGAGGTGATGCGTCGTGCAATAGCTTGATACAGTGCTAGGAGTTGGGGAACCAAAGCCACGAACAGAACGGTGGGGGAGAATGACTGGAAGATATTGGGTGAGGCAATGACTTCGAAAAGGACGAGGACGTACAATATACTTATGGCCTGGCCCAGTGTAGAGTTGTGTGAGGAACGCCTCGAAAACGAAGATGCTCGTCAAAATCGTGATCAGGATTGCTCCAAAGAGGAGAATGACAGGAAAGCCCACAACCATCCGCAACTCCCGCTTCCACCAAGGAAAGCCCTCCGTATATTGTGCTCGGCGACGTTCCACGCGGAAGGACCCACGTGTTCCCAATCGCAAGGCAAGAACTCTTTCTCCAACGCGCCACCATTCGACGTAGATGATTGACCACAACACCAATAGAATGGAGTATACTGGCGAGTATGGAGTGCCAAAGAAAAAGAAGAAGAGTCCAAGGACAGCCGGAAAAACGAGCCCATGGGTGTAAGAGTGCAGGAAGAAGAAATAGAGTGCGATGCTGTCACCAAAATGTTCTCGCACTCGTTCTTGACGAACAGATAAGATTCCACTGTGTGTCCAGGCGTGGATCCATTGCTTATTGAACTCCTTGTCATGCAGAGCCAATATAGACTCGACTCGGTCCCAAGACGGGGAGTCGGGAGATATACCAAGACCACCGTCAGCAGGGGTGGAGGAAACGAACGCATGGACAAGTCGAAGGCGGTCTGCTGGTGCGAGAGTGGGTGTTTCGTTGCCAACAGACAAGCCTGAGATGAAATCTGAGTGGCTAGAGAGGCATGAAGACGATGATGAGGTCATTGACTGTTAACGCACCGCTCACGACGAGCTAACGTTTGCAGCAGTGTTGGCGGACATGATACAAAGACGAGGATATGCCCCAATGATTCTCCCCTTCGCCCAACAGCCCGCAATCCAGCCGACGTCAGTGTTTGCAGCAATCGCGTGTACTGGTCTTCTGCCTTCTTTGCCTCCTCAAGAACATGGCGTTTCACTACGCTCCGTGCTGCACGAAAGCAGATAAGGAGGTCCACATCTGGCACCATGGCGGGAGAAAGCAAGAAGAGGTCAATGTCGTAGCTATGATGTAGCGCTCGCTTATAGTAGCTTCCAAAAACGTCCTTGCCCCCTGTTCCTCAGAGCCTCTTTCACCTAGTGATGTAGTTTAGGCTAATTACCTCCGCGCGCTACTTTCCCCACAACAAACTCCTGCCGAGAGACCTAACAAGAAATAGTCGCTCCTTCCTCATACTCCTCGTCATCGGCGTCATTGTAATAGCGCTCTCGACCACCTCGCTCTTCATCACTACAAGAAGCACTTTCCAATACCTCAACTACGACCAAACGACCATTCTCCGCCCATTTCTGCTTGTGTTCCAGAAACCAAGGGTATTGGGCGACCTGCGCATTGATTCCGCGAAGAATAAACGTTCTCAAAGATGCACCCCCAGCGTCTGTCATGACCACTGTGTTCCAACGCTTGACAAGCTCGTCGATCGAAGGCAAGAGCGCTCGCAAGCTTTCGTGCTGCTCTAGACTCGGGATTGCGTTTGGGCCCACGTCTGTAGCATTTGCTAAGTGGTCTGGAAGATGCTCCACATGCTCGTAAATGATGGTCTGAAGGCGAATGAAGACGTTTCTGAGTCCAGCGTGTGGTGGACCCGACAAATACAACAGATGTTGTAGCAAAGTCGGACGGAATGGGAGTTTGAGATCAAAGATTTCGAGCTGTCGTAAGCCAGAAAGGCTTTCGAGGAGGAGCCCGATCTTAGAATGGGCTACGTCTCCAATGCAATGCAATGAAAGTGTGGTGATGCTGGTGTAGCGCTCTGAGAGGAGCGGTCCGATGCGGTCCGCCAGAGCGGGATGGACATAAAATCGGAAATATATGCTAAAATGCTCGAGGGAGGGTGGCATCAGATTCGCAAACAGGAATTCCCAGTTCATATCGTTACCATTGACCCTCAAGGACTTGAGCCCAGGCTGGGTGACTGGCGCGTGTTCCCACCGTGGGGAGGTCAAGAAGTCGGTTCGGGTAAGTTTGACTAGCTCGACAACCTCGATACCGCTGGCGCCTGTGGCCGTCAAGTAGCGAAGCAAAACTTCACTTGTGTTGCACGCGAGAAAGCGCACTCGGCTCCAGGCGATATTGTCCCGCATTGATTGAATCGAGTAGGGATTTGCAAGGCGGACGTGGTGTAACGGCGCATTCTGGAGTGCAGCCAGGAACTTGGCATCGTTGGTGAAGGAGCTGCCGACATGGTCGGAGCAGAGGGAGAACAATTCTAAACGGCAAAGGTCGGTAATGCTATTCGTGTACCACGTATTGTCGATATTCATGAGCTCCAGCGAGGTAAAGCGTGAAGCATGCCGGAAAAGGACGCGAAGTAGCTTGCCAAATGGGTTGGGATCAGCGGAATCATGGGCCCAAACAGAGACGTGGAGTGGGTAGCCTTTGGAGAGGCGGAGATGGCGAGGTATGACGATTTGCGCGGTATCTGGTGTCATATACTCGCGTCCCTTGTCCATGTAAAGGGAAATTGTCGTCCAGAGGGCGGCCCTTGATAGAACGATGTCATTCCACGCGCGACAGACTTCTCTCAGGTCATAGTGCGCCGTCATGCTACGTTTGAATAGAGAGCATCGGTCTAAAACATTCAGGTTCCAACTGGTCGATGAACCCGGGCCAGTAGAATATATTTGACACCGCTGAAAGTGGATTTCAAAGATGTCAGCCCAGATTTCAAAGGGAAGGTCCACAGCGGGGCGAGGCTTCGAAGTATCGTTTGCTGCTTCCAGTGTCGGACGCGACATAAGTTGTGGGTAGACGAAACATTTGGTGGGTGCTTACTCGAGATCTGTAACACGACATCTCTTCTGACTTCCTTCACCAACACCTACGAGTTGTCTCAATTTCAGTCACCCTCTTCCCTGTGTGGTTCTCACAGATGTGTTCCTGGTTAGGTGCTGCAAATAAGTAGCATTTTTATCCACTGGGGGTATGTACTATAACATTACGGGCTCAATGCCTTCGTGATTTTATCGTGAATGGTATCGTAGGGCCACACTCGTCATCTTTATGGTTTCGGTTGTGGTTGGGAAATGATCTTGGAGGTGGGCTGGCTCGTTGTAGGGGAAGATGTCTGTTGCTGAGATCAGCCAAAGACTATTCCGTCGATGCAATTCGTTCCGCACCGGACTCTCAAGGAATCGACTGGACGAACGGGATGACGGGGCAGAGGACATATCCTGCATTGGTACGTCGCGATAAACTTCGGACTTGGTTTCGTCCACCATCGGTGTGTTGAGGAGCATGTGGATAGTTTTAGAGAGTGAATTTCGTGCCATGTTAAATTCGTGGAGGGAGTTCGTAGTGTTTATTGGGCAATTTCCCTGTGAATACCGCGTCTTTATAGTTTTCTGTGGAGTCGGCCCCTATTTTGGGAGGAGCACGTCATGATCGATGATATAATCCACTTCTCCTCAGCTAAGACTCAAATGCCGAGCGCGATTATTACTGGGGCCTCTTCAGGCTGGCTAAACCTCTTCTCCCAGACGATTTCCGGCTTGATGCTTTTGAAGGAATCGGCCGCGAGAGCGCAATCGCGCTGGCCAAAGCAGGCTGGCATGTCGCCCTCACTGCACGTCGCAAGGATGCGTTAGAAGAAACCAAACAACTGTGTGGATCGGACGAAGGACGGACTCTCGTTCTCGCTGGCGACGTGACCGACGAGGAGTTTGTCCGTGCATTATTTGAGGAGACAGTGAAGCGATTCGGTGAGCGCTCTTGTTGTATTGAATCGCCAAAAGATAACAACCCCAAGGTCGTTTGGATCTCCTGTTCAACGTGCCTATCACCGTCCGTGCCTTTCTGCCCCTCATTTGTGTCAGAATGCCGGTGTCGGCGCCCCAGCCATCCCGCTCGAAGAGCTATCCTTGGGTATGGAACAAACCTTTTGTTTGCGCAAAAAACCTAAATTTTGAGACAAGAAACCTTTCAACGCGTTATCTCTGTAAATCTTGTGGGGCCATTCCTTTGTGCACGTGAGGCCGTCCGTGTCTTCAAAGCGCAGAAGCCGATGGGTGGTAACTCGGGACCATCTGCTTCCCTTTTCGCATTTCACCTACACTCCAGGTCGGATTGTCAACAATGGTTCGATTTCGGCCCACACCCCTCGCCCATTTTCAGCACCATATACCGCTTCAAAGCATGGCATCACAGGACTGTCCAAATGCATTTCTCTGGATGGACGAGCATTCGACATCACCTGCACGACCCTTGATATTGGTACAGCACTTTCCTCATGTCCTTACTTACTGGTTGACGTTGTCCCTCGCCAGGAAATGCTGCCACGAAGATGACGAAACGTATGGACGACGGTGTACTCCAACCTGATGGCCGCATTATGCCAGAAGCGACTTTCGATGTGGCTCAAGTTGGTGCTGCGCTGGTTTACCTCGGCAGTCTCCCGCCAGACGTAAACGTGCCCCATTTCACTATCATGTGCGAACTCCTTCTTTCACCGTCTTCTTCCGCTGAGATGGAGCAGGGCTAACAAGATGCCATTTGCGGGAAGGGGGTAAGTAATAGTTTACAGCTATAAGCTACATCTACTGGACGTCTACATTCCGCCTATCGAGTTGAAATAGGCATACCAATCGTTTGCGCTGCCCAGTCTCGTTAGCTCAAGCAGAGAACTAAGACAAGTGACATACTCGAGACTGCTGCTGGGTGCCGCCGCCCACATCTCGAACATCTGGCTCACATTGTCCGCATTCGCCCCACTTCCAAAATTGGTGATTGGGTCTGAGTTGTACCACGACGTAGCCGGATCCAAGTGGTGATCGAGGAGGCAATCGAGGGAATTATGGCTGCCACCATCGTGTTCACAATGATGGATCCGTTCAGGTGCTTTCATTCCATCTGAGTCAGCGAAAGTCGAGGTGGAATTGATCGGTCCTGCTGGAATGGGGTCCTGCTGCCCTCTTGTGTCTGACGCGTAGACAGCAGTGCTTGCGGCTGAGGAAGGATCACGGCGAGACCGCTTTTTCGAGTTTGCATGTGAGCCAAAACCTGAACTGGTGGGCACCGTGGGCTGTTGCTGCATTGGCAAATCGCCTATAGAGCCCAGCTCAAATAGGACATCCCTAAAATAGATTAGCTCTGAACTGCTTTAAGAATGCTGCGGTACCAGAATATCCCCGCTGCTAGCCAGCTTACCCAACGTTCAGAAAGCAACGGCCAAAAATCGAACCTGACGCACCGCTTGTCGTGTCCTTTGATGAACTCCATACACATCCTCACTTCATTCATAGAGCTGTTCATATGTGGTGGGAGGCCCGTCCGCTTGCCGTTCCATACATTCAGGACGAAAAACAAGCCAGATAAGAAAGTCGGATACTACGAGACGTGGTTAGTTTTCGCAGTTGGGCAGAGCAAAAGCGCACCAGCACCCTGGGAAATGTCATTCCCTTGTAATGCCGTTCGTTCAGTTTGTTGACGATGTGGGCGCAAGACCGGGCAGCATTGGTGCAGACAGAGAGAGATGGAAGGGTCTTTTTGACAGATCAGAATAACTCAAGATGACGAAAATCTTACGGTCAACAAGTTTTTCGTGAGTTGGGGTACGAATTGTCGGTGAACCATGATTTGGATAAGATGGAAATGGCAGTGAAGTTCTGCGGATTGTTTGAAAAACAGCTCGTTGCGATCAGAGTCGGGTGCTTGCTTGAAGCGGTCCCAACGGACTGAGAAATGAGCTACGAGCCATATAAAGATAGAGGAATGCTCACGATGTTCAGGGACATCTTGAAGCCATTCGTTCAACGCGGAATCGAGCTCTGCAACAATCTGCGCCTCCCAATCGGTGTTGTTGAATGCTAACGGGCGCTTGACTTTCTGGAGCGGATACTATAACGACGTTGGCGTCAACGACCTTTGCAACGTAGTTGGGTTACTCGCCAACAACTCTACAGCAAAGCCTAGGATGATGTCAAGCTTTAGCCGCGTATTGAAATACGCTAGAGACGATATTTCGCCAGGCGGTTGGACAAAGCCGTCTTCCCAATGGACATCGTCGACTTCCAACGGAAGATCAACGTCGAAATCACGCCAAAGAATCATGCTTGGCCGCCCAATGGCTATGCATAGTTGCCGGTCGAGCGTAAAGCAAGCCCAAAAAGCGCGCTTCCATAATTCAGATTCAACCTGCATCGCGTCAGTGAGCTTGAATGGGGTAGGATATATGTTTCACAGAAGTTGGGATAGGTTTTCGTGGCCGCCGATGTGCGCCAACGTCTTGAACCATGCGAATCGCGGCTCCGAGCACAGTCCAACATGACGAGTGGTTGGACTGGTCACAAAAGATGACAATGAGCTTTTGGACGTTAACACAAAGCCGCTAAACATTCGTAACCTTACACAATAAAGCTGAACATGGTGGATTTCTGGGCGGCCAAAGACGTGATCGATGTCAATGGTGACCTGATCGAGGAACTCGTATCCTTGAAGTAACTCGTCACCTCCCGGCACACCGAGCCTTGGGTCGTCTGAGTAACGAGATCCCAAAGCACAAACAAGTTGCACGATACCCCCAAACGTTTTGTCTCGGATGTGGAGACCGTCTGAAAGATGGCGCTCGAATGTCGGTCGATGTAGGAGTGGAATGTAGGCATTATGGTGTTCAAAGTAGAGGTCAACAAGAGAGGCAAGAAGGTCCGGGGGTGTAAAAACATAAGGACCGGTATGCTTGATGCGCCTCGTAGGCTGGGCCCGTTGGATTAGATAAAATTACAGATGATAAGGCAAAGGCACCGGAAAGAACGCCCAATATCGTTCGCGTCTCGCGCTCCAACGAAGCTGCTTCTTTTCATAGTCTTCGCGCAAGTCGATAGCCTTCTTGACGACTATAAGGCTGCTCACTTCACCATGGAAGTGATCGTCGTGGCTGGATGAGAGCATGGACATAGTATGCATACTCTTGATAAGGGCGAGGTTCTCGACGTCATCAGCCAAGGGGGCGGGAACGTTCATTGATCGGATAGACAACGCAGCAAGTTGTACTCCAGGACCACTTTGACCAATCCCGCCACTAGACAGGACGTTTGGAGTTTCAAGGATCGCAGGACCTAACTGAGAATCTGATTAGATAGGATCACGGAAGCCGAAAATACCAACATCTTCTAGCTTTTTCTCTACGTCTTTGACGCGTTCCTCGAGTGCTTCAACATAACTGAGGTTTTTAGATGTTTAAATAAGGCCAGAAAGAGAGACATACGTTCGACGTTTGGCAACTAGTCCCGTGAACTTGCACTCTAACTGCATCTCGGTGCAAAGAGTGCAAGACTTGGGAGGGGTTCTTGACCCATCGCCTGAGCAAATGATAAGCGTACAATCGAGCAAGACAGCACTCATGATCATACATGCTCCTGGACACTATATCAGTTTGGTTTTGCTTCCGAAAGGTGAATCCTCACTCCTGCGTCGTCGACATAGGTCGCAGGCTCGTTGCTCACGCCTCACGCGGTTCGTGTTCAGTTCTGGCCCGTCCGACATTGAGGTTGCTGTCGAACGCGCATGACGGCAAAAGCCAGGTAAGCAGCGGCAACGTTGATGGCAATGTTGCGATCAATTCTCTCGTCCACTTTGTTTCTCTCATCTTGGTTAAGTACTTTCTGTGGTCTACGCTCACTCGCATACAAGACTTCGACCATTGCGCCCGTTGCTCCCCCTTTTCAGGCTTTCTCTCGCCACCCCTGTGTTTGCCATCTTATCCTCACCCATCCACAAGCTTGTGGAGTCCATCTCCACTACTCCAGCTTGCAAATAACTTCAGGAACCGAATAGAACTCAACGGCTGCTGTTTTCAATAAACTCCAGCTACATCATTGGCGTCATCGCCCCCAAATTTTGTCGTCGATATCGCTCCTTGACTCCAACTATGAGCATGCCCAGCGCAAATTGCAACTCCAATGCCTGCTTTCAATGGGGTGACATCACCGTTTTTACAGTACTTAAATAGTCGACAGGGCCATCTGCAATCCCAACATCCTCAGCGACTCATCCCGACTCCAATTTAACATCCACATCTATTATGGATTCCTACGGAAGCAACACCTCTGGCAACCGCCGCGAATTCACCGACCGCACTGACCTTGGTAACAGTATGTGTTTTGTGGGTCAAGTCCAATGTCTAAATGCTTGCTTCAGATCAATTCGACTCTACCACTGGCCGTAGTGGTTACGGCCAAGGCCAAGACCAATTCAGCTCTGGTACCACTGCAGGCGGCTTCGAAAGTGGCCGCCGTGATCGCTTTGACGACACAACCACTGGAATGGGCAACAACTCCTCGCTTGGCTCCAGCGGCAACACTGGCCGCATGGGCATGGGCGACTCCACGACTTATGGCTCTGATTCCCGCACCACTGGTACCCTCGGCAACTCAGGCTACAGCGACCGCTCTGAATTCGACAATGGTATGGGCGGAAAGCCTACTATGGGCGACAAACTCAAGGGTATGTTACTAGTATTTTTGTCTTACAGCATATGAGCTTACTGGTTTCAGGCGGCGTTGAACAGATCGCTGGAAAGGTTATGAACAAGCCTGCCATGGAGACCCGAGGCCAAGAGCGCAAGATGGGAGAGTTTGAGCGCAGCGAGTTCTAGTTGCCGCGCGCACTATATATCCAAAGGACTTCAACATAATGTACCTGTAACTGTAATCCAAACCTGCTCTGGTTTCCTACACTCTGATTAAGGGTATTTGGTATGGTCTACATCGTTTACAATTCCCACCATCCTCGTATTGATCCCCATCTTTGGGAATACCATTTCTGCATCGCCGAGTCCAGCTCGTCTAGGGCAGTCGGATTATAAAGGTCGTCATTGACAGCGAAAAATGTTGTCTTGCTCTTCAGGTCGGGGAATTTTCTGATATCGCCGACACGTCGTATAGCAAGAAATTCCATGGAAGAAGAGCCTGAACAAGCATCAGATAGTCCTTCCGTAGAGGTAATGAGGTCGCTTACCCACAACATAGGAGTATCGCTGGCTGAAAAAGTGGTTGTTTACATCCCAGATAACCTTGTCACAGAACAATAACTCACATTGCGTTCACAGCCCATTCCCGACTCGCCGTACTCGGAAACGCGACGTCTTGCCATCGCGCCGCGAGATCAAAGGTTTGGTTAACCTGCTTAGACGGCCGCTCTCGACTGGGGAGAAAAGCTAGAAGCCCATCACGTCCGCTTTGTCCAATCAGATGCGCGATAAGACAATCACCACACTCCGGCCGTTCAAACGATATGCGATGGTACATTTCCAGTGACGCAACCGGATTGCCCTGACGCGCCACACCGAAGCAACGTGGACCATCAATCCGACACTGGGTGGCTGCGGCTTTGCCCGTGGTTTCTTTGGTCGTCTGAATCAACGGGTACCCATCAGAGGACAGCCAGGTGTACTCTGTCTCCTTGGGCTCCTCGATGCCAGCAGTTCTAAAATTGTGTGCTACGTAATGCGGCGACCCGTTTTCGCGCATGGTGATCGGGACTTGGCCAGAGGCGAGGTCAAGGCCAGCAACGAGGGTTTGTCGCTCATCGGGAGAAATTAGCCCGTCAGCATTTGCATCGACGCGGAGCATTATGAACGAATATAGTCTAAGAATGCAAGTTAGTGTTGATATCGATTATCCAATGGGGGAAACTGATGGGGCATGCACATACAGCAATTCTCGGTGTTTTTCAATGGTATACCACGTTGTTAAGTAGAGTAGGTTAACTTGAGGACCGTGGCCGCGGAAACGTGCCTCTGCAGTCTACCAGACGATGAGCACGAGGCAGGTTATGAGTTCAAAATGTGTACCCGGGCTATTTCATCAGCCCAAACCGCGCCAACTTCTTGCATGATTGGACTGGAAACGACTTTTGCGACATGGTGAAGATAGCGGCGTGGTCGTTTACCAAACCTTTGATCTATTGGTGGATTCAGCGAATGAACAAAAAAGAACAAAAGGCGGAATTTTCACCCAGAAGCCAATTAGCTGCGATTGGGCATATTAGACCAAATTAGGACAAGCTATTGTACCGCTCACTATACTGAAGCCCTGGCCATTCCCCCTCTTTGTCCACACCCATAGGAGGGCTGTCTGGCGGTCGACTCGGGACCTTGAGATCAAACTGAATCCGGAAAACGGGGCCATACAAAGGCGTCTCAAAGTCGGCCATGGAGAGCGGCCGCATGAGAAAACAGTCATCATTCGAGTCTGATTGGCCGGGTCAGTAAATGGCAGTGATTGTGTTGTCCTGAACTAAGCTTGCGCACAGAATATAGTGGGGGCTACATCTTGCAGGTGAACTAGCTGGCTCTCAATCGCAAGACTGTTGAACGAAGGAACATTTCGGTCTCTCCACTTTCGCCCCTGTGGGTCGCTGGCAGGCAGCAGGGACTTGGGAACACGGTAAATGTCTGAGTGATGGACAAGTTGGACGTCGGAAGATAGATTCAGCCAGGTAGGAACTGAACCGAATCGGAGCTCTTCAGTATCGTCTGCAGGAACGTCCCCAGTGACAAGGATATACTATGAACGATATTAGAGGTTTGAGCTGAGCAACGGCCGAAACATACTTTGCGAACCAGTTTAGGCGGAAGGGTTTGGAAAACCGAGCGCATGGAGTTAATCATCTCATCGTGCGTTCTGAAGTGGGTCTTCCGGGAGCCAAGGAAAGCTGGCTGGAAACCAGGTAGCTTCTCCCGGGCCTCTTTAGCAAGTGCAACCTCTTTCTCGCGCGTAGCAGACAGAATCGGTTCGGAACCATTGACCCAAGTCCAAACTGCATCGAGTTGAAGGGGGATGTGGGAGGCAGTACAAGGTCTCCCGTAAGTGATCCATTGCTCAATACAAGGAAATTGTTGTGAGAGTGTGGGCGCCACGGGTTTGAGGGTTGTCGCCAAGAAGTTCTCGGCGGGTTTAAACAAACGCCAGCCTGCTGGCCATGGTATTGACTCGTTTTTTGCGTATTTGGGAGGCACCAGAATGTGAGTTGGGTCGATTTTCTCAGGCGTGTGTTTGTAAACAGAAGCACGGGGTGGAGGGTAACGCTCGGACCGACGTTCTGGCGGAGGCAGGGTCCAATAGAGAAAGCAGAAAACAAGAGCCACGAGGAGCCAGATTGCTGCTGTTCGTTTGCGAATCGTCATGGTTACCGAGAAATGCCTTGCAGTTGCCTTACCCCTCGACCTTCAGGCTACCTCATTGCCAAATGTGCTTGACGCCGGGTTGAAGGAGAGCGTTGGCAGGCCTGTCGATCATTGATGAAACGTGACGCGCGGCGTGGAGTGACCGCATATCAAAGTGACAATTTGCAGGCCCTAAAACTCCTTGTCTCCCTCCACTACCACGACATAGGTCTTTCCTTTCTCCCCCTTCCCTTCATCCGTTTCCACGAGAACCACACCTATCCACACTCTTTGAACTCACCCCCCACCGTTCAACAATGCTTACCCAAGCTGTTGCCATCATCTCTGCGCTCGCCGCCACCACTAGCGTGCTTGCCAACGGCTCTGTAAACCATGCAGCGATTGCCCGCCGCATGTCCGACTCGAGCTTGGAAAAACGCGAATCTTTCTCTGGTCGCACAACATTCGTGAGTTGGGTTGTCCTTGGGTCATTATACTTTCTGATCGCATCATTTAGTATGGACTGGACACTGTGAGCAACGGTTTTTGCCGTTTCTCCTCAGTTCTAACTCCTTGTCTGTAGGGTGCCGATGCATGCACCGGTAGGAACCACGGATATAACGATTGGGTGTTCGCCATGAACATGCCCCAGTTTGGCTCTTGCTGTGGCAAGAAAATCAAGATCCAGTACAAGGGCAAGACTGCTGTCGCTTCCTGTGTTGACGCCTGTGCTTCATGCTACAACACCGGTGAAATCGACTTGACTCCTGGTATGTGGAACACAGTCAAACTTTGTTCAACGCTCAATGTCATTGTGTCATCTAGGTCTATTCTCGTACCTGACCGGTATGTCTTTTTATGACGCTTGATGCTTCTTTTTGACACTGCGTTGAACAGACGGCAACCTGGATCTCGGTCAATTTACCTCCACTTGGTGGTTCGTCGATGGCGATGGCGATGACAACAAGCCCCCTCCCCCACCTCCCCCACCAACCAAGAAGCCCGACCCACCCAAGACCACTAAGCCTGCTCCCCCACCCCCACCGCCAACTGAGAAGCCCAAGCCGGCGACCACAAAGAAGGAAGAGCCGAAGCAGACGGAGAAGAAAGTTGTCTCTAGCTCTGCCAAGCCTTCTTCTGCCAAGCCCTCTTCTTCCGCTTCATCCCGCAAGGCATCATCGTCATCGGCCCCCAAGCCCTCATCTGCCGCACCGGCTCCCAGCACAGCCCCCGGCCCTGTCAACCCTGATCCCGGTGTTGCCAACGTCGGTGGACAAGCAGCTGGTGCTCCAGCGGGAGGCTCGGAAAGCTCCGAAAACACCAAAGGTATTTCTGGCGCTCTTTCCGGCACTTCCGGTGCCACATCTGTCCTGGCCAAGCCCAACACCGTCATCGTTGGCGCTGCCCTCGCACTTTTGGCCTTCCAGGCCCTCTAGACATGATTCACGACTTCACCCCGCCACCCTCCATACCAGTGGTCGTGCATCGATAGCTTACCGGCATTTTTTTATTCATTCAGTATTTGTCAATTCTTATATACTGGTCGTTGGTAGCTGCCACTGGTAGGCATATACCAACAACCGCGGGCTATATACTTGTGTTTCCAGTCGTACTGATCGTACTTAACATTGTCTTTGGCGTTGGGCTAGACCCCTTCACAATATACTCAAGTCAATTGCATTTTCCAGTGATTCACTTGGCTTACTTTTGACCTGAGCATTTGAGCTAGCAGGATATGTTAGTAGGATGATTGGCCGATGAATTGAAGGAAGGTCGAGGATATACTTGTAATCTTGGTAAGGTCAAGATGCAATCTCGAAGGCGCCTATCTAGACGCCGGAGTTACAAGGCCTTGCAATTGATTGCCGCCATCCATGACGGGCATATTCCCACAGGCTTTTTGCTCTCTCCCCGACAACAGCACCGACGACGATGCGCTGCCCCGCCCACAGTAGCCAGCCTCCACTCTCCACACGTGATGTTCACTTCGCGTTCGTTACAGTGTGACAACAACTTGTTGTTCTGCTACGTCCACCATGCTCTCAGCATTCATTGTTTCCATCCAAATGTTCGCCACAATTGTGGTTCAAACCTTCTGCCAGCAATGGCTTACTATCTTAGAGGTCGTTGGCGACATCAAGGTCGTCGTGGCCGAGGCACTCGAGTTCACCGCCGCCACTGAGCCACTCTGTGGTTTATGCATGGTGGTGATTCTCCTGGGTTGCTTCCAGTTCACACACAGTCCTGTTTATGCTCTCGTCCTGACTGTCGTCCTTGTGTTGGTTGTCTGCGCGTTTATGGATTGGGCAGATAAGCCTACCGCAGAGACATCCACGCATTTGACGCGTCATGACGCCCTCCAAGGTGCGCGTTTCTTCGGTGCTTTCACATTGATGGTACTTGTAGTTGCTGGTCTTGTCTTTGCTGACTGGACCGTGTTCACCAACGCCATTAACGAGTTCAAAGTCGCGATATTGAATGGATTCTTCCTGCCTCTGGGACATTGGGTGCGTGCTACTTTCCCTCCAATCATCGGTAACTTATTATTGCGACTTCCAGCTATACCTTGTCTACTGCCACTTCCGTAATAACCCACAGAAACTCAGCTACACTATCAAGATAATTGCCAAGATGGTCGCGGACGTGTTTCTCGCGATGGAAGGACCACGGCAAATGGATGAAGTCGTCGAAGGTGGAATTCAGTGGCTTTCGAGCTGCTACCGACCAATTCTCACCGCTTTATATCGCGTACAACCCTTGTCGCGCTCCCCTTTCAAATGTCTCGTGTGGCGCATGATGCATCGAGGACATGAAGAGTATCTCGACCACCCAGAAGCGCTCAACAAGCATATCTGGCGAGCCACGAGATGGGCAATTCCTTCCATCGACCCCAATATGCTCTGGTTCCACCCTCGGCCTCTCGGCCAGGGAGGCTTCGGCTGCGTTGTCAAGGCATACTGCCCCTTTACTGGTGAGTATTTCGCGGTCAAGATGATCCCGCGGCGTGCAAAGTCGCGTGAGGTAAGGCGGATGGTAAGAAAGGAGGTCATCTGCATGCAAACGGTGCAGGGCCTGCCTGGGTTCGCGACGGTTCATGGTGTGTTTAAAGACAACCGCAACTTTTATATTGTCATGGTCTGTCCCTTCTTGGTCTGAATATGGATTACTGAGCCCTTTTCAGGATTTCGGTGACTTGACCTTAAACGACCTTCCTCTTGAGGAATATACTTTTGAAGAGCGCATTGGGTTTACTCGTCAGCTGGTATGTCACTCATGTCTCTGGTTCTCGTTGTCTTATAGCTTTTCAGGCTACAGCAGTGCAAACCATGCATGAGAAGGGCATTGTTCACCGTGACATCAAGCCCGACAACATCCTCATCAGCAATGACCGCTTAATGGTGGTCGACTTTGGGCTGGCCCAGAACTTTGTCCATCCGATCGATATGCGCCGTGGGCGATCCTTCTGGCCCGCTCGCAATCGGGGCATCTCTGTCGTTGCTGGGTCTCCTCAATATATGAGCCCTGATGTTGCTGCTGGAAAACCATATTCTTATGGCGCAGACCTCTACCCAATGGGCATTGTTATTCGATGGCTCCTCTCTGGCGCTGTAAGAGTTTTGTTTATTGACCCTGCTCAATCTGATCTGGCTCCAGCATCCGGAAGTCGACAAGCTGGCTTTAGTCAGTGACCTTGACGGCACGCAACTTCCCGACGAAGTCGATCACTTCCTCCTCAAAGTACGTCGTTCGACTGTTTTTGATCTCTGGGGTTCTTACGAGTGTCTAGATTTTCGCCTTTGCGGAGGGGACGCGGCGATTCCGCAATTGGGACGAGATCAATGCGCACGGGCTCTGGTATAGTGTTTTCGATGCACGGTGGTTCAGCGACTGATATTAATCCAGGACAGCCAAGAAGGAACAATAAATTCTCCCGATTTGTTTCCCTGTTGTTTGTTCGCTCGCTGATACTCAATTGATAGGTTGATTGCTTATGCGTATGGAATTCCTGCTCCTACACGATGCTTTGCTTCCTTCCATACCTTGACCAAACTTTTCACTGAGTCTCCTTTTGACCACAGTCTTTTCGCGAGCATACAAACTTTCTCGACGCTGCACTTCACTATACTCATTCAGCCGACATTCATTTGAGACGCGCTCTTTCGTCCTTTTTTTATTCTTCTTCCTACTATCTTCTGCACCAAACATTTGCTGACCCTCGTTTGTGGTCCTGTCTTGACTCAAAAAAAGTCATTTGGTCGTGTCTGGTTCTGGTCACATTCCGCTCCACCACAATTTTTTCCGCTCCTCACATTCGTTTCTTGCACCAGATCCACGAGCGACTTTGTTCCGCTCTTGCTTACTGTTGTCGGGCCATCCACTGTTTTACACCTTGTCTTCGGCCGACTGATGCGACATTCATTCTAGGACATAGATGCCCCCGCCCATGGCACGCTACCTTCGTTTGAGCAACACAGGTCAGTGCCACTCATTTAGCGACACACTAGTTCATGTAGAGGCGTAGAGGTATGGAGAATCTCCATCGCGGGAGGAAAGTTTGCTGATTCCGCTCTGATAGAACGTCTCACAATACGCTGAATTGCGGCCAGGCTACGTGGAATGAGTGCTAGTTGCTCATCAAGTAATCCACGTAGTGAATGGCTACTCGAGCAGTCCGAGCTTCTTCCTTCGAGTTGGAGCTTGGTGATGCTCGAGTCGTACAGTAGAGATTCACGAACTTGTATCACGTACTAATGCACAGTTGTACCTTCGTAACTAAAGCGAGTCGTCAGCCAGCTGTAGGTTACAAATACTTGTCGCGACAACCACGATGAGTCAGTCTCCTCCACGCGTATTGCATAGGTACTACGGCAGCTGCTACATGACTCCGATCGTAAGGCGGAGAGCAAATTCAGGAAAGCTAACGATGTTTCACCGCTCAACAAAACTTTCGTCTGGTCCTGGGTTTCCGATTTTCGAGTCATAAGTACTGGCTCGATGCGCTGTATTTTAGCTAGAGCTCTATTGATATCACGACTTCCATTTGCTGACATTTCTTGTGCAGCAGAATCCGAAAAGGGAATGGTTAGCAAACTTGAAGGCGATATAAGTATGTACCATCTCCTCTCCTCCTAGTATCCACTGGTAAAGTACGCCAATAGACTGCGAGCGTATTCTAAACTATCTACTTGTTGCTGGTGCCCACCGAACTGTTGTTTGCGCTCGGTTGGCGGTAACTTGACTGGATTGCTATTTGCAAAGAATGCGCGACTCCAGACCTTCAGAAGCTCCCGCTCGCTACACAAGAACGTGATCAGTTTCCGAAAGAAAGAAAAAGAATGGTGGCTGAGCTTCAAGCCTTCAACTCACTTCGGATCCGAAGGAGTGGCCTGCGGTCAATCAGCATATTATTCGAAAGATGTAGTGGACGGCTTGCCTGTTTGCCGCCGAATTGGTAGGCCGCGCTGTTCAGCCAGCTCGATAAGAACGACATGATTTCTATGGGATCACGTTTGAGAGCCAAGACCAACTTTCGTCACACACACACCTTCTTGTTTCTGCCATTCTATGAGCCACAACCACCTGCCATAGCCGCCCTGCGATGCAACCCAGTCCCGATATTCTTTCCACATCGTCTGGCGACTTGGAAGCCGCGCAGTGCCTGTCCATACCTTGGCTAAAGCAATCGCGAAATTTTCGCCCCAGGTAAAAGTCACAACGTTGGGGTCCTGGTTCGCTCTCTGTCAGCGAGGAATGATGATTGCCTTGAATAGCATGCCTGGTTGATGAACGCCAGTGTGGGATCATCGATGTAGAATAGGTCCCGCCAGAGCGAACGGAAGTGGGTGCCGTCAGTTACTATCGGCTGTGGTTGGTCTTGCGGCCCTTCTTCGTTGCCTTTGATGGAGGAGTTGTGATATTGAGGTAGAAAGGGGAATGTGTATTGGTATCCAGTGGAGAAGATAATTTCGTCGATGTCAGAAAGAAACTACGGGGAATTAATTCAAGCTGGGCAGAAAATTCGAGTCATGCTGCATACCGTCCCATCCAACAGTTCAATCGTGTGATTCTCTGGATGGAATTGCTGGATGCCGACCACAACTTCAACGCCTTGAGGCAGTAGATTCAACAAGACAACAGGCGTATTTGATCCTGAAGAAGTGTTAAATATTCCTTCGGAAACATTCAAGTCGGCGTACGTTCACTTTGCCTCCAGGAAAGCACATTACGCTTCACAAGCGGGTTGAGATCTGCAGCAATGCCTGTGGCACTGGACTAATGTTGAAGTGGAGGATGGCGAACGCGAGCCATCGCCGAGGCGATGACGTCAGCGCCGATGCCGCCATCACCGACGCGCGACGCGTCGGGAATATTCTACCAGTTTCCCTTGACTCATTTCCCCAGAATCTACTAGAAGATTCAGAAACACTATAAATACTGTCTTGTATTCCATAGACTACATTGAATTTGTTTCTATTCTTTCAACAGGTTATGGGCCCCGCTAAGGTAGACGCCATACACGATCCACGGACCCCACGTGATGTGATGGCCGCAGCCGAATATAGTCATTACCTCCAAAATACATCGTTTCTACAGCTTTCAGTGTGAATTGGGCAAATCGGCTGCATGAATTGATGGCTATTGGTCCCCTACTACCATAAATGTACAAAAAATCCGGAATAATAAGAATTGTGATGTAGTTCAGAAATTGCATTCTTTTTGACCTGAATCCTGGCCGCGCAGCAAAGTTTGTCTGGCATGGCTATAGAGTCGCTTTTTCACCAATGCCTCGACAAAAGGCCCACATACAAGCCAGAACAGCAAATCTTCCGAAAGCAAATGCACTTCCCAGTACTCCAAAAAGAAACGGCCTCAGTCTGTTCTTACCCTGCAGACAAGGTCACGTCACTCGAAGAAGACACGCGTCGAACGCGTCGAACGCGTCGAACGCGTCGAGAATGACGAGAATCTGGCCGAGGTGAGTGGCTCTACCTGCCAATGTCAACTTCTCAAAGAATACACTGGCAGGCCAACGAAACGCACTCGGATGATCCTTTCATCTCTAACATGGGAAAATTCAAATGTGCGGGCTTCACACGCGAGCTGCTTACTCGCGCTCCCGAATCGTTTCTGTATAGCGACGAGCCAATCTTCGATGTGGACAGCCTAATGGACAATGAGTGGGAGCCTCATGACGATGAAGAAACAGAACAGACCGAATATGTCCATCCAGAGTTTGATGAACTTCTCGCATCTCCAGCTGGAACATTTCCCTACGATGGTTATCCACGTCCTGCACCCTCAGCAGAATATGTTGCAAAAATGAAAGAGGCTGGTCGACGCCGTGTTGTGTTTTCAGCGCCGGATATCACTTCTGCGCATGATGCTCTTGTCGACTTGCTGTTGCTGATGAAGGGTGAAATCCGAGGACCAAACAGCAAAGGATACAAGAAAACAACTTTTGATACTCATGTCCGTGCTCGACTGGAAGGCATGCGAACTCTTCTCTCGATGTATACAACCCCACGTTCAATGACTTATGAAAACTGGTCGGAGTCGGCTCTCCAGGCGGCGATTGCTGTGGGAAGGGGAAAGAACTGTGCAAGAGTGTTTGCTGAGCTTGCGCGTGCTTTCATCGAGGATCGCCGAGTGCTCCCAATCAATCCATATGGCAAATCTAATGCACCAGTGTTGAACAACGAGGACCTCGATGTAAAAGTTCGTGTGGAGTTACTCGGAAAAGAAATTACGGCGGAAAAAGTGCAAGCAATCGTGAACCGACAAGATATTAGAGAGGAGTTTGGCCTCGGCTCGCCTATCAGCCTCCGTACAGCACAGCGATATCTCAGCAAACTGGGTTTTGTGTGCGTGGTTCCAAAATGACAACATTGCAAGTCAAAGCTCATTGCGTACAGATTTGGATATGCGAAAAAAGGCCAGTACTCTGACGGACATGAGCGGGAGGATGTTGTTGTTTATCGAGAAGAAACATACCTTCCAACTCTCAAAGATTTTGAAGACCGTTCCTATGTCTACCACTCTGATGGAACTATCGACATCCCTCGTTTACCGCCAGGTGTCCGTCCTACGTGCATTTGGTACCACGATGAATCCATCTTCTATGGACATGACAGACGGCGAAAGCTTTGGCAGGATACAGCCGCTGGAGCGAAGCCATATCAGAAGGGCGAGGGAGGGTCATTTATGGTGGCTGACTACTTTTCGGCCAATTTTGGGTGGCTGCGAGGAGTGAATGGCGAGACAGCTCGACGGACTATGCGTCCTGGAAAGAATCGGGATGGTTACTTCAGTGCCGCAGACATTGAAGAGCAAGCGAGTACTGCATGTTCCATCGTTATGGCCCGCTGGCCCGAGTTCGATCATGTTTTCATTTACGACAACGCGACCACTCACTGTGCTCGTACGGCTGGCTCGCTGACAGCCATAGGGATGCCCAAGTTCACTTCTGGGTCAAGAGCTGGAGGGGCAGACGATGAAGGTGGTGGCGAGGGTGAGAAGAGACCGAAGAGGCAAGCTAAAAAGCCGTCAAAGAAGAAGCCGCCTGAAGTCGAGAATGAGACCCGAAAGAAGAAGCGGAAGAAAGCAAAGCCTACCAAAGACCCCAAAGACGCCAACTTTCTCGTTCAAATCAACAAGCTGAATCCCGACCAGACCCCGATGTACGACAAGCATGGTGAACGAGTAAAAGAAGAGATCCAAATGACTGGTGCAATGTTTGCCGACGGAACACCTCAATCACTCTATTTCCCTGCCAATGCTGACAAGTATGCTGGCAAATTCAAGGGTATGGCGGTCATCTTAGAGGAGCGTCGATTGCGTGGGGACCTGGGGTCAGAGATGAAGAAGGAAGAGCTGGCAGGAAAGGTCAGTCAATGCAAAAACTTCAAATGTCCCAAAATTGCCCCAGATAAGCAAGCAACATGCTGCATGCGTCGCATGCTATTCACTCAACCCGATTTCACGAATGTCAAATCATGTCTTGAAGCTGCATGTGGCCCCTTTGATGTCAAAATCCTTTTTCTACCCAAATTCCATCCGGAACTCAACCCGATAGAAATGGTATGGGGATATGCTAAACGTGTCTATCGTCAGTTCCCGGAATCCTCTGGCGAGGAGGCCTTGGAGCGTAACACTCTTGCTGCACTTGATGCAGTGCCTCTAGATTCCATGCGACGGTTTGTTTTGCGCGCACATCGATTTGCAGATGCATACCGAAAGGGATTGGATGGTTCCCAGGCTGCCTGGGCTGTGAAGCGGTATAAGGGACATCGCATGCTGCCTTCAGAGTTCCGTGAAGAGCTTGAAAAGGCAGAGCTGGAAGCAAAAGAGAAGGCCGAGAAGGCACATCGTTGAGTTGATAGTATAATCTAATCTACATCGTCAATTCTTATTATTCCGCGATTTTTTGTACATTTATGGTAGTAGGGGACCAATAGCCATCAATTCATGCAGCCGATTTGCCCAATTCACACTGAAAGCTGTAGAAACGATGTATTTTGGAGGTAATGACTATATTCGGCTGCGGCCATCACATCACGTGGGGTCCGTGGATCGTGTATGGCGTCTACCTTAGCCATAACTAAAGACCACGACATCAACACTCTCCTTGCTGCACCTCCCACATTCCCACTTGACACATCATGTCAGACTCTACGACCTCGACTTCTCGCAACGTCATCAAGGCCCTTGAAGGCCAGGCCGGCTACGCGACTTGGCGCGTGAAGATCCTCGATTTGGCGAATGAGCACGACTTGGATGAGTACCTCATCGGCGATGAGATGGAGCCGCCGAAGGTAGTCAAGGCAGGGGAGCCGACGGAGGCGGAACAGAAAGCAACGGCCATATGGGTGAAGAAGCAGCGGAAGGTCTTGTCACTCCTCCGGCAGCGCGTCAGCGACGGCCCAATGGCTTATATAAACACCATGACCCTCGGCATTGCGGCCTGGAGGAAACTGGAGTCCATTTACCAGCCAAAGGGCGCCATCAGCATCATTCGGCTTCGACGCGTGCTGTATCACACCTCGTGCGCCGAGGGGGAGGATGTGGAAGAACATATCAGAAATTTATCGACTTACCGGACACAGCTTGCGGCATCCGGCAGCTCCATCGACGAGGCTGAGTTTGCCATCATCGTTTTGACCTCGCTACCGACTTCGTGGGACCATTGGGTAAATGGGATTGATTTGACGAAGATCACGGACTCCGAGGATGTTATCGGGAGGGTATTGCAGCAGGCCGGACGACCTCACGCCAAGCCGGACGCCGACACGGACATGACCACGGCGATGCCAGCGCGACGCGGAGAGGGGCAGGGCAACAGGAACGGACAAGGGAATGGGAACGGGTCGGGCCCAGGGAATGGGAACGGGAGCGGGAGCCGCGGAAACCAGAGCTGCTGGAATTGCGGGCGGCCCGGACACCGGAAGCAATGGTGCCCCGACGCCGAGAAAGGAATCACGTACACTGATCAAGAGAAGGACGAGAACTATGCTCGTGCTATGCGATACCAGGCCCAGAATGGCGGGCAGAATGGCCGGCAGGCGGCACATATGGCCCGAGAAGACGAAGAAGACCTTGTGTTCATGGCTTTCGGCCGGGAACGGCTCACGCGGAACTCGTGGCTACTGGACAGCGGTGCCAGCACACACATCACGAACGACAAATCCCTATTTCACACGTACACGGCACTCGACAATCATCGAATCTTTGGCATTGGAGAACTCAGGGCACCGGGAGAGGGAACTGTAAAGCTACAGTTCAAGATGGGTACACAAACCAAGATAGTGACACTACTATGTGTACTGTATGTGCCCGACTCACCCCACAACATCATCTCGATGGGACGAATCCACCGCGCCGGCTACAACATCGATTTCGCGTCATCAGGCGACGTCAAAATCACCAATCAGACGACTGGGCAACGGCTAGCTCATTGTTGCAACGTTGGCAACGTCTTTGCCTTCGGGAATGTCACCCCGGTCTATCCACCCAATGCGGACGACGACGACGGCTATTGGACTGCGCCGAGACTGCAGAGCAAGGGGGAGCAACGGACCGATGAACCGCATCCGGAGATTAAGCCCGGATCGCCGACCCCGCTTACCCCACCGCTTATCGCGCCAAGACCGCCCGTCTCCGCCGCACCGAGCACACTCACGCCCATGTCCTCGCGCCACCCCAGTCCAACACGCGCCTCTCCGCCCCGCATTGCGCCAAAAGCAATTAACTTGGATATCACAACGGACAACATTGTGATTGGCCCGCGAACACGCCGCTACACCAAACCCGGATCAAGTCTCATCGCTCTCGAACGGTCCGAAGCGCTCGGCTCGACTCGGTTCGAGGGGGAGTGTTGAAGTGGAGGATGGCGAACGCGAGCCATCGCCGAGGCGATGACGTCAGCGCCGATGCCGCCATCACCGACGCGCGACGCGTCGGGAATATTCTACCAGTTTCCCTTGACTCATTTCCCCAGAATCTACTAGAAGATTCAGAAACACTATAAATACTGTCTTGTATTCCATAGACTACATTGAATTTGTTTCTATTCTTTCAACAACTAAAACACCAAATGAGCGAGAATAGAATGGAAGACAGGCTATAATGATGTACCCCGGCTCCAACAATCAGAACAGAGTGGTTGGCAAACATTTCAGGCCGCCTATATTCGCGGGAGTGGAGAATGGACTCCGGGTATCTGCGGTGCCATTCAATGAGTCCCGGAATGTTCGGTATATTTGGTCCGTTGAAAGTGCCCGTTGCAACCACCACGGCATCGAAATCCTACGCCAGTTAGTACAAGACACGAATAGTAGAAGAGCCAACCTCGGTCCACCATGTTTCTTTGCACGATGAAGGACCCAACCGCTCCAATTTCTTGACGGTTAACTTCCATCCATGTTCATTCCCGAATGAATCGTGTCGCTTTTCGACTAGTTCGACGCGAGTATTGTACGAGATGTGGGGACTGCGATCGTTGGCATTGATCCCATAGAATGAATAGACAGAGCGGAGGTAACGCTGGAGGCTAAGGTGAGGAATATCTGTTGACAGCTTAGTGATAAGAACGAGTGTGATGAAGAACAGTCTAACTCCAAGGACTCCCCGGGGGCCAGTCATGCCTGTTGAACTGTAAAGGCGTATGACATTGACTTTATACCGGGTCATCAGAAATTTACCTTCATCAGAGGCTGGAGGATCACTCAGTGTCGGAAAACCAAAGTCAAGTATGGCTCACAGCAGGTACATTGGAAGTCAGTGACGCCCAGACTCCATGTGGGGCGCGATGCTCCCTCCAGCGTTCGGCGCTAGTCATCCCTGTTTTGTCATCGCGGTCACTGTGATAGACCACATGCGGCAGTGGTGCGTTTGGAGGTGGCAGCGAGGGCACAAAGTCGGCCACCTGAGGGTCCACATTCGGGATTGGCGGTTGACCCTGGGTCTCATCCGAATAATGCCATACACCGCCTGGCACTTCGTCCCTTTCGAAGATTCTGACCTCCAAGCCTGCATCGACCAGTTCGCGGTATGCAATAAGCCCGCTGTAAGGCAGTTGAAAGTGAAATTCAGGGCACGAAATTACGACTCGAACCTTACACCAGCGCCAATGACAGCGACTTTGCGGATGGGCCACTTGAACTGGTGGTAATCGGAGTCGTTCCGATGCATTTGCTCAGGTTGTAGAGGGACTTGAAAGAAAGTTTGCGTCAATGCGAGCGAGAGGGAAGCGGCGCATAGCAAAAAGACGACCCATGCAGCCATAACACGGAGGGAGATACTCAACAACAATCCCCACAGTTGAAGATGTGGAGACTGAGGTTTTTATATCTGCCAGTGACAATGGCCCAGTGTTGATCATAGTTTGCTGCGCCAATTCAAAAGCCCGCAATTGGGGGAAACTGCGAACACCTGCACTTGGAGTTAGTGCTGATAAGTAACGTCACTGGCTGGGCCAGGCTGGCGAGAGAGTGAGGTCAAAGTCGGGTTTGAGTAATTGAGATTTGTGACAACAAACAGCCATCGATGCGCATGCTCAAGGGTCAGCTCATCAATAAGCACAGGGCTCGGCGCCGTTTGGGCGCCATACCGTGGTACGCGCCGTACCGGCCATCGGTTTGATTGCCGTAGCCGGAGCGCCGGATCCGGCCGTCCTACCCCCTATGCAGTCAGTAAAAACGAAAACATAATCTTGTTACTTACAAAGAGACTGACCGCTCGGAAGAGAATCAAAATCTGTATTTAGTGACACCTTCTTCAAGCTTCCTGAATCCTCGGTGACATTTATAGACGCGACATATTGTTTTTTAAATGCTTACTACTCTTGCCTTCAACTCGCCTTTCCTGACACTACCTTTGTTGAACCAAACCAATCACATGATTCACATCCGTGCCAATATTACTTCTACTCATTCGACACCACAATCCTTCACATCGCAGAGGCGTAGATCTTGAAGTATATCTCCACTGGCAACGTTTAGCTGATTCGACTCTCATATCAAGACGCTGGATTATGGCCGGACTACGTGGACTGAGTGCTCGTCGCTTTTTCAATCCACGTGGTGGCTAGCCACTCCGAGTCGTACCACAGAAAGCAGCCAGATGAATTTCCCAATTCCTCTATGAATCCCAATCTTCTTCCATCACCGGCTGCATTATCCACTCTTCGACATCTTCATCAGGGTCTTCCTCGGCCCACACCAAATCCTCATCCTCCGTGACCACACCATGAAGTTGCCCATGTCGTGGTTTTGTCACAACCACGGTGTCGACATCGACCTCTTGCTCTTCCTCCTTCATCTTCCTCCTGATCATGTCTGCTTCGTCCTCCTGTTGCAATAAATGAGCAATAAACACATGAATTGGCAGGCTTTGTTACGATATCAAACTCGTCCTCGCGCTCTTGGTACTCGACGTTCTCGTCCAGCTCTTCAAACCCGCCCGCAAAGGCACCCCAGCGTTCGGGGTGAGGTCGATGCCAGATCAGTATGTTGCCGTGGTTCGTGGTTGAAGCGATTGCCGACTTGGAAGGATGCCACTGGACAGGTTAGAAGGTGGACACTGATAACAGACAAATCACTCACATGGAGATGCATCAGCGGCTCTCGCCCACCATCCAGCGCGCTAGCAAACTGCCCGTCATTGGAGAGGTCCCAGATATATATTTTGTGATTCGCAGTATCAGCCGCACCCATTGGAATCGTCAAAAAAACAGCAAAATGATTCAGTTGGTTTACCTCCAGCAAGCCATTCGCCATCTGGACTATAGGACATTGCGTGCCAGGCGGTCTTGTTGATCGGGTCGTTGAACCGATGCATCGGCTCGAGCTCCTGGTCGATAAACTGGCTGTCCGGAGCGGGTATTGGGTGGACCGGCACGGTGAATTGCCGCAAAGTGCGGTCTGCGGAGTTGGAGACCAGATAGCGTCCGTTCTGGGTGAACTCTAGGCCTTTGAGGGCACCTGCTCCGGTGATTTTGTACCGCGCAACCATCTGAGAGGATTAGAGCGGAAGGGGGACAACAGCATGATGCTGCTCACCGTCTTGGTACGCGTGTTGAATACTAGTATCTGGCCATTGGTCGTTCCCATATAGACATGTTTCCCCGAAGGATCGAAGCGAGCGATAGTTATGGCTGAACTTGTGTGCCGTTAGTGGGGAAATGGATTGGTTCTGGGGCATACCGAACCCGGGCAGAAGATCCGCCGGCCTCTTCATCACTCTCATCCAGCATTTCGCAGAGTTCGACTCGGGAGCGATGAGCTTTGCGTTGGTCAACGATGAAAGCCTCCCCCGTTGTAAGGAGGGCAAGGATGATTTGGCTAGACACTGTCATTGATGAGCATACTCTCCGTCAATGCATACCTGTTTCGTGGATGAAACGACGCAGACACGACTGGCGCGTCGAACCGGAGCGTGGAATGGCGTTGAGCGGGAATACAGCGATTGGCTAAATCCCAAATGATCACATTCCAGTCTTTTGATGTGGTGAGCACGAATCGCGAGTGTCTTGACCAACTGTGGGGCTCAGGACGCGTCGAATTAGGTAAGCATTGCTTACTCAAGGCTAGAGACTGCTTTAACGTGCCCGTCAAGTATTCGGATGGCTGAGCGCGTTTCGAGGTCCCATATCGCAGCACTCCCGTCGATACGGCCTGTGGCGACATATCGGCCGGAAGGGTCGAAGCGTGCGAAAGAAGCCAGCGCAACCAATGAAGTTTGCACTGTAGTGGGGTGTCCAATGTTGAAGAAAAATGCCGCGTTCATGGAAGTTCCTGCGTGTGACGTCGAAGCGTGACACCCGAGCTTCATTATGGACGACGATCCTTCAGCAGCTCAACTCCCAACGACCACTCCTGGCGAGGTAGAGCACGAGCCAGAGTCTAATGTGGTCCCCCAAATCCCCCAAACTACGCTCACCTTTCTCCTTGTCTCTGGTAGACGACGGAATATGTCATTTGACCCCGAGACGACTGTGGGGCGCGTCAAAGAGCTCGTATGGAATGCTTGGCCCAGCGGTATGTCTCACATTAGCTGGGTTTATCTACCTACCTTCTTTGTGGAAACCAGAATGGCAAGATGAAAGACCTCCTGCACCGTCATTCCTGCGTATTCTTTACCTAGGGAAGATTCTGCAAGATGAAGATACGCTCTCTAGTATGTCGTTGTTGGCTACTTCATCGAGCTATGCACACAACTCGCAGAACTTAACTTGCCGTCCCATACGCCATCCTTAACAGACGAAACCCCGCCTCCTCCTCCCACGATTGTGCATCTAGCAATCAGAATGCATGCCCCTACCGCTGATGATGTGCCCAAGAAGAAGAAATCATCAAGGCGTCGACCAGCGACTACCGGTGAAGGTGCAGATAGTTCAGCAAGTCCTGAGGAAACCGAGCAAGATGGCGGCGGATGTTGTTGTGTCGTGTGCTGATGTTTTTACTTCACATCTCGCACGGCCTTCGTCATTCGCCCAAAATAGCTTTTACCCGGTAGGGATTCTGCTGTCTAGAATTCGTGGCCGGGACTGCTCTCTCTCTCCACCGACTCCGGCTCCACCATCTACCACTCCCTACTTCGTGACGCCGAGACGTATTTCCCACCCAAGCTCAACTTGGAGGCCCAGACACCCGCATGACTAGTTTCGCTCCTTCGCATTCCATTCCTCCTCCATCCTGCATCTTGACGATCCCACGTTGTATTCCTATTCCTACCTCATACCCATTACAGTCTCTTCGGCTTCTTTGCATATAATTGTCCCGCCCTAACTTCAAAATTAGTGCCCTATTCTTAATTTGCGCTGTCCAGTCATTCTTCACTTACGACCCCTTCACGCTTGCTACCTACCATCCTTGCGCGCAGTTTATGGATTACTCACTTGCCACACGCTACAAGAGACAAAAATTCGGACCAATTTCTGGAATCAATGGTGTACATTCCCTTAACCAGGCGGACTGGATTCTTGCTTATTCGTAGAAGCTGCTTCAGTGTCAGGAAGCCTGATCTCATGCCTGTCGCATCCAGAAGTGTTCGATTGCGTGGTTGGACGGGATTCGTCCACGGGTCAAACATGTCTTCTCTTGCTTCCCGTCCAGTACATACTTATTAGTCTGGAGTTGCACAAGGCTCTCAACCTGATGTCTTCTTTGAATGTCGATTGCCTATGCCCGGATCGAAGAGTCAAGACACAGAGGAATGAACGACGCTGGTGGAATACTGAGAACTTGCGAGCTAAACGATACAACTTGAAATGTCAGAGTGTTATCTCCAGTAGGTGCAAACTTGAATACGCCAATAAGTTAGATCCTTGCAAGTGCGTCTGACCATCGGCTATCCAGCAGCTTGGACCTGCCTTTCCCTCGCCCTCGCCGTTCTCAAGGCCGAACGCTTAGTCGGTTGGGGTGCACCTATTCTTCTCCACTTGCGAGTATCTTGAGGTCGGTTGTCGTAGTTCCTATTGATTTTGTTGCTGCCGCGAGTCAACTGAACAAACGTTGCGAATAGTAGCGGGTGAGTTTTTCGATGTGAGTTGTGGTAAGGAGTCCGTGGAGGGGTTCGACATCGTATTGGAAAGATGCCTCTGTGGGGATGACCGATTATGCTCGAGAAGGTCTTCCATGTCCGAGTCGTGCACATGACCTTGTCAGTGAGGTGTTGATTCTCGAGTGCCTGCAAAAGAAATTGCAAGACCACTGTTGCGAGCATCGGCGAAGAGTGAATGGCCGTCGGCACCAGAAAACAGAGGGTATGGTTCCATCCGGGAAAAAGTTGCTGTACGGCGACAAGCGTCTCATTCTTATCTGAACGTAGACATCGCCCCAAGCGAGTCCAAAGAGCGAGTCATGTTTGGTGGTTTGTCCAAAGCGCGGTCCTGTGACCCGTCACATCCCGTCACAAAGTTGGATTTATGCCGCAACGACGGCGTCGACCCACGACCCCACCCTCACCCTGCTCCAATGTCTTCAATCCATTTCCACTTTCAACTTGACGAACAAGAGCGACGCTCTTTTACGGCTTATCGGCTCAGGCTTCCCGAAAATGATGTACCGTTCGAGCGCCTCCCTGTTGCCGTCGACAGTATCTCCCTTTCTTGCAAAGATGGATTCTTCAAGAACCGTTTCGGAGACGGCCGTCGCTTCCGCTCTAATCTGGGGAGCTTCAAAGAATGGGGTCTTGAGGAGGATGAAGTGGAACCGCTCTATGCCAAAGCGTGTGGTCCGGATGGCAGTCGTTTCTACGTGCGACTGATGCCCCATGCACAACATGCCACCCAGGTTTGCTGCTCGTCACTTCCATCTCTTCGATGCTACTGCTTATTTACTTCTCCAGGACGATTCGCTCCAAACCTTTCAGATGTACAAGAAAATCCTTCGTGACGCGCGTTTTCATTCGAACCATCTGCTTGGTGCGGCCGGCCGAATTGTACCGCATCACTATGGCCTTTGGTATATGGAAACGGGAGATTTTGCTGGGACGGTTTTCTTCAGCCTTGCTCAGTGGTGTGGGATCCCCTTCGCAAACATCACCTTCCGAAAACTTGATACCGAAGCACTGAGGCAAGTCTTTTTTCTCCCCATTACATGAAGGCTGTGGACCAATTTATTCTTGCAGAATACTCGTAGGCCGCACATTTGAAGCACTACACGACTACGGCGTCATACATTCTGGCCAGGCTCTAGATTGCCACCTTTTTGACAAGGCGATGATCGACACCGACGATCCAACACTTAGGGGAAACGCGCTCCGTAGTCCCGACCTGCGGTGTTACATCATCGATTTTTCTGAAGCCACACCGAACCACAAATGTGCTCGGAAAGTTCCTGTCCTGCCTTTAGGGTCGCGCATCCGCGCACGCGATACTGGCTGCCTCGAGATAGGCTACATTCTCGTTCTTTTAGGCTTCACGAAGCCGTCCAACGACGTAAACCATGGTATACCCGCCCGTCGTTCCTCGTCAATCTGCATTCTTACTTTGCTATCATCAGAGCCGTCGTTGCAGTCCGCAGTTGAATGGCATACCCGTTATCATAAACGACATCCTGGAGTTGAAAATTCACTCGCGATGATAGCCCAAAGAGAAAAGCTCTATGCCAATTGGCCCAAGCTTTACCCCAGTCGAAGCTATCATGTCATCAATCCAGACGATCAGTATCCCAAGGTTGAACTTGTGGAGCAACCTAGACCTCGAGCGAAGGTGCAAGTGGCGAAAAGGCCAGCAAGGAGACGTCTACGTTCCAGTTCTGAAAATACAAGTGAATAGTCAACGACTTGATTGTAACATATTATGTGCTAAATGGATCATCGATGGCGCTCCAACCACGCAAAGTAGGCATTGAGCTTTCCTTGGGGCGTTGGAGTTTTAGGGAAGAGGGCTGGGTACCCGTTTATGAACGCGTCAAGTTGGGCAGCACGCTCCTCCGCGACCACCTTTCTCCTCGCTTCATGGTCGTCTTCGGTTGCGTTGGTGCGGACCTGTTCCATAAGCTCGAGCTCCCCAATCTCATGGAAGAACTCCCTTTCTCGGAAGCCCTGTGGCGGTCTTTCGAGGACACCGCAAGCCGCAGAAAAGTCGCCAGATTTGGTCTCCACGGCTTGGTCAATGGCGACAGTGAGTTGCTCTAGCGGGAGGGTTGTCGGCGCTGGAAAGAGATCCAGAGGTAGAGGGCTCGATAGCCGCCGCGTTGTCAAGTCACACATGACCTCGAGATGCTCGTGAATGGCGTCTATGGTGACATTTCTTTCGCCGAGCACACGCTGGATTTCGCGTTCAACGGCTTGGGGCCCTTCAACTTCAAGAAATTGAGACGCTACTCGGTCCCCACCCACACGCACTTTGGCCTCCCATGACGAGCGAGGGGAGGAGGCGCCAGCATCAAGGACAGTGCGTCTACGAACCCAAAGCCCGCCCAGAGTAAGGCGTGAATCGTTGCCGTCGTAGTAGACGTCGCGAATAAACTGTATAGTCGCCGGTTTAGTTTGTCGCTTGAGGGCATCCAGGAAAGCTCGTGTCGGGATGAATTTCCTTTCGATCTCAATCTTAGAGAGAAGGACAGACGCAAGTCGCTGAGCGGTCAACATGGTTAAGATCAGCTGAGTGATGCCATCAACGCAACATCTCAAAACAACTCTCATGTTCGACTACTTACTACTCAGTCCATATGCGTGGTATTAAAAAGCCTATGGCCTGTGTCCGTTGTACCCTTCCCAGTGTACTTGTTCTGCGAAATCCGCAACGCCACAACACCAACCTTCCCATCGCTTGCCAGAATATCCCCCATAACACCAGTAGAAAGTGATTCTACTTGGACTACACCCGCAATGACGACAACCCGGACAAGGGGGCTCACAGCGCGAATATGCCGCATGAACTCGTCGATTGACTTTCCGGTGTTGACGACCGAGTCAACGAGCAGCACGGTCTCTCGTCCGTCCAAGTGTTCGCGCTTGATGTCCTCAGGGTTCTTCGCGTGGACACTTAGAATGGTGAGCAGACTTGCAATCAAAGCGAATTCAAACTCACAACATCGCCAGAGGGAGGGCGTTGAAAACTCCAGCCGCCATTGGTTCCCCACCACGCATGAGCGCGACGATGACGATTTTGTCGGCTTTGAAGATACGATGGCCCGTGGTCGGTTTCCCTTGCACGTGTCGGATGGACGTCTCCTCCAAACCAAGTAACTTGGGCAATAAAATCGTCGCTAGATTCTGTCCAACGGCTCGATGCGCCTTTTGCAGCGCTGGACCAGCAACATCGGCATCGCGCATGGGGGTCATGAGCAGCTTTGCCCATTGCTCTTCGGTTGCATGCAATACGCGGCGGAAACTCAGCTCTCGGAGGACCGCGTCGAGGAAGTCGGGTCTGGTTATATCGACAACGGGCAACAAGTTGGTGTCCAAACGAGGACGAACGGTGCCCGGGAGCAAACACTGATGTGCTTGCAGGTCAAAGTTGACTATTGCGTCGCGCAGCCTGGACTCCATTGATTTACTTCGCGTCTTCTCGTCACCAACGACAACTATGGCCGTTGCAGCTTCGCTCATCATCGGGACATCGAGAACGCTATCGCCGAATGCGCAAACAGCCAACCGATGGAAATTTTGGAGTCGAGCGATGATTTTGCGCTTGACTAGAGGCGTCACGATGACTTTGCGCTCGTCTTGGATGCGACCACTTCCAATCACCTTGACCAGGTTGGACAGACCCACCGCTTCGATGATCTTTTCCCAGACGAGGCGTAGTCCGCAAGTGACGACGATCGCCCCAATACCACGCTTAGCTGCCTGGTTCAACAAGGACTGCATTTCTTCGCGAATCCTCGTCTTCGATGCCACCTTCTCGCACACATCACCAAACACCTTTTCGTCGATTCCGCCGTACAAAATGGCTGCTTGAACAAAAGCCTGATGCGAATAGCCCATTGGGCTGCTGAACAACGCCTTCAAGGGGTCAGATCCTGACCCCATCTCCCAGAACTCGGCGCACGAATCGCCTGCGATGAGGGTTTTGTCGCCATCCAACACCAAAATGGCGCTGTTATTGGTATTGGCTCCCTTGAACCCAGCAACAATTTCGTGGAGTAGCCCCTCTGCGTGCGCGAGGTTTTGCGCTTTTGCGGTCTGTCGTATGCCTTGAACGAGAGCACCGACTTGGTTCTCAGAAGCGACAGCGAAGACGATTTGGTTCTGGCGACAAATAGGACGGAGCTGCTCGATTTCAGCTTGTTGCCACTTCTGGATGTGGGTTTCGGAAACGGTGGTACGATTCCGGGAACTGTCGTTTGCTCGGCGCTGCACAACTTGGACAGGAGAGACGTTGAAGTAGATGATATGGGTATAAACAGACGCGTCGCCGTCCGTCCATACGTTTTGTCCAGCAGCATCCCCTTCGTTGTCCCAGAACATCAAGTGTCCAGCAACAACACCAATCTTCCCGCTCGATGTGCACTCGCTTGCTATCTGTGCTATAGCATCCTGGCGACAAATGACTTTTTCGCCATTCGGCAAGCGTTTGAAGGCTTCGAGCCCGCCAGGTACCAGCTTGTCGAGGATGATAGAACCCTCGTAGAAGCCGAAATTTTGGTCCAGCTCGGCCTTGAGTTCGCGCAGCAAATGGGTTTTGCCGCAGCCGGGAACACCGTATATGCCGATGATGGTCGGCCGGGACTGCTCCGTTCTCGCAGACTCAGAGCGAATGGAGGATAAGAACATGGAGGAATTCATAGTAGTAGGTTTTCAACTTTGTCCTTTGCAAGGTGGTAGCAGCTTGGAAAGGGCGGGGGGAGTCATAAAGCTAGTGGCCCTGATGTCTTATAGCGACGATGCCGTGGAATGTGGGCGTCTAATCAAATATAATTAAGACGCCGCTCGAAAGCCGGTCTCGGCATGAGGTACAACAACCCTCGACGACGTTCGAGAAAGCTCTGCAAGACGATCCATAGCGCCGGTTTGCTCGAAAGCGGTGTCGCATTGTGCGTAGCTTCCTCTTGTGTGGCTTAACCTTTCCTAAACGGGCCACTTCTTAGCGCCCACCGAGCGTTCGAGGCTGGTTCGCGAGGGAGTGCAGAGGTGCCAGAAGCTTGTTTTTCACGACCGCGTCTTGGTTAAACACCGTCAGAACCACTCTATCGCAGCTCGTCGAACAAAGAACCAGGTTAATTCGCCAGGCACAAATTGCACGTGATCGTGCCTCCGCCACATCAACTCAATCGTCATCCCCTGGGCCCGTTAAAAAAACTATGTGAATCCAATACGAAAAGGGAGATCCCATTGTCAGCTTTGGCTCGGAGTGTCAAGTACTACAGTTACTCCACAAACCACTCCCGCTCTCGCACAAATTTACAGCTTGGGCTGTGAGCCCAAGTTGAGGGTGATCTTTGCGCTATATGCCGCCGTTGAGCGCTGGTTTCTGGACCGCAAGAGCTGCATTGCACAGTAAACATAAGTGCTAAGTAGACTGATGAGAAGGAGAGGTCCCCAGAGGAAAAAGTGGATCCATTTTCAACGAAGACAGTATTCGGAAGACTGACGCCAGTGCCAGTTAGCGAAGCGTTAGGAGGAGAGCTATGAGTTGAATACAGTATATGATAGTTTGGGCGTGCTCGAGAGGCTTGTTCCAGTGTTGTGCAGCGAGTCCGAGTTCAAGATCAAGCATCTGATGGATGAGTCATTCCACGTGATATCCGCTACCATGGTCGGGCCAACAACTCCAGACAAACGACTCCTCTGGCATCCACAACAGCGAAACAAGTTTGTCGTTGGTGGCGGCTCTCAGATTACGCTCTATGAATGGGCAGCGGAGAGCCAAGAGATTCGACATGTTACTTCCCAGCACGACCTACAGTTTATGAAGGTACCAAACTCCCGCTCCCGACGCGTTTTCTGACGAGCCGAGACTTTTGCCTGGTCTCCCGATCCGGCATTCGATGATTTGGTCGCTGTGGGGCTGAGTACCGGGCGAATTGACCTGCTCAGATTGGAGGCATCTCGGCACACACGCAAGACTTTGGCTGGAAGCAGTGTGTTGTCGGGTGGGCCTATTGTTTCGCTTATGCCGCGAAGCTCAAGAGCATGCAACTCCCTCGACTTCTGCCGTGTTGATCCCAACTTCCTTGCGGTCGGTTTGGATAAGGTTCGCGGAGATTCGAGCTTGGTACGTGTTGTAACTCTGCCGCTTGAGGTTATGGACTCAACATTTGTATGGAGGTGATATACGACATCATAAGCGCCCGCAGCAAACTATCGCTGTCTCTTTCACTTGATGATGACTCCAGTAGCCTTGTTCCGCCAGCCAGACCTGGCCCCACCATTCCCCGATTTGAAATCACTCCTCGAGCAGACCAGCGGACAGTGCAGCATCATGCCCCAACAGAAGTTGTCACCGCCGTCTCTTATGCCTCCAACACAAACCACCTTGTGCTCGCTGGAATGTCGCATCGCTGGCTGCGACTTCTCGACATCAGGACGGCGACTCCAACGGTCACGAGTGTAGCGGCCAGGGTGCAAGGTATTACAAGTGACCCATTCGACACACATCGCATTGCAACGTTTGGAGACGGGATGGTTAGCGTGTGGGATGTTCGCAAGTTGACTGGCGGCCCTTTGCTCGCGTTTACAGACAAAGACGCAAGCGCAGATGGATTTGGACTTCAGCGATCGCCGTTGATGGTATATTCTGGCATTGAATTCAGTCCAACGAGGAGAGGAACGATAGCCACTCTCCATCAAAACTCGTCTTATGTCCGGTTCTGGGATACTCTCGCGACAAATGCGCGCTCCAACTCGAGTGAGGGCGGTGGCGGGGCGTCCGGCTCATCAGATGGGGGTGTAGGAGAGAGTTCTTCGTTATCGAGTCGGCTGACGCGAAAATCATGGACGGGACTGCCCTGGACTGCTGCTGCGCCAACTACACCTATGGGTGGAAGTCAGGCATCAGCTCGAGAATCAACGCCATTGGTCCTCAGTGATACGCGACGCAGTACGTTTATTTCCAGACCTGACCGATTCTCATACTGTGATAGCAAAGCTCTTTCCTAAAAGTTTATCATCGTTCGCCCTTGTTCCCTCTGACCGCGCGTCGTTGACCTCAAATATCATGGTCGTCAATAAAGATGGCGATCTGGAGCTTTATGCATTACACGACACGCCCAAGCAAGCTGTTTGGAGCGGGCGGGGGGACTTTGTAATCAGTGCTGGGAAGACATGCCGTATTTTCTCCGGTGTTATGGAGGGCGAAGCAGAGTTAGAGCAGGAGTTCCTTCAACAACGCGATCAACATTCACAAGCGCAGCAGCCGCAACAACTGGACAGCAACGAGCGTGAACGGTCACGGTCAATGGCAACTGAAACGACAGAATCGGTCCACAGCATGAGTTTCTCGAGAGGGAGGTCGGTCACATCGCCTTTCGGAATGCCACCCCCCTTATTTGGCAGGGGCGACGAAGATGGTTTTCCTGCGTTGGGGACTGTTTTTCCTCCAACCAGGAGTGCAAGAGAATCGCCGGTTTTCAGAACTGGTATATCGGCCACGCGTCCAAATTCTGCTTCAAGGGCTCGGACATACAGCCCTGCTTCAATGCGACGATATCCAATCGAATCAGCAACAACGCTGAAAACAAAGTCAAAATCGCGGTCCAGATCAGGCGCCAGGCTAGCGGGTTTGACCTCCACAACGCAAACAGCAACAGATGAAGCAAAACCGCCAGCGGCACTAGCACCTCCTGCAAGAGCGCGGAAACTGAGTCGCGGCGCTGGGAGAAGCGACAGCAGAAATAGGGATATTGCGCACATTGTCGAGGATGACATTTCGATGGTCATGCGACGGAGGTGTTTGCGTGGGTATGGGATTGGCACAGTAAGTGTTGTTGTTGCTTCTATTCCACCATTTACTTATTTGCTCTATAGCCTTACCACAATGTTGCTGTTACCAGAGACGACGACGCGCCTGTGCCGCGAATGCTCTCTGATTTGTGGCGCTGGATGAATCGTAAACCACCCATTGATGCTTTTGTTTTGCTACGAATCTCAACATACTCTAGATGCACAGGACTTCCTATGCGTACCAACTCCACGGTTACACGGATATGACTTCGCCTACAGCGGAGTCATCGGCATTTGGGAAGGCCTTCTTCCGGTCGGAGAAAATACCACTAGCTCAAGTTTCTCGTTATCTGCGACCAACACACCCACCATAGAGCCCCTATCTTTGCTTTCCGACATCCGGGATCGCAGCCGCTCAAGGCCGCGTCGCAGCCATTCCTTAACAGCAACAGGACGAAATTACTCCCCCGCAGACGACCTTCACGGAAACTTTCACGCTGCGTTGACAGCACTAGCGATGCGATTTGGGGATGGTAATAGTGGCGTAAATAATTTTTCTGGGTTGAGTAGCACTGGGAGGTCTACTGGAATCGCGACAAGTCGACCGCTACAGAGGCAGGTGGCGCTTCATTTATGTGGCTGGAGTTTGAAAGAGGAGGATCTATGGACAAATGTGAAGCGGTGGGTTTATTCATAACATCGAAAAACAGTTAATCACGATTACTAGATGGGAGAAGGAGGGAAGCCATTCAAGAGCAGCTTGTTGGCTTGTTTTTGCTCAACATTACTCCAAGGCATTCGAGGTTCTCATGCGCAGCAATGGTCCGTTTCCGTTGAATCTATTTTCTTCTCGGCTTGATTACTGTCTAGATGAGTCTCATCATATGATGTCTGGCGTTCTTGCTGCTCTGACAGCAAATTCGTCTTCGCGCAATGCAGATCTGCGTGAACACTATGAGCGGCTGATAATTCGTCTTCAAGACCCTTACTTCCGTGTTATGCTGACACATCTTTCCTCTGGAGACTGGTCTGAAGTTCTTGACGAAGAAGTCATCCCGTTCCGCGAACGGCTTGCTATCGCATTCCAATTCCTCGACGACAATACTCTCACATCGTACCTCCGCCGATGTATACGCGATTCAGCGCAACGGGGTGACATAGACGGACTTATGGTCACAGGTCTCACGAAAGCTGGACTGGACATTTTGCAGAGTTACGTCAACCGTAGCGGCGACGTTCAAACAGCAGCAATACTCGCATCCTACGTTTGCCCCCCTAAATTCCGTGACCCGCGGGCAGATCGCTGGATTGAGGCATATCGAGATTTGCTGGATGGGTTCAAACTCCACCATCACCGTGTTTGGTTCGATGTTGAGCGAGGAGGACTGCTTGGTGAAGCTGGGACACCAGTTGCAGTGGATTGGGCTCCGCGGCAGATTGTAATGCGATGCAATTATTGCAACAAGCCAGTGGTCAATCCGAATGCTAGTCCTCGGTCTGTGCCCAAGCATAAGGTTTGTGCCTCTACACTACATTTGATGGTATCATTGATTCATTGATGCTTACAGCCGACTGTCTGTGCGAACTGTAATCGTGCGCTCCCGCGTTGTTCTGTTTGTCTCATGACGCTGAGCATCGTTCCTGATGTCGTTCGTGATGCTGAACTAGTATATTCTCCTGGAAAAGGTGTTGAAATCAGTATTTCGGATGCTCTGATGCTGAGACTTTTTCTAGATACCATCGAAGAGGCGATTCTAATTTGTCAGACTTGCCGACATGGCGGCCACGCATCGCACATCACGGAATGGTTCTTTGGGGAGGGCGGAGAAAGATCGCGGGGTTTGTGTCCAGTCGCTGGGTGTGACTGTCGGTGTACGGATGAATTCTAACTGTATAACTTGAACGACTTACAAAATGCATCTAATCAGAGTCTAGTCCATTGAACTTCCGACTCCCTACATGAACGTGGACACCGTCACGTCGCAAACTCCTGAAGTCTCGCAAATCCTCTGAGTCCAGCGAGTCCAAGAAATTGTCTCGTGACTCCGATACCAACGTAAGCACCTTGATCGCGCAATGTCCCAGCTCTGGAATCCGTCTACTGCGCCAATTCCGTCGGAGAATCGCATCGCCAGCACGTGTGACGGCTTTCCTCAGCAGACGTCCGGCCAGCAGCCAATGGACCTCAAGGCGGGTCAGTTTGGGCAAGAATCCGGCATCGTCCATCTTTAACGAATCAAACAGCTCGGCCACAAAGTCGTATCGCACCTGCCGGACTTCCAGTCGGGTTATTGATAGCTGTGCGATAGGAATCATGTCATGGCCATGCCAAGGCCCATCTAAGACTAGTGTCTGCAGGTTGGCTCCAGAATGACGGAGGAAGTGGGAGAGTTTTTCGGGAGCGATGAGTGCAGAGTCGCTGTCTTCGGTGGTCACGACACTGAGATGGTGGAGGGCAGGAAACTCGAAGAACTCGAGGACGTGTGCTTGGTCTTCACGCCATTCATGTACTTCAAGCTCCTCCAAGCGGGAGTGAACTACACGGTTGAAGGGGCCCGGGCGGAGCACCGGAACCAGTTCGAAATGGGCTTTTCGCAAGTTGGGAGTGAGTGCTAGTGCATCTACGCATTCCTCAAGAGTGTATTCAAGCCCAGTGAACTCGGTCAATCGGTCCCAGTACAGCTTGAACCCCAGTGCTTTCGTTCCATCGAATGTAACGGCGCGCAGGTTTGGCGCCAACGTAAATAACGAGTACGGCGGACTGATGGTGCGCGAGTGACCAGCAAGGTGAGTCGATATTTCTTGTAATTTGGAGAAATAAATTTCGTTTGCAGCTTTGTCAAGTAGAAGTGCCTCCCGAATATCTAGATCAACCGAGAAAGAACAGACCCTTGACGCATGACGGCGCAAAGCAGCAATGAGAGGAGGAAAGTCGATATGTGGAGGTTTGTTGGACCAGAGCTGCGGCGCAGAACATCCAACGGCGATCCGGAGAGGCAAAACTCCCGCTCTTGCGGCACACAAGTCTAGTCTCTTCGCTGCCACTCCGGCTCGCGTGCGCCAATCAGGTTCGCCACATTGATCGATGATGCAGAGGGCAATGTCTGTCCACAATCTGGGAAAGTTCAACGCAAGCTCGCGCCAACGCCGACAGATGGATGATAAGAGCAGTGGAACGGGTATGTCGCGATGAATATTTGCAACTGTGATATACTTTGGAAGGCAGCTGACGAAGATCTCTGCTAAAACTTCTGGTGGGAGAGCCTGAACAGGAAAGATGGCAGTTTCTTCCAGCTCTTGTTCAAGGAGTCGAAGTCGTTTCTTCGCGGCGTCAAGGTCGACAGTTTGTCGTACAATGAGGTCCTGGAGCTTTGAGATTTCACTTCGCAAGCTGGCGGTCGTCATGGTCGAAGGTAAAGACATGACTGCCATCAATATCAGTTCGACTCATTGATGCGAAAGTCTCGCCAGCCACAAGTTGCGCTCAAATGAGTCAAATCGCCCCAGTTATTCAGATGCCCAGATGGTCAGCAACATGAAATCGTAGAGGGATGACGCGTTGGTCCCTATTTCATGCGGCACATATTAAGGGCTGTGGGAATACGAAGCTGAAAATAGTTCGTCATTGCCGCTTAGGGATTCTGAAAGAAAACGAGGAAAGCCATGACCTCAGAGCTTTAGCTGAGCACTGAGATCGGAATGCTTGTTATCTGTTTAAGAGAGAGAGACTGGTAGGATGAAAGGTTTTCAATCATGGGTTCATGACAGACAACGGAATGATGTCTGCATTAGCGGGAATGATGCCTGACTTGCTAGACAGGCACGACAATTATAAGCTTCAGCATGGAAAGAGATAAGTGGTCGCACCTCTAAATCAAGGACCACGAGCCCCAATCCGCCAAGCTTTCTCTCTACCACTTTGCACACGCGTTATACCGACCCAAACAGCTTATATCATATTCTCCCTAGTCGTACTCCTTGATCAGGACTGCATCGCGCGAACAGGCAAAGAGATTTCGAAGAGGATGGAGGCAAAAGACGAAAGGGAAGCAATGTGACGATCTGTGACATGACGTCCTAAATCGAGGAAACACTGAGAACACAGTCAAAGAGACAATCGTCCGAAGACCGCCGGTCATCTCTGCTTTCGCCCTACGCACCTTATAAGCCTGTGCGAATCCTTCTTCTCCACGCGAATTTTTGAATGGTCTGCCTCGCTTTCGTTGGTTCTTCTCGGTCATCTAAAGTATAAAGAGCGGTGGGCCGAGTCTCCGTGGATTGTAAAGGTCAAGTACCAGACTTCTGGGGCATTGGTACAACCTTTTAAAGCCGCGATTGGAAGCATTACCCGATATCACCGACTTCCCGTTACTTTCGGTTCAGTTGCTTTCGAGGTGGGGGCGGACCGGAAGCCAGGGCCGATGAATCTGGGCTGACAGGGTCTGTTTAGGTTCCCTCGAGACGGATTAGACACGTTGAGGGAAAGAGCAGCAAGCAGATGATTTGAAGGGGCTGATTCCAAGCTGATTCAGGGCGGTGGATTGTGTTGATATAAGTAGCACCACGCTCCGAAGTTTCTGTCAGGCGAAAAAGAGAGCGTCCGATCAAGATTGGCAGCCCGTGCGGGCCCAGAGATATCGAGTGCCTTACTTATAAGCCGTTGAGAGTTCTTGTTGCAATCCTTGCCGTGCCCCACCATGTTGGTCTGTTTACGCTTGTTTACCAACGTCCTCCCACCTTCCTCGACCATTGACCATTCCTCCCACCGCTCGTCTCTCCCTCTCTCTGCCCTTTCCATACAGCAGAGACATTACGACTCAACTTTACATTTGGTTTTGGATTGAAGGGAAAACCAGCGGCAGTTGTTAAACGCGAGTTCATCAGTCCACCCAACGACGAGACAAGAACATAACATCTTATCTTACCGACCAGTCCTTTGCCCGTTGTCCATGAGTATATGGCTGCAATGAAGAAAGATTCAAAGAAAAACGCCACGACCAAGAAACAAGCCGACGCGTCTCCCCATGAAGACCGTTCCTCCTCCCTATCACCCGCACCCACTCCCGCCTCACGCCAGTCCACACCACTCAGCGAACTTTCCCCACCACCAGACGACGATGAAGAGGAGGAGCCAAAGACCGAGCCGGTGGAGAAGGAAAAGCCGCAAGACACGACATCGTCCCCTGATCAACATCAACCCAAACCATCCACTTCCCCGATTGCCAACACCACAGCCGAAAGGCCATCACCTACACCGGACCAAAAAGTGGGCAATGCGAAGGTCAAGGTTGTGTTGGAGCTCAACGACGAGCTAATAAAGTGCGTGCATCACATTCGCCAACACCCGTCGATTTTGATGGTTTCTTGTCCCTCCCCAGAGCAGTCCTTGAGCTGCAGACTCGTCGGATTCCGGTCACGGATCGACTTCACCAGGAGTGAGCCTTCTTGTGCCTTGTCAGGCCGACTATAATAACCTTCAACCCAGGTATATCACTCGGTTGGAGTCCAATTTGAACTGGGCTGCTCGTGCGAGCGAAAACAAGCCTTCTATCTTGCCCATCATGGACCCTCCGACAGCAATTGAACTGTACGCTGCCGACCGGATTGAGCGAATACGAGAGCTCTACGCTGAACTTCCGACTGCCTTTGCGAAAGACATTGCTCGCCGGGTCTCCGCTTCGTCGCCGCTTAAGCGCGAGCGGACAGAGGAGCTACCGCTGGATATGGGCATGAACAAGCGGAGAGATACGGGTGAGAACAAAATGATGATGCAGCCTCCTACGGAGAGTGGTCTTGGACTCACAAACGGTTTGGGGGTGCCGTCTTTGCCTGACACGATGGACCCGCAACTTCGTTCAAGGCAGCAGGCCATGATGCAGCAACAACAAGCAATGCGTGCTCAACACCAAGCCAGCCTTAACCCCAGCCGACAAATGTCCCCACCATCGTCAATGATGCCGCAACCTGGCGGTCCAATGCCGATGACCCCAAGCAATAACAATAACGCTGTTGCGGGGCCGTCTGGTATACCTAGTAATCCCACGATGGCCAAGATGTATGAGTTGTTGTCGGGTCCCAATCCGCAACGACACGCGCTGGTGCAATTTGCCCTGAAGCAGAACCCGAACTTCCTATCGATGCCGATAAACTCGCAGCTTCAGTTTATTGCTAAACTTTACGTTCGTTTCCTACCTCTACAGTCCACAACAAAAAAAGTTGACCGTCCTCTAGCAGGCACAACAAATGCAAATGCAGCAGCAGCAGCAACAACAACAGCAGCAGCAGCAACAGCAGCAACAGCAGCAGCAGCAAGCCATGAATCACTCTCCGACACAAATGAGTCCCATGTCGCCGATGGGCCAGGCAACATCCCCACAAAACCTGATGTTCTCTGGTGGGAGCAACAACCACCCGGGGATGGATTTACGGGCGATGAGCTCGACACCTGTCCCGCCTGGTATGGGTCAAGGGCCAGGACCGATGACGCCGCAAGCGCAAAGACAGTTGATGTTGATGGCGCAACAGCGGGCGATGGGAGGTGGTTCTGGCTCAGGGATGGGTAATATGGGCTCGGGTGGTGGTGGTATGCCAGGTGGTGGTATGAGTATGGGTGGGGGTGGAATGGGAGTTGGGCCGGGAATGTCTAGTATGGGCTCGATGGGAGGTAATCCAGGCTTCGGAGGCATGGGCATGGGTGGCGGTATGAACGGAATGGGCGGTGGCGGTGGTGGCCATCAAGACCCACGGATGATGGCTTTCATGCGACAACAGGAAGAACGACGTTTACTCGCCCGCAACGCTGGTTCGTCGTCTGGGATGGGAATGCCTGGCTCGCCAATGATGGGTGGTGGCGGTCAGCCTGATTTGGCCGCATTGCGATCAAATTCGGGTGCGATGCCCGGTATTGCCCGAATAGCAAGATCACCGTCTGATGGCGGCAACGTGCCTCCGGGAATGGGCACGCCTCGAATGGGGGCTACGAGGATGCCGGATGAGTATGGTCAGCAGCGCGGCATGATGGGTATGGGCCAAGGAGGCGGCATGTCGCAAGGAAGCATCAATCCTGCAATGATGACAATGGGAGGTGGTGGCTCGCAAGGTGGTTGGAGTCAGCAGGGTATGATGGGAATGGGCATGGGCATGGGCATGGGTGGTGGTAGTGGGATGCCGAGACCGAACAGTGCTTATGGCGGAGAGCCCTCACCGTCCCCTGGCACTGGCGGTGCGCAAAACTGGGGTGTTGGCGGTGGCGGCGGGCATGCATTTGGACTCGATCCAATGGGTCGTCAAATGGCCGGCACCCCAAATCCTGGAACCATGTTGCCGCAACACAGCGAAGCCGAGTTCGACGCGTTCAATTGGGGATGACACTTGCCTTTTTCTTCCGTATTTTTGTACACCTACCTTATTGTCTGTTCATTCATGCTAACTATACCTGCTCACTCTGTATCTCTTACCGCCGTAGCTACTCGTTTGTCGATATCAAAGCAACTCATGACACTTGTCTGGTGTTTCAACGAAAAGCTGACTATTAAATCAGACGTCCCCAGACGGATCCGTTGCCCTAGCCACCGCGCCTTAGTAGCTAGTGTACTTGTTGCGATATAAATGCAGGTTCTAAAAAAATCAAATCAGACAAAGCTTTTTTTGTTCAATTGTTCCAATCAGCACAAGTTGACATGGGCGCGGCTGAAGGAAAACAAGGACGTCATACCAAGTATTAGTATGAGTATGAAAGGCTTTCATGAAACGAGCGCATCAGGTATAGCCCGCAAACGGGCTCTACTAGTATTCAACTAAGTAATTATGAAGTGTGATTATGTAATCGAGATTAGTTGTGTCATAAGATAACCTATTGCACGGCACACGAGCCACCAGCGACCAAGTAGGCGAGAGATTGGACCTTCTTTACCCGCGATTCAAACTTGGCATTCGTCTTCATGCCCTGCTCGTACAGCCCATTGGTCAAGAAGTTGCCCTTGGGGATGTTCTTGCAGAGAATGTCCTGGTGGCGCTTAGCGAGCTTGAGGTTGTTGGTCGCAGCGGCTTGATTGACGACGGCGTACTGCTGGAAGCTGTCGGTCAGATCGAAATCTACGTGGCTGGTTCAGACAAAGGCCGAAAGCTGTAGGGACTTGAATACGCACCGACGGGGCCGTTCAGAGGACCGGAGATCATCACGTTCTGGTAGATCTGCTGAGCTTTGGCGAAGAAGGGGTGCTTCTTGTTAATTTCGATGCGCGGGTGGTTGTTGTAGTCCTGGAACTGCAAACACCGTGAGTTCGATGCGGTTCAGGGGCTGGAGTCACTGACGTCTTTCCAATCCTGAGTCTCGCCAGGGAAGTTGAACACCTTCTGACGCGTGCCATCCCAGGCGTACTCTTAGTCGATCTGTTAGCCACTACGCAGCGCCAAAAGCAAAGTGGAGTAACACACCAACCACATCGACTTTCGTGGGCTTTGGGCCGGGTCCGGGCTTGCCATAGCAGGCAAATTGCGCTAAGGCATGTCAGAATTTCGAAGGTTTCTGGCGAAGGAAAACTCACCCGCAGCCATAAGACTGTCGCTCAAGTAGAACCCGCCAGGAACCTCGGGCTATGGGGAATTCGGCATCAGATAAAAGCAACTGAGTATCACTAAGTTAGACTCACCCTGTGGTTGAAGTCCCCAAGGGCAACTGTCTTGCTGAGATCAACGCCAGACCTGGCCAGCACCGCGCCGTTGGCCGTAGTGGTCCCATGGAATAGAGTGACTTTTCCTGCCGCATTGAGATGGGTGACCGGACGTTGAGGCGGTGGAGGAGACGGAGCACGCTCTTCGAGTTCGAGTTCGCGGGCTTCGAGTTGCGCAGGAGTGCACGGGGTTGGTTTCGCACCGGCAGCAGCCTGCAGTTGGTGTTAAGCACCGATAATCGACGATCATGAGAGAGAAAATATATAGACCTTGACGGGAGCGGCTTTGACGGGGGCCTAGCGGGATGGAATTCAAGCACGATACGTGGATATGAGTGTCGCAACAAACCTTGGCAGGAGGTGCACGAGCGTCGAGCTAAGACCCAATCAGACGGATACGAAGTAACACTACAGCAAACTCACCACATCAACGACACCGCCCGCCTGAGGAAGGGGAGCTGCAAAGGCACCAGAAAGCATGCTGGCGGCAAGCACCATAGAGTAAAGGACCGAGAAAGATTGGAATTTCATGACGAGCGAGAGTGCGATGACGGAGGTCGGGTACTAGTAGGTTCAACCAACAAACAAAGAATAGCCCAAGACAGAGAAGAGGTGGAAGAAAGAGGGAGCACTGGAAGGGCCGCTGGCCGGAAGGAATGAGCGTAAACTATCCAAGAGATGGCCTTTTATACGGGCAGGGCGAATGAAATTCGAGCGGCCTAGTCCTGAAACCAACGATACGAAGAGAAAAGCAGTACCTGCCGCAGAGCGGAGATCTGAGGCCCAGGGGCGCGTCCATAGGAACTGAGGTTACCCAGTCATTCTTGCGGCTCTTTACTTACATTCAGGGATCCCTCTGTTTTCCGAAGATGGACCAAGATACCAGAACGCAAGCAGAGCGAGTTGGTTCCCTTAAAAATAGTACTTCTTGACTCTTTTCAGCTTCCCGCGTCGCTGCTTAGTAGGCGTCCCGGCTGGATGAACAAAGCCAAGTTTGCAGAGGAGCCCAATGTTTCTCAGTTTCTTCGAATGCCAATTCTCTTCAAAAGCTGATTCTCCGAAAGCCCTGTTCAACAGGGCTTTCGTTCAACAGCCTGTTGAACCTGAACTATCAGGTATCAGAATCTCGATCCGTTGATTGGCGGCGTTCCGCTAATTCTTGTCCGGGAGCTGCGTTGATGCTTTGTGATGGCAAATGAGAGGAATACGGATGCCATTCAGTAGAATGTCATCGATCGATCGACTTGACTAGATATAGCAATCGTAGTTTGCCCAGATAGGCTTGAAATAGCGACCAAGGTTCGCTGTTTGTTTGTATTGAGAAAGAGGGAACGAAAGATTATAACCCAACACACATCAACAACCACGCGTCAGACGACAGCGACCAGCAATTAATATGTTTACGTCCACTGAGGTCAGAGCCAGAACGAACGAGTTAATGGTCACAACGAGATTGCAACTTGCGTCCGTTTATCCAGTCGGGATCAGTCCAATCCATATCTGTTTCAATGTTTGGTCTCTCAGCATGCTTGACGTGAATGAGGATGGCCGCACATGAAACCAAGATGAGTAGATGATCAGCGGGTGAGCGTCCGGGCGCCTCTCAGGGACCATTTTTTCGGCCTCGTCGGCCTGATTTTTCGTCTGCCCAGGATTCTTACCGTCTCCCGGCAGTAGATAAGTTGCACCTAGCTCATAGAGTATAGCGTTCGCCAAGTTGGATCACTAGCCGAGGCCAATTTGAGGGGAATAGGTCCCAATATCGAGTAGCTGGCTGTGGGTGGCAGTGAGGCCCCGGGAAGCTCCTGCCAAGGGTTGTCCGAGAAAGTGTCTTTTTGAGGGCAAAAAATCGCAAAATCCTTGTCCTAGAAGTGTCTTTTTGAGGCCAAATTTCGAAAATCCTTGTCCGAAAAGTGTCTTTTTCAGGTGGTTTGGCGCTCTTGGTTGCTGGACAAGTGCCGGATGTGGACTGGGCAACTCGACATCCCCTTCGGCAGCCAATGGTAATGACTGGATGAGCTTCTGCGTATATTAGCCTGCAGAGTGCTCCATTCAGCAACAAGACATACCATATACAAGAAAAAATTTGGAGAAAATCGACGTCAAAAATTGCCTTTTTAGGTAATATCACGTGCTAAGCCCTGTCCGGAAGTGTCTTTTTGAGGCCCAAAAAAGTGTCTTTTTCAGGGCCAAAAACTGGAAATCCTGGGACAACCCTTGGCAGGAGCTTCCCGGGGCCTTGGCAGTGGCACCAGCTGAAGCACGAAGGCTCACTCGACCATAGATCTGAACGCCGATAGACAGTTGCGTTACTGAGCTAGACGACGCTTGAGACCTTGGAAGGGTTAAACTGCAACAAGTACGAGTTGAGTACGAGCTACCTTCGTCGGCCGTGTCACGTGTCAGGTCGGCGTGTCACGACACTCACATTTCTCTACCATGGTCCGCCTAGCGTCGATGCTGGGAGCCCTTCGAGAGCTACCTATTACCCTTGTCATCACTTCTCTTGCCCTCGCTTCCAATGCTCTGCCGGCCCAGAGTCAATCACCCATGTCGCTTCCTCCGCCGCTCACTCCGGACAACTTCCAGTCTACAATTGCAAAGGGCTTGTGGTTTATCGAGCACTTCTCACCCTGGTGTGGGCACTGTCGCGCCTTCGCACCGACCTGGGAGAAGCTCGTCGAGATGAATAAAGATTCGGAAAGCATACAGTTAGCACAAGTTGACTGCTCGGTCCATGGAGGTGCGTGGCATGGCAATCATCGCTAGCTGACTGAGCGACGTCTCATACTTGCTTAGACCTCTGCACCGCCAATGGCGTCGGGGGATACCCACAGATGAACATTTATCGCGATGGACAGTTCGTCGAGAAGTTCAAAGGCAGCCGCGATCTCGACCTCCTCAACGAATTTTTAAACAAACACAAACCTCGTTCGCCCCCACCACCACCACCACCAACCGTGACCCTTAATAAGAACGGCGAAGTAGCTGTCTTGACTCCAGACTCATTTCAAGGGATGGTAGAACAAGGTCCCGCTTTCATCAAATTCTACGCACCATGGTGTGGTCACTGCAAAAAACTGGCTCCAATATGGAAACAGTTAGGGAAAATTATGCAGTCGAAGGTCACGATTGGGGAGGTGGATTGTGAGGCCAATGAGAAGTTTTGCAAGGCGCAAGGCATCAGCGGTTACCCAACACTCGTTTACTACCCTCCTTCTGGCGAGAAATCCGAGTACTCCGGCGGAAGGAAACTCGAACAGCTAAAGGCTTTTGTGGAGAAAGCAAGCGCATCGTGTGTCGTTTTTTTTTCATTCCTTGCTTACCTTATTTTGACCACCCGAAAGCGCCACTCAACCCATCCAACCTGAAGAAATCGAGGCTTATGTTTCGGATAACGCTGTCATGTATCTCCTCCTACATCCCGAGAACGACAGTTATCTCTTGGTATTTACTCCTTCTACTTTTGTCTGACTTTTCATTCCTTATATGCTTCAGAAAACTATTACTCGATTGGCAGCACCACTACTAGGCTCCCCCATAATTTTCACGTCAGCTTCTCCGTCTCTGTTTGAGCGATATGCTGTCCCAAAAACTGCACCTTGGGCCATCATTGCGTTGAAAGACCACGACCCTCATACCGCTGCAGCCATGTACCTTGGTTCTGCTACTGTTGACAGTGCCTCGTCTGATCTGCCGACCTGGTTACTTGCGAACCGTCTGCCTACGTCGATGGAACTTATGCAAGATACCTTCCAGAGCATCATGAATGCCCCACATGCCCCCCTCGTCGTTATTGCGGCTGTGACCAAAGACACTCGAGACAAAGTTTCAGAGCGCTTCCGAGACATTGCGCTCAAATGGCGTGTCCATACTGCTGGAACAGGAGTATACGGTGGTCGCTCTGTCGTGTTCACGTGGATGGATGCAGACAGATGGGCGGACTGGTTAAAGAGCATGTATGGACTCAAGAAGGGCGGCGGAGAGCTAGAAGATGTCGGCGTTGTTATCGCGGACCACAAGGCTTTGCAATACTACGACACCGAGCAGTCTGGCGGGATCATTAAAATGACTTCGCCCAGTATTTTCTCGGCCCTCGAAGGTGCAGCCAGCGGCTCTATCGCTCCCAAAAACTCTGAAAACTTCGTCGAGAGAATGGCGCGGGTGAGTTTTGAATCCACTATTGTTTGAAATTGTTCTCATTTCTGGTAGTCCATGAACAAGAAGATGCTCGCCTTCGAGCATTTCATCGTTGACCAGCCGCTCTATGCCATATTCCTGATGGGACTGGTGCTCGTCGTGATCTACCTTGCTCTGCGCCGCTGCGTTGGAGATGACCAAGTGAGCGATCGGGATTACGTGTACTCGAGCAAGTCGGGTCGCTTGGATTGATTTATAGAGGGACAGTTCTTGTACTAATATGTAGTCTGCTTTGTGTATTTATCGCTGACACCAAAGAGTTTGGTGGCGGCATCGATGGCAAGTAATGCCGTCACATAGTCTACTCCATGGAAAGCTCAAGCTGAGGAGAGTAGTTGAAATAGAGCGCCTTTGGTGAAAGAAAACTGCCTGGCTGGGAGCCCGGTCGTGATCGGAAATGCCAGAATATGAAAGGCGGTAAACTTTGGTTCCATTTTTGTAGTTAGAGAAAGAGTAGGAAAGAGTTGTACTACTTGTGACCTGCTGTGACCACGATGCCTGCAAGGCTGCCCAACTTCTCTCAGGCAGACTGCTATGTCTGAATATCGATTGCCCACAGCTATCCGACCTACGGCGTATCATCTTACGATATGGACCGACCTAAACACAGCAAGTTTCGGCGGATCCGTCAAAATCATGCGAGTCTATTCTCGATGAATTGACCTTTGTTTCACACCACGCAGATTAGATGTCGTCCAAGACTCCTCTGTAATTGTCCTCAATTGCGCGAGCGACCTTCAGGTGTCGAAGGCGTGGGTGTCGACGAATCTGAACATGTTTTAATTTGTTGACACTTCTATAGCTCCGTCGCAATCATTGGCTCTGGTGCTTCAGCTTCTGAGGCATCCAACTGCACGATCTCCGACAAGAGCCCCGACCGCCTGACTCTCAGCGTGCCTTCCCTGCTCAATGCGGGTTCTAAAGCTGAGGTCACCATCGCGTTCCACGCTCCCCTGCGTGATAGCATGAACGGCTACTACAAATCGGCCTGGAAGAGAGACGGAAAGACGGAGTATTACGCGTTGACCCAGTTCCAGGTCCGTTTCTTGACTGTAGCCAAAAATCTAGTTCCAAACCTGATCATTTCCAGCCTACCGATGCTCGTGCAGCTTTCCCCTGTTGGGACGAGCCGGCGCTGAAAGCCAAGTTTACCGTCACCATGATATCCCGTGCCGACACGGTGAATCTCAGTAACATGCCTGTCGCTTCAGAAACCAGCTATAATCCGAATTCTGGCGACTTTCAGCTGCCTGAAGGCCTGTGGAAAGTGACCACGTTCGACGAAACACCGCCAATGTCCACCTATATTGTAGCCTTTGCCAACGGGCCATTCGAATTCATGGAAGATAAAGTGAAGATGCCTCTGAGCGGACGGACGATTCCTATCAGGATTTACGGTGGGATTCCAGGCTACTACAACAAGTGTCCTTCCTGATTACGTTTATCCAGCCACTCCGGATCTCGTCAGTCAAGCGGGGTTCTGCTTGGAAGTTACTGCAAAAGTCCTCCCAATCTATGAACAAATGTTCGACATAGAGTTTCCTCTTCCGAAGCTGGATACCCTAGCCGTAAGTGTGTTTGCTCTGTCTTGAATTTTCCCTCAACAGCGCACAGGCAAACGATTTCGATATGGGCGCGTGAGCCGCGCTATAACTGCGCTCCGCCTTTTGGTTGATACGACCATTTCTAGCATGGAGAATTGGGGTTTGATCACTGGCCGGACCCGCGCATTCCTAACAGACCCGACAAGAAACGACATCGGAGGGCGCAAAATCATTGCACAGATAACCGCGCATGAACTTGCTCATATGTGGTTTGGCAATATAGCAACCATGGAGGTGTGTAGAGATGTCTCCGTCTACAGTGGTGGATTCTGATAACCACGATCAGTGGTGGGACTGTCTATACCTCAACGAAGGTCAGAAAAATGGCTTGACATTTGGGATTTTTTTCTAATTGTCTATACACAGGTTTCGCTAGTCTGGTAACTCTTCCATGACATCATGGACGGCGTTGACCCACTTGTCTTTACAAAGATGGGAGAAGCAATCGCACTTGGTGCGTCCCTTGACACCACCCACTGCTTAACCAATTTTGCTCCAGATAAAGTTTTCCCCGAATGGGAGGTCAAATCTGCGTTTTTGACGCGCCATACAAGTAGTGCTTTGGCGGTGGACGCCAAACGTTCCAGTCACGCGATTGAAGTTCCCTGTCCTGATGTCGCTTTCCTCAACCAGGTATGCGGTTTGGCTTCCAGAAATCGAATCCACAACCAATTCTTCCTCGTTCAGATTTTCGATGGTCTATCCTACTCTAAAGCCGCTAGCGGTGCGTTGCCCAATTTTTCCCCTGGAGCCTAGGTTATCAACTATCGCATATTAGTCCTCCGTATGCTCTCAAATTTTGTCGGCGAGGACAAGTTCTTGAAGGGAACGTCGATCTACCTCAAAGAACATCTTTATGGCAATACCGTCAGTCGCGACCTATGGGACGGCATATCCGCTGCGACGGGTGAGTCCAATCAGATCGTCGAATGTGAAATGAAATCGGGCTAGGTCATGACATCGTGGCCATGATGGACAATTGGGTTAAACAGGCGCGTGGAAATACCTGTCTCCGACATTGGTCTCGAACAATCTCCAGATGGGATACCCCTTACTTCGAGTAACAGAAACCGCAGAAGGCATCACAGTTCGTCAAGACCGGTTTTTCGACAACGGGCTGCCAACGGAGGAGGAGAACACTACAATATGGTTCGTTGTGCCATAGTTTCAGCCTCTCGAACTGATGGCGTTCAATTACTTAGGACCATTCCACTGTCAATCCGCTTCTTAGACGAAGCTGGCCAAGTCAAGACAGACACTTCTCTCGTCTTGAACCAACGCGAGATGACATTCCCTATCAACACAAGCAAGCCGTTCAAGCTGAACAGCGATGCGATCGGAGTTTACCGTGTTCTCTACTCTCCTGAGAGATTTTCGAAGATCGCCGCAGAAGCCGCCAAATCAGACTCGATATTCACACTTGACGATAGAATGGGTCTGATTTATGACCTTGCGGCGCTATCGAGTGCTGGACTGGTCGGTATCAGCAGTCTTTTGGATGTGCTCGACAAGTGGAGAAACGAAACGACCTGTAAGTTACTACACATTTGATTGAGACTATACCTAACTGAATGATTGAGACATGGTCTGGTCAAGCGCCTGGACGAGTTTGAACAACATTATGCAGACCTTCTGGGAGTACCCCGCGATTATCACGGGGATGAAAACACTTCTCCAAGTCAGTATGCTATTTTGATTTTGTCCAATCCTGAAAGTTCCAGTAGACTCTGTTCGCGCCAATCCTTGACCGTTTGGGCTATGACTTTCCTGATGGCGAATCTGTTCAGTCAATCGAACTACGCAGAATTGCAATTGCAGCATGCGCGAAGGCCGAGACACCCAGGTATCTGCGTCTTTAACTTGCGTTTTCTTTCGGCTATCTGAACACCTTGCCACCAGCGTGATCCAAGAACTCCACCACCGGGTCATCAAATACCTCGAGGGTGACGAGTTGTCCGTCCCACCAGGAATTCAACAAACAGCTTTCGGAGTAGTTCGTCCATTCCCGTCCCATACAACCTGTATGACTAATAGTGAATCTTTAGGCTGCTCAAGTCGGTGGTCGCCTTGAATTTGACGGGTTGCTCAAACTCTGCGAAAATGCGGTCAAACCTGCCGTCAAGACCAACGCAATGTGAGTACATAGCCAACATGCCTTACACCATACGCTGATACAGAAGCAGATTGGGCATTGGAAAGACACAGGACCCCGCATTGCTTGAGGAGCTCTTTGACTACATCGCGACCAAGGCACGGGACCAAGATGTCGCATCGTTCTGTCGTGGCCTTCAAGTCAACCCTGCCGCGCGCCGAATGTTGGCCAAATTTGCGCGGGACAAATACGAAATTGTAGATCGCTCCCCGTGCACGCCAGGCGCCAGAGGCTGACCGTTTGTAGTTTAGCGACCGATTCGGAACTAACTCCATGCTGAAATATTTTGTCGAGGTATGGTGGTTGATTCTTCAAGGTTTGTTGCTCACGCAAACAAGGAATGTTTCTGTACTTTGACTACTCAGCAAGATTACGATGGCATCGAGGCGTTCTTCAAGGTATGTGTTGACCTCGAGTGCACCCGGGTTATGCTAAGCTCTCACAGGATAAGGACACAAGCCGTTATAATATGGCGCTGGCTCAAGTCTTGGAGACCATCCAGTCGCAAATTGTTGCGATTAAGGCAATACCAATCTTGATTGCTCTGATTCGTTGACTGATTCGTCACTAGCGCTCCGAGGGGGAATTATCCGCGTGGTTGACGAAATGGCAGCAGTCCTAGCGAGATTCTGTCTTGTAATCTTCACCTTGTCTCCTTCGTTGTTCGACCTTGAACGCTTTCTCCAAGCCTTGCATAGCTTCCAACCTTTCCCCCTCTAAATCAACGCTGTTTTCGCGTGCCAACCCCTTCCCACCATCTCGCAACTTGAAGTTCATTCTCTGTTTCATCATGCCAACATACCCCACTTCCCCAACACCACGCAGGACCCTATCTCTATGTTTCTGCTTTGGGGTCATTCGCGAAAAGATATGGCCAGGCGGCCGTCCCCGCTGCCTCTCAAGAGTTATCGGCAAGACCTCTCCGGCCCGCTCACGCGCTCTTTCCCGTGTTTTGTTGGCGATTTTTTCGCGCCGAGCAGCCAGGAGTGTTGCTTCTAGTTCAGGCGAGACGGGGGTTTCTGAGCGTCGTATGTCGCGCCGATTGAGAGTGTTCAGCTGGTCTAGGGATTTCTTGATGGGAGCTTGCCATTGGGTGTCGAAGACAGACTCGAAGTTTTCGCCCATGCCGAGCAGACCCTGCTCGAATCGTTGTTCTTCGAAAATGAGGTTGGAGTGGTCGATGAGTTGCTCCCTCAGAGCCCACCGTCGGTCTCGAACGCGCTTCCGGGCCATGATGATTTTTGATATTTGCATGGGCTGAGGTTTCATTCGGGGAAGCGGGGGGTTAAAGTATGTTGCTTTCATCAGCCCCCCGGTAAGTATGGGACGCGATTTGAGACGCTCCTGCCAGGCTACTTCGGCGCGGACAAGGCCCTTCCAATAGTGTTTCTCTGCTTTCGCCGCAAGGAGCCGAGAATACCGCGATAGGATTAGCTGTTGTTTTTCGTCGCCTTCATGGGCTCGTTTGAATGCTGCGAGAAACTGGGAGTGAAATTAGAAAGGAAATAGTACTGAGCTCGAGACACGCACCTTGTATCCTTTCTCCAGCTGCCGTTTGGTCTTCTCTGTCCCAGTTAAATGCTGATTCTTGCGAAAGAGAAATCGCATTCGAGTTTGAATCTGCGCACTACATAAGTTCACGCTATATCTTCAAGCCCAGACTTACATGGTTGTCGGGAGCATAGCGAAGCAGGTTGCGATACAAGGCAAGTGTGGGGAGACGGTGGATGGTCAGTTGGAAGAACGGCACACGTGGACGGACGCGTCGGAGAGGAGATATTAGTTTTGCAAGGTTGGCCCGGAAGGCTAGAGAAGAGGCCGGGATTATAGACGGGCTAGCTGCCATTCGCCATCGAAAGAGTGAAGAAGAAATGTCACCGTGACTCCTTGCTCAATGCCGCCACGAACTTGCGCTCTTTGCTCAACGAGCAGGGCGATGCTGAAGCGCCCAAAGACCGGGCAGCAGATATGCAAAGAGTGCTTCTTTACTGTGTTCGAAACCGAGGTCCACAACACGATCACCCGCGCGAAACTGTTCAAGCCTGGAGACAGAGTAGCAATCGGGGCCTCGGGAGGCAAAGGTGTGCAGAAACAACTGCGGAAGCCATCGCTGGATACTAAGGAATGCAGACTCGACAGTGCTGGCCTACGTGATGAAGACTTTGAACGAGCGATACGATTATGGATTGGAACTCTTCCTTCTGTCGATAGACGAGGGGATAACGGGCTACCGGGACGACTCTCTTGAGGTCTTAACCGTGGCTTGCTGTGTCGCTGAGACTCACACCAAGACAGACCGTCAAACGGAATCAGCAGCAATACTCTATGCCGCTGAAGATCCTCTCCTATGACGAGCTCTATGGCTGGACGATGGACGGAATTGTTGCCCAAGTCGGCAGAAAGAACAACTGCACATTTTGTGGCGTATTCAGACGACAAGCACTCGATCGCGGCGCTTCAATGCTTAGCGTTGACCATATCGTCACAGGCCACAACGCAGACGACATTGCGGAGACTGTTTTGATGAATAGTGGGTATCTAGCCCGAGTTTACACCCGACTCTGACTTGGTCAGTCATGCGGGGAGACATCGCGAGATTGGGACGGTGTACTGCCATCTGCACGCAAGGCGAAGACACAATAAAGCGGTCCAAGCCATTTAAATACGCCTACGAGAAGGAGATCGTAATGTAGGTGCTTCTTTTTTGCAGAGACAAGCTCTAAAGCACCCTATAGGTATGCTTACTTCAAGAAACTCGACTATTTCTCCACCGAATGCATCTACTCGCCTGACGCTTACCGTGGACACGCGCGAGTCTTTCTAAAAGACCTAGAAGCCGCACGACCCAGTGCGATAATCGACATCATCCATTCCGGCGAAGCGTTCGAGGTGAGGGAGGAGGTCAAAGCTACCCAGAAAGCTCAACGTCAGTGAATGAGTGAATCTTTGTTTCAAGTCTGACGATAGGTTAGAAACATGCAAACGTTGCGGGTATATATCCTCCAATGACCTCTGCAAAGCGTGCGTCCTATTAGAGGGGCTTGAGCGAGGAATGGCGACTGCAGGCATCGTATGTGCTCCTTCAACTGTCTTCTCGCTGCTTTAACATTTTAGACTGACCGAGGGCGAAAGAAGTTGGATGCTGAAGGTCCAGCACCAGACAACCTAAGGACTATTCCTTTCTATACCGCTGGCGCCGCTCCTGCTGTGAGTGTCGGCCCTGATTGAACGTATTTCCACCAGTCTGTAGCGCTAGAACATGTAGCCAATGTGAAGAGTATGTAGTTAGTTGCTAAAGTACAGTCGGTCAGTCTATTTTATTCTAATCAGTCTAGCTGCTCTATTACGGCCACCGTAGGCCTTCTTGCTTCGCATCACAAGGTTCCGCGCACCCACAGGGCTTATTACACCAGCTCTTCAACTTCCTCTCCTCTTCCGCCCAGTCATCGTCTACTATTGCGGCCAATCGACCCTCGATGGAGGGTAGTGTCATTCGTTCCGGAACGAATGATTGTATAGGGTTGGCCAGCGCTGCTTTGACAGCGTTGATTAATTCTTCCTTGTCTCTCCGATGTACCTGGGCAAAATCAAAAAAGAGTCGAAGAGAGCGGGAGACAGACATTATATATGTATGGTGGATCGAGGAGACCCGCGATTGAGTGTTGTGTTCTCCATCCAGATCGGTCCTTCGGGTCGCGGGTATCCCAGTGGGTTATGACGTTGATGAAAGGGACGCCTAAGCACAAGGCATTCCATGGCGTAGGAGAACTGTAGAGTAAGATAAGATTGGCGTTTGAAAAAAAGAGAGACCGTGCATTAGAGGGTTGCCGATGCCAAGGAGAACCCTGCTCTGGGCCAGTTCCTTCATAAACACTTCCTGTTTTAACCTTACGTGGTTGACGTAGTGTGTCGGTTCAGGAAGAAATAGCGGTGAGCGCTGTTTGTCCTCTTCCGACATGGCCTGGTCAGACGAATCGTCGGGAAAGCGAACAGCCATGCCGAATTTCACACCCGTTTGGTCTGCGACCGCGTCCATGATCTCCTTCGACCACGCAAAGTCCTTCTTCGGGTCGGAGAAGTAGTTCATTAGCTTAGCGAGGACCCAGGCTTGCGGTGGGTTTGACGGGCGTTCCTTGTTAAACATAAACCTGGTACTGCGACAGGTTTTCTCGATTGAGTATCCGAGGTAAGTGTTGTTGGATTGAATCTCGGCGCGGGTATGCATTGCGAAAGGCTCCGGGGATATGATCCACCGGGGGCCAAGTGGGTGTCGAGGAAATGGCTACAGAGCAATGATTAGCAAGACGAAGTGACTTAGGTACTTTTTTCGGTACCCAGAAATAGAAGGAGATGATCTAGCAAAGTTTTAGAGCTAGCTTAGCACTGGATGATACACCCACTTTGTACCCTGGAATGCCCCAAGGGTTCCGTTCGCTCCTCAAGCATCCCTGTTTATCTTTCCAGCAGTCAAATGTCGTCCAGTCGTTCATGATAACAATTTTGACGAGGTCAGGAAAGTATTGGTAGATCTTAACGAGGTCTTTCGTTGTTTCCGCGTGCAAGACAGTGTAACCCAGATTAGCCATGGCCTCCATCTGACGAGTGTGTTGGTTTGATCGTCAGACGACAGTAAGATGAAGAACGCACTGTGGAAGTGGCCCTGGAAGCAAGATTAGTTGCAATCCAAGACGATGAAGCAGGCAGCGCACCATATCTCTTCCCCTCCAACATCTCCGCGCAAAGCGTTGCGAAAATACATGTTTTGGACCAGTATCACTGCATGAATGTTAGTGTGCGTTGATTTGAAACGCTTCTCCACGAGCCTTTCGCCTGGTTTGGAGTGCAAGAGTTCCTGTCGAGGCAACGCCGCAAACGGACCCAATCCGCCTCGCTTGGGTCCATCCAGTGGCGTTGCTGCCAGTCCCCGACCCCTGGAGGGTACAGGGAGTCCGGAATTCTCGCAAAGGGAGCGACGAGGACCTCGGCATCGTGCTGGGGCTGGCTAGCAGTGGAGTAGTGGGAGGGAAAGTAAGGTAGTTGGGCCAAAACGCGTCGGGTCTCTTCTCTGAACTGGAAGAGGCTAACGACGACAAGGGCAGTGAGGGAGCCAAAGATGATTGCGCGAGTGGTAAAAGAGCGACTTGTGGTCATGGAAGGAGGGAGGGAAAGAAAAGGAGATGTCGAGGAGACGAGAAGAGGAGTGAAGCGAATTACTCCAAAATCACAGCGCCGAGGCACTGGGCGGCAAAGCAACAACTCCACAAAAGACTGATAACTGTTTGTTTCGATATATACCCCCACTCGACGCGTTATTTTACAGTAATTTTACATACGACGCCGGGAACAAGCCAGTCTTCCCTTGGAATTCACCCGTCCACCTACAATTGAAGATCAGTTTAGAACTCTAGGCGGAGGAAAGGGCCTCTGTTTACCAGTCATCTGAAGTCCGTTCTGTAACCCACACATTCTGCTTCGCGCGGATTTGGAGGTCGCCTGGGTCCTGGGCGAGGATGAGCTAATCGTTGGGCAGCCTCAATTACGCACCGTGGAATCATAATCGTACAAAGCCTCGGCCCATTCTCCCTGTGCGATTTCTTCTTCCTCTTCTTCTGGCTCTGGTTCAGGTTGGGGTGGGGTTGGCACTGATGACCTTCCAGGTGGCGGTCCCCATTTATTTTTAGGAGGCGGGAATGCGGCGGGGACTATTGGTGGAGGTGGCGCTGGCGTCTTTCCAGCATGTCTTATCGAGTTGTACATGTTCTTGGTCGATGTTGTGTCAACATCTGACCCAAATTTCTATAATGCCCTCATGGTTAATGTCAAGATCGATAGAGCAGAAGGGGGGACGCACACGGACAGACTTGAGGCTATTAGTAGTTGAGGGAATTGGAGGGGCTTGTGTTTGAGATGATTCAGATGGTGTCCGTCTCGGTAAGACTGGTGGTGTCGGTGAGTTAGAACTCGTTGCCGCGCGTAGATTTGCAGCAAGCGCGCGTTGAGCAGCAGCAACAGAGGACGGAGTCGGAGCTGATATCACAGGCGAATTAGACTCGGGCTCAGAGGATTCGTGTTGTGAGTTGCCAAAGATCTCTGGACGCGATGCGAAGTATCTAGTAAGAGGGTAAAATGGAAAATACCATCTGTAAGGCTAGTCTCACTCGTCGAGCAAAGAGAACAAGGCAGATTTCTCGTGAGTTCCAAGGTTGGCGAAAACCATGGTGGTGTGAGATGAGAACTTGCAATCGAACGTGACTGAACGCGTCTTGCTTTCCTTCAAGTTTACAGTTCTCCGTCGAGCGCTCACTAGGTCTGCGATGGATTCAAGGATGAAGAAAGTGCTTGTGAGCCTCACGACCCATCGCCAATGACTGCCCATGATTAGTCTTCCGAACGAAGCTTGCACTCGTTGCACGCCATGCATTGCAAAGCCAGCTTGAAAGTCGTAAACATGATCCTACTTCCGGCCCTAACCCTCACAGAATATTAGAACTGAAGATTTCTCTCCCACGACATCCTTTATGGATGTCGATTCAGTGCACCGGCGTCAGATCTTATTGCTTTCTCATTAAAAACAGGGGCTTCTGGAGGTTACCAACAACAGCAACATATATAAATTCCGCTTTCTTGGAACTCTGTCAGTGACAACTCAGCGTTGGCTTTTGCGAGGCCTTTTTCGTGGTTGCGTCAATAGTCGATGTGCCAGAATACTGGGAACCACTACGATAGAATACGCACCAGAATGTCAATGTGCATTCGCTGGACAAGGACAATGTGGTGAGTCATTGTTCAATGGTTATTCGTCGACACCGTCGCCGAGTTGAAATCAGAAGAAACGTGGGAACAAAACGGTGATCATTCATTTTTGAATCCAAACCCTCATGTGCCTGATACCAAGGCCTCTTTGCTTCGACCTTCATGTCCGGTCCACAACCCAGCCAACCTGACGAAGTAAATCTCTACCAAACGCCTACACGTTGGGCGCGCTACCCGCTCACTGCATTCGATGGCTCTTTCGAACGGTCAACATTCCTCACTGGCTGGCTCGTCAAAGGTGTAATTGACACCAAGACACTTTCGCATGCGCTCCGTCGATTGACTGAAAAATGGCGCGTACTTGCAGGTCGCCTCGAGTCGGTGGAAGGGACCAAGAACTGGCAAATTGCAGTCCCGCTCAGTGTTCTTCCTGAACGCTACCGCACATTCGTGTTGACGGAAACGACCTCGGATGTCCCGCTCTCAAATTACATCAGCCTCCCGCTCCCGGCAGTCTCTGATTCTCTCCCGCAGTCTCTGTTTCTTCATGCTTCGACTCCGCGGCAAAACTTAGACTGGGTAACACGCGACAATCCGCTCACTTGCTGGCACGTTACCCATTTCCCTTCCCGGAGTGCATCCGAGCCAGCCTATTCCTGTGTAGGCTTTGCCCGTTCTCATGGTGTATTTGACGGTATCGGAGCTGCAACGGTAATGAAGGCCCTTGTCGCGGAGATGCGAGGCAATGAATGGAAAGTCCCGCTGTTACCGCCAGAAGGACACAATCCAAACCCTATCATCGAACTCTTGAACAGAGCCGCTCCGTCAATCGAGGGCGTTGAAGTACCGTATTCGCCGCTTGGGTTGAAGGGCTCATTATGGCTTGTTGGCTGGCATCTCCGAGAGCGTTACTGGCGCGGTGCTACCCATCAGATTTTTGTGATGCCCCAAGAATGCATTTCCCTGGTTGTTGAACCAGTCAAAGGAGATATACGAACCATCAGTCCTGACCTCGTCGTCACGACAGGCGATGTTCTTGTTGCTTGGTTTTTAAAGGTCAGTCACAAGTCAGTCTATTATACGTCAGCTAACTCCTCTGTAGGTCCTATACGCAAGCGGAACAGCCGCAGAAACTGTAGTTCACTGCTCCAACTTTGCCAACTTTCGGGATCTTATTCAACAAGCCGGTGGCAAATCACTGGATGATTACCCACATAACGCATTCCTCCCACTACCCTACCCGACATTGACAGTGCAAACGATCAACTCGACACCCCTTCCAGAGCTGACGCAACAACTTTGTGCGAGTCGTCATTCGCTCTCGCTCAGTCACGTCGCTGCTGCCCATCACATTATGACGACAAGCAAATTGACGATGCCTGTCCACCAAGCGGCACAAGACACGCTTGTCATCTCCAACGTGTCCGCGTCGCGAATATTCGAGACAGACTGGAGCCCCGTCAGCTCTGAGGGGACGATCTGCAGCTACCGCTTTTCGGCAACCCCGAATAACCTTGTGTTTGGGAATGGCGTGTATATTTCCGGTCGATTGTCTGATGGAAGCACCGTGCTCGATGTGAATCTGAACGCAGTCAGGATGGAGAACCTCGCAAGGGCAATTGGAGAGCTTAAGTCGCGGCTGTGGGTTGAAAGTGTTTAGATGAAAATGTACTTGAACCCAGTTTGAGTATGTATTGACGTGAACGTTAGCTTGAGCCCTGATCATAAAGGCTCTCAAATCCCAAGAGTTGGGGGTTAACTGGCCATAATTAGCTTCGCATTGGGAGTCGTCCACTTGACATAGATCGAAGATCTGAAGTGGGTATTTCGTCCTTGACCGTTGGGGAACTGGCAAGAATGTGCTTGTATGGGAGGGAGGCTCGTTCAACAACAGGTCAGTAAGTAAGTACTTAGATGCTGGATGATCCTGCGAATCCTCAGGGCGCCTATCTGCTAATCTAGACGCCGGAGTGTCAAGGCCATGATTGCCGCCCTCAATGACGGGCATATTCCCACAGGCTTTTTGCTCTCTCCCCGACAACAGCACCGACGCCGATGCGCTGCCCCGCCCACAGTAGCCAGCCTCCACTCTCCACACGTGATGTTTACTTCGCGTTCGTTACAGTGTGACAACAACTTGTTGTTCTGCTACGTCCACCATGCTCTCAGCATTCACAGTTTCCATCCAAATGTTCGCCACAATTGTGGTCCAAACCTTCTGCCAGCAATGGCTTATTATCTTAGAGGCCATTGGCGACATCAAGGTCGTCGTGGCCGCGGCACTCGAGTTCACCGCCGCCACTGAGCCACTCTGTGGTTTATGCATGGCGGTGATTCTCCTGGGTTGCTTCCAGTTCACACACAGTCCTGTTTATGCTCTCGTCCTGACTGTCATCCTTGTGTTGGTTGTCTGCGCGTTTATGGATTGGGCAGATAAGCCTACCGCAGAGACATCCACACATTTGACGCGTCATGACGCCCTCCAAGGTGCGCGTTTTCTCGGTGCTTTCACATTGATGGTACTTGTAGTTGCTGGTCTTGTCTTTGCTGACTGGACCGTGTTAACCAACGCCATTAACGAGTTCAAAGTCGCAATATTGAATGGATTCTGCCTGCCTTTGGGACATTGGGTGCGTGCTACTTTCCCTCCAATCATCGGTAACTTATTATTGCGACTTCCAGCTATACCTTGTCTACTGCCACTTCCGTAATAACCCACAGAAACTCAGCTGCACTATCAAGACAATTGCCAAGATGGTCGCGGATGTGTTTCTCGCGATGGAAGGTCCACGGCAAATGGATGAAGTCGTCGAAGGTGGAATTCAGTGGCTTTCGAGCTGCTACCGACCAATTCTCACCGCTTTATATCGCGTACAACCCTTGTCGCGCTCCCCTTTCAAATGTCTCGTGTGGCGCATCATGCATCGAGGACATGAAGAGTATCTCGACCACCCAGAAGCGCTCAACAAGCATATCTGGCGGGCCACAAGATGGGCAATTCCTTCCATCGACCCCAATATGCTCTGGTTCCACCCTCGTCCGCTCGGCCAGGGAGGCTTCGGCTGCGTTGTCAAGGCATATTCCCCATTGACTGGCGAGTATTTTGCGGTCAAGTTGATCCCGCGGCGCGCAAAGTCGCGTGAGGTAAGGCGAATGGTAAGAAATGAGGTCATCTGCATGCAAATGGTCCAAGGTATGCCTGGGTTTGCGACGGTTCATGGCGTGTTCAAAGATGATCGCAACTTTTACATCGTCATGGTCCGTGCCTTCTTAGCCCGAACGACGATTATTGAGCCTTTTTCAGGATTTTGGTGACTTGACCTTGAACGACCTTCCTCTTGAGGAATATACTTTTGAAGAGCGCATTGGGCTTGCTCGTCAGCTGGTATGTCACTCATGTATCTGGTTATCATTGTCTTATATGTGCTTCTTAGGCTACAGCGGTGCAAAACATGCACGAAAGGGGCGTCATTCACCGCGACATCAAACCCGATAACATCCTCATCAACGGCAACCGCCTCATGGTAGTCGACTTCGGTTTAGCTCACCGTATGAAGAAGCCTACGCGCCGCGTGCGATCTTTCTGGCCCGCTCCCAATCGGGGCATCTCCGTCGTTGCTGGGTCTCCTCAATATATGAGCCCTGATGTTGCTGCTGGAAATCCATATTCTTATGGCGCAGACCTCTACCCAATGGGTATCGTTATTCGATGGCTCCTCTCTGGCGTTGTAAGAGTTTTCTTCATTGACCATGCTCAGTCTGATCTAGCTCTAGCATCCGGAAGTCGACAAGCTGGCCTTGGTCGGTGACCTTGACGGCACGCAACTTCCCGAAGAAGTCGACCACTTCCTCCTCAAAGTATATTTTTCCGTTGCTTTCCTCGCCATGGCTTACGGATCTGTAGGTATTCAGTTTTGTTGAGGGCACGCGCCGATTTCACAACTGGGAGGAGATCAACGCTCATGGTATCTGGTAGAGTGCTCGCTTTGCTTCATGGTCTAGCGACTCACATTAATCCAGGACAGCTACGAAAGAACAGTAGATGATACTCTTCCTGATAGTCGATTAATAGGTCAACTGTTCGGTGCTCCTGAAATCCCGGGCCTTCCTGCTATTCGGCGCCTTGTCTCCCTTTATCTCGTACAAAGCCTTGACTGACAATATCTGCAGCAACGCCTTGGTCCACTTTCCTGCCTTCTCGACTGCGCGAAACGCTGCTGACGACATTCCTCAGATCTCCAGCGTCCAGCAAGTATATCATGAAACGGAACAACGTGGTCAAATATTTCCCTTTCCCTGCTTCAATTTTACTCGTGAACTTCTTCTGCCCGCTGAGTCTATTCTTTTGGACCACAATCATTCACTCTTTCGATGCTGCCTGACAAGGCGGACTCGGCACACTTGCTCAATAAACAATAAGCACTTCAAGTTACAACCGCCTCGTGATTTTCTTTTTGCGTTTAGTATCCATGAACTGATTTCGTTTACAGGTCTACTGAAATGACATTTCTGCCGCCTCACCCCAACAAGTTTGTTTGCTGACATACTTCTAGATTGGATGTCTACATTTCCAAGTCGTGTTCGTGTCTGGTTGCCTTTTGGCATCATTGCTGCTATTCACCCTGGGCCGACACATATATGGGTGGGGCACTCTTTTCGCAATCTATACGCTCTCGCGTTTTGGGACACCGATAGGACCTTCGTCCGGCAAACCCAGACTACATACGTTCCTGTCGACTTCACTCGTTCATCGTAGAGGTCTGCATCTTGATTATGGCCCGAAACATAACTGATCAACGTTCAGAGGAGACGACAGATCATATCCGCCTGACTACGTGGAATGAGTGCTAGTCGCTTTTCGATCCACGTAGGGAATGGCCGCCCGAGCATTCTAAGCGTCTTACTTATGGTTTGAGCTTGGTAATGCTTGAGTTGTAGAGTACTTGTACTATGTACTGACACAAATGTACGATTGTTTTTTGTCAACTAAGCTCGATTTCTTATCGGCGGAAAGACTGGCACGGCGATATGAACAGGGCATGTTGTTGTTAGACGCAATGTCGACGGTGTCCTCTGCCCCATCTGTTACGACGAAATATTCCATCCAATTTTGCTAGGTTGCGACCACAACTCCCAATTAAACAAGTCGGACCTATGTGTACTAGCAATGAGTTCGACCCAGTGTAAGATGATATTTCTGGAGTTCGGCAGTACAGGCTTCAAGCTTCAAGTCCGAGGACGTGCAAGGGACGATGAGAGGAAGCATCCGACCTGGGATGGCCACTTCATCGCAAGGGGAGCATCACATAACTGAATTCTGCAAGTTGAAACAAGGTTCAATCTTCGGCGTGGGACAGCGGCGTCAGTTTGCAACCAGGGTCGTTCCGTTCTCAGCGTTAAGAGGCAAGGATGGGAAAAGGATGCAGAGTAGCCGAAGTCTTGGAGGCAGATGGGAATGCTGAGCGATCATATCCACGACGACGGTAAGTGCGATGCGAGCAAGTGCCGGAGGAAACACACGAATGGGATGATAAACGCTAAAGAAGCATCTCTAAAGCCCCACGAACAAAAAAGCCTGAGGATGAGAAACAAAAATAGAGTAAGAGACTTGTTGCAGGTTACTTGGATCACCTCCTACTAAGCAGACGAACGCGGCGAAAAACAGATAATTTTGATGTGCTTTGGAGACAAGTTCAAGTTTCGATATCAAAAGAGACCATCCATTACTATGCTGACTCGACGTTGACATTCACCAATCTCAGGCCCCTCGTGTAAGTGTGGGGCAAAAGAATGAAAAAGGGAATGCTAGGATGTCCGGGGTGTGAACGCAAGTGAGAAGAACGGAAAATAGCTTGCGCCAAGCCCAGAGCCTGTGTAGGTTCACAGACTGCGGCGGCGTGTAAAAAATTTGTTCACTTCACATGTCGAGGAAAAGTCCAAAATGGTCAGTGTAGCGTTTCCAAGCGGGTGTTCACGTCGACGGTTGGTCATCTTCTGAGGCGTTTTCTGTCCCACCATCGACAGTTCCCTTGTATTCAGGGCAGCGCAGTTAGTGGGTGGGACAACAGCCACTGATGTCTGCAGCGAGAGTAAAATCCGAAGAGTTGTGATTTTGAAGGACTGTCAGTGTTAGTACCTGCGGCATTTGTCCTGGACTCGGAGGATAGCATACCACGCTCCAATTTTGTCTCGAATCGCTTGGAACCGGTGTCGATCGGCGGCAATTGGTGCAGACTTGAAGCAAAATTGGCCACGGCGACATCTTGAGGTTGAACAACATTCCATAAGCGTGGCGAAGTTGTACAATGGATCGAAGAAAGAAGACGGAGAAGCTTGCATGACAGGATTCCCAGCAAGCTTTCTTCGATCAGTTCACATAGGCATAGTCTCTTTTACCGGGCACTTACCGGTCCATCTAACACAAGATTTCGCCATCCGGCCATGGGAGTAATGCAATGGAGCTTTGAAATCTCCCAAGAAGTGAGCAAGCGTATAAAACGGGAGAGGATGGTCCTCAAACTTCACTGGCAAACGCTCAGCTCAACCACCAGACTCAGACATGCGCTTCTTCCCTACCTTGCTCCTTTTCTTTGTCACCGCCGTTTTCGCTCGACATGGTGGAGACGATGGCCCGAACGATAACGGCCACCATGGGAATGATGACGCCACTCGCACCGTTACGGTGACCCAGACAGTCGCGGCGCGCAGCGCCAAGTTCACCAACGTCGCTGTAAGATGATTTGGTCTTTGCTAAACGAGTCTTGCGCTGAAAAATAGCTCGCAGCGCAAACACGGTGGAGATGACGGACCCAATGACAATGGCCATCACGCAAAGCGCCGCCATGGTGGCGACGATGGCCCCAATGACAACGGCCACCACGGAAACGACGACGTAACCCGCACCGTGACAGTTACAGCGGCGGGCTCGATTGTTACTGCTGTAAGCTTTGTTCCATGAGAAGCAGGAGATTTAAGTTGAATGTTTAGCGCCGCCACGGAGGGGATGACGGTCCAAACGACAATGGGCACCATGGAGGTGATGATGCAACTCGCACTGTAACCGTTACAGTGGCAAACCCAATCGTGACCGCTGTAAGTCCTTTGGCGAAATAGAGAAACACATCGTGCTGAATATTGCACTCTAGCGCCGACATGGCGGAGACGATGGGCCAAACGACAATGGGCACCATGGAAGTGATGATGCCACTCGCACTGTAACCGTTACAGTGGCGAACCCAATCGTGACCGCCGTAAGTCCTTTGGCAGAATCGAGCAACACATCGTGCTGAATATTGCACTTTAGCGCCGACATGGCGGAGACGATGGGCCAAACGACAATGGCCACCACGGGGGTGATGATGCTACTCGCACAGTCACTGTTACTGCCCGGAGTCCATTGTTGACCCCGGCACCTGTCAAGGTACAGTTCAGCCACAACTTGAGGAGCTTGATTCTGAACCAAGACAATATAGCGCAAGCACGGCGGCGACGACAACGGCCGTCACGGAAACGACGACCACGGCACCCACACCGTCACCGTCACCGTGACTGCTTGAAGCAGTGGCACGAATTCAAGTAAGAGCATTGAGTTGAAAGGTTCGCTCATCTGAACAAGACACAGAAGAGCTTCCCCTCAAGTTGCCCACGGGTCTTCCGAATTGCACGCGCGTCTGCCTCTCTCGCGAACAGGTATTGATAGAGTCGAAGAAATTTGTACTTGTTTAAACTTGATGAAAAGCCAAGTTGCCACATTCTTTGCGAGAGTTAGAGGAGCTTCTGCTGAATTCGAGGAGTCCTGTCCTCATGAGTCATGAGCAGCAACCAAAGAGCCTGGAAGAGCCTCCAGTGGATTGCTGAAGGCAGGTCAAATTGCCATTGACAATGACGAGTAGATTTTGAAGACAGAGTGGTACTACATACTTATGTCGCTGACCACCGGCAATTATCGGGTGCAGATTTGATGCCCAAGGTCGGTGCAGCGCGACTGAGGTGAAATGGCTGCTGAGTGCTAGCGCTAATGGCTGCTGACCGCTGAAATGAGTAAACGTGACCGTCACAGTACCCACGCCACCCCGGCCTAGCGGTCCGGACTTGCAAATTGGACTCTGGACCTTGTCGGTTGGTCCCCGCTCCGCCAGGAGAAGATAAAATGCGTGGGCCATGACAGCGACACCCCTACACCTTCCTGACACTAAACATGCGGACCGCCGTCTTTTTTACTGTTTCTCGTCGGCCTTGCGACTGCGAACTTGAGAGTCGGAGTCGAGACGCCACAGCTTCTCAGAGGATAGCAAAAATGCAGCAAAATATATATTCCTCACCACACTCGATATTTCGACGTGGTTGAATATGACTGGCGGAGTCTTGTTAACCAAGCTAAAGACTGACACGGCGATATGAACAGCGCATGCCGTTGTTTTACCGTGCTGCCCGTGGATCGCCGTCCTCGTGTCGTATAAGTACTTACTTTGCCCTCTTAACCAGTCCTCTACACACATTCGCCTGTCGAAGAGGTGAGTATTCCATTCTCAGACGGCGGCTCTAGTCTGATATCCGAATCGCTGTTTCGTCAACGATGCATTTCGCTGTTTCCACCAAAGCCCTGTTGCTTGTTGTCATCAGCATGGCCAGCACATACGCGCTTGCCGCCCCCATCACGGATCGTCAGGCAAGCCCTCAAGGAAGTTGCTGGGAGAGTGGATGCGGCAGGTCAGGTGGAGCCTGATTGACTCGACGCTCGAGTTCTATCACGACAAATCTTCTTAAAGTACATCCACTGGATAACGCGAACGAGTGTGATTTAAATGAGCGACGATGTGCGAAGTACAGCTATTTAGAGTAGGAAGTCAAGCAAGTCCGAGATATAAATTATGGGGTCACACAGCGAAGGTCATCGCGAGGCCGACGAATGCAAGGATGGTAGCAGGAAGCTGTAAACGAACCGTAACAGCACCGCTATGGTTGTTCGCTTTGGTCGAGTTCGAGTTATCGAGCTTGACACCCGAGGCAGAAGGTGCAGGTGGGCTTCCGCTTGCGCTCTTCGGTGACGAGCTAGCGGAGCCGGACGGCGCGGGCGGGCCGCCATGGGCCGCGGCAACTAAAACAACTTGAGTAAACTATGTAATCAAGGACCAAAGACGCACATTGTGCAAACGACGGCTGTGTGACGCTAGTCTCGGCATACGGGTTCGTCTTGTTGTACGCAACGCCAACAGGGACGATGTACTAGAATTGTCAGCTGAAAACCCGAGAAGAACGCAAAAAAATAGACACACATCGAACGCCTCGACCAGCTTGGGGTAGTTGTCGACTGCTGTTTGCATTGTGTAGTTGCTCAGCTCGTGCGTGAGGAGGATGGCGCCCCTGGAGTTTAGGACCCCGCTTTTTGCGTCATTAATGAGTTTGTTGTAGTTGTTCTGCACGTCAGCCGGGGTGACGCCGTTGGTGCCTTGCTCCCAGTCGAACGAGTCGTATTTCCACATGATCGTGTCGAGTCCGAGCGATTGAGCGATGAACCGCACCCGGTCATCAGCGTCTCCGCGAGGTGGCTGGATCGACTCAGTTAATTAAGGGTCTTTCCAGAAACGACAACTTACCCTCCAGCAAGTGGGAGTGACGCCAGTAACGAGCTTGATAGCTTTGATGGTGTACCAAAGCTCGCCGAAAACTTGCTCGTTCGTGAGCGCGGTCATCGAAGGGTGAGCCCAGGTGTCTGCATCGGGTAAGCTGTCGCAAATATAACATTGGCTCCACTTTACGCACGGACACAAAGCTCATGACCATCCTTAACGGCGCGCTGCGCCTGTAGCGGGCCATCTACCACATTCGAGCCGATGTAGAACATGGCTTCATCGAGTCAGCATACTCAAAATGCAAGAGAAGAAAAAACCCACTAGCTTTCTGTCCCTTGGATGTTAAGAAGTTGTAGAACTCGTTATGCCCACAATATGGCCCGTCATCGAACCCGTACCCCAGTGTCTTGGGCTCTGGGACGTCCGCAATATCAGCCTTGACGCCATCATGCTTGGGAGTCACACATTGCGTGTTTGTCCACCAGCAGTCGGGATCTTTCGCGGCATCATATGCAAGATTTGGTGTTGGGACACCATTGACGCCCTGCCGATGATAAGCTGACCGAGACCTGGATTACAAACACGATAAACCTTCGGCGCGATGTTCGGCACACTGCCGTTAATCGACAAGAATTTTTGGTAGCCCTCTGTGTCGTTCGACACGCCCGCGACGGGCACCCAGATCGGCGGAAACTCGTTCTTCGCAAAGGCGTCGGTGACTGGCTGGTAGCCATACGCTACACACTCGGCCTTGTCGCCTGTCGAAGGACTTTCAGGACACGCAAAGCGCGAAAAGTGGACGAGAAATTTGGACATACCGAGATTTGCGGCCATTTGTTCCTCCGTTGTTGGCTCATCGGCACGTACGGTGGCCCCAAGAATGAGGAGTAAGAGAGTGGTGGCGGTACCAGAAATACCCAGCATGCTCAGCGGAGGGTATGTGTGGTGGTGGAGGAGAGGAGAAGGAAAGATGGCTGACAACCGAGACCATGCAACCTATCTATTAGGCAGAAGCCAACACCGTCGTTTCGATGATGACGAGGGCTATAGCCGTACAGTTCCATGCATCCGTGATCCCCAGAGCACGCGTTGGTCTCCGAACAAAGCAGGTGGCTTGGCAACGAGCGGAAAAATAGCACTGCAAACTGTCCATCGGCGAGATCTTCGAGATCAGGAAGCTATTATTAGTCGCGTTCGTGTCGCCGAATTCATTCCTTTGGAACGGCTTGATAACGGCCAGTCTTGAGTTACGGGATTTGCGGACAGCAATGGCCGTGTTTCGGGCTCATCTCTAGACCGAGAAATTCAACACGCCAGACGAGGTAAGGTAGACGCCATACACGATCCACGGACCCCACGTGATGTGATGGCCGCAGCCGAATATAGTCATTACCTCCAAAATACATCGTTTCTACAGCTTTCAGTGTGAATTGGGCAAATCGGCTGCATGAATTGATGGCTATTGGTCCCCTACTACCATAAATGTACAAAAAATCGCGGAATAATAAGAATTGACGATGTAGTTCAGAAATTGCATTCTTTTTGACCTGAATCCTGGCCGCGCAGCAAAGTTTGTCTGGCATGGCTATAGAGTCGCTTTTTCACCAATGCCTCGACAAAAGGCCCACATACAAGCCAGAACAGCAAATCTTCCGAAAGCAAATGCACTTCCCAGTACTCCAAAAAAGAAACGGCCTCAGTCTGTTCTTACCCCGCAGACAAGGTCACGTCACTCGAAGAAGACACGCGTCGAACGCGTCGAACGCGTCGAACGCGTCGAGAATGACGAGAATCTGGCCGAGGTGAGTGGCTCTACCTGCCAATGTCAACTTCTCAAAGAATACACTGGCAGGCCAACGAAACGCACTCGGATGATCCTTTCATCTCTAACATGGGAAAATTCAAATGTGCGGGCTTCACACGCGAGCTGCTTACTCGCGCTCCCGAATCGTTTCTGTATAGCGACGAGCCAATCTTCGATGTGGACAGCCTAATGGACAATGAGTGGGAGCCTCATGACGATGAAGAAACAGAACAGACCGAATATGTCCATCCAGAGTTTGATGAACTTCTCGCATCTCCAGCTGGAACATTTCCCTACGATGGTTATCCACGTCCTGCACCCTCAGCAGAATATGTTGCAAAAATGAAAGAGGCTGGTCGACGTGTTGTGTTTTCAGCGCCGGATATCACTTCTGCGCATGATGCTCTTGTCGACTTGCTGTTGCTGATGAAGGGTGAAATCCGAGGACCAAACAGCAAAGGATACAAGAAAACAACTTTTGATACTCATGTCCGTGCTCGACTGGAAGGCATGCGAACTCTTCTCTCGATGTATACAACCCCACGCTCAATGACTTATGAAAACTGGTCGGAGTCGGCTCTCCAGGCGGCGATTGCTGTGGGAAGGGGAAAGAACTGTGCAAGAGTGTTTGCTGAGCTTGCGCGTGCTTTCATCGAGGATCGCCGAGTGCTCCCAATCAATCCATATGGCAAATCTAATGCACCAGTGTTGAACAACGAGGACCTCGATGTAAAAGTTCGTGTGGAGTTACTCGGAAAAGAAATTACGGCGGAAAAAGTGCAAGCAATCGTGAACCGACAAGATATTAGAGAGGAGTTTGGCCTCGGCTCGCCTATCAGCCTCCGTACAGCACAGCGATATCTCAGCAAACTGGGTTTTTGTGTGCGTGGTTCCAAAATGACAACATTGCAAGTCAAAGCTCATTGCGTACAGATTTGGATATGCGAAAAAAGGCCAGTACTCTGACGGACATGAGCGGGAGGATGTTGTTGTTTATCGAGAAGAAACATACCTTCCAACTCTCAAAGATTTTGAAGACCGTTCCTATGTCTACCACTCTGATGGAACTATCGACATCCCTCGTTTACCGCCAGGTGTCCGTCCTACGTGCATTTGGTACCATGATGAATCCATCTTCTATGGACATGACAGACGGCGAAAGCTTTGGCAGGATACAGCCGCTGGAGCGAAGCCATATCAGAAGGGCGAGGGAGGGTCATTTATGGTGGCTGACTACTTTTCGGCCAATTTTGGGTGGCTGCGAGGAGTGAATGGCGAGACAGCTCGACGGACTATGCGTCCTGGAAAGAATCGGGATGGTTACTTCAGTGCCGCAGACATTGAAGAGCAAGCGAGTACTGCATGTTCCATCGTTATGGCCCGCTGGCCCGAGTTCGATCATGTTTTCATTTACGACAACGCCGACCACTCACTGTGCTCGTACGGCTGGCTCGCTGACAGCCATAGGGATGCCCAAGTTCACTTCTGGGTCAAGAGCTGGAGGGGCAGACGATGAAGGTGGTGGCGAGGGTGAGAAGAGACCGAAGAGGCAAGCTAAAAAGCCGTCAAAGAAGAAGCCGCCTGAAGTCGAGAATGAGACCCGAAAGAAGAAGCGGAAGAAAGCAAAGCCTACCAAAGACCCCAAAGACGCCAACTTTCTCGTTCAAATCAACAAGCTGAATCCCGACCAGACCCCGATGTACGACAAGCATGGTGAACGAGTAAAAGAAGAGATCCAAATGACTGGTGCAATGTTTGCCGACAGAACACCTCAATCACTCTATTTCCCTGCCAATGCTGACAAGTATGCTGGCAAATTCAAGGGTATGGCGGTCATCTTAGAGGAGCGTCGATTGCGTGGGGACCTGGGGTCAGAGATGAAGAAGGAAGAGCTGGCAGGAAAGGTCAGTCAATGCAAAAACTTCAAATGTCCCAAAATTGCCCCAGATAAGCAAGCAACATGCTGCATGTCGTCGCATGCTATTCACTCAACCCGATTTCACGAATGTCAAATCATGTCTTGAAGCTGCATGTGGCCCCTTTGATGTCAAAATCCTTTTTCTACCCAAATTCCATCCGGAACTCAACCCGATAGAAATGGTATGGGGATATGCTAAACGTGTCTATCGTCAGTTCCCGGAATCCTCTGGCGAGGAGGCCTTGGAGCGTAACACTCTTGCTGCACTTGATGCAGTGCCTCTAGATTCCATGCGACGGTTTGTTTTTTTGCGCACATCGATTTGCAGATGCATACCGAAAGGGATTGGATGGTTCCCAGGCTGCCTGGGCTGTGAAGCGGTATAAGGGACATCGCATGCTGCCTTCAGAGTTCCGTGAAGAGCTTGAAAAGGCAGAGCTGGAAGCAAAAGAGAAGGCCGAGAAGGCACATCGTTGAGTTGATAGTATAATCTAATCTACATCGTCAATTCTTATTATTCGCGATTTTTGTACATTTATGGTAGTAGGGGACCAATAGCCATCAATTCATGCAGCCGATTTGCCCAATTCACACTGAAAGCTGTAGAAACGATGTATTTTGGAGGTAATGACTATATTCGGCTGCGGCCATCACATCACGTGGGGTCCGTGGATCGTGTATGGCGTCTACCTTACGAGCTGGGGCTCCACTTGAACTTGCAATCAATCGTCGCTGCGAAGGTTGTTGTCGGGGACAAAGGCGTATCAGCTTGTAAGCGGGCTTGGCACTGTAGTCGACCCGGAAGCATTGACATCCATGAGTTGTCCACGAGAGAAATACTAAGTATTCGCAGTGAAGCGTTGATCAGTCCACTCTGAGGCTTGGATTTTCACATAGGCCTTTGCAGAGTTATTGTTGCTCAAAAGGTTTTGCAGGCATTATCTATGAAGGCATTTATCGCTGTTTAATCAAATGTTGGGATCAAAGTTGGAAGTCGGAAGTCTGAACTTTTGTGTGACATGCAGGGCAGGTGTAGTTGGTACTCAGAAGTTGAAGGCCATACAAATAGAAGTCTAACTATGATTCATTTTTGTGCTTATATCCAGTTTTGACCATATTTGGACTGATGTCTGGAATTTTGATTATTTTAATTATGTTGGCCGGTGTTATTTGACTCTGAGCTGTATAAGTATCAGTTTAATCAAATGGTTCACATTATACTTGCACCTTAAAAGCCTACTTAACATTGAATAAAGATCACTAAGACCATTTTCAGCAAGAAAATAGTCTTCTCAGCTGTAAAAAAATTCCAACAGTCAATATTTAATGCAAAATATGACTTTTGTTAATTTATAGTCCTGTACTATTTTGTTCAATTTGGCCAGATCACTGGTTTTGATAAACTCAAAAATTGCCAAAAATCCGAGAAATCAAGCAAAAAATATTATCAGTGTTTCCAAAAATTTATCTTAACTGTGACATGTCAAATTGATCAAATAGTACACTATTGCCAAATGAGAAGCTATTAGAGTCTAAGACAAAATAAAAATAAAAATATTATAGAATCCTGTGTCAGAGGAACCTCCCTTTCGGCCCCCCAGACATGATTCCAATTCCAATTCCAGTCCGATTCTGATTCCAGTCCAACCCCCCACTGAATCCCACACCATCATGAATCCGTCACCACCCTCCTGATGGTCACCCTGGGACCTAGCCTGCGACACTGCCCAAGCCTTCTGTGCCCAACAGCGGCAGCTACGGATAAGCAGTATATAGTCAGCTACCTAGCAGGCAGACCCTTATGTCAGGGGAACCCCTGCTTCGGCCTCCTTTGGACCGTCCGAGCGCATCTGAGGCACATCCAACCGGCGCCCCCTCGGATGCTCCGACCCACCCTGACCATCATCCACGGCCTCCTTCGCCCGCACAATCACCGATCCGTCAAGACCCTCCCAACGATCACCTTGGGACAGAGCCTGCAATGCCGCTCAGGCCTTCTGCGCTCTACGTTGGCAGTTATGGACGGCCAGTATATAGTTGGCGCCCTAGCAGGCGGACCCTTAGAGTTTCTTCTCTTTGGATCCTCTCCTGCTAGGACCCTGATTTCGGGCCTCTGGGTTTGCCCTTACACAAATCAGTGCTGCGGATCCGCAAGCCTGTGATATTGTAATTACCAAATAAGGTAATTTTGACATCACGTGCTCCACAATTAGGGCCTTTGATTTATCCGAAATCTAGGCCATTGATTTGGATCCTGATCTCTGCTAAAAAAGTCCAGCTTTGGGTGGCCACTTTGTGCAGCACAAAACCCCGATATGAGTATTAACAGTAGCATATACTCCATAGCCTGTGTCAGGGGAACCCCCGCTTCAGCCTCCTTCGGACCGTCCGAGCACATCTGAGGCACATCCGACCGGTGCCCCTCGGACGCCTCTGACCTACCCCAACCCTTGTCCTCGGCCTTCTTCGCCCACACGATCACCGATCCATCAAGACCCTCCCAATGATCACCTTGGGACAGAGCCTGCGACGCCGCTCAGGCCTTCTGCGCTCTACGTCGGCAGCTACAGACAATGAGTATATAGTTGGCGCCCTAGCAGGCGGACCCTTAGAGTTTCTTCTCTTTGGATCCTCCCCTGCTAGGTCGGTCCCTCCGTGTATTTCCATAGCTCTTATTCATGCTTTGGATCCTCCCCTGCTAGGCTTTCGTCAGAGTCTCCAGGGTTGCCCTTACAAACAAAAATAAAAATAAAAATAACAATAACAATAAAAAATCATGGAATCCTACTTACAGGCACTTGTGACTTAGGTTCAGAGGCTTAATATTTATAATTTTATAGAAAATTCTCAAGACTCTTATACCTGTATATAAGCTATCACAAGATTTAATAAGGAAAGAGGATATTTATCAAGCAACCAGGGCTAGAGCTTATCCTTACTTAATATGACTCAGATTCACGCCAAAAACATATTAGATAATCAGTAGACACATGATCAGTAGTCACATGGTATGTAACAGTAGACGTGACTAAGTCATGTAGCAGCATCTTAACTCTTTACTCCTCTCTCGTCATTCTGTCTCTTCTTGTGGCCCTGTCCCAACTGCCTAAGTATATACACTACTTCTCTCTCCCCACCATAGGCTACAGGTCATTAGTCAGATGAGGCACTGGCCGGCCTTTGAGTACAGATACGGTGTACGGTGCAGTCCGAGATATGGTGGGTAGATCGGTCACATATCACAGCCTTGGGAATGCTAAGCATGCATTTTCGGCCGGATTGACTGTTTCCAGGTGGACACCAGCCACCAATTGCAAATCCATGGCACAGGGAGCTGGAACAGCGGCCCGGTGATCCCATCACCACATCAACCAGCACTTACGGATAAAATACGGACCATATAGTCAAATGTCGGAGCTCCACAGCATGGAGCTTTTGTTCATCCATACATCTGTATGCCATATGGCTATGGATATGGTGCCGAGCCCTATATAGATCCAGAATTTGTAAAGTGTTGTTTGAATGTCTGTGTAAGGATAATCCTGTAGGCCTGAGATCAATATGCTAGCATAGAGGAATCTAAAGAAGTGAATAATAGTTAGGGCAACCCTGGAGGCCTGACATCAAGGTCCTAGCAGGGGAGGATCCAAAGAAAAGGAACTTCAAAGGTTATCAGAGTAGTGGAGAATAGTATTACAGTTCATTGACTTACTGATAATCCAAGTATAATTGATTCTATCTTATGTTTATTTTATTTTATTTTCTCTCTCTATTTTCTTCTGTCAAGGCCTAAATATGTCACAAATGTCAAATTATTTATTGTTTAAATCAGTTTTTGATCAAATGGCCATTTTATAGGTGGCCTATAAGTCAGTACCTACATATCTTTACAATAGCTAATTTATCAAGTTCAGAGTTCAGAGTTCAGAGTTCAGACTTTCCTCATATGGTCACGTGACTGGATTCACACGTCAGAAGTTCACACTTTGGTCCAACTACCGACTTGCCACTTCAGACTTGCCTCCAACTTCTGACTTCGGAGTTTGATGTTACATAAATGATGTGACTTTGACCTTTTGCATTAATTAAACAGCGAAAATACACCTCATAATTATCGTCGCTCAGATGGAGATAGAAGTCGAGTGGGTTACATACAGGTAAGTTGGAAGCTTCCCCTAGCTACTAATAAGCAGTCCCTAAGGCAGTAGCGAGGGTCGACAGAGTAGATTGTGTATGGTTGCCCGAGCGTGGTCGTTCTCAAGTTCAAATTTTGGTGTTGGCAGCAGAAATCAACGTGTTGGTTTCCCAGGCTCGGTCACGAGCATCCATCACGATGTGACGTGATCTAATCCGATCTGGCACGTGTGACTACTCAGCTGTCAAGTCCCGTGACACTCTACTTTTCCCTCAAGCCACTTTCTCAGTGCGTCGTCGTTGTCGTGCCCATTTATCGCTCTGACCAGCTCGTTCTCTAGCTATGGGTCGTGTCATCCGTGCCCAGCGTCGGGCCCACCCCATCTTCAACGCCCATACGCACCACAACAAAAACCCCGCCCGCCTGCGGAATCTCGACTACGCTGAGCGCAACGGCTACATCCGGGGAATCGTGAAGGAGATCATCCATGACGCTGGCCGTGGAGCACCCCTTGCGCGCGTCGTTTTCCGGGACCCCTACCGCTACAAGCTTCGCAAGGAAACCTTTATCGCAACCGAGGGTCTCCACACTGGGGCTTTCGTCTACTGCGGAAAGAAGGCCACCCTCGCTGTTGGAAACACACTCCCCGTTGGCCTCTGCCCTGAGGGTACCATCGTCTGCAACGTCGAGGAGAAGGTCGGTGACCGTGGTGCGCTTGCTCGCACTTCTGGCAACTACGCAACTGTCATTGGCCACACCCCCGACGACAACAAGACCCGAATCCGTCTCCCGAGTGGTGCGAAGAAGACTGTCTCTGGCTCGGCTCGTGCAACCATTGGAATCGTTGCTGGCGGTGGCCGCATCGACAAGCCGTTGCTCAAGGCTGGTCGGGCATACTACAAATTCAAGGCCAAGCGCTACAAGTGCGTATATCTAGTAATAATTTATTTGTACTGATAAACCACGCAGCTGGCCTCGTACTCGTGGTGTGGCGATGAACCCCGTTGACCATCCTCACGGTGGTGGTAACCACCAACATATCGGCAAAGCCTCGACCATTGCGCGCTCGGCTGTTCCCGGTCAGAAAGTCGGTCTCATTGCTGCCCGGCGGACGGGTCTGCTGCGTGGTACAGTCAACGTCAAGGAGGTGTAGGCTATTGTTTGTCGTCCTTATTCCCGCACAAAATCATGTATGCCTCATACGCGATATGCCATGCATTCTCTCAAGCGATTCGATCGACTTCCTAAGAGCCATTGGCGCTTTTAAGAGACAAACTTCACAAAGAGATTTGTTCAGTCTGCCCTTCACGTGACCAAAAAAACCTGGTCCATTTTGGAATGGTTGTTAAGATTCGGTTTTGCGCAGACTGCTTGAAGTGGGCACCAAGCTTGCGAACCAAGAGCACATCACACAAATTTGCACCTTTCTCCGTATCTAAAATCGCTGACACACATTCGACAAACCTCCAATACAAAACGAGCATATATCATCACTCTAGTCCCCCATGGCTACCACTCGCCTAGCCCGAACCAATCTCCTGCGCAGTGGGCGGTGTATCCATTTCACCAGAGGCCCCATAAACACCGCGCTTGCGCTTCTTGTCAGCATCGTTGTTGAATTTGACAGTATGGGTAACGTAGGACTTCAAGATGTTTTGGTCGACGATACGGAGGCCCTCAGGTCGCGTAGGCTTGCTCTTCGAGTCAAGGCGAGAGGCCAAAGTGCGGACCACTCTCTCGAACTCGTCCGTCGTTGCTACCGATTGCAGTTCCGCAAGAACTCGATCTAGATTCGCTTTGCGTTCTGAAAGACGAGCTGGATACTGAGAGATGACGAGCCGAGACCGCAGACTGCTTTCCCGAGCGATGGAGTACGAGCGAGCTTTGGCGTCGTGGAAAGAATCGAGCTTGTCGAATAACGATTTGCGTTCAAAGGCAGCAGCGTCGAGACGAGGTTGAAGCTTCTCTCCTTGCTTGAGGATGGAGTTGACTTCGCGCTGCATATTGCGGGTGTCGTTTCTAGGTGCGCCGAAGAACATATCGAAATAAACAAGGCTATGGGAGAAGGTCAGGCGGTACAGAGCGAGAAATAGGATGGGAGCGCACCTCAGGGAGGAATAGACTGGGCGAGTTGGTAATCGGGTATCGCCAAGCGTTGTGGTGGTGGTGGTTCACAGCAAAGAGCAACAGTGCCTCTTCCCCTGTCTTTTGAGGACTTGATTTCGGTATTAATTTCCTTATTTGGAAGTACCCTCCACTGCAGCTGTATACGAACGGCTTTTCTGTTGCTGGTAGATCAGTTCTCACCCAGCTCTATTCATAATCAAGCTTGGACGCAGAAAACTTGGATTTCTTAAGTATCATCCGCCATGTGTTGTGACGTCGTGACCACTCGCGAGTGTGACATGCCCAAGATCTTTCTTTCTTCCTGCGAAGCGGAAAACTGTCCTTCTTGTCCTTCCTTGACCGTTCTTTCCTTGAATCATGCATCGTCTCATTGCAATGCCCCGACGCGACGTAGAGCCATCAGGTACCCATGGACCTCACCAATCCGCCCGTCCTGTCCGCAACGTTCCTGGCCCAGGATCAAGCCTATTCAGGTTCACTGAGTTGCCTCCTGAGATGTGTCTATTGGTGAATCCTTACTCTGTCAGTATGATTTGCCTTTAAAATCGACGAGATCATCGAAAACTGCAGTCCATACGACCTTGTTCAACTCAACGCGACCTCCAAGGTCATCCGCAGCTTCATAGGCTCTCATCAGTATCTATGGGAGCGCTCCCTGCTAAACCTTAAACGTGGAAACTGTGACGCGGTACCCTCCCCTCCCCGTATTCAAGCAACAGGCAACTACTCAGTCACGGCATACATCGCTTGGATCTTTGGAGGTGGCTCGTGTTCGATTCGCGTATGCCTCCTCCGATAGAACTTGTTTGCATTCGAAATTCATGACAGAACTGTTCTCGTGCTACTCATAATCTGCCTTGGTCCTTCATATTGGGACTGAGAGCGTGCTCGGTGGGTTGATCACTCGTCATAAATTGCATTCTCAGTCAATCTTCTAGAGAAGTTGTCAGGAGATGTTGATGTCGTGGGTTTTGTTTATCTGCTTAAGTCGCGCCCAGGTGGTTAATGCTTCACAGCAAGGACTATATCTTTTTTGATGTCGCCCACATATACGACGACAGTCTGCTGAGTCGCTGGCTGCCTCATCTCGTCATCGAAACCCCCCAAACCCCAATTCCCATTCATGCCTATCTTAGAAAATTACTCACTGCTGCCCGCCACGAACTCCATTGTGCTGAGCGCGTCAACCCAAAACCAAAGAGAAAGAGCTCGGAGAAGCATAACCCTTTTGCTTTGCGTGACCTGTATGAGGTTGGTGTTGACGCCCTACTTGATGAAGCATCGCGTCATTGTTGTCAGGACTATCCCAAGCGACAAGATGCTCGTCTGTTGCTAGAAGAGGTTTTGTAACTTATCTCATTTTATTTCCTTTGTTTAATCCATCTCGAAGAATGCTCGAAGACTCACCGAATGGGTTGGGAACTATCTGAAGGAGAAGGTCATGGTCATCAAGGCCAACACAGACTTGTAAGCCTTGCTCTCGTCACAATAGGTGCCATTTTCATAATTCAGTAGTCTTCGAGCAACTGTTTCTGGGAGCCAAACAGAGCTGAACTTGAACCGCGTCCTTCAAACGCCGACCCTGGGACGGCTGCTCCATGCCTTCAACAGAGACCTTGAGATCCTAACACCAAGTGGTCAGTAATAATTGCATACTACGCGTATTCTGCATTCATCACCGCAAACGCAGTGTGGGAACAGAACCGAGACGCGATAATGACCGAATTGGCGACTACCCCCCACATCAAAGATCTTCATTGCTCAAGCTCAAAGCTCTCTGATTGCACAAGCTCTCATCCGTCCGACCAAGGCAAACGCCGCTGTCCTGATTGCCCGAGATCCTCCCGTCTATACTCTACACACGCTTTGCGCGACCATCGTTCTGCAAAGTAAGTGAAGCACTTCATGTCGCGCCCATTCTGATCTTGTGAAGGCATGCATCGGCGGCCAAGTGTTAGCCAGAAGACGGCAAGTTATCGAGGTGTGTTCATTGTATTTCAGTTCTAGAACAGACTAGCCCGTAGTAATCACCCAAATCGCTGGGCATTTGTACACCACTATTCCTACAATTCTCATGTTTCATTCGAGGAATCCTAGTACTTAGGATCGACGCGTGAGAGTGCCCGTGTCGCGATCACATGTCATTTAGCATCAGTATATCTCGCCACTTGAACTTGAGGTCTTCATATGATCAATGAGCTTTGCTTTTCAAGTTATCATGGTCTCAAAGTAGCTGGATCGGGATACATGCTTGTTCACCCCCTGCTGTAGGCGATTTAATCCACTGATGTATCACGTGGGTCATCTGCCTTCCTTTCCCGAAACACCATGTACGACGAGTGGAACAAAACCAACGAGAAACTCGCGGAGCGATCCCGACAGGTTCTCCAGATGGCGCGCCAGAGCGAGGACATGGAGGCGCAGGCCACCAAGCTCGACAAAGAGGCAGCAGACAAGACGGCCACCTTGACCCAGTATGACGCGGATGTTGGCATGGTGTCTGGTGCGTTCCTGGACCAGTTGCTGCTTGATTCAAGCCCTCAACCATTCCAGCGTATATAAGACAGCTTCGGATGAAGAATGGTGCGGCGAGCGAGAGCAAGCCAGGCAGTGATGGCGAGACCGAAATCGACACGGAGGACGACGTCGATGATTGTGATTCTACATATACGGACGACAGCAAAATGACGTTCGAGTTACAAGGTATGTCATTGGCTATTGCTCGTAAGCTTCAGGTCCCTACCTTGTTTTCCAACAGACGACGAGGACGAACGTCCATCCAAACGTGTTAGAACTGACTCGGATTCGAAAGAGAACCACCCATAAAGCCCAGCATCAACAACGGATATGAGTTTCGTCACGGAGTTCAACTTGAAGGCCTATTTGGTACCTCAGTAATGCATATGTATCCACAGTTTTATTATAATCTTATAACTTACGACTCGACTTGTTCGACTGGAGTTCCGGGTCGCAGCCTCATCGCACTTCAGGACGTTTTGAATCCAAGGCAATACCGGCAAACCGGCCCGGGCCCACTCCAGCGACAATAAGTATCGTCCAAGTTCCAGCTTGATTGGCGTAGCCAAGCATCCGAGTCATTGGACTGGTAGAGATTACATTCATGCCAATCAAGGGCAGGAGACGAACAGAGCACAGGCATCTTGCAACAGGGCAGGATGTTCCTCTTGACAACTAGAAGAAGTGGGTGGGATAAGGTGTGGAGGATGTGTTGATCAGTTAGTGGGCAACATTGGCTTTCGGGTACTTAGAACTAAGAAGACGGGGATAGACGAACCAGACGGCAAGGTGCCATTGGTCATTCGTCACAAGCCACGCCACGCTTCAAGTTCGTCCGTCACTGCTTTGGAAAGATTCGCAAACTATTAGCAAGGGAAAGTCTTGTGATATTGACAAGTGCGGGGAGTATAGAGGTGTATAAGGAGGAGAAGCATGAGAGTTGGCAAGAAAGCTTGTTCTTTGATCATGATGATGAGATCAATTGATCTGGTACAGTACTCGCAAGAATGACGTTTGAATAACATCGAGGGTGCGCATCCCTCAAAGCCCTCCTCACAACACGAATTCTCCCCAGCACCTCTAATCCAACCCTAGATTTCCATCGTTTGGCGGCTAAGGGAAGACGATTAGTTGTGAGCCACAAGCCAAGCGACGACAAATACCGGTAAGTTCAGCAAACAAACTTCTGAATCAGACATGGCCCATCCCCGTCCTACTAGGCTCTGCGCAAGACCCATCTCAACATCTATTCCCTACCAGTTGGGCGGCCGGCCCGGGAGCCTGGGCCTGTGGGAGGTTTTTCGACGCTTGACGCACGGCCGTTCTGCCAGTGATCTCACAACAACCAGCGCGCTCATCCTATGTAGCATCACCATGTGGAAGCAAGCCACTGGCAGGAGCTACGGCCGCCGAAGCTCTCCCAGTTCTGGTGGATTCGAAAGGAAGCGTGCAGACGTGTTCGGTGGGGGGTGCCCGGGGATGCCCAGTCGTCATCATGGTCGAGAGTAGTGACCATGGGGGGTATTTAAGGATTTTGCAGAGACAGTGGCGGTGGAAAATCGTGTTTCGCGAAGCGCGGATGTAGCTCATACCCGCGATCCGCACAGTCGTGTGGGTTTCGGCAGGTTTCGGTGGTGCGGAGCGAGTAAGACCCATTGAAAACCAAGGAGATGGTATCAGCAAAGCGTCAATCACTATATTAGGCAATTTTGTGGCGGTTTACGGAAACGGTTTACGATCCAATGGTTTACGATCCAAGACAGCCAAAATAAGGTGTCCAAAACGATAATTGGACTGAAATCTGATAAAACGAACATATAATTCTCAGTCCACCCGCTACCTTCAACGTGTAGAGCAGCTTCAATGTCCCCGCATGCCCACTAGCTAGAGCCAATATCTTGCGTTCATAGACCTAGAAGCGCTAAGGATGTTCCGCTTCAAGTTGCGTTTCTTCGCGACCTCCTCGTTGGCTGATGAGGATGCTTGCGTGATGAGTCAGATGACGATAAGGTTGGCTGCGTATTAGGTCGCACGTGAGTTCGAGAGGTACTGGCGCACTTGTCGTACTCGAGCTTGGGACGAGTTGCTTTGTGGCTTTCTGTGGTGGAGAAGACAAGAGTGGAAGACATGGACGGGGCCTGTCACGTGATGTGATTGATGGGTTGCGTTCGCCAAGACTTCCGGACGTGAAATTGCACAAGTCGGAAATAGGACCGCAGTGAGATTCGAACGGACGCGTTAGCTGGGCTCACGTGTTTCCGGATGGTCGGTTTGTTTTCTTCCTTCTCGAACACAACCCGGATTGCACAAACCATGACGACAATCTCATCACCAGTCATGATTCTGCAGCGGGTGAATGCGACTTCGCTTCTCCTCAAGTTCGTTGCCATCCACCAGTACCGTTTCTCGCCGGGCGATTCCCTGGGGGGTTTCTGTTCTTGGGGCGTTGACGTTGTGTGAGATTCGACTCTTATGTGTGGTACCTCCATTCTCAGTAGGGCTATGTAGCTCAACCAACCTGCTCCTCTCACCCCCGACACGTTCTTTCCATCCATGTTTGACCTAGGAAATGCGTCAACTGTTTGGACTCTTTCCGCAGAATTCGGAGCTCTCAAATTGTCAAACGACAAGTCCATGATTTCTTTGGTTTTAGTGTGTAAGTTTGTCTTGACTCTATCAACTTTCGTTTACTCTCCCGACGATGTCAAGTACCAGCAGACCGTCCCCTATCTTTAAGTTTCGAGCATGAACCCAGTACATTACCCTCGAGAGATGAAATCCTCCGCCACCTCGAGTCGTCAGCATCATCTGCCAGTCTGTTTTCCTCTTCCTTGGAATTGCAACGCACACAACAGCGCGGCCAACCTCTGGCCATCTACAGCTTTCGCCCCCTGGAGCTCTCTCCCCGCCCCGTCGTCATTTATAATCAAGCTCTTGCTGTTTTCCGGCAGCAGCTCGCGGCTCCGCACGAATCTCTACCACTCACCGCAGACAACTTAGAAGCAGCCCCAAATATCATCAGGGTCTCCCTCGATTCCTACGGCGAAGAACATAAGGCGTTGGCAGCCATCCAACCATTCATGAAAGGCGACGAGGAAAGTGCACGGCCGATTCTAACACGCATCAATGACAATCCGGGCGCCGCAGGTCTTCAAGCTGGAAAAGATTTCCAAAAAACTAATGCTCACTCGTCCCGTCTGTGGAATCGCTTGTCAACCAAATCGCTACTGACTTGAGACAGTATGTTCAATATCGTCGAGTTTCTCCGTGTCCGACCGTTCTCGTGGGTTTGGATGGGCCACAACTTCGTTGTGTCTGTCGCTGTTTTTGTGGACCAATTTCTAGTGGAGCAGCTTGCTCTCGTGCATCTTGGTCCCCAAACCCCTCGAGATGCCAACAGCCGGCTGACGGACATGGAGGAAGGCATCCGGCAAGTGGCCAAAGTTCTTTGGGCACTCAATAGCGTTGCACTGGCGTTGAAAGAGTTCTACGAGCAACTCCCTTCCCCACACTGACTGATACCGACAAGCTTGGTGCTGGACACTTCCCATATCGCACGTCATTCGACAACGCAGCTGGGGAAATCATGTCGCTCCGCTACACAGGTTTGATGATGCCGAACCATGTACAGAAGGCGATATTTTTGGCTGAAATGCAAAGCCCGTCGGAATCAAAGCCTGTGGTGGTCAAGTTTCGCGAAGCGTTACGGTTCAGCTGGGCACAGCATGCTTGCTGCCATGGGGCTCGCGCCACAGCTGCACCACTGTGAATTTGACCCGGACCTGAGGATGTTCATGGTGGTTATGGACCATGTCAAAGGATCTCATTGGCATCGTGACAATGTTTCTGCAAGTCTCGGGAATCAACTGCGGCAGGCGGTGGAGGCCCTGCATCAGGCGGGTCTTGTGTATGGCGATCTGCGTGAGCCGAATGTCATGGTCGATGAATCCGGTCGAGTTCAATTTGTCGATTTCGACTGGTGTGGGCTGGAGGGTGAAGCAACGTATCCCCTGGACATCAGCATGGGCGCGATCGACTGGGCGGCTGATGTCGGCCCGGGGTCGTTGATCACGGCGGCGGCATGACGCATATCGGCTAAGCGGAATGGGACTCTCTGATGCGCAACAGCTTTGATTTTCTCGATGCTGCCCTCTTCGATAAGCACGCGGAATCACGTTAAAAGGTCGAGGACTCAGGCTTTCGTTGATTCTTCTGTTTTTTTTCCCGTTGGCAACTAGAGGTAAGAAGACAGAGCGGTTGTCGAGTCTCACATGTGGACTGGACTGATGAAAAGCAAACAAAGTCCTTTTCTCGGCTGGCAATACATAATTCAAGGGTAAAGTACTTTAAGTAGGTATTAGTATACTGTAAGTACATGTAATGTTGATTCAGTTTTGCGCTCGTAGTATTACTTCTCGGCATCGTCAATCTTCGTCCTGTCCTCCTTCAGCGCGTAGGTGTCGTCAACAGTTGTGTCCATCGCGATTTCCTTCATCAACAGGGAAGAAAGCAGTCCCAGTCCCGCAATCCCCCGTCATGACCTGCCAAATGGTCGCCATGCTCAACGCAAACGCCGCCTGGACCTCCTGCTTCAATGGCTCTTGGAGCTGGCGGATCACAGGTATCGCGATGTAGGCGATCTCGAACCCGGGCGGGAAGCGTGAAACAAACTCGGCTGGAAGTTTTTCGTACGAGTTGGTTCTGGGTTGGTCAGAAAAATGGGAAGGAGAGAGAACTCGCGACATACCTGCAAGACTGTACTTGCGATGGTGATGCCCCATGCCTGGAAGAAGGCACGCGTGAAAGTGAAGAGGGCCAGCGCCGACGCCGGAGCGGTTGTTTGGCAGCGGGGCGAGAATGGGGAAAACTGGCGCAGAGAACTAGGGCAAAAAATGAGTATATTCGTCTGGAAATATATCACTTGAACAAACCAGCATCCCCATCCCAACACCTAGGATGATCTGATAGCCAACCCATTTTCCCGTCGACGAGTTTTCTCGCAGCGTAGAAAGCACGCCGAGGCCAACGATGATGATGGCCCATGAGAGGTAGTTGGTAGGCCGGTACTTCTTTGATATCGTGATGGCCGCACTAGCGGACGAAGGCCATTGGGGCGGTGATGAGTGCAGCGGGGAGGAAATCCACAGCTGAACGGATCGGAGAAGCGCCAAAGCAGGCTTGGAAATAGACTGGCAGGTAGTAGATGACTGCGATGCTGGTGATAGCATGGACCGCAGTTGCCAAAAGACCGGAGAGCGATGTTCGGTTCCCAATCACGTCGAGGGGGATGGTGGGGTGGCCAGGGAACTTGGCTTCGTAGACGCCAAAAACGACCAACAAGCAAAGACCAATGATTAGCGGCGCCAAGACTTGAGCGGATTCCCAAGGATAGCGAATACCACCCCAGGTTAATCCAATTATGGCGAGTGCAGAGCCAACTATGACGAGTGCGTTCCCACTAAAAAAACGTGCTCAGAAAAAAAGGAAGTGATTCAAAAATGAACTCACATCCAATCAACCTGCGCCAGTTTGCTGCGAATAGTGCCTTCCGGTCGTTTGACGGAGAGATAGCATGTAACAAGTAAGAAAGCCAAGCCAGCAAGGGGTAGATTCAGATCTGAAGACATGATAAGAACAACATATTGATGCAGAAAAGCAACATACAGAAAAGCCAGCCGTCATGCGCTGTTGCTTGCGTTGGCCAGAGCACCTCCCTATGAATGGTCATTGATTTGTCATGCAATTGAAGGCAGAACATACGATCAGGGGGCCAATACTCTAAAGCAAAAATTGAGCGATTAGTCCAGTCAAAAAGTATAACGGCACATACCGAAGCGAATGACCAGACAAGGCCCACTAAACCTTGGTATATTCCTCGTTCGGCAAGTGGAACGAGGTCTGCGACAAGAATTTCGGAGAGCGCGAGAATTCCACCACCGCCAATGCCCTGGACGGCCCGCGCTGCAATTATCATATCCTTTGACCAACAGTCAGTAAATTAGAGAATGCGTGGCAGGTTCACTTGCCATATTCTGAGAGGCCCCTGCTAATGCGCTTCCAACAGCGAAAAAGGCAATGCTGATCAGAAGAATTGGTCTTCGTCCGAAAGCATCTGCTAAGCTTCCACTGAGAGGGATGAACGCTGTACTCAACAGCGCATATGCCGACCCAACCCATGTAAAATCACCCTTGGTGTCGTTCAATGCATCCGCAATTGTCGGTAGCGCCGTCCCAACCGCCGTCAAGTCAAGTGCAGAGAGAAAAGTCGTCACGCAGATCGCGAGAAAGCTCATGTAGAATGCACGACTTTTGCCTTTGGAAGGCGTTGGCGGCAGGTACATTGGATCTTCTTGTGCAAGTGTCGCAACTGAATTTCTCTGTGATTGCTCTTTGTCGCTCGTCATTGTCGGATAAAGGAGGGGGTTGAACTGGAACGGTGTAGAATCCATCGATCGTCTTTGGTCTTTAAGACTCTCAATTTGCAGCCAGGACGCGTCAACCTTCGAGGCAACGCAGTGCATTTGTCACCCGATTCACGCGATTATAGGGCGGCAAAATGCTATCTGCCGACGAATGAAGATATCAAAGACAGATTGCAGGGAGGTTCGGTGCCTGATAAGTAGCTTAGTAAGCACGGAAACACGCAAAAACGGGCAAACCCACTGCACGGGTTACCGCGTCCGCAGCGGTCCGCTTGTCCCCAGTTGTTGCCGCCCGCTTCATTTAGTCAATTCGCGACTATGATCGGGATATACCACAGCAGCGACAGGCGAGACGTGCATGAAAACGAGGTCATACTTCGTTCCCAGGATTGTGTCTGCGTATTTAAACTGCTGCCAAGGCTGGAAAAGCTGAATCCATCTGTTGTCTGAAGCGCAAGGCAGCCATTTTTTCCACCAATGGAGTGTTTTTGTTTAACTCGAAAAGACGTAGACGTTGGCCGAGCTCATATGTGGTCTTCAGAGCAACATGACCCCATGCTAACTCAGAGCCGCAGAATGCTTGATTGTATGCGAGTAGAATTGAATTGCAGTGGAAACAGAATCGAGGGGAATATCCTTCAGCGTATAAGAAAAGGGTGATACTACTGCAGACACTGCTGACCTTCACGCTCCTCCTGGAACTGAACACCACTATCATTTAGGGGAAAGGACTTGAAGTTGCGAATGGGGGAATCGGTGCAGAAAGAGTAGCTTGTGGGTTGGGTTCGTCAACGTTGGCGCCAAATTTCTGATGCACACGTGACAATTTCCCCCTCTTGCTCTTCGATTCCGACAACGACCACAAACACAGTGACTGAGATATGGCCAACAATATAACTTGCTCTATCAGATAATCAAGCCTGGTGCTCTCAAGTCGAAGCTCGTCCAGGCATGAAACATTTGACCGCCCACCATCTCAGCATCGCCAACTATTTGCTAGTACGACTGCGACGAATTCATATGACCTGCTAGCAGGACCATTTCTGAGCATGTACAATCCGCGTATTGGGCACACGTCTGGGGACAGCAAGGCGGTAGTCGGTTCGTCAACCATTCGACCAGAAAAGCAGTAGCAGTGGTCTGACCCGTTTCGTGGCCTTTCAGCCAGTTTTTAATAATGCAATGGACAGATATTCGCCATCCTTAAAATCTTGAGGGGCATCCACAGTGTAAATGAGTGTGGGTAGCGTTGTGCTTTTTAAAAAGTTGTTGACAACTCAGCGACCAGTGTAGACCGTGACCGTCGACATTGTGGAGACGATTCGACTCTACGTGTTGCTTGCGCTCAATGCAGGCGAGTGGGACATAGTTGGCTTATGGTCGTCGTAAAGTGAAGGCTCAAGACGCAAACTTGAATTTCATCTGTTTGGGAAATCTACAATGAGTGCTATCGGCTCGTTCAACTCTACTGTCACCGTGACTGTAATGAGTTGGAAGAAATATCCTACGTGTCGTCTTGGTCGGTGCAGGTGTTACTCATTCAATCCACGACATGATTCGTCAGACCGTGGACGAACTTTGCCCACAGTTGGCCGCATTGAAGGATAACGCAATGGGATTTCCCCTCTTGAAATCAAAGGCATGCACTCAGCGCAACGATCTACACGCACAACCAGGAAATGCTGAAAACTTTGTTCAACTGATTTCCAAGAAAGTATAAAAGGTGAGAATCCCTGTCCGTCACGATCTCCCTGACAGAAGCTGTCTTGGTCTTGGTTGCACTTGCGGATCACGGGTTGGGAGCCACATCCGTGTTAATAGCAGGCCGCTTCCGAAACATACTCCAACTCTTCGCCCTTCTGCGAAGGCGTTAAATACTAGATTACTACGATGTTTTTTTTGCTGTGTTCTCTCAACTTGCTCCTTCCCACTTGATGCCGCATCGTCAACACCACCATCACCACTAGTTGCCACAACTGGACACCGCGGTGACGACTGGCCTGCTGACCTTATCCTCCGCCGCGAATATGTGAACAGGGGGGCCGCGGCACCCTTGCAAGTTTGGAGCATTGTCATCTGGCGTCCGGGCAACTGTCTCTCTACTCACGTGTGTTGCTCGGGAGATGAGCAAGGTGACCAGCTTTGATCCTTCACCAGTCGACTGTCAAAACTCAAGACTAAAGGTAAACGGCAAACGTAGGATTAGCGGTGACGACGGCTTGCCTGCTCATCTTCCGAAGCTTAAAATGCGCGAATTGGGCGGAGCTCCGGCACCGTTTAAAAAATGAGCCTTGCCGTCTGGTTGCCCCAGGTAGCCGGGCAAGCGCCATTGTTCACGTATCACGCTCGGGAGATGAACCAGGTGGCCAGCTTTAATCCCTCGCCAGTTGAAGTCGACTCCTTACTTATGTGTTTCTAGCCCATGTTGCGACGTTTCCTATGCGTGAACTGTGTGAAGCACTGGTCGCCCGTCCAAGTGGAGGCCTGGTCGTCTGGCTGCATGTAGCCGGACTAGCGCCGATACTCACGGGTGAGCCAGGTGATCCCTCACCGATTTACTGGGTTGGATAGAGGTGCTGGGGAGCAGTTGTGTTGTGAAGAGGATTTATTTGTCGTGAAGGTCCTGGTGGAGGATGCGCCCCCTTGACGTGGGCACCAGGCTTGAGAACTAAGCGCGCATCTTGTAGTCACTGTCTCATTGTGGTCATGTAGAAGAACGGCTGTAGGCGTCGGAGAGCAGAACACGATTGATCAGGATTGATCACGCGTGAACTGCCATCACATCACTGTCATCACAGAACTGTCAGGAAACAAAACCGAAATGTGCATGTACTTGCACCTCAGTTGCATGTCACCCTCCAATCGCCCTCTCTAATGCTCTCACTTGACCACCCTCCACAAAAAAATCTGTCCACTATGCCTCAACAATGTTGTCCGGGCTCTTTCACCCACATATCCAAAGCCTCAGTTAAAGCTGGATACTCTTTGACCTCAGCATAGCGGCGACAGAATTTTTTCGCCTTTTCTTGCCTGCATGTGGAAGGCCGATTCACGATCAGCGTTAATGGATCTTTCGAGGTTCCGTCATGGATTTTCAGACATACTTTTAGTGACTGAGGGTAGAGCGCACACGTTTGGCAGTCATGCATTTGCTTTTGAAAGAAATGACGTCCAATCTAGGACAAGAATTCAATGCATACACCTAATGTCACGACGTGACCCTTCGCGACACCCTTTTCCTCCTTCCTCGATGTCGATGTCCAGATTCACTACAGCGTGGTCGGTTTTCGGTCTTTGACTCATGTCTTAACCTCGCTCTTACTTATTTCAAGGATCCCGACTCATGGACAACATGTCTTAGCCTCTTTTTTTATTATTCGTGACATCCTTCTCTTCGTGCGTGGACTCGAACTGCCTCCTGCTTACATCTCTAATACCTATGCCAGATATTCGAACATTGCAGTCCATATGATCTCGTGCAGCTTAACGCGACTTGCCGAACCTTTCGTAGCTTAATTCGCGACCAACCGCACCTCTGGGACTACTCTTTCCATAATATGGCGCGAGGAGCCTCTCCTGCTTTGCCTCCGTGTCCTCTCATTCAATCTGCTGGCTACTCGATCCCTGCGTATATCACTTGGATTTTCGGTGGCGGCCCGTGTTCAGTTCAGGTGAGGCAATTCAGCAAACCATATGCGCATTGACACTGACACCGATTTCAGGAATGTGAGAAATTTTCCAAGGCCCTGCCATTTGACTTTGTATGGGGATTTCGTGCTTGTTCGGTGCGTTTCATATCTTAACGAAGCCGACCTTAACTCACTCATTCAGCCGGATTGCGAAGTCAAATTGACGTCGTATGCTTTCATTCGCCTTTGCATGTTCCAGACTGAGCAGCCATCCAGTGAAGAATATCTTCACTATGACTGGAACTGCCAATTTCGCACTCTCGGAATGTTTCGTCATCTGCCTCATGTGAAAGTCGTTTCTCATGGGATGGACGTCGACCTCTATCCGAAGCAAGCCATCGTGACGTCTGGTATGACTCTCACAGGAAATATTCAGATAATGCCACTACAAACCGTAAGACATTACCTCGTTGGGTTTCATTTCTTTGAAGGTGACTTTACATAGCCAATTACTACTCAAGACCGCCAACTACTTGACGATGTATGAATATGCTTCCCGTTCCAGGTGTCAACTGACTATCTCAGAATGCGTCGGAGTTGAAGAGCTGGAAAACGAATTACTTAGTTGAGACAAAGGCGGTGACACGAGCAAATATGGAATTGTACGCTTTGCGATCTATCTGTCGAGCTGGGGTTCAAACTCATATCGTCTTAGTATTCTCAAACGCGCAAATGAAGACCTCGAGAAAGCCAAAAAGCTTCTTCAGTACAAGGCTGTCAGAGCAGCCGTGGCTGTCTTCTCCCGTGATCTTCAGCTTTTGACCGAGTGTGGTTTGTGACCGTCGGTTTCCCTTGAGATGCAATGACAAGTTTCAGTTTGGACGCGGCTAGACATCCCAACTGAGTTGAAGGCTCATTGTCCCATTGGTACGCATGTTATGTTGTATGTACATGAACCCTGAAGCGAGGTCTCATCAGATATCTTAGCGGCACAACCAGACAAGCAGTGTTGTGGTGACTGCCCGAACTCGAAGCGTCTGTTTACTCCGCAATCCCTCGAAAGCCATCAGTTGGCTAAGTGTGTTGAATCATTATTAAACAGCTCAAGCACCGATGACTAACTTGCAGACATCCCCACCTTGTGGTGAAACAGCCTTGTCCTGAGGAGTTTGCGCCGTATGCGTTCAAAGCTCATCGCTTATCTCGGTGCGTCTCTCGTCAATTAAGAGTCTGAGCACCGGCTGACTGAGTTCAGACATCCAGCAATGGCGCAACCATTAGCAAACTTGAAGCGTTGCGTTGACTGTCCGGCCTTGAATCGCCTCTTTACTGAGGATTCCCTTGAACACCACCAGCAAGCCAAGTTTGTCTATCTTCATTCGAGAGTTCGAGCACTCGATGACTGGTTTGCAGACATCCGGACCGTATAGTGATGCAATGTTGTGGTGACTGCCCACAATCTGCTCAGATGTTCACCATGAGCAGACTTCGAGCCCATCGCCTGGCCAAGTATGCCTACTGCCGTTTGAAAACCTGACCACTCGCTAACTCAGTTGCAGGCATCCAGCTTGAGTAAGCCTTCCCTTTGCCAATTCTCCCACGATTACCATACAGTCTACCATATAAACCGAACGCACTTAACTACACTACACTACACTACGATTACGGAACCAAATATCTTCACAGTCGACGAGTAAGACTGAAGGTAGAATAGATCAGCAATGAAATTCGTAGCTTATTTAAAGGCCCGAGAACGAGACCATAAACATGAACAATATGGTTAAGACGATGAGGAGGAGGACCAGACAAGTCGTCCCGGCTCTTTCCACGCAAATGCCGAGTGCGGAGACGCGTCTTCGTAGTTCCCCTCGAGCTTGGCCTCTGTTTCCTCCATCGCCCGCTTGTCTTTCTCGAGCAACTCAGCAAAGTAGACTGAGTTGCGCTTCAGCTGCTCGGCCATCACTGCCGTTTAGTGCAGGCGGAGTGGTCGACGCAACAATCTGCTGATCTAGCAAAGAGTGAGATGGCTTGTTCACTGTCGGTGCGAGAAGCAAATCCTTGTTCTATCATGTGTTTAGCATAAGACCATCTAAACAAGTCAACTTATCGTACAGGACTACGTCCAACTGACGCGCCCCGAAACGAAACTGAGGCGAAAATGCTCGTCCCACGTCAAGCATCGAGATCATTCGGTAGCGAACCGTTGTTAATTTTTTCCAGCTGTGTTTGCGTATAAAAATCGCGCATGGTCTTGCTCAACTCTAGACTGCCCGAGTCACTTAATACCAGGGTGCGTCTTGGAAGGGGATGAACACGAAGGAGTGTCCGCGTGAGTTGTCTGATCAGCTGCAAGGGACCAAAAGAATGTCGTTGGCCTGGCCGGCGTAGCTGCCATTCGCTCAATCCGCTGCACAATTCGTCAAATCGTCGACGAACTTCGCCTATGGTTGGCCGCATTGAAGGATCAGGTAACGTCATTTCCTTGACGAGTGGTTCAAGGAATCGGAGGGATGGACGAATGGAGTGCTACACTTGATTAAGCGCTAACGCTCGATACTCGTAAAACAGGGAAACGTGCCTTTTTCGAATCCTCCGGGGGATAAAGGAAATCTTCCTTCAAGAGATTTCCGAGAAAGTATATGTCGGTGGGGAAAGGGTTGCATGCGAAAAGGGTTTTGTGTTCTGGTGGTGATTTGTCCCCTGCAAGGATTATATCTTCTAAAGGCGGCCCATCGGCCGGGTCATATTTTTTAGAAAGGCCAAAGTCTATCAGATAATAACGCGGCCAGCATTCGGTGCGAGTGATGTGATTTGCACGGTTGCGAGCTTCAGGGTCTTGCCAGGTGTGGATTGGATGGTACCCAACAGGAAACAGCAGGGTTGGGTCTTGGACGATATTGAAATAACAGCAGTCACTGAACAGACGTCATGATCATGGGTTGGCGACAAGGCAAACGACTTACCGGTGAGCAACGAAGTTTTCATGCATAAATTCAATACCCTTGGTTGCATGAGACAGTCACATAGACCAGGGCCAACAGGCGCACCTCGAAGATTTGTCTGAAGCAATCGACCACTTCGCCCACAGTGTCGAACTTGGGAACGGAGAACTCAATGAATCGAGGCATGACAAGGATTTGTTTTTGAGCGTCCTCCGGGTCTTGGAGGACATCTAGAATAGGAATGCAATGGTTCCTTGGGTTTGCAGCCAATGGAGGGGAGGAGAACATGAGGGCAATTTCCACTTCGTCAGGATGGACGCTGCTTCGTACGGTCTTGAACATGACTGGCTTGTTGTCAACAATACGATGCGCGTCCATGATGCTGGACTTCTGCACGGTTATTAGCGGGGCAGTATTGTGGACGAGCCACCAACAAAGTGAACGGCCTCATATTCGCGCAACGCCCACCATCCAGCGTTGGGAATGTACTCTGGATTGAACTTGGGACGGAGACGATAGCCAGCTGTCTCAAGAAAAGCCCGACGCTCGAACCAATATAGTTCGTGTGTCTGGCGATGCAGCGCAAACGCCGACATTGCAGGGATGAAGCCTGCGGGTAAAGTCGTGGCAAGAAGTCGTGAGGCATAGATTCTTTGATCACCGTGGGAATTTGATTCGAGAGGTAACTTTTGACAGAGAACGTTGAACTTCGTCTTACGATTGGCCATCCAAGTTACTGTACTTTTATTAACCTTTGTATGCACACCTCATGGTGCTACATACTTAAGCTTGACAATGACCGTGGGGTCAAGGTGACCTACATCTTACTTCCTCCATGTCCGTCTTCTACCCACCTGCGACAACAGCCAAAAAAACACTGAAAACAATGGACAAAAGTCTCGACGAGCTTGAGCAAACCGGGAAATACTGGACGAAAGAAGACGATCTCCCGGAAGTTGTATCAACTTACTCAAAGGACGTGACTCGGACAATCTCATCGCAGTTCTCATGCTAACAAGTAATCTAGGCAAGCGACTCGACGCGATAAGCTATGTGCCAAGATTAACGAGTTACCTCTTCGTGGTACTTTCAGTGTTGAAACTCGCAAAACCGCGGCGACATTGCATCATGACGCGCAAGTGCTCAAGGATAAGATCGTAGTATGCAGTTTCCATCTCCGCTTTGGATCTTCTCTGACACTCGATGGAAGAAAACATCCAACGAGAAACGGAAACACTTGCCCTCGAGCTCGACTGCCGCTCAGGTCGGAAACCAATATACAGAACCCGAGAGCTCTGAAGTCGATATCGTTATCCCTGAAAGGTTCATCGCTCTTGTCCCCATCAGAATCCAGCTCACATTATTCGGAGGCCACCAAAGAGAGTTGACCCATTGATGTTTGTCCAGTGTTATTGCCACTAATACAAGCCACTGAATCCAGTATCAGTGAGAAATTGGATCTCGTGGTGCGTTGTCTGCCATCGCAATTGCAATCATGTTGCTGTGAACGTGTTCCATTTTGTTAGAAGCAGAAAGAGCATCGTGTGCTCTCACTGGTGAAGCCCCCGGACACAGCAGTCCGTCCATTCTATATGAATGAGACGACTAAGGTGGGTTCCTACCTTCGTGTCTCCGCCTTTATGATTGAACGACCACAAAGAGAAATAATGTTCCGCGCAGAGGTCAACTGAGGGTCCAAAACCCTGATCCCCCAGCTCGGCACCATCAGCGGTAAGCCATGCATATATTCGACACCGGCTTCCTTCACTTTCGCAAAGTCTCAGCCAGGCCACCCACAACGCCGATGAGGGTTCCACAGCCGCTGGTTCTGTACATGAGACGGAGCCGAGTGAAGACGACAACCACACAGACGCTAGTCACTGCGCTGATGACGCCTCTCAGAGAAACATGGACGATGTTGACGATGTTGCGGCGGACATTCTCAGCAGCGCGATGCACTTGTGCCGGCCTGCCGCGCGACGTTGAGAGTTGAATAGTGCATTTGTATAGACTAGGGGGTAGTTAGATTATTGGTACATCTTCGGGTTCCAGCAAGATAACTGAATGCTAGCGCAAGTCCTACTCAGGACTTCATAAAAACAAGCACACTCTCATAAACTGCCCAGCCAATAGCTAAAGAAACCTGTTCTCAGCGATGCGAAGGGGCACGCAAGATAAATACCTGAGCTGAAGATTTTGCGTGATAGGCGTAGCGAGGCTCCATCAAAGAAGCCTAAAATTCCACGTTGCTAAGCATACAAGATTTGAGCCACTATAGCTGCGATCTGTTCACGTCGGCGCACCTGCCATATCGTTCTTGTTGTCCGAAAGAAGCCATCATATCGGTTCTCGTTTCGTACTTGCACTTTGGTCTATCCTCGAGTAAGACCGAGTTCGACGACGTCTAGGTGGGAATCACCTTGATCACATCGAAAGGGTGTGTTGCCATTGTTGCGATGGCTCCAGCTGAGGCGCCGCTTATGGTATGTATAAAGGCAGATTGAGTCTCTGAGTGTGAGGGAAATGCAGAAGCTGTTTTGAAATCAACCCAATGATAACTAGCCCATAGCTGGTCCTCACCAGATTGTTTTTTGATGCCTTCGTAAACAACTACGAAAATTCCTGCGTAGGGCGCGTCTCTTAGCGAAGATGCCAGGAATCCACGAAAGAGTTCAGAGGGGCCCGAACGCGCTATTGAAGCCAGTGCGCTGGACAGACTTGTATATGAGTACATGTTACTCTGATGAACAGTGAGCACGACCGTGGGTATTCACTGAATGACACATACCTCGTATCTCGCTTTCAGCACAGAAAATGGATTGAGTAGGAAGCCAACGGCAACCCTGGCAGTTGCTCCAGCAATGAGGTTCCCCTGGCTGCTGAGTTTCGGGAGAACAGACGTGCTTTGGGTTTCAGACCGTCCAGAGACCGAAAAATAGGCCGAGTTGGCCATGACGGTGCGCAGTTGAGTTAAACTCGTCATATACAGAGATACCCCAGGGACATTTCGCACGAGACTTGCGCCAGTGCCCCGCCATAATCCGGCAATACCTTGTGAAGCGACAATTTGTCGGCTGGTTTGAAGGAGAGACAAAGGATTCCGCACTGTCTGCGCGCCGTCGCCTTGTTGCAGTCGCGTTTTCAGAAGATCAACTTTTGAGTTCGGGGAGTTAGGAGGGGATATTCAGCGGTATTGAACGTTCTGACACGGTTGGAGAAAGATCGTCGACGCGAAACCAGAGAGCGCGCCTGGAGGGACGAGTGTGGGACAAAATAGAAACAAAAAGAAGACGCATTCTGCTGACCGGAGCCCATTTGCTGTTTGATATTGCTCATTCCTCAACAAACGATACGCTTTTCAGAAAAGTTTGCCTCGAAGCAGGATGGAGGAAAGCGGGTCGTGGTGTGACCAGTCGTGACACACAACTTGGCTTAAACGACAATGGAGGGCAGGGCGCCAATTCCAACCGCAACCAAAGGTGCCCGGCAATTGAGAGCATGTCTTCTCTGCTCTATCGTACTTCAGCCTATCGACTTTCGAAGGCAAGGCTGCCCGAACTGCGAGGAGATCCTGCAGGTAACTTCTTCGTTCGTTTTTGCTCAGTTGCTGACTCAAAGTCCAGATGAAAAACTCTGGAGACCGAATCGCATCGTGTACTACGACTTACTTTGACGGAGTTATTGCCGTCATTGATCCAGAGAATAGCTGGGTCGCCAAATGGCAGCGGACTTGTTTGTTTCCAGTTCCATACCGTTCGTTGTTCATTGGCTCAACCTACCACCCTAGCGAAATATGTCATTGGAATGTATGCTGCTCGCGTCAAGGGACGTATTCCCGAAGATGTTGAAGCCGAACTCGAAAGCCGTGGCATCAAATACCGTCCCAGAGACCAAACTGAGATGGACTGACTCGTTTGAAAGGAAAGTGGATTTGTCATGTGTGTCCTATACGTTGTGAGTGCTTTACAATATTGCTCTAATTACAATTATTCTACATTTACCCAAATAGATGTACAGCAAGTTAACTCCGCCCAGAAGGATTTCACAGTAACGAATGCAGGGCTTGGTCGTATTGGTGGGGCATATGAGCGCTGTAGAGAAGGGATCAGAACCGCGACAAGGCTATGCAAGGCATTTGGGTACCTTAGCATGTCGCGAGCAAACACTATCTGCGAAAACACTTTCTCCGGCTCAAGCACCTCAAATAAACGCAATTTGTCTGGTGCACTGTCTGAATTCGATGTCTGTCGATGAGCTGGAGCAAAGTCGTTGTCCCGCATCGCCCATAACACTCGCCCAGGCGGCACCATATTCGCCCAATGCATGTTGGCCTCCAACGTTTTGCGAACGGAAATAAACTGTGGCTTGTCAAGCTCTCTGATCAGACCAAGTCAAGGTTACTTACCCAATGAGGATCATCTTCGGTGCCTGTCCCTGCCCTCCACCGCTTCGCTCGTGAAGTCACCGCAGAATACCCAGCTGCGCTATTTGGCGATATTGTGCTGGCAGGTTCTTCACCATCGCATAGCCACATCGCAGCATTCCCCAGGTCTCGAATTGCGCCCAGATTGAGACGAGAGACGACGTCATGTGAGTAGACAAAAGACGTTATCAGTCGTTCGGAAACTTTGCCCAAAGCAGGGTCAACCAGGGACGGTGGGGCAAAACAGTAGACGGAAACTCGTCGGCCAACTGGTAATCCGCTAGCTGGAATTGTGAGACAGGTCTTTGGATCGGCCCACATCATCCCTAGAAGACCAGCGACTCCAGCCCCAAGACTGTGACCACACAAAACAAGGTCTGACAAATATAAGATAAGATAACAACATCCCGACCAGACACTTACCGTAATCGGGGTTATGATGAAGGGCCTCATGGACAGCCAATTGTACTGGTTTGCCCACCCCACCCATTACTCGAGCCATTCGCAGCATCCCTCCGTGAACATGATATTGTGAAGACGCAGTTGGGGCATGAGCCTCGGCTTGTGGTCTGGGGAATATAAAACGGCCAGGTACACGATGAAGATCATCCTCAGTCATCGCAGGAGTTGTCGCCGGCTCGAACTCATCTTCTTCACAAGTCAGATCTGCCGCTATTTCGTTGAGACTCATTGTTCCTGCTTTAGTTGAGTACAAGCGATAAGCAAGAGAGACCTTGCACCTCGTAAAACTAATACTATTTGGCCTCTGGTGTTTTGTGAGATGGAAAAAGAACGAAATAAGGCTGACTAACCTTGAATGATCCGTTAAAACCCAATAACGAGGCATAAGGTGCTCCGCCCCAATTTTGGCAGTGGATCGCATCTTCTCCTGAACATCTGCGTCCGCCTTATCAACCGAAGTGTTGGCATACCGTTCGAAAATCTCATGATCATGCTTTCCTAACAAAACGTCCCACCACGAATATTGTGCATCGCCTGGTCCAGAAGGGGCGCTGAACTCTGAGAAATCACCTGCGGCTTGAGCTTCAGACGCATCGATCGCATGCGCTAAATTGGCTTCCTCCGCTGCCTTTTGTGATGCAGAATTTGCAGACGCGGGACCATGAGGGGTAGTCAATGATACTCCAAAGAATAACAAACTCGCGCCACCGTAACCTGCAAGTACAAGTTTAGATAGGCGTCGGAGAGTAGTCTTGAGTTGAGCGTTAGTAAGCCTTCGGGGCTCTGGTACGACAGTGGGCCGTTTAGATATAGGTGCAGATGGTTTGCCGCTCATAGTAAAAAAGGATTGGGCTCGGATTGGATTTGCTTCGCCGATGTCGGCAACAATAAGTTGACCACTATGGTTTGGAAATATTATATCAGACGTCACGCGAACCCTTGAGTTTCTGCAGCATGCCCTCAGCATGAAAATTGGCACGAAAGACCAATCTACCCACCGTCTTGCGCGCATAATTGACTCAAAACTCTTCGGCACATCTTTCACTGGTATCTCCCGCATATGTTTGAGCCATCGCGTCTCATCCCATTCCTGAGTTACACCCTGCAGTGCAACCCAAGCAACAATGGCCCTTGCTAGTTGGGTGATGCCAAATTGTCGCTCAGGAAGACTGGCCCCCGCGGGAGGATGTTTCAGCTCGCGTTTGACAAGTGTGATGAACGACGTCAGCGAAAATGCTGCCTCGCTGCTACTGCTGCCAGTAATTGCAGAAAGCAGGTTTATAGAGCTATGGGCCGCTAGAAGACTTGTCGATGTAATATACTCGCTGGCAAAGATGGGCTTTGCCAAATGAGCCGATTGTGGACCAAGCACAAGCACTCACCGCCATAGCAATCGCCTCTGCCACTGATAGAACGGTCGAGACTGCTCCGCTAACTATGGGTCGTGCAACATAGATTCCACCAAATAGTGTGTGGTCGACAACGGAAGCAGTAATTCCAACAGCAGTCGAGGTGACGCCCCGGGTTACAGCGAACCCGAGCCGGGTGGTGGTCTTGACTGCATGAAACCCCCAGCTAGATAGATTCGAAGCTGCGTCGATAGTTGTGCGAGTGTAGGTATCCCAAGTCATGGTAGTTCGGAGCAAAGAATCATTATTGCATCGCGACGCATGTGAAATCACGTTGACTGCCAGTCTTCCAGATTTGGCAATTTGTGAGCAGCTATCGCGCGATGTTTTTTTTGGTGGAGTACAAGTACAAGAGACGGACTACTAGCTAGATAAATATAACACAGCGTCTCCACTAATGAAATCCATGTAGATAGCGTAAGGCAGTAAGATACAATCTAGAGAGCAACACCACGGACAGAAAAGCACAACAAGAGAGAGGAGCCAACACACACCACCATCATGAGCCACCGCCCGTAGCTCGCCGTCGCCGCATAGATCGTTTGGAGGACTGCTCAGTCGCTGGCGCGGGTGGTTCTTTGCGTTTGAGTGATGCAGCAGGAAGTGATGGTGTGCCACCACTGGTACTGGCGGTGGGAGTTGATGCGGAAGCAACTGAGCCTTTCGCGGGGATAGTCTTCAGTTGTTTTTGCGGTGAATTAGCGGCTGATGGCGGCTGATTTTGGGGAGAGCTCATAGAGGAGGTCGGTTGGGGAGGGGGTGGATTCGTGACAGAAGGCGGAGCACTTGAATACAGTGTACCAGGTAGCGAAGAACTACCCTGGAAAAACGAGTTTGGAGGAGCACCGTTCATGATGGCCTGCTGTGGATGTTCTTCTCGCAGTTTGTCCGTAAAAGATTTGAGAGCAGCTAAAAACCATTAGGTGAGGAAACAGATACGAAGCTCAAGACACACAAAGTGGTCCCATATCATGCTCTTTCGCAAAAGTTATCAACTCCTGCATCTGCCCGACGCTTTCCGCAAGCTGAGACATATGAGATCCAAACTGAAGAGAATGATGCGATTGACGTACCTCCAGACACCGCATTGTAGCTTGAGGGATCCCAAAAGCGTTCACAGGTTCTCCAGGTATCGAAGCGTTCTCTAAAACAGCACGTGGCTCCTCCCACTGTTTGTCCTCCTCGACCATCCCATTGGCCGAAGCCGCAGGTGACTCCTCCTCCCTTCTGGTCCCAGCTATCGAATCGAGTGCAATATATTTGTCGTGAGAGTGAGCGTCGAACTCAAAATCGTCGAATTTGATAACGAATTGAGGATTTGTACCAGAAGCAGTCGATCCAGGAGCAGGAGCGCAGAGAACAAGATGTACAATTAACGGACCGCGTAAGGTCACGACATGGCCGTTGTTATATCGGCAAGTCCAAACAGCAGCGACGCATTCGATGATTGCATGTCCTGGGGCATATAACCGCTCGCGCGCGCCGTCAAGTGAGAAAGACATCGATTTGACGCCAGATTGAGTGGTCACAAGAAAAAACCGCGGAAGTATAGGCACACCAATTTCTATGAGAAATGAGGTGGTGAAACCCAGAAGATGGCAAATCGCGTACCAAATGGTTTTGCTTCATTTTTCATGCTATCCCGCCACAAAGTGAGCTTCATGATGGCTTTGGGCGTGAAATACTCCTGAATCATGTTGTGCCAGAATGAAAGGTTTAGTTTTTGTCGCTGAGCTTGTCGTTAGGGATACAAACAAAAGGGTAATACAATAATACCACTCACGAGAATTTGTGGCGTGTCAGAACCTAAGACTCCACTAAACTGCATGACGCGGAAGAGTCCTTGGCCGTGACCCAGCGAAAGAGCCGTCATGTCCGCCGCTGGTGGTCTGGGCACTGTCTGGGTGAGAACAGCATTGGCATCTGGAGGGGAAGCAGAGGCAGATAAAAGGGTGCCATCTGATGCGGGAGGAGGAGGTCCTTGGGTCGGAGGACGTGGGGCAATGGGCTGTGGATGAGAAGAAGAGCCGGAGCTTTCTGGTCGCTGGTTTGATGGCGGTAGAGGTTGTGGCGGTTGAGGAGGCATGCGCACATTCCCTGCAGGGCGAGGTGGTTGAGATGGGCCAGCAGCGCTCGATAGCGGCCTGCCTGGTGGTTGCTGAGGCTGCTGTGGCTGTGATTGTGGACGGGGCATAGGCTCAGGGTGATGTTGTTGTTGGGAAAGTGGGCGAGAGGGGATGAAGAAATTATTATCGTGCGGGTGCTGCATCGACAATTGGGTCGGGGTGGGAAAGCCTCCAGCATTCCGCGGAGCCCCCGGAGGAAACTGCTCTGGTGGTACGGGCGAGCCACCGAAAGGAAATGAGGCCCGAGGCGGGAATTGGTTTTGTGGTGGGAAATCGTTGAACATGGTGTCTGGGTGGACGCGTTGAGGCATGCCTCCTCCCATTACAGGTGTATGAGAACGCGGCGAAGGCGGTGGTGGATTCGCAAAGGCCTGGTTTGGCTGACCCAAACTATTCATAAGTTGTTGGCCAGGTGGCCGTGTAGGCGTTCCAACGAGTCCTCGCATCATTTCAGCTTGGCGAACTTGTTGTTGCTGCATCATCATCCGCTGCATATTCTTGTTGAATAATGCTCGTAAAACTCGAGGAGGAAAAAAAGCAGATACTACGCACCTGTTGTTGCTGCTGCTGTATATGCTGAGGGTTGCCTGTCATGAGACCAGGGTTTGAAGCAACTCTACGGGTACCAACTGGCCCAGGCATCATATTTGGCGGAAAGCCCATTCCTGGATTCATTGCTGGTGGCATTCCTGACATGGCAGGGTTCATCGGCCGACCAGGCCCACCTCTCATCGGCAGTGAACGAGGGTCCATATTGGGAGGAAAACGCCCGCCTTGAAGCATTGCCATGGGAGGATTACCTGGCTGCTGGAAGGCGGGGTTGTTCAGAGCAAAACTCTGGGGGCCCTGGCGCAAAATCGGGTTGTAGTCGTCGTGGAAGGTAGCCATTCATGCGCCCCGACTGTGACGGGGAAGTGTGACATTTAGCGATGGTCAGAAAACTCAAGTACCACGAACAAAAACTCCTCAAGAAAGTCGATTTCTTGAATGTATGCCTTCGTTTGACGCTCTAAGGCTTCTCAGGCATGTTATAGTGGAAACAAGATGCAAATCTACGCGAAATAAAAGTCATGCGGAGGTACCATATCCAAAACCGCGAAGACTACACAAAGTAAACAGTGGCAACTCTTTGCGTACCGCTCTAAGGCCACTCAGATACAACAAGCTATGTGGTTCGCTGCGATCCTTCGCCCACCGAATATCCTTGCTCCCCGCCCAAGATCCATTTCGCGCAAGAATGGAGGCCCAACTTCTCTCCAAACTATACGATATGGGCGTTCTGAACACCATGGCAAAACTCAGCGACGTTGACAACAAGCTTACCGTGTCTGCTTTCTGTCGTCGTCGACTGGCCGTATATATGTGTATGTCCAAAATGGCAGAAACCGTCAGCGCTGTGAGTTTTCCCCTTTCCCTTTCAATATGGTTCAGCTCGCCTTCGATTTTGGTCTGATAACGCGCACTTTGCCGACCACTCCGGGCGAAAGCTGTTGAGTGTTGACCACGATTGTTGTGGGTCTGCATGTATCGCGAAGAGAACCAGAACGAGTCATCTTTTATCAAAACTACCTTCGACGGTTACGATCCTCCGAAAATTCGAATGCTAGCTTACACTTGTCTCAGGCTGCCAAATTCATCGAGCAAGGCCACGTCCGTGTCGGACCCGACACAATAACCGATCCTGCATTCCTAGTAACAAGGTTCGTCCTCTCTTTTACTGCTTCGGGAGATTTGCAGCTTTCATTACACCAGACACATGGAGGACTTTGTTACTTGGGTCGATACGTCCAAACTGAAACGCACAATAATGACCTACAATGATGAGGTGGGTGTCCTACTTAACCCTCGTTTCCCTCACTAAATGTTATCAGCTTGATGATTTCGACTTGCTATAGCATTTGGGTTAAAACGCTTGCCGCGTCTGGTCTATGGGCTTTGTAGCTAGTAGCATTTCTACTAGACATTCGCTGGGCTTGAGCATCTGTGTAATAATCACAAGTCATCCACGCGTCAGAGCGCGCTTGCAATTGATCAGAACATTGTTGTCAAGCAAAGGCTTTCTTTTCTGTTGACCACGACCCTAACTAATTTCTTGGTTTTCTCTCTGGCTCTTCCTCGTAAACACGCTCTCTCTGGACCATGGCGGAGTCGGGCGATGGCAACATCAAGGTCGTAGTTCGATGTCGACCCTTGAACTCGCGTGGTGCGCCCCACTTCTACTGTCTCTCCAAACCGCAAGCAAGCTAAACAGATCATTCGTAGAGCTCGCCCGCGGAGCAAAGCCTTTGATTCGGATGGAGGGCAACCAGACCATGATTGACCCTCCAGAGGTTGGCTCAGCCCAAGATTCAAAACGGGCCACGGAGCGAAAGACGCTGTCGTTTTCGTTCGACAAATCGTACTGGTCGGCGGGCGACCGCGATGAGCCGCGCTATTGCTCGCAGCAGACCCTATATGATGACCTGGGCGTGGAACTACTGGATCATAGTTTCAATGGTTTCAATGCGTGTATTCTCGCTTGTGAGTTGTCTTTTCCCTGACTTGAATGCACTCTAAGCTTATATATAGACGGCCAAACCGGTGAGTTTCGCGCTATGGGGAGAGGGGGGATGCTGATGAATGAAAGGGTCGGGGAAGTCTTACAGTATGATGGGATGTGAGTGTTCCCTTATCTCACTGGGTGGCACTTAACTCGGTCTAGATGGGGCGGACAAGGGAATTATCCCACTCACTTGTTCGGAGTTGTTTGTGCGTGTAGAGGATAAGAAGGCGAAGGATCCTAATGTCAATTTCACGGTCGAGGTTTCCTATATTGAGGTGCGCCAGTCCTCCTCCTTCCTTGCGAAGAATATAATTATTCGTTTTAGATTTACAACGAAAAAGTACGGGATCTACTTAACCCCAAAAACACGGGCAATCTGCGTGTCCGAGAACATCCAAGTCTTGGCCCTTATGTCGAAGATCTCTCGCGTTTGGCTGTAAACAGCTATACTGAAATGATGACGCTCATGGACGAGGGAAACAAAGCACGAACTGTTGCCGCGACTAACATGAACGAGACTTCTTCGCGGTCCCATGCTGTGTTCACCCTCCTCCTGACCATGAAACGACACGATGTAGAAACAAATATGGATACCGAGAAGGTATCTCGGATTAGGTTGGTACCTCTATCTTAGTCTGGGTCGATGCTGATGGCCTGTTTAGTTTGGTCGATTTGGCCGGGTCCGAACGCGCAAATTCCACTGGTGCGACTGGGCAGCGACTTAAAGAAGGTGCCAACATCAACAAGTCGCTCACCACGCTCGGCAAAGTCATATCATCACTCGCTTTAGCCAGCCAGAGTGACGGAAAGAAGGGGAAGAAAGGGAAGGCAGAGGATTTCGTTCCATACCGCGACTCGGTATGTATCATCACCCACCAGTTGCAACTTCCCTTGTGACTCGGCTCAGGTTCTTACTTGGCTGCTAAAAGACAGTCTTGGAGGCAACTCGAAGACAGCAATGATCGCCGCTATCTCGCCTGCAGACTACGAAGAAACACTGAGTACTCTGCGCTACGCCGATCAAGCAAAGAAGATTAAGAATAAGGCGGTCGTCAACGAAGACCCCAATGCGAAGCTGGTGCGAGAACTGAAGGAGGAACTGGAGATGCTTAGAGGCAAGTTTCGACTTGTGGGGTTTGGACACTGAACTGACTAATCTGGTCAGCTCGTGTGTCTGGGTCTGGTGGAGAGGAAGTGTTCGATCCAAAGATTCCACCCGAGCAACAGAAGGTCACCTACCAAGCCAAGGACGGTACAATCAAGACAGTCACGAAGGCTGAGTTGCAAGATCAAATGGAGTCGAGCGAAAAGCTCATGCAGACTCTGAACGAAACGTGGGAGCAGAAGATGCAGAGAACACAAGAGGTTCAGAAAGAGCGGGAGAAGGCGCTCGAGGAGCTCGGGATTACCGTGGAGAAGAATCTTGTCGGTGTACACACGCCAAAACGGGTGAGCCAACTCTTCGCAACCGCAATTATCCTAGGATTCACGAATATTAGATGCCTCACTTGGTCAATCTAGTAAGTCGGCAAATCGGCTTGTTTTCGCCTCTGATCGCATGTAATTGGTACTCTAGAACGAAGGTATGCTTCTTTACCCCGCCTTGTAGTCTAAACATTTTTTTCACAGACCCGTTGATGAGCGAATGCTTAATTTACCAAATTAAACCTGGGAAAACAATGGTATATCCCTCTTGATTCGTTATTGAATTGTAACCCAAGCTCTCGGTCAGGTCGGTCGAATGGACAGCGAGAAGCCCGCTGCGATTCGCCTCAGCGGCGATAACATCCTGGAGGAGCATTGCTACTTTGAGAACATCGATGGCAAGGTTGTGATCCATGCCATGCCTGACAGTGTCACGGTGCGCGCATACTTGTGACCTGCGGACACTCTTGAATCTCATTGCTTCTTTAGTTTCTCAACGGCAAACAAATCACCCCGGGGCAGGTACTGTCTTTGCCATTGATAACATCTTCCTGAGAGTGCTGACCTGCTTCGTTTGATAGCCTCACAAGTTGCGATCGGGCTTTCGTATCATTCTTGGTATGTTTGTCTTCTCTTCCTACCGACCGGCATTCTAAAGGAGAAATTAAAGGCGAGAATCACGTGTTTCGCTTCAACGACCCGGAAGCCGTTCGTAAACAACGGGACCGTGCTACTCTCAGGTCCAACCTTCAACTCAGTGTAACTGCGGCTGATCTCGAGGCTGGAGAAGCATCGACTAGGCCGGACTCTCCAGCTTCTTCTGCTGAAGGGGCGGACGTTGATTGGACATTTGCGAAACGAGAGGCAGCTTTTGCCCGGTTGGGACTCGATCCCACCCTCGACAACCTCCCAGACGATGACCTCAACAAACTCTTCGAAAAAATCACGAAGGTCAAGACGATGCGTGACCATAACATGAAGCCTCCGCGTCCGGAGAGTAGCATGAGCATGAGTCAGAGTCAGACTGACGATGTTTGGAGCGAAACTGGTCGGCCATTTTCGAGCGACGCGACGGATGACACCAGTGTTGATGTTGCCCCTAGCCCTGAGGTGGATGGACCACTCAGAGATGCACAGAACCAGCTCGAGAATCGACTTCAGGCCATTACCGAGTCTTCACCAGAAGCGGAGGATCTGAAAGAGGAGAAAGAGCATATGGAGCACCAATTGCGAATGGTCAGACAACAGATGCGGCGACTCATCGATGCACGGGCACGTGGAGAAACTGATGTTGCGGTGGAGTTTGAGCCCGTCATTTACACCGCAAAACAACTCAGGCTAATACGGAAGGTTCTGGATAGATGGAGGGCACATAGAGCCTTCTCTATGGCAGAGGTTGTTCTTTCGAACGCGGTCATAGTGAAGGAAGCCAATATTATAAGGCAAGTAGATCTTGTCGTTTTTTCGTTTGAGGCAATACTCAAGCGCAATTGAACAGCAAAGAGCTCGGAAAGGAAGTCTCATATAATTTTACTATCTCGGCTGGCGGCTCGCTTGCGGCGCCTGTCTCCGCTGTTGACACGATCGCGGGGTTAGACGAGTTCGGTGACGTGGCTGATCCCGTGCTCGCGTCTTCCACTCAGCCTTGTGTCGCCGTGAAAGTTCTGGACAAGCGTCACAATGCGATCTATACTTGGTCGTTGGACCGAATGCAGCAACAACTCGCCCGCATGCGCAATCTGACCACCTACATCGACCGACCTTCTTACACCCAGCATTTCTCGTCTGACGAATCATTTTATGACACCACCCCATCAGAATATTCATTTATTGGCAATGCCCTCATCTCCCTTGCTCCCCTCTCCCGTCGCCTGTCTTCGACATCTACTGTGCCTATTTTTTGCCGCTATACCGCTGAGGCTATCGGCTCTTGTCGCGTTGACATAAAAATTGTCAATGTGCAGTTAACAGGGAAGCACGCCAATGGTTCTTCAACTTCGACGCGGGCTTCTTCACCAAGTCCAGGAACCGTACCCCCAGGAAGCAAGATTGGCTTCTATCTAACTGTTGACTCGGTCAAAGGACTTTCGTCGCATGACTTTTCTGCAGTCCACCTCCAAGTTAGACTCTCTTCCTTTGTTGGCCCCGCGTTGGCCTCCGAAGAGGTCCTTCCATCGGCAGCCATTGACATTGATGCTTCGACTCTCTCGGAACTTCGCTTCCGTAGACATTTCTCCATTGTGGCGTCATCGAAAGCGTTGGCCCACATGAAGGAGGGTTATGTGCCGATAGAATTCTTTGCGACTGTCCGGCCAATGTATCTCGAGCGATTAGAACGCTGGGATGAAATGCGGGAAGCTCGAGTACGACCCCCTCCGCCAAGGTCTTCTCCGGTGTCGGAAAATGCGCCCACTCTTCCACCCATGCGTCGCTCAGAAACTGATTTTGTGGTTCAACAAACACATGACGTCGTCGCGTGGCTGCAAATATGCGAACTTGCTCCTGATGGTCAATACGCACCCGTGCCCGTCGTCTCCCGAGGCAACTTAGACGCTGGCTGCTTCACGCTACACCAAGGTCTTCAACGCCGCTTGAACATAAGCTTATCTTCAGACTCAGGCCAGCAACTTCCATGGATGGAATTTACTCGAGTTCGCATTGGTAATGTGCGTCTACTAGACACCAATGGCCGGATACACGAATCTACCTCGAAGGCTCTGGTGACCCTTCCGCTATTGAAGGAGCAATTGTTGGAGTTCAGGCCCGATGGCACTGGACATCTAGCTGCGGAAGCGCTATGGGACACCAGTGTTCACGACTCACTGCTGCTCAACAGAGTTACGGAAGGAAACCAGCGTGTCATTCTACAACTTAGTTGGGCAGTTGCCGTCGACTCTTGCAGCGATCCGGTGCAGTTTAGCATGGATATTGGAATCACTATTAGAACCCGCGATGCTCGGGCGCCCTCAAAGCTAATGGCTTTTCTAGGCTCAACCAAAATCCTCTCCAAGACCAGCTCGTTATTCTCCGTCAAACTGTCACCGCCTTTGACTCGCTCGCCCCGAGACCTTTGGAGGTTAGACACATCGGAGAAATATGTACGAGGGGAAGAAGTTCTCGGTACCTGGAAGCCTAGGGGAGTCAGTGTGGTCCAAGACTACGAGCGACTGATATCGACTGAACGACGGGCTGCTGATGTTCAAGCAATACGGGTACTTCTCGCTACAACGCAACCTCGGCCGGTTAACGCCGAGACCTTGGCGTGGAAAGCGGATAGTTTGCTGCAGCGGTCGGTGGAACTCTGGCAAAAGCAGTTTGGCCATCGCGGAGAGGTGGGCTTTGGGCTACTATTTCCTCCGGCGGCGTCGCTAACCCATGCTCAGATCATTCTGAGCCAAGATCCTATTGAATCCGACGAATCGAAGCCGGCAAAGAAGAAAAACGGCCTCGTCCCTGAAGAAACTCTCAAGCTGATCTCCGAGACGAAATTGATTCCGCGAAGGTGATTTTTGACTGTCGATCTATGATTCAATGACGTTTGATGGCTGACGCAATCTCAGTGATGCTAATGGGTCAACGAAGAAGGGCCATTTGCTCATCCTGACTGACGCCAGTCAAAACGTCTGGGAAAAGCGCTGGTTTGTCCTACGAAGGTGAGAGCTACCTGTCGGCACGCGTGCTGTCCGGTAGCTAATGATAATCTTGCAGGCCATATTTGTACATCTACTCTCACTCCAACGAGCTGGAGGAGGTTGGCGTTGTCAGTCTTGATGGCGTCAACGTGGAAAGTGACCCACAAAAAGAAGTGCTTCTTGGAGTAGGTGCTATTTCATTGGAAAGAACTGTTCCTAATGTCTGTCACAGAAGCCGTTCTCGTTCACGCTTTTCACATCCTCCAACTCCCACGCATTGGCCGCTCCCAGTCTGAAGGAGCTCCAGTCTTGGTGCACCAAACTCGATCCGACACGACTCCCCTCATGATCTTTTCCGGCGGTTACATATCTGTTTAGTCTAATCTTCCTAATGCTTTCGACATCCGTACCACCACCACCACCAATCTTTTTTACGACCTCTAGAATGCTCTCTTTCCCTAAATTGAAACACTGGCATGTACTAGGACACACTGTTTGGGTTGTTATTATGCATATTTGCTCTCGGCCACGGTAAAAAGGCTGTTGTATTACCTATAACAACCGCGGCCCCGACTGTTAAGAGTCAAAGGGTAAGGTAAGATGTCGATGCCGGGGTTTGAGCTTTGGTCGAAGCTTTTGGACTTGGATTGTGGGGCAGGGATTGATGGATCGGCAAAACAAAGCTAGACTACAAGGGGTTGCGGCGTCTCAACTACAATCTCCTGATATAGAATATGCGGGAGGCTTCGAGTTGGTCGGGACAACATGAGAGTAACATTGGCTTATCTAAACTCCTAGTTGATTCAATTTGTGTTTTTAAAACAGTACATCTAAGTCGTCATAATGTCCGTAACAGCTAATTCTACGTGCTCTAATGATGTGAGTATTCCTGGAGAGATGATGGGATATAAAGATAGCCATAGAGATACAAGGAGCTGGGGCTACAAGACCAGGGTTGGTATATGACATCAGTCGCATGCTTCCGGTGTGTCGTTCTGATCAAAACCCTTAGCCAAAGGAATACGGAGAGAGAAAAGGGGACAAACTTGGCGGATAAACGTGAGCATGTGGCATGTAATGTAGCCTTTTGCGAACCCAGCGCCGGCGTAGGCGAAAAGGTATTGCCACTTCCGCTTGAAGGCGTCGTAGTCCGAACGGTCTCGCAATGCAGGGTAGTCGCGCGAAACCAGGTCTTGTGTGAGGTTGGCTTCTAACCGGCGGCCCCATTCCCGAAGCGTTCGGGGGTAGTCTGGAAGGGGAGGCCAGGTCAGAAGAGACAACGAGAAGATGGTCAAAAAACGAACGAGCTGCGTGATTCTCGACGCCCTCTAGCGTAAATCGACCCTGCGATCCAGTTTGTGCTGCCGTTATTAGTGCGGTCGCACTCGGCAAGCATGAATTGGGCCACATATACTTCCGCATGAAGTCTTCGGCTCTGTCAACAGATGAGTGGGATGTTGGAGTATGATGTCGAGGCACCCACTGGTAGCCGGTGTATCGCGATTCAGGGAAGGTGGAGGCGCTGATGACGACAGTTCCTCGTGATGATTTTAGGGCAAAGTCCACGAGTTTGAAATAGAGAGAGTAGTATTTAGAGCCAACGTGCTAGCAAAGAGGGTCAGCGATAAGATAAGGGGGAGAGAGGCACTGAAATACCTCGAGCATTTCAATGCTAACGAATGCGTCGAAGGACTTTTCGAACTCGGCGGGGATTTCCCGATAGTCGAGTAAATGAACACGAATGCGGCTCTCAAGACCAGCTTCCTTGATGCGCTCTTCGGCCAGCTTTTTTTGCTCAATCGATAGGGTGAGAGTGTCGACCTCGCAGCCAAAAGAACGCGCAGCCTGAACAATCGATGCAGTCAGTTATTTGTGGAGATTCGGGATAGGCTGTGAGAATAGACACCAACCTCGATAGCAAGCCCTCCCCACCCGCTCCCAAACTCCAAGATGCGATCACCAGGTCTGACGCGAGCTTTTCGAAGCACATGGTGAATTTTGCGTAGTTGGGCCGACTCGAGATCGCCCGGAGTAGGCCCAGACTCGAGATCGCCTCGAACGCCACCCTCTGGCGAGTCCCAAAGGGCACATGAATACATCATCTCCTTGCTCAGGAACGCCTGACCACCAATATCAGTTGAGATGCGTCCCGACGCGAAAATCAACACAAACCTTGAACAATTCGTTGGATTGGTCATAGCTGGCGATAACATTTAGCCGGGCCTGAGACTGGGTTTGGCCGAGGATGCCATTATATAGTCCTGAGACGGCAGAGGAGATTTTGGATACGATGGAGGACAGGGTTGCTTCCATCCCGTTTTGATTTTCGAGCCAGAGCTAAGAACGTAACATTCAATTGGCGTGGAACGGCAATAGACGACAGACATACGTTCATCGCGCCTCTCAGGTCCGCAACTTCGACGTCACCAATCATATAGGCTTCGCTGACTGAGACGATGTTAGTTGGGGGTGGTATGTTGGGGAGATGTTCTCACATCCAAGATCGCCCGATCTACAAAGAAGACACGATAAGCATGAAAGGAGAAGGTAAATCTCGGAGGCAGCCGTACAGCATAATGCGAAGCCAAAAGTTGTCGTTGACGACTTTAAAGTGAACGTTGTTGCCGCCCTTGGAGTACTGGCCATAGTGGTGGGTGCCGTCGTTGTCAGAAATAGTAAGGTGGCCGATGGTGATAGCTTCGTCGAGAACAGTCAGGATGGAGCTGCGGGCTAGACCGAACGCAAGTTGAGAACAACTATGACGCAAGAGACGCGACGCGACGCGTACCAAAGGCACATAGCCAAGCATGGGGTCTGAACGTAAGAGAAAGCAGTGAGGAGGAGGTCGACTGGAGAGCCTTAGACGAAGGCGCGTATTGTGGTGGGACGCAAGACTGGGTAGACATGTCGGGAGGGGGGTCGGTTGAGGAAGCATTGAGAGGCGGGGCCTTTTATGTCTCCGTCGAGGTGTGTGCCAAAATTTGGCGGTATATCGAGATTTGGATCGCGTTGAGAAATTCTTGTAGATGGGTCAGTCATCTCAATCAGGTACTTCGCCTGGCTTCATTTCTAAAAGGTAAATGAATCCCCACTTATTCAGTCAGTCGCGCACCTCCAGGTAAGAAGGGCTTCTTTCACGTGTGCTTCCCCATCCAGATAGGATTTTGGAATCCTAAGATTCTTAGTTGTGGGAAATCACAACCCATTGGGATTTTCGAAGATCCTTAGCGCCACGGCCATCGTCGAGTCATTGACGCGCCGTCGGACAGAGTTGACGCCATGGCGCAAGAAATACCGAGCATTTCGCGCCTTTCGGAAATTTCGGAGAAAAAGGTTCTGGTCAAGGGCAAAGCGCCGACTGTCACACCATCATATCGGTGTCACGTACACCCATCTCACCGCCATGCGCACGATCAAACGTCGGGTGCGGCGCTCTCGTCCAGAGTATCAAAAAAAGATATTTTTTCCCCGAATGCAAGGTCTCCGCTTGCCACATCTGAATTCTGGATTATTTTTACTAGTTCGGCCCTCTCACGCTGTTTGGCTTGTTTCTTTGCTCGACGGGCTTAATCCCGCCGCCGTTTGGCAGAAATACCCTCCTCCGCCCTTTCCGAACTGTCACGGCCATTCCTTCCAAGTACGCGAAAAAGATACGAGTTCCAATGTCGCTTCTACTTCGTCCCAGTGGGTTGATTAGGCTTCAAGTTTATGGTTACAGTTCTTGCTCGATCGAGTTGTGGCACCAACAGACTCGTCGATCTAAAGGATACCCCAATACTTTGTCCTGTCAAAAGAGTATACGCCGCCCTCGTCAATGTGCTGCCAATATCAAACGGAAAACCACCCGAATCTCGCGCTCTGCCGTCGTTGACTGAATTGAATATTTCCATGCAGAAGTAGCAAAGAGAAATATTGCGTCCGAACTGGAGCAACGCTGTAAAAGCAACGGGAACTGGTTATGTAACCTGGCGACACACACACACAGTCAAGTCTGTTTTCTTTTTTTCAATAGAACATCGCTATCAACCACCCTCGTTTGCGGCTGTTCCTCGGCAGTTAAACACAGGTTCTGTTGCTGTTATTGTCGGCGGTATAAACAGAAATCAAGAATTCAAGCATGTCGTTGTAGTCTGCCTGGTCGTGCGTGGGACCGAGAGATTTTCACCAACGAAAGCTGCCAACAAGGGAGTTTCTGTTTTTGATGCGTCAACTGTGCGCATGAAGCTATGGGTATGACATCCTCAAGTGGGCCCTAGGCCTTCTCGACTCGATAGCGAGATCGGGTGATGCTGGACAAAAAGTTCATAATGGCATAGTAAAATTCGACCAACCGATTACATAAGTCCGAAAAATCCAACGGCGCAATGTAGGTATTGCGGTTGTCACTTGTGGCCCCACTAGTTCATCCCTTCTTCATATGCACACGAAATGGGTGAGTATTCGGTGATAGCAGGGGTGGGTCGAGCCTGGGGAGTCGAAATGAACACCAATCGTCCCTCGATTTGATGCACTCTCTTAGCGAACCATGTTTTAATCAAACCACCGCAGGAACAGGCTGAGGAGCTGATGCTATAGCGGAGTAATATAGTCTGCCTGCAACATCTCCAACCACCCAATCAAGTCCTGGGGCCATTTTGATCAGAACTTGGACAGGTAAAGCAAGGGTAGCATGGATCCGACCTTGAACAAGGTTTTCGCCTGTTACAGCGCTACAAGACCAGATTTTACAATGATGAGACTTGATGGACGGGAGGTCGAGCGCCTGGGGAAATCCGTGGCAGCGAACAGAAAACGGGGGGAAGAACCGACCTCACGGATTTCGTTATCTGACATGGCGCCTGGAAGATCTTGCTTGTTGGCAAATACCAAGAGGGATGCTCCTGCCAGTCGCTGTAACATGTCATCAGTCGTGAGCCATACTGGCACTGGCGATAAACTGACATCTTCGAGTAGCAAGCTGTGAAGTTCATGTTTACAGTCTTGCATACGCATGCGGTCTCCGGAATCAACCACCCAAACGAGTGCGTCTGTCTGCTCGAAATAGTTGCGCCAATACGGTCTGAGCGTGCGTTGGCCGCCAACGTCCCCTGTAAGATTGTTTGGCCTAATCAAAGTGACATCTATGAGAGATACCGACAGATATTGAGCGTAAAGCTTAAAACATATGTTGACTGGGCAATGTCAGAGAAAAGTGCGTACTCGCCGTGCCGGAAAGTCTTGATATTGAATCCCAAGGTAGGGCTCACGCTCATGATGTCTTCGTCGTTGAGCTTCTTAAGAATAGTTGTCTTGCCTGCGTTGTCCAGTCCACTGCGGGCAACACCTAGTTGCACAAATACATTTCCAGAGAATCCAAGCTCACACACAGGAACAACAGGCGCATTTCCTTTTCTTTTTGCCGGTTTTTGCGAATGATTGTCAAAAGTCCCATGTTTTATTGGGTGGGGGGGCGAGATAACAGTAAGAAGTATGAGGTCAAGTCCAAGGGAGCTGACATCATTTCGGTGATAATCATCTCTGTACCTTCCTCGAGGACCGCCTGGACAGTGGAAGGAGTTACTTAGAAACAACTTTACGACGAGATGTCGACGCTGGTAGTTGGCACGACTACATACTCCTATCCTAATCGTCAGTCTATGACGTTGACCATTGTCTTGCTCACTGCTGGAGTCGCATTATAGCAACGACACTCGTAACTTTCATCTTCCCTCAGATATATTGGACGACGCGCTCCTGGATTTGGGTCGCCCTGGCCACAATGGAGACTTCTGGGAGTTGGACAGGCCTCTAGCGGATGGCAAATATCAACCACCCAAGATCGGCCACGGTCAACGGTGGATCTACTTCTGGTCAAAATACGCAGCTCCCTTCTTGGCTTCACATGGCCATAACTACTATGTTTATGATGTGGTGCAACCAGTCAACCTCTCTTGCCCAATATTGCGACGTAGCAGGAAAGCTACCCCCCTCAACCGGCGGTTCGTTAAGACATTTGAGAGAGAGATGAACAAGACGGCAAAGTGTTCATAGCGGTTGCTGGTTTAACGCATCCCTGATCCTTTGTCCCAAGCTGGCCGTGTCTGGTATGCGCAAGACGACCAAGGTCGATCAAGTGAGTCGATCCAATACCTTCCAATGTTGGCTCATTCCTCTAGCAGATTTGTTCTGAAATGTAGACGTCGGGAAGAGTTGGATGTATTGGCTTTGAACTCTGTCCACTAGGAGCCTTACAACTTTTCCGTCCCTGTCATCGACTATTTGTGGCTTGGAAATGCTTTTCATGTCTTGCAAAGGTATACAAATGGTTATTTCCTGTTCTTTTTCTCGTTGACCTACTCAACAGGTGGGGTAGTGCAATAATTCCAGATTTTGGGATCGTCGCCGATTTTGTGCATCTTGACCGTGATGCGCTCGAGGTATATCATGCTTCACACCAACTCGAGACCAACCTCATCAGCCTTGAATTGCAACAGGCATCGGCGCTCTTCCACCAACATGGCATCAAGCATACGGATATGTGGGATGGCAACCTTTTGTGTGGTCGTGCCCCACCCAATCAAAGTGGCTGGTCGGATATGCGCTCAGGACTTATCGATTCCGAGACCGCTTGCGTTGATGTGATTGGAGAGGAAGGCGAACAACGCCGTCGATAAGATGTCGCCCGGGCCGATCTGGGTGGTACGCTTGCGACGTATTTGCGGGTGTGTTTCCACACTTTCGACTTCCAATTAATTGCGACCCACTTATTTGCAGTGTTTATGCGTGGAAGTACTTGTTCCCGATCTCAATGGCCTGTTGAACGCAATATACGCGACGAGACCAAGCAAATCAAGCATAGTGCAGCGGCAGGTCTCGAGCGGTACAACGAAATATGTTCTGCATTATCCGAAAGTGATATGCAGACACCAACTTCAGCTGAGCGCTGAGTTTTGGTTCAAAAGTGGGTCTCTTTGATCTGATGTCCGGTGCCGCCTGTTGACGGTGTACGTAGGTAGGCTCAGCGCTCAGCATTGACTCCCAAAAAAGTGAATTTGCGTTACACCAAGATAACTTAGTAGTGAGTTGATGAGGTTTTTGTGTTGGGCCCTGCATTCGTCCGCGTAAAATCCCTATATCGCTTCAGACTATCTAGTGTAAACGGACAGTCATAAGTAGTCAGGCCGGTTCCGGCGTCCGAAGTGCATCATCATTATCATTATCTCCGATTCCGCTTCACCTAACACCACCACCATGCCACCGAAAAACAAGGGCAAGAAGGGGAAGAAACAGGACGACGACGAGTACTGGTTGGTGGTTGGTCCGACTAGGAGTTTTCTAGCGCGTTCAAACTCGGTATAACCTACAGGGACAAGGCGGGCGAATCTGTCGCGGCTCCCGCTTCAACACTTGAAAATGATTCGGCACCGTCGAATTCCAGGTCTGCCTTTGGCGGATTCGCGGCCCTCGACATGACTGCGGAAGATTCGGGTATGCCAGAAGAGGAGGAAGATTATGGCGGGCTCATGGTGCGCAAGCCCGTTCATGCTATCACAACCCGATCTAAGTGTTTCTAGTCCGCAATCAAAGCTTCCTCCAGCAAGGGCAAGAAAGACAAGAAGAAGAAGAAAGGGACGGATCTCGGCGCTCTAGATGATATTCCTGCTGCTGAGGAGGATGGGCCATCTAAGCAAGCTGTGGAAATGACTGCCGAGGAACTCGCGGACGAGGAGTGGGGGGCTGTCAAGGAGAAGAAGAAGGGTAAAAAAGGCAAAGGAAAGAAGGGCAAGGCTCTCGATGAAGATGAAGACAACGATGGGCGTAAGCCAGAAACTCCAAAGCGCAGCTTACGTCGAGATCTGACCATAGACAGCGGAAACGCAACCTGGAGACGAGTCCAAACAACCTCAGGAGGCGGTGGCCGACGAGGAATGGGGTCCAGTCAAGGATAAGAAGAAAGGCAAAAAGAGTAAAGGAACAACGGCTAATGAGGTTGAAGGTGCGAGCAACTCAGACATTTTTTTCCGTTCACTAAAGATCGCAGACGAGGAACCAATAGACACACTCCCAACTGTGCCCCCTGCAGCCGAAGCCGAAAAAGACGATGGCGATGACGGGGGCGAAGATGCTGGACCCAAAGTCTTGTCTAAGAAAGAGAAAGAGAAACTCAAAAAGGAACGCGAAAAGGTCTGTCTGATCCTTTCATATTCACTGCTTAAGTTACAAATAACGGCTAGGCCAAGAAAAAGGCTCAAGCAGCCGCCAAAAAGGCGGCTGCGCCTGAAGATGCGCCGACTGAAGCTCAGCCCGCTGCAGTAGAACCCCCAAAGGCTGCAGACAACGACGATGAAGGGGACGAAGTAGGTACAGCTGCGGCTAAGAAAAAGAAAAAGAAGAAAGGGAAGAAAGAGGACGAACCAGCACCAGCGCCAGCAGCAACAGCACCAGCGAAAAAGGGTGGACGTTTAAATGCTATCCAGCAAATGGTCCAAGAGCGAAAGAGACTTGAAGAAGAGGCAAAACGAAGAGAGGAGGAGGAGAGAAAACGAATAGAAGAGGAGGAGGCTCGTCTGGCAGAAGAAGAAAGGCTGAAAGAGGAAGAAAAACAACGGAAAAAAGATAAAGAGAAAGTCAGCGCAACTCGCAGGCTTCATTATTAGGTGCTAACTATCTGATTACAGGCGAAACGCGAATTGGCCAAGAAGGAGGGCAGATTGCTTACCAAGAAACAACGCGAAGAAAAAGCCATGGCCGAAATAAGAAAGCAGGCTTTACTCTCATCTGGTGTCCAAATCGAAGGTTTACAACAGGCGTCGGGTAGCGGCAGAAGAGTCAATTACGGTGCCCGCAAGAAAAAGCCAACCGTCGCCAAAGATGCATCTCCTGCTCCAGAATCACGACCAAGATCCCCGGAACCCCAGCCGGAGGCGAAAGTAGAAACTTCAACTGCTCCAGTTGATGACTGGGATGCTAGCAGTGCTGACGAGGAGGAAACAAAACCGGCTGCTTCTGGTGTTAAAGACTCATGGGACGCATCCAGTGACGAAGAAGAGGAGGAGCAACCGCCAAAACCCAGCCCTGCCCCGGCGCAAAAACCAGTAGCGTCAAAACCAGCAGCTGCACAACCTCCTAAATCAGCCACCAAGTCCGCGCCTCCTCCAAAAGGTTTGTGATCCGTTATCGAACATCAGTCTCGATGCTAAGATTATCAGCACAAACCAACAGCAAACCAGTACCAACGAAAGCCGCCCCTGCAAAAGGCAAAGCTCCTGTCAAAGAGGAATCTTCCGAGTCAGAGGACGATTCAGACGACTCCGACGACTCTGACGATTCTGAAGAGGACTCAGATGACGACTCTGATTCGGATGACTCGTCTTCTGATGAGGAACTTACTGTCGCTCAGAAAATGGCTGCACAACGTAAAGCCGAAGCCGCTGCCCGACGAGCCAAAGCCCATGAGGAGGCGCTTGCGGCACGGAGCAAAGACGATCTACGGAGTCCTATCTGTTGTATTCTCGGACATGTCGATACTGGGAAAACCAAACTTCTCGACAAGGTTTGTGTCAACGCCAATTATGTTTTCACTTTCATTCACCTCCTTCGCCAGATTCGCCAAACCAATGTGCAAGAAGGCGAAGCTGGTGGTATCACTCAACAAATTGGAGCGACCTACTTCCCAGTGGATGCGATAAAGACCAAGACGGCGGTCATGAACAAGGTTGGTTCACACTGTCCTCCCGTTATTGTTTGGCGCTAACCTAGCTCCAAGGACGGGAAACAAGAATACAAGATCCCAGGGCTGCTCATCATTGATACTCCCGGACACGAGTCTTTCACCAACCTGCGATCGCGTGGAAGTTCCCTTTGCAACATTGCTATTTTGGTGGTTGATATCATGGTGAGCGGACCTGGCTCCCCGAATTGGAACCGAGCTCAGTGCCTTGTAGCACGGACTAGAACCGCAGACATTAGAGTCGCTTCGGCTGCTGAGGGACAGGAAAACACCGTTCATCATCGCTCTCAACAAGGTTAGTCACCTTTGTGAATCCCGGAGAATCCTAGTTTTATCTTATCTTTAGATTGATCGTATGTATGGTTGGGTTGCAACTCCAGATGGCGCTTTCCAGGAATCGCTCGCGAAACAGCCACGATCAGTTCAACGCGAGTTTGAGGACCGGTATAACAAAATCGTCGTCGAAATCGCGGAACAAGGGCTCAACGCTGTCCTGTACTACGAGAACAAGAGCTTTGCGAGGAACGTGTCCGTTGTACCGACAAGTGCAATCACTGGGGAGGGAGTGCCTGATATGATCATGCTACTAGTCAACCTCACACAGCAGCGCATGAGCGACAGGCTCATGTACATTTCTGAACTCGAATGCACCGTTCTCGAGGTCAAGGTCATTGAAGGCTTGGGGACCACAATCGACGTAGTTCTTTCCAACGGCTATCTCCGTGAAGGCGACAAGATTGTGGTCTGTGGTTTGAATGGGCCTATTGTAACTCAGGTCCGAGCGCTCCTAACACCGCAGCCTTTGCGCGAACTGCGTGTCAAGGTACGGGAGGTTTCCCGAACAAAAAGTTTTAGCTGATTCCTTGCTTATCTTATCAGTCCAACTACGTGCACCACAAGGAAGTCAAGGCAGCGTTGGGAGTCAAGATAGTGGCGCCAGATCTCGAGAAAGCTATTGCTGGCTCGCGGCTTTTGGTTTGCGGACCCGACGACGATGAGGATGACCTGCGGGATGAGGTCATGTCTGACCTGACGTCGCTGCTCAACAACATCGACAAATCAGGACGCGGTGTTTGTGTTCAGGCATCAACGCTCGGCTCGCTCGAAGCGTTGCTAGACTTTTTGAAGTCGAGCAAGATTCCAGTGTCCGGTATCAACATTGGGCCTGTCCATAAGAAGGATGTAATGCGGGCGGGCACTATGTTAGAGAAGGCCAAAGAGCTTGCGTGTATCCTTTGCTTCGATGTGCCAGTCGACAAAGACGCAGAAAAGTTGGCAGAGGATATGGGCATCCGGCTATTCAAAGGCAAGTAATTGTTTGTTTCCTAGCCAGGACAATGACATTGACAGTTTATTAGCGGATATTATATACCACCTTTTCGATGCCTTCACTGCATATAACCAGGAAATCGTAGAGGCCAAGCGACGAGACGCTGCCCCACAAGCCGTCTGGCCTTGCCGACTCAAGATTATTGCTGCGTTTTGCAAGCGCGACCCAATCATTCTTGGTGTCGACATTCTCGATGGCACTTTGCGAATCGGCACGCCCATCGCGGTCGTTAAAACGGATCCTGCGACAGGCAAAAAGGATATAATAGAGCTTGGCAAAATGTTACTCTTCAGTTATCTATTTTATCGGCGACAACAACTGATTTTTTTTTTCACAGAACCTCGCTTGAGATTAATCACAAGTCCCAGGAGCTAGTAAAAAAGTCCCAAGCTGGAGGCGGCGTTGCAGTCAAGATTGAACATGCAGTGTACCAATCAGCAAAGATGTTTGGCCGGCATTTTGACGATAAGGACGAACTTTTAAGCCGTATCACGCGTCAAAGTATCGATGTGCTGAAATCGTCTTTCCGCGACGACGTAACCCCGGAGGAGTGGATGCTAATTAAAGGGTTGAAACCGGTAAGTCGTTCTGTGGTTCTTGATAATGGTTCTGATCAGGCACTGCAGCGATTCAATATCTAGTCTGCTTGCTGTATACTATCCGTCCCAATGTCCCCATTTAGCATGCTGTTTGCCGTGTTGTCTATGAAAGCGCGCTGACAACATATTCGACGAGCTTCATCATAACTTGACCCTTCGCTTTGCCGATTTCTAAAACTTCCTCATGGGACACTACCTGTGCTGGAGGGAGCTCAACAGGTTTCCCTGCCAGCTAAGTTGATCGTAAGTCGGCGGAGCGAAGACATTTGCAGACTTACTTCAGTAGCTACTTCTGCTCTAATGTCACGATATGTTTCAGGAATGACCACTGCGTTTGTGACCAGACTCAGGGCCATGACATTCAATCCTTCTTGGCGGGCGGCAAGGACTTCTGGAACGGTGCTCATGCCCACAACGTCTGCTCCAACCAGCCGGAGGAAGCGACCCTCTGCAGGGGATTCATATGTTGGCCCACTAACCCACGCATAAGTGCCTTCAGTCACCTCGTCAGCCGATAACCCAAGATGGTGGGCGCCAAGAAACAGCAGACGTCGGAGAGCAGGTGAGTAAGCGTCGGAAAGAGGGACAAAGCGGGCATGAGACGATGAAGTAAGAGGGCCAAGTAAAGCATTCATGCCAGTCATGTTGGGGAGAGCCAGATGATCGTGTAGTGCCACGACTGTCTATGAGTGCGGAGAATTGAGGGGCGGAAAGAGACCTACTGGTTCCAACTGCCAAGTTGGGATTGAGACCTCCGGCAGCATTGGTTACTGTATGTGCAAGTTGGCTGCCTTTGTTTTCTCAGCGAGAGTAGAACGCACAGATAAGGTTGGTGATTCCGAGACGGGCCATGACTCGAATCGGGTAGACCACAACGCGGAGATCATGCCCTTCATAGGGATGGAACTGCTCTTAAGGTTAGTTTTACGAATGAGCCAGGAGGCAAAACGCACACGACCAAGCATGGCGACGACAGGGACACCCTCCCCGGAACCCATAAGTCCGAAAGCAAGAGAGCTTTTGTGGCCAGGCACTTGGAATCATAGTTAGCTTTATCCAGAAAAATTATTTGCGAAGCACCTGTGCTCTCTGCAAAACCAGGGATCGTGTTGTAAGGGACGAGATGGAGGTCACGAATCGAGTCGACGAGGCCGCTGAGTCCGGAGCCACAAACGATTCCTACACGGGGGGATTGCAGATGAGAAGGGACTGTGGCTTTGATAGCCTCAATTGCTGCATCGAAAGGAAGATCCGGAAAGTCGTGCATGTCCAAAGGCCAAGAACAAGAGTCGAGGCGCCATTTTGAAGAGACGTCGCATCAAAGAGAGTCACATAGATGTCACATGCTTTTTATCTTATCTTCATGACCAACAAAAACTAGAAAATACTTGATAAAACGCTGCTCAGTTGAGCCTCATCCTCGATAGCACTTCTTTTTTTCCTCGAAGGATTGTCTTCGTCTCCCCCTCGTTTCCGTTTTGGTCTTTGTTCCTTCAACTCCATAACCTCTCCTTTCTCCCGCTTCTTCTCCGCCCGCTTCTCTAACACACGCGCTAGCTCGACATTATGCATATACTCGCGTTGCTCAGAACGAGATTGAGAGAGTTCCACGCGGAGTTTGGCGGTATGGACGGCGGCTTCGTGAGCTACTCTGGGATGAGACCATAAAGTGGAATACGCTAAACTTGTACGCACCGATCTGCTCAGTGAGCATGCTCCACTTGAATTTGGGAAGATACTTCATGGTCCAAACATCGTCTCTCCATCGTGTCCCCTTCTTGCCTCCAATCGGTTGTGCATTGAGCATTTCTGCTACGGTTCGCGCAACTTTCTTGTCCTTGAACTCGACCCAGCCTTCCGTGAAATGCGCCTTCTTCGTTGAGGTATACTTCCGACGGAGATACGCACGTTTGGCGTCTTGAATATTCCAATTTAGTCCTCCACAGTGATGGGGAAAAAAAATAACACAGACCTTCTTGCTGCAGATAGACCCTTCCCACCTCACCATGAACACTCATGAGATGCCTCACTTTCGTAGGGCGCATTCCAGGTGGGATTCGTGATATGTAGATCACCCCTGCACGCTTTTGTGCGGCTTGAAAGGCGGCTAAGGCCTCGGGACTTAACGGTTTGATGACTTTGGGGCCGGAAAAGCCCTCTGGATCCATTCCTTCAGGAACATCGACTTGTTCGTCGTCAGAAACAACATCTTCTCGGAGTTGAGTCGAGCTCTCAGCATCGCTGCTCATGGTATAGAGTAAAATATGTCACGCCGCGTTATATTTGGGGCACACCGTGACCGGCGCTTCTCATCGCAAGCCACAACGAGCGAAGCCGCTTTTCCGCCAGCGTCACGCGCATTGTGTCTGCGATCCCAAGAGGTCTGTTATGCTCGACCTCAGTTGCAACTCCAGGCCCTAACCAGCCTTTCTCTTCTTCTGTTCTCGCTCTCTTTTTCCTTTCTTTCTGGCAGACATGTCCTGGAATCAGTATCCACCACCTCAACGTCGGTCAAGGTCACGCTCTCCCGGCAGAGCGCCCTATCCGTCTTATGGTGACCAATACCGCGACTGGGACAATCATTGGAATCCATATGACCGACCGTACGACTATAGACGCGGTCGAAGCAGAAGCCCTTCAGAACGTGCGTTAACAACAATGTCTTGCTCTCTTAGAAAGCGCCCTTAATTTGGTTTAGTTGGACGCAAAAGGCAGCGCTCAACCTCTCCATACGACCGTGACAACCGCTATGACCCACGTCCACGATACGACGACTATGGTTTGACTCTTTTTTCCTTGTATTTTTCACTGACGACTCGTGTCTGCTATGTTTAGATGGGCGCTACGGCTCCCCTCCTCGTCGCGGAATGGCCTCGTCTTCCTCTCGGCGCGGTCCACCAGATCCACACAAATTCGATTACCCCGCGTCATTGAAGCAGTTTGCTGATTGGTTCAGATTCTACTTTCCTCAAGAGTCGGCCGACGAAGATAATGCCGACAAGGTTGCCGAACAGGAAGCAGGCGACGGTTCCAAACCTCGCAATGGTATCAAAACACGCTGGGAGAAATATAAGAAGGACTTTGCCGAAAAACAGGTTCGCTCAGTTGCGCAACTACGTCTCGTCATGGCGCTTAAATTGCGTTTAACAGCTTCAGACTATGTTTGAGCACCACAAAAGGTCGCCCTGGTTTAATGAAAAGTATAATCCCTCCGAAGAGCACCAGAGCCTACGCAAGCGCGTGAGGAAGGAAGGCTGGGATGGCCGTCTCCAAACGTTTTTGTTCGAACTGGAAGAGGGCAAATTCGATCCTGACTCGACCGAGTTAGTTTCCGAATCGAAGGAGAACGGCGCTGCTGGAGATGAACATGCTGAGACGGCGACCGCGAATGGTTTGGGTACCGCTCCATCCATTACGGAAGACGTCAAGGCGGGTATTGGTATTCTGGGCGATGACGATGAAATGCAATTCAATATGGCTATCGAAGAGGACCCGATAGACCCAGACTCAAACCGGGGCGACAGCGGTAAGGGAAAGCGTGGTATAACATCGTCTGATCGCGGGGAGGAGCTTGCGGTCATGCCTGAGGCTAACCAGGTCATGATACGCACCATTCCCCCAGATATCGGTCGTGTTAAGCTCGAGGAGGTACTGTCAAGTCTTCTTAATGGTTTCAACCCACATTTAAATGTTTCATAGGCGTGTTCGAATATTCCTGGTTTTATCTACCTTGCGTTAGGAGATCCATTGCAGAAGCGGAATTATTACCGTGCAGGCTGGCTCAAATTCCGCGAGGATGCCGATATGGGTGCAGCACTCGCTGAGTTGGGAGAGAAAAAGGTTGGTGTTATATGTGGTTCATAGCATTCTTATGTTCATGCTCGCTTCCGTAGATCGAGGGTTTCAAGTTACATGTAACCCATATGGTCAAGCCTTTCGTCAACCGCGTGCGCTATGCACCGGATGTTGCTAGTCGACCAGAACGAATGGAGAAAGATCTGGCTCAAGCAAAACAACTAGCTGCTAGACTCGAAAGTGAGGCGGCAGAGTTGAGAAAACTCAAGTTCGAGAAGAAAAACGCGTCAGACGGAGATACTTCTATGGATGTAGTGTCAACAGAGGCCCAGGACGGTGAAAATAATCCACCACCTGAGCGTGGCTCCGAAGCAGTGGAGGCGAGGATTGAGAAGGTCATGCGTGAGCAGACTGTGGTTGCCGCGAGCGATGATAAGGCCTTTGAGCAATACAAGGCACGTGGTTTGCTCTTCTCTATGTTTGCGAATGCGTATTTATCATTAGCAGACGATGGTGTCGCTTGACCTGTACCTCGCATATCTTCGCGCTGCTTTCCACGCTTGCTATTATTGCGCTGTTGTCACTGATCATCTGGAGGAGCTCCAGCGGAAATGTATTCGTCACGATCGCCGGCCGTTGACGAAAGCTGTCCCTCAAACCGATGAACCAACTGTGGAGGGCGATGAAAAGGTGAAGACCGAGGGCGCTGAAGATGTAACCATGGACGACAAGGAGAAGGAAAAGGAGAAGGAGACTAAGAATAGCAAAGATGGGAGACGAACTGGTGGGTTGATACATCCCCTCTCATTACGCGTTTACTTATGAAGTCTGCCTCTTTTCAAGACGACCGCTGGCTTGATTGGCTCGATAACAAATTGATGCTGCTACTTGATCGCGAGAAGGTTGACCCACGTCTATATAGCGGAAAGGACTACGACCAGTATGTTAGCACGTATTGTGTGCTACAAATTGCTTATGTCCTTGTTCAGAGAGCTCGCCAAGGCTGTGGAACCATTTGTGAAGCAGGAAGATGAGGGCAAGTTCCGCTGCAAAACATGTCAGAAACTCTTCAAAGCAACCTCGTTTGTGGAGAAGCATGTCGCAAATAAACATCCAGAACATGTTCGAGTCCTTGACGAGGTTTGTTGATACGACTATCCCCAAGTCTAATTTCACTAACAGAGAATTTAGTTGCCATTCTTCAACAACTTTGCACTTGATCCACATCGTATTCAACCTTTCGCCCATCCGCCGACCAATTCTGGAAATGGGCAGGCCGCACCGCCACAAGCATTTGGGGTACCACCGCCACAACATGGCGAATACCGACCTTATGGGCCTCCCTTGTCTTACCCACCTCAGAGTTGGGATGGAGGAGGTCGCGATTCTCATTCTTCCAATGGTCGACGTTTAAGTGATAGACTGGGAGGGTTCGCTGAGCTGCCTGCCAAGCCTGCTGGACTTGATACGGCATTATCTAGTGGAAGTGGGAGAGAGCATCACCGAGAGCGAAGAAATCGAGGTAGAGACGGTGGGCCCCCACCCCCACCGCCACCTGATGCAAAAGAAGACCCTCGCGCAGCATCTGGAAGAAGGGTTAGCTACCACGATATGGATTTGGTTGCGGAGGGCGATGTCGAATTAACGTACTAAACTTCTTGTATCAAGTCACGTGTTAAGCACAGACTCGAATGGCGACTGTCGAGGACCGCATAAAGGACCCGTCGTCTTCATTTTCCTTCAAGCGGACGGGGACTGGCAGGCCTGGTACCCCTCCTCCAGCTGAGGAAGTTGAGTCAGACACGATGTCTGAGGCTGAAGACAGAAACGACACGCCTACAAACCGTACCCATCCCCGTTTCTCCCGCGCATTTTCCGTGCCACAGCTAAATCGCTTGACGAACCCACATCGCCCACTAGGCCCCCACAAGGTCAATTCAGACCCAGGCACCTTCAGCGCGGCAACAGCGGACCAACTCTATGAGCTTTCGCTCGAGCTCGCGGACATGGTCCAAATGGCGATCCAAACGCTTCTCCAAATATCGCCCCCTCAAATACTAGAGCCGACAAAGGAGCAATTCTCAGCTTGCACGCTGTCGGTACCAACCCCATCCATGTCAGCCTTGTTTACCGCGATGCGCAACTTAAATTATTTCTCGGCCCATATGTCAGAGTTTGGCAAGGAGCCTAGCGAAGACATGACGCTACCGTCGATGTTCGAGCGCTATACCGAGTTCGACCTGGGGGAGCTGCTGCAAAGTGTTGGTGATGTTATGGGTGGAGCAGCGGCAGAAGCTGGTGTCGACTTGGTGCTTTATCATGGCGACCTCAGTCTTAAATACGCGTGGGTCAGTGGTTCAGAGAGTGGCTTGACTGTTTCCCTTTCGCATGTGCGTGCTCGTTTTCTGTTTCTCTGAGCTCAGACTGACACTATTGCCTAGGTTCTCCGCCAAATAATAGCTGTCGCCCATCCAGGGGATTCCATCGAAGTCGGGCTCTTCATTGGATTTGCTACCACCCATGGCCAGGACATCACCGTACTTCCAGACACCATTGACGCGATTACATCGTCACCGACATCAGAAGACGGTCCGATAGAGTGCACCATCCAAATTGCTCATAAATTTGGCAACGGGGAGTCGCGGCCAAACCCTCATTTCTCCAGCCTCGTCCTGCGCCGCTTACTTCGACAAATCGGTGGCTCGCTCAAGAGCGATCTCCCATCCTCAACAAGTGCTCGAACTTGCGAATTGACACTGACTCTAGATCGCGCCCCGGCAGATGCAGTCAGCCCAACAACTTCCACCGACTTTGCAGAACCTACGACAGAAGAGCTTTCTCTTTTTGCTGATAAACTGAAAGGCGCCAAAGTTGCTTTGTATGCCTCTTCGAAAAGCTCATTTGCGCAACATGTAACGCGGTACCTTGCCGATTGGGGCATGGATGTTAGCCACATGTCCGGAGATGGGGAGGTTGACGAACAGCCACCCGCAGCTCCAGAAGAGCCCCCAGATCCAATTATTCCAGCTATCACATCCGAAGTCCCAACCGCACCCCCTTCTCCCGTCGCAGACCTCAAACCAAACCGGTTGTCCTTCATTTTCATTGACGACGATGTGACAGTCCTTAGAGAGCGCCTCAATGCTCTACGAGTTGACCCGCCATACTCTCTAACCCTCGCTCCGAAACGCCCACCTCTACCCCACCATTCACGCAGGTCAACTAACCAAATTCCCCGTGTTACCTCCCTTGCGCCACAGCCTTCGGTCGTAATTGTTCATTTCACGAGTCTCGCCAGCTTCAAGATCGTTAAAGACGTATTGCAATCAGACCTTTCTTCTTACATCAACTCTACTCTCCCAATGCCCGAGGTCATGATTATTCCAAAACCTGCCGGCCCGCGACGCGTGCTGACCCAGCTTCATATGGCTGTTACCCGAGCGCCTGTAGACCCATCTTTCTCCCCTATTGCAACCTCGCCCGGAACGCCGTCGTCTTCTTCATTTTATGGTTATTCTAACTTTGGTATCGGACGTTCATCGGCTGGCAGCAATCGCCCTTCCAGTGCCAGAAGCAACTCTGATCGCTCGAATCGTTCGGGGACCAAAGATTTTCTCGATAGACCCGCTGCTCCACCGTCACCTCTGAGCATGGCAAATGGTACAGAGTATTTCTCTGATGATGCGGTTCAGCTTGGATCAACGCCGTCCTCTGGCCTGCTAATATCAAGTCCCCCTGGTCAACCCGCTGGAATTTTCTTTAGTCCTCGTGCCAGCAGGACAACAGGCAAAAAGCCCGTGATACCACCAATGGAGAGAGATACAGGGCAACTTCTTCCACCAGGAAGTCGGCGGGCGTCAATCTCAAGGACTGGTTCTGACAACCCAACATTCTCGACGCTTCATGAAATTTCCGGGCGACCACCTTCGCGTACCGTTGCGACACCATTATCCAGTTCCGAACCCTCCTCTTTACCTACCCTCGCAAGTATCAAGACAGATGCACTTCCCACTACCGAAGCTCCTCCCATCCCGCAGTCACCCAGTCCAGGGTCCTCTTCGCCGCAAGTAAATAGTCCATTAAGAAGACCTTTCCGGAGACGAACAGCAACGCCGGACCCAAAAACGCTGGAGAAGCCAGCGGCGACACCCGATATCGACATCGTCCCTCCGATCAGCGTGTTGATTGTGGAAGGTACGGATGGCCTTAAGCACATTCTTTTTTTTTAGTGCTCTAACGCATGTAAAGACAATGTCGTCAACCAAATGCAACTCCGTGGGTTCATGCGGAAGAAGAAAATCAAGTGTCAGGTCGCAAATAACGGAGTTGAGGCGATCGAAAAGTGGAAAACGGGCAACTTTGATCTCATCCTGGTGAGTGGCCATTGTGCGTGTGTTTCTCGGTGGCTTTGTTCTGAGGTTAGTCTAAAGATGGACATACAAATGCCTGTTATGGATGGCATCGAGGCTACGAAGGAGATCAGAAGGCTCGAGAAGGCAAAAGCTACCGAGGGTTATATTTCAAGTGGGGACGGCCTCGATGCCGGTGCCACGAGCAGCTCTTCGCCATACCGCTCATCTGTCATCATCGTCGCACAAACTGCGTCTTCGCTCAACACCGATAGGGTGAAAGCCCTCGCCGCTGGGTGTAACGATTTCCTTACGAAACCAGTCAACCACCATTGGCTCAACAACAAAGTCACTGAATGGGGGTCGATTAAGGCGCTTCAGATGTGGGCCGATGCTCCTCCGCCTAATCGTCAAGTGGCGGAACGACTACACGTACCAGACGCCAGCGGGAAACAGCCTTCTACACCCGCGACCTTTTGGGGTGGAGAAAGTAAACCGGCGGTTGCCGAAGAGCCGACTTCAGCGGGAGGTTAGTCGCTCTTTGTGACGCTCTGAATCGACTGACGGGCGACGGCTTTCATTTCTCAGCACCGGCAGACTCCGAGTCCCACGAAACCACGCGTATGTGGATTTCGATTTTACCTTTGTTACGGTGAACTAAGTTAAGATACAGCCGATGGGATAAGGCCGTGACGGTATTGGGCGACTCTTGGAGGCATTGTGGGATGGTTGGGACGAATAGCAGGAGTGCTGCCATTCCCATCTCTAAGACTCGCCGGGTTACCATTAGTGCGACGATTTATTGGGGCATCTGCTTGAGTACATAAGGTAGAACTACTTAGCATTACGGATGTGGCTTTCATTTAGGGCTCAAACACGCGGACGGCGACGGTCTTGATGGCGGAGTTTTGACGTGGGCGGCCGGATAAGGCCTGGACTGTTTCCACGCTCTGGCTATACCTTGATCACGGAAGCATTTATATTGAAACTTGTCTTTCCTCAACTACCACCACCACCATCCTGTTCAAATGGAACGACGGCCTCGTAGAGAGGGTAGTGTTTCGTCACTACACCACATCCTCAACGACACAACCGATGCCCCCTACCCACCACCTCCACAACGAACAATCCTTCCCCCAATCCAAACCCTTGATTCACCCTCTCCACGTCTTATGCCACCAGCTTCTGCATCGACCTATACTGTGTCTCCCTTTGCCCAGCCCCATAGTCCGTCAATGACCCCACTCGCTCAAGCTAGACGTCACGGCACGTCCAATTCTCTGACAAGAGCCATACTTAATAATTTGTATCACAGACTCCCATGACTGTTCGTAAAGCTGCAGCAAGACATTGCCAGCGCTAATAATTGCGTTCCATAGATGGATCACCTCCCGAGCCTATTCCATACCGACGGCGAGACTCCCCTCAGTTGCCACATGCCCGCAAGTCATCATCTTATCGATTTATTGGCCAACTAAACATGCTACCCTCTTAGAGCTGCAGCTAGGGTCGCGTGCCTCTGTCCGCAACGTGCAGCGCCAAACTGCTTCTCCCGGCCCCTACTTGGGTAACGAAATCCATGACTTGGTCCTCCATCTCACACTCATTCCCGCCTTCAGAGGATCAGCTCACACCAATTAGCATGCCACACAAGCGCCCTGCCGCCGATTTAGAACACGCAGATGAACCTCCTCGGTCGCGACAGAAAACCGGGGAGGAGAAGACCTCTTCAGGTATATATATCACATTTACTTCAATTTCGCTTTCGGTAATCTGATAATGTCAGCTTCAGGCAGGCGGACTGGATATACGGCCAAGAAGCGCGGCGATGCAAACATGGCTTTGCTGGGTGGTGAGGACGCCTTTCCTGACTCGCAGCATGTGAATTTCTGAGCCTTTTACAACAGCGGAAACAATGCCGAGGAATATGTATAGAATGGTTGCTCGTGCCAAAAGCGGCCACAGCGAAGGTACTGACGGAGAGCGCGATTAATTTGATGGAACTGATGACTTCCTTTTTCCAGCTCCGTTCGACATTATTGAAGTTCCCACCACGTCAAATCTTCGACGTGAGATGCAGACAAGCAGGTGTATGTCCACACGCTTCAAGAACAAAGACATTCCTCGTTGCATCTCTTGCACTCGCCGTTGGGCAGGAGACACATGTCGCTTTCAACACGTGCGATCAATATTTTGGGACGATCATGGTCGTGTTCAAGGTTTTGCCTTTACTGAGCAACTTAGTCGCAAGCCAGCTATGGTATTTCCTGAACGCTGGAACAAGCCGCTTGAGATGTCGCATCTCAAAGAAGCCAAGGTATGTTCAAGGTTCCGCTCCCCCCCCCTCAACCTCAGCCGGTTTAGATCACAGCTGCGCAAGGGCTTCTACCCACTCTTCGTGAAGAAATGGTGCATATTAGCCATCCTGGTATCATCTACCGAGTTCGTGAAAGCGAAGTGAGGGCTACTTGCGGTAAGAAATCTAGTAGCCTTTTTTTAATTTTCTGACTTGCCTTAAAGACACATGCTTGACATCTATATTCTCAGGGTCGTGGATGTGTCGGAGCTGTGGCCGCGAAGCTTGCTCTGACTGCTTTACACAAGTCAAGCGCCTGACTAGTGATCAGCCACACGACAAAAAGGAGGCCGATGATATAGACTACCTACATCAACAAAAACAGCATGCCTCACCGTGGTTCCTCAGCTGTGCGGCAAAGTCTGACCATGGGGCGAGAAACTTTTCGCCGGTCACCCGATTCCTGAAGAGCGAGCTCGAAGAAGCAATCCAGCAAATGGAAGACATCCTCCCTTCTGTTACTTGCGAACCCAAGTGGGCCGGAAAGGCTCCGTTGCCCAAAACTTACAACGACGTGCCGCGCCATGGCGGTTATTGTCGTGGCGCCCCTTCACCAACGTCAAACGACTCGGAAGCGACGCTCGTCCCGAATACGGAGCCGATTCCTTCCTATGAAATCCAACGCTTCACCAGCGCCGAGCTCACCGAAGAGCAGTTCCGTAATCTGTGGACTCTGGGGGAGCCCTTACTCGTCAAAGATGTAGGCAAGAACCTGAAACACCCGTGGACGCCCGAGTTTTTGAAGGCCCACTTCGGTTCCCAGCCTTGCGTGACGATCGAATGTCAGACAGAGAAAACACGCAACACGACCGTCGGCGCGTTCTTCGATGGATTTGGGAAATACGATGACAGGCAGGAGGAATGTTGGAAAATCAAGGACTGGCCACCGACAAGCGAGTTCAAGGCTACCTGCCCAGACCTTTACGAAGACTTCTCGCAGGCGGTCCCAATACCGAACTACGTTCGACGAGATGGCGTTCGGAATCTGGGCTCGCATTTCCCGCTCAACACTATCGCACCTGATCTTGGCCCCAAGATGTACAACGCCAATGCGAATCTGGACGACTCTGACGCTGTCAAAGGCTCCACGAGGCTGCACATGGACATGGCGGATGCGCTGAATATAATGACCTATGCATCACGTGATCCTGATGGGAAAGAGGGATGTGCCGCTTGGGATCTTTTCCGGGCTGAGGATAGCGACAAGCTGCGAGAGTTTTTGGGGGCGTCGCTGGGGAAGATCGACCATCTCGGGCCGGACCCGATCCACGGACAGCAGATATATCTCACTGACAGCATGCGACGCAAGTTGCACCAAGACTTTGGGGTCCAGAGTTACCGTGTTTACCAGCGGGCGGGAGAGGCCATATTCATTCCGGCTGGCTGCGCCCACCAAGTTCGCAACTTGAGCGACTGCATCAAGATTGCGATTGACTTTGTTTCGCCGGAGAACATTGCGCGCTGTGAGAAGCTGACGCGGGAGTTCCGGCAGGTCAATACTGCCAAGTGCTGGAAGGAGGATGTGTTGCAACTGCGCACGATGATGTGGTTCGCGTGGTTGTCGTGTAAAAACCAAGAGTCGATGCGGAGGGTTTGAGTTCACTCGTCTTGTATTATTATCAAAAAATTTGTACAATATAGTGAAAGTGGAAGCTTAGAATCTTCACTGCTGACCACTCGCTGACCAGATTTGAGCTCCGCACAAGCCAAGTACCGTGAATAAGTATCCACATTTCCTTCGCGAACAAATACGCATCCGGTGCTCGGGCCGGTGATCCGGATTCTATTGGCTATTTCTGCGGCCTCAACTATGAGATTTCTTCCTAGTAAATGCACCATTCGACCAAGTTACAGCGCTACGACGCATTTATCTGCTCAGGTAAATACTTGGGCTCGCGTGCAAAAACATCAAATTTCCGACCAGATTTGTGCTGTTATCCGCCACACCCCTCATCTGGCCCTGTGAGAAGTCAGCCTATACTCAACTCTAAATCCGAACGACTCACGATTTACGAATGAAAGTCCACTCTACCTGCCTGTCCCCTGGAAAAACCTGACTCCTTCTCCATCCGCCACCGCGATCAGCTGCGCACGCCCCGTCTTCGCTAGAATGCCGATAGTCTTCTTCAACAGGCTTATGGGGATGTTGGATAGAGGGGAGGGGACCGGCGGGTCTGTGATCTCGTAGAATGTCATAATCGTGTTAAGTTGACCCGTGGAGATGGCCTGGCGAGCACTTAGTTGAATAATGCTAGATAAATACGCGTAGCGCACCCAAGTGTGTAAAACTTCAGCCCACTCGTCGGGTAGTCGCCAGTGGAGCACAACAGAGCGTGTTTGCCCCGCGGGCTCAAAGACAGCGAGGTTCTTCGCCACCATCGCGGCGAGGAGCGTGGTAAGATATGACGGGAGGATCTTTCCTGTGCCGGAGTGAGCAGCCAGACGATTTTGTGAGAGAATTGGCCCACGATTTATCCTCTCGTTCCGCAGTACCTCGGCCCAGTCACCGTCGGCAGTCTCAGCGTCTTCCACACGCAGAAGGAATAGCTTGCGATATCTGGCATAGGCAAGTATCAGCGTCGACCATTGCTCTGTCGCTGTCGCATTGGTGCCCGGGTGAGGTTGTTGTCTATTACAATTCAGGACGCGTCTCGAGTTTAAGCGTGAAGCTGACGTGAAAAACGGCGGCGCGGAGTGGATGGACGGGAGCAGGAATCCTGGGTTTGCATTACGGGCGCGATACAAGCGGCAGGGCAAGCTTGCCTGTTGGTGTGGTGAAAGTAGAGAAGGAAGACATTGAATCAATCAGCTTATCGACATCACAACCGCCAAGAACAAACCGATGAAATAGAGCTTATTAGCAGCCTCAGATTTAACAAAAAATAGCATGTAGATCTCAAGGAAATCCAAGTGTTTCATCGCTCCACTAGGAAAATTTGGAAAGAAATTGTGCCGGAGAGTGGCAGGCCGTAGAGCGGTAACGTGATGTTCACAGAGGCCAATGCTCTCCGGTTAATTCCCTCATGCCTCCCATCCGACAGAGTCTCCTATGCCATATGCTTCTGGGGGCAACACATGCTGCTGGGGAGAGACGAAAGCTGTCGAGTGATTCAGCAGCATCACCGGCGTCAGCGCCGGTCCCCCCATATTCGGATGACAGGAGCGGGCCGAGCGGCTGATAGCAGAACTCTCAAGAAAATCCGCTCCACCCCTGAAATTTTTGAAAGGAAAATAGAAGGGAAATAGAAAGGAAAAAAACGTGTTTTTTCCAGCAGCTAATAAGCTCTAATGCCGTGTCATCTTCTTTTTCAACTCTACCACCACCTTGAGGCTTGCACCAAAAGTCTGTCGAACATACCCTGCTTTGAAAATAATGTCCCTCCTGAGCGCATCGGGAGAAACTGGAGTGAATCGTATCACTATCTGAGGCAAGCTCCTCTGCTCTTCCATCCAACTTCCATCCTTTGAACCGCACCCATCAGTCCCAAAGACCAGACCATATATTCAAACTCTTCTTTAGTCGCTATCAACTCCAACACGGCCAGGGGTCGCTTTCACCTCTTTATCGAGAGTCCACTAACGGCGAAGGGTCACGTCGACGAAGGGTCACGTCGTGACCCTTCGCGACACCCTCTCTCTTTCCTTCCTTGATGTCCAGGCTTACTGCGGCGTGGTCAGTTCTCGGTTTTTGGCCCAGCTTCGACTCATCCATTAACCTCGCTCTTACTTATTCCAAGGATTCCAGCTCGTGGACAACATATCTTGGCCTCTGTTTGTATGCTTCCTGACATCTTTCTCTTCGTACGTGGACTCGAACTGTCTCCTGCTTACATCTCTAATACCTATGCCAGATACTTGAGCATTGTAGTCCATATGATCTCGTGCAGCTCAACGCGACTTGCCGAACGTTTCGAGGCTTGATTCGCGACCAACCGCACCTCTGGGACCGTGCTTTTTATAATATGGCGCGAGGAGACTCTCCTGCATTGCCTCCGTGTCCTGTCATTCGATCTGCCGGCTACTCTATCCCTGCCTACATTTCTTGGATCTTCGGTGGCGGCCCGTGTTCAGTTCGGGTGAGGCAATTGAACCAGCCATATACACACGAGCACTGACGCCGATTTCAGGAATGTGAAAATTTCTCCAACTCCCTACCATTTGACTTCGTATGGGGATTTCGTGCTTGTTCTGTACGTTTCATAGTTTAACGAAGCCGACCTCAACTCACTCGCTCAGCCGGATTGCAGAGACAAATTGACATCGTGCGCTTTCATTCGCCTTTACATGTCCCAAGCTGATAAGTCATCCAGAGAAGAATACGTTTACTACGACTGGAATTGCAACTTTCGCTCTCTCGGAATGTTTGCCCACCTACCCCGAATCACGGTCTCTTATGGCGGAAGGTCCATCGACCTCTATCTAAAGAAAGCTATCATGACTTCTGGTGTGACTCCCGCTCACGGCGCTTGGGCGTCGCGAAGACCACCGCAAACGGTAAGGCATTACCTTGTTGGGGGTTTATTTTCATGGATTGACTTGAGTTTGCGTAGCCAGTTACTGGTCAAGATCGTCAGCTACTGGGCCAAGTACGAATATGCTTCCTGCTTCAGATGTCGACTGACTATTCAAGAATGCGTTGGAACTGGAGAACTGGACGGCGAAGTATCTGGTCGAGAAGAAGGCGGTGATGCAAACAAATTTGGACTTGTAAGCTCTGCGATCTATCTGCCCCGCTGAAGGTCAAGTTAACACCGTATTAGTATTCTTAAACAAGCAAAGAGCAACACAGAGAAAGCCAAAGAAATCTGTCGGTGCGAGACTGTCAGAGAAGCCTTGGTCGTTTTCTCTCGGGATCTTCAACTTTTCACTATCTCTGGTTTGTGGCTTGCCCTTGAGATCGCATAATGCCAATTTTCAGTTTGGAGTCTGTTATTGAACGACATTCCGGTCGGGTTAAAGGAATTTATTGGTACGCATGTTGTACTTTCACCTCAAGCGAGCTCTGATTAGATATCTCAGCGGCACGAACAGTCAGGCAGCGTTGTGTTGACTGTCCAGACTTGGAGCACCTGTTTTCTCCAGAAGCACTTGAACGTCATCAGTCAATCATGTGGGTCTAGCTTCCTTTGAGAGCTTAAGCACTCAATGCCTGACTTGCAGACATCCCCATCGTTTAGTGAGACAGCCTTGTGAGGACTGCCCAGATATTTCTCGCGTGTACACCCCGAGGACACTCCAAGTACACCGCTCAAACAAGTACACCGACTATCGTTAACTAAAAACTTGACCGCTCCCTGACTGCATTACAGGCATCCTGACCTCATAGCGATACTGCCTTGTGATGACTGTCCAAGCCCTTCTTCCCTGTTCACTCCGAATGAACTTGAGGCACATCAGTTGCACAAGTGTGTCTATCTTCATTTCACAGTCACTCGATAACCGACTTGCAGACATCCCCACCGTGTCGTGATGCAGCCTTGCGATGACTGCCCAGTGTCCTCTTTTATGTTCACCCCGAGCCAACTTCGAAAACATCGCTTAGCCAAGTAATGCCTATAAGTATCATCATTTGGAAAACTAAGCACTAATTTGCAGGCATCCGGCGTCACTTGGCTCAGGCAAGCAGCGTTGTGCTTATTGTTCCCCAAAAATTCCTCGCGAGTTCACCAAGGAAGGACTTCGAATGCATCAGTTAGCCAGGTATTTATGTTGTCAATTTAGAAGCCCGACTACTCGCTGACTCGGTTACTTACAGGCATCCCCAAAGACTGCATGTGGCTTGAGTGAGCCTGTCCCAAACCGATTCTTCCACACATCTACCATACAGCCAACCCATAGAGACCGAACCACATGTCCCACTAGCACTACTATTACGATTATCATGAGGACCGCGCGCATGTCAATTCTTGTGGATCTAAGCGCCCTTATCTGTTCTTTGATGGTCATCACACCGAAGTCCTTAAGTTCGCCGTTACAACAAGTAAATAGTACAGTTATTCAAGATTCGTAGCCAGGCGGGGCATCTGCAGGCGTCGTGACACTTCCTCCTCCAGATGAAACCGAGCTGCCCTCTGACGGGGAAGTGTACACCGCTACGAGGAATTGTAGTCAGCGAATATCCATTCAGTTGTCCAGACAAAAGCTTACGCAGCCCCTCCTCATTCTCCGCAGCCTGACGCTTCATGTAGATTGCCCTTTCTCTGGTCTTGTCCAGCACGGCGGCAAAAGAGAACATGGGTGTGTTCTTGAAGCGCACTTCAGCGGTTGTACCCTCCGTAAGACCACCGTCTGTGGATGGCTTGATCCCTAGAGAAAGATAGTTGGCGCCAAACGTCGGCTGCTCGAACTTGGACGAAAGGATCGAAGGAAGCGGGACTAGCGGGTGTTATCAGCCGCGGAGAGAGGGCAGCTTGGCACACACTAGAAAGAGACTCGAAGGTGGTGTTGGGGGTAGCACTCGTGAATATGAACTGCAGAGTCGGGTGAGATAATCTAGGCGAGCTGATGACCATACTTACTCTCATGTCTGTGACGGACGCCTTGCCAACCGCCTTGAGTGTGCGCAGACCACCTGATCCGCCAGCAGGCGGGGCGTCGGGAATGTTGAGGGTGACTTCGACCCCGGAGTCGACGCTGGTTATTGTCATCTCGTTCGGCAGCGGGACCGGGGCCCGGGTTTCGGGGGACAGCATTGCCCAGTTGAGAGCCATGGTAGTTGAGCCAAAATTGAGCCCAGAGAAGCGAAGCAGTGGGAGGAGTGGAAGTGGATGATGTGTGTGTCCGTCACTGTGACCCCCCTTCACTCTTAACCGCCATGCCGATCGCCAGCCACGACGAGATCAACCTCAAGCGTCTCGTTCGCAGGCTGGAAAAGTCAGCAGTCGACTCACAATGGCCTCCCACCGCTGGAGACACGACATACATCAAAGTCCAGAGCTCACTGCAGGTAAATTTCGGTCATTCTGTAGCCATTCCTTATGTTGGCCAGAAAGTCAAGTACGCGCGAAAACTATTGGCCAACGTTGAGTCGGAGCGTCCCTTGTGAGTATGGCGCTGTCTCATTTCCTGGCTAACACGTTTCCAATATAGGACGGAGTTGAAAGCAATTCTCGACCGCGTCGATTCATTCCTCACTGCCCTAGCGAGCGTTCGTATCATTTCTTCCAGCCCTGAATCTCCTCAACGCCCCCCACAGAAAACAATACCCGAGTCAACTCGACCCGTGCCAATCCTCCCAACACTCCCGCTTCCGCTTCTGCCCCCAGAACCCGAGCCAGAGCCAGAACCGGTCACAATTGCCGTCTCCCCACCACCAGAATACGAGGCAACACCCGTCTCCCTCCCGCCCGACACCCTCATTCCGCTGACTACAACCCTGCTCCCATCCGAGAAGCCCACCAAATCTACAGCAGTCCAGCAAAACCCCACCCTTCAACACGCGACGCTCCGCCAGCGCGAAATGGCCGACCAGATGGCAGTGATGGCCGAGCAGCTCAAGCGCAACTCGGTCTACTTTGCTGAGCTGCTCGAGAAAGACAAGCGAGCGATGGAGGAGACAGAGGCAAAGCTCGAGGGAAACTACGGTTTCATGCAAAAAACGCGGCTCCGCACTCGGGATTTGCGCGGAAAGACGGGTGGGACGACTTGTCTAGTCCTCCTCATTATCGTCTTCGTAACCGTATTGTTCATGTTTATGGTCTCCCTCATTCGGTTCTCGGGCCGTTAATTAAGCCACGAATTTCATTGCCGATCTCCTCGAGTATTCTACTTTGGATCTTGCTATACGGGTATGCGAAACAATATGAGCTGACAAGAGCGATTAAGGATTGACGAAATCTACTTCAGAGCTCTCGGGTTCTGTGTATTGGTTCCCAATCTGAACGACGACAGTTGAGCTCGAGGGCAAGTGTTGCCGTTAACTGTCGGATGTTCTCTTCCATCGAGATCCGTTTTGAAAAGATACCACGATCTTATCAGCTTTGAGTGTTATCTCAAATCAAATTCCCACGGTGGTCAAAGAACCTATGCCTCACCGCGACTTGCGACTGCCACCACAGGTTTCGTCCTCGCAATGTCGGGGTTTAGACTACATCGTCGGACACACGAAATCTACTGGTTCGAACGTCGGACTTTCCTTGAGGCGGCTGGCTATCGTCTAAGGCCCAAATTCGATCCAGAGTACATTCCCAACGCTGGATGGTGGGCAATGCGTGAATATTCCGCCATTCACTTTGTTGGTGCCTCGTTCGCAATGCTGCCCCGCTAATAACCTTGCAGAAATCCAGCATCATGGACGCGCATCGTATTGTTGACAACAAGCCAGTCATGTTCAAGACTGTGCGAAGCAGCGTCCATCCTGACGAAGTGGAAATTGCCCTCATGTTCTCCTCCCCTCCATTGGCTGCAAACCCAAGGAACCATTGCATTCCTATTCTAGATGTCCTCCAAGACCCGGAGGACGCTCAAAAACAAATCCTTGTCATGCCTCGATTCATTGAGTTCTCCGTTCCCAAGTTCGACACTGTGGGTGAAGTGGTCGATTGCTTCAGACAAATCTTCGAGGTGCGCCTGTTGGCCTTGGTCTATGTGTCTGTCTCATGCAACCAAGGGTATTGGATTTATGCATGAAAACTTCGTTGCTCACCGGTAAGTCGTTTGCCTTGTCGCCAACCCATGATCATGACGTCTGGTCAGTGACTGCTGTTATTTCAACATCGTCCAAGACCCAACCTTACTATTTCCTGCTGGCTACCACCCAATCCACACCTGGCAGGACCCTGAGGCTCGCAACCGTGCAAATCACATCACTCGCACCGAATGCTGGCCGCGTTATTATCTGATAGACTTTGGCCTTTCTAAAAAATATAACCCGGCCGACGGGCCGCCTTTAGAAGATATCATTCTTGCAGGGGACAAATCACCGCCAGAACACAAAACCCATTTTGCATGCAACCCTTTCCCCACCGACATATACTTTCTCGGAAATCTCTTGAAAGAAGATTTCCTTTTCCCCCCGGAGGAGTCGAAAAAGGCATGTTTCCCTAATTTACGAGTATCGAGCGTTAGCGCTCAATCAAGTGTAGCACTCCATTCGTCCATCCCTCCGATTCCTTGAACCACTCGTCAAGGAAATGACGTTACCTGATCCTTCAATGCGGCCAACCATAGGCGAAGTTCGTCGACGATTTGACGAATTATGCAGCGAATTGAGTGAATGGCAGCTGCGCCGGCCAGGCCAACGACATTCTTTTGGACCCTTGCAGCTGATCAGACAACTCACGCGGACACTCCTTCGTGTTCATCCCCTTCCAAGACGCACCCCGGCATTAAGTGACTCGGGCAGTCTAGAGTTGAGCAAGACCATGCGCGATTTTTATACGCAAACACAGCTGGAAAAAATCAACAACGGTTAGCTACCGCATGATCTCGATGCTTGATGTGGGGCGAGCATTTTCGCCTCAGTTTCGCGGCGCGTCGGTTGGACGTAGTCCTGTACGATAAGTTGACTTATTTAGATGGTCTTATGCTAAACACATGATAGAACAAGGATTTGCTTCTCTCGCACCGCCAGTGAACAAGCCATCTCGCTCTTTGCTAGACCAGCAGATTGTCACTCCGCCTGCACCAAACGGCTGATAAGATGGCAGTGATGGCCCAGCAGCTCAAGCGTAACTCGGTCTACTTTGCTGAGCTGTTCGAGAAAGACAAGCGGGCGATGGAGGAGACCAAGGCCAAGCTCGAGGAAAACTACGAAGACGCGCTCGGGATTTGCGTGGAAAGACGGGCGGGACGACTTGTCTGGTCCTCCTCCTCATCGTCTTCATAACCGTGTTATTCATGTTTATGGTCTCCCTCATTTGGTTCTCGGGCCGTTAAGTATTAAGCTATGAATTTCATTGATGATTTCCTCGAGTATCCTACTTTGGATCTTGCTATAGTGTAATAGTTATGTGTGCTTTCGGTTTATATGGGTAGGCTGTATGGTAGTTGTGTGGAAGAATCGGTTGGGGAAAGGCTCAATCAAGCGGGATGCCTGGAAATGAGTGAGCGAGTAGTCAGAGACTTTCAAATGGAAATGGGCTGACTTGGCTTCGCGATGAAGTCGAAGTGCAGACTGGGTGAACCTGCGAGAACTTGCTGGACAGTCATTGCAAAGCTGCTTCACTGCGGGGTGGAAATGTCTGCAAGTCATTTATCGAGTGCTCCGACTCTCGAATGAAGATAGACACACTTGATGGCCTGATGAGCTTCGAGGGCCTCCGGAGTGAACAGGCGCTGGCGATAGGAGGGGCAATCACCACAACGCTGCAGATTTTGGGCCGGCAATTCAAGTTTATTGCCCAAGTAATGTGTTCCGAGTGCAATCGGGGTGAACGTGTAAGAACTTGAAGTACTTGGACAGTCAACACAAGGCTGTTGCACTATACGATGGGGATGTCTGCAAGTCAGGCATTAAGTGCTCAGACTTCTGAATAAATGAAGATAGACCCACCTGCGCAGCTGATGACTTTCAAGTGCTTCCGGAGTAAACAGGCGATCCAAGTCTGGGCAGTCACCACACCGTTGTTTGCTTGGTAGTACCGCTAAGATATATGATTAGAGCTAGCTTGAGAGTTCAGGTGCAATATACGGACCGATGGGACCGGGAGAAGCCTTCAACTCAGCTGGGATGCCTAGCAACGTCCAAACTGCAACTTGTCATTGCGCACATCTCAAAGGAAACCGACGATCACAAACCACATTCGGTCAAGAGCTGAAGATCACGAGAGAAGACGGCCACGGCTGCCCTGACAGCCTTGTACTGAAGCAGCTCTTTCGCTTTCTCGAGGTTTTCATCTGCTTGTTTGAGAATACTGATATGACATTAGTTTGAACTCCAGCTCGGCAGATAGATTGCAAAGCGTACAACTTCATATTTGCTTGCGTCACCGCCTCCTTCTCAACCAAATACTTGACTTTCCAGTTCTTCAGCCCAGACGCATTCTGAAATAGTCAATGAACACCTGAAGCAGCAAGTATATTCATGCCTTGTCAAGTCGCTGACGGTCTTGACCAGTAACTGGCTGTTACAGGGCATAGAATCAGGTTAATAGATTGGAATTAAACTCATCAAGCTTACGGTTTGCAGTGGTCTTCGCGTCGGCCGAGTGCCTCGAGCGAGACTTACACCAGAAGTTATGATAGCTTTCTTCGGATAGAGGTCGATTGTCATCCCATCATAGAAGACCATGGTTCGAGGCAGGTGGGCAAACATTCCGAGAGAGCGAAAGTTGCAATTCCAGTCGTAGTAAAGGTATTCTTCGCTGGATGGCTTCTCAGTCTGGGACATGTTAATGCGAATGAAAGCGCACGATGTCAATTTGTCTCTGCAATCCGGCTGAGCGAGTGAGTTGAGGTCGGCTTCATTAAACTATGAAACGCACCGAACAAGCACGAAATCCCCATACGAAGTCAAATGGTAGGGAGTTGGAGAACTTTTCACATTCCTGAAATCGGCGTCAGTGCTAGTGCGTATATGGCTGGTTCAATTGCCTCACCCGAACTGAACACGGGCCGCCACCGAAGATCCAAGAAATGTAGGCAGGGATAGAGTAGCCGGCAGATCGAATGACAGGACACGGAGGCAATGCAGGAGAGTCTCCTCGCGCCATATTATAAAAAGCACGGTCCCAGAGGTGCGGTTGGTCGCGAATCAAGCCTCGGAACGTTCGGCAAGACGCGTTGAGCTGCACGAGATCATATGGACTACAGTGCTCGAATATCTGACATAGGTATTAGAGATGTAAGCAGGAGGCAGTTGGAGTCCACGCACGAAGAGAAGAATGTCACGAAGCATAAAAAACGAGCCAAAAAGATGTTGTCCACGAGCCGGAATCCTTGAAATAAGTAAGAGCGAGGTTAAGACATGAGTCAAAAGCTGAAAACCGACCGCGCTGCATTGAGTCTTGACATCGTCATCGAGGAAGGAGGAAGAGGGTGTCGCGAAGGGTCACACTGTGACCCTTCGCGTGTGTGGTCTAGATTGAACGTCATTCTTTCCATAAGCGCAAACCACCACCACAAACTTATCCATAACTATCAAACGTGCACGCTCTTGGCCCTCCTTGACCCCAATCGACAACCACACAATGTCTGCGAAACCCATGTCGAAACCTGACGCGGTCCAAGGAGATGTATTCCACTCATTTAGTTTCGAACTTCAAGTTGAATCAGCTTCCCAATGCGCCCCTGCTTGTCTTGGCGAGAAAGTTGTTGAGGCCGAAGAATACTATCATCGCGAACTCCGTCGATTTGCTGAGGTCAAAGAGGAGAAACTTCGAGCTCAAGTCATCCAAAAGAGGTATCCAGTCCTGATTTCGGCTCTAGATATGAAGGTGAAAGAGGCCCTGGTGGTGTTGGAGCTGGTGGCAACCAAAGAAGAGTTTGAAGATGTGGTCTGCTCATTGGGACTGATGGGTGTGGTTCAACGGATGAAAGAGAAGACGAGGCCCATTCGCTGTAGCCGCGGCGATGGTGATGCAATTTACTTTGCTGAAGACGACGCCCTCAAGACAGTAAACGGAGGCACAAGTCGGCGTATATTTGGACAGACGTAGAGTTGGATGGAGGACGACATCAGCGTGGCGGTTTTTGTTTTCCGTTTATTTTCTGAAATTGAGCAGTCACTCTTGGGTTACCTACACAAGTACAGTGGAAGATTTGATGGGTATTACCAAAAAAGGCAAGACATTTGATCTTGCCGCCACTGTAAGCATAATAATACAATGTCCATAGATGCGCGCTTAGTTCTCAAGCCTGGTGCCCACGTCAAGGGGGCGCACCGTCCACCAGGAACTTCACCACAAAAAGCCCTCTTCACAACATAATTTCTCCCCAGCACCTCTATCCAGCCCAGTGATTGGTGAGGGATCACCCGGCTCATCTTCCGTGAAACCCATGTGTGAGTGTTGGTTATGCCCGGCTACCTGCAGCCAAACGACGATGCCTCCACTTGGACGGGCGACTAGCGCCGCAACCAGTTCACACATGGGAAACGTCGCAACATGAGGTGGAACCCGTCGTTTAATCGTGATGCTTGTCTTTGAGAGTACTAGTCTTGACGATGAGCGATGAGAGTCTTGACGATGAAAGTCTTGACAATAAGAGTCTTGACGATAAGAGTCTTGACGATATGGTGATGAAAGAGGATCGGAAGAGCGCAGAAAGCAATAAATATTCTATCAAGGCTGGCGAAGGGTCCAACTTGGTCCCGCATTGCTCATCTCCCGCTACAACACCCGCAATGCTAGTTCCTCTAGCTAATCCGGGCTAGCCAGACTGCATAGACTCACTACCACACGGACGCCCGGAGGCTGCCTCTCAAAATGATTTGAGAGGGCGATACACGCATCGGCGCCGGAAGATCACAGCGTAGGCAAGTCGCAGCGAGACGTCGACCTACGCTGCACCACGACTTGCCCGCGCCGTTGGGTAAGCTCGACGGTGTCCAGTTATCGCCACTAGTGGTGTTGACGATGTTGAATTAAGGAGGGAGAAGTTGAGAGAGCACAGCTAACCATCGTAGCAACTAAGTATTTAAGGCTTTCAAAGAGGGGCGGAGACCCAGGAATTGTTTCGGAAGCGGCCCGCTCCACAGACAAGCCATGATCCGCCAGTGCAACCAAGACCAAGACGCTTCCGAGGAGATAATCGGCCCAACGGACATTGAGAGTTGTTCTCTCGTGTGGGACAACTGAAACTCACCGCCAGAACAAAGCCCTTTAGGGTAGCTTGCAATCCTTTTCGGTGTATACTCTCTCTCGGTAATCAGTTGAACGAAGTTCTCAGAATCGTCAGGAAAGGCGCGTTTGATCAAGCCTCGAAACGTTCGGCAAGATGTGTTGAGCTGGACGAGATCATACAGTCATCTACCCAACATCTACCGGCCAATGGTACACCCCCCCGTTTTGGTACACCTGATTGATGTGCAGCTTTTTGACCCTCAATCACAATCCTGCAGCCCCCAAAAAAATATTTATTATTGGGTAGCATCCTATGAATACACACATGAGTTTTTGTGTCAATATGTGCACTGTGTCCCATGCTAGAAATTAATCTTTTTGACATTGTCCTACCCCGACAAAATCCCCACCCTCCTCTGTGGGCATATTCAGATTCTTTTGGTGTTCAATTGTAAGGGTTGTCAGTATATGCCTAAAACATGCTTTGAACCATACCTAGATGCTGAAACACGCCCAAAAACACGCTTTGCAAGAACATGTCACAAAACAGCAAGTCCACGAGTGGCGTGACAGACCGCGTTTTCTCGCATCAATGGTCGGCCGCGCTGAGTCTCAGTCAAAGAAGGCTTGCCGACAGCGCGAGGAGCACGACCGTTGGATGACACTTGCTGTTCGGCGCTATCATGCGGAGCAGGCCCGTGTCGACATCCCTGAGCACGAAAAAAAGGGCTACCGCAAAATTTGCCAGCAGCTTGAGGCGGAATACGCGCTCAGATACAAGAACAAGATCACAAAAAAGAAGAAGCAAGTCCTCAAACTTGCCTTCAATACTCTGCGCCGCTGGGTGAACGACGGGACTCCGAAATCCAAGTCTAATGCCAGCCGCGGCTGGCTGACAGAGGAGGAGGTCGAAATTATCATCCACTATCTCCTCGAATGCGCCCGTCGTGGATTTCCCTTGACACATGGACGTCTTAAAGAGATTGTTGACCTCACCTGCCGGGCACGACTCGGAGATGCATTTCCTGCAACTGGAGTTGGCAAGAACTGGACGCAGCGCTTCCTTGAGAAGTACTCCGACCGGCTCAAGACCCACTGGGCCATGGACCGCGAAGACAAGCGCAACCGGGCAGTGAACCCAGCAACGCACAAGCTATGGTCGGAGCTATTAGACGACACACTTTCGGGCCGGCGCGACTACGAGTTTGACTTGCCTGTCATAAAACCAGCAGCAAGCACAGACGATGTTGAAGCGGAGGGCTTTTCGGATGACGATGAGGATGACGAGCCTCAGGCGGACATTGAGATGGATGCGGACAGGCTAGAAGAGGAAGGAGATGAAGACAACGAGATGGATCTTGTTATACCAGACGCAGACAGCAACGAAGAGGCCAATGATGATTCACAGATGCCAGGATTGACAGAGGGCGATGAAGAGGATGAGGAGGATGAGGTGGAGAGTGATACAGAGGATGAAGATGATGAAGTTACGGGTGGACCGCCGCAGCAGTCGACAGAGACGCCATCCGACCCCATCCCAATTCTCGCTGAAAACCTGTATGGCGCAGACGAGAGTGGCTTTATGCCTGCCGGTAACACCGCGCAACGTGTTATTGGAGCGGCGAGGACCAAGAGCCAGCACCAGCACAGTGACGGCGGAAGGGAGAACACAACAGTTATCTTGACGATTTCGGCCGATGGACGGTGCAACAAACCTGTCGTGATCTTCAAAGGCAAGGAATTCCGGACAGAGTGGAAGCAAGACGATCCACTCTCGTGCAAGTCAGTGTTTATTGACGATTATTTACTCAGTCTGCTAACGGTGCTGGTTAGCATTACTTATCAGACAAAGGGATGGACAGACACAGAAATCGGACTAGCCTTTATCAAGGACTTTCACGAGCAAACGAAAGAACGCGCCGCAGGACGCGTGCGGGTGCTTCTCGTTGATGGACACAACTCCCATTACGGGCTTGATTTCTTGCTCTTCGCCCGCCAACACCGCATCCACATCTTGTGCTATCCCGCACATTCAACCCATGTCTACCAAGGTCTTGACGTCGTAATATTTGGGCCGCTGAAAGGCTATTGGACGGAGGAAAAGACACGCTTCCGCGCGCAAACTGGGCAAACGATCAAAAAGAGCAATTTCCTCCGCGTCTATGCATGCGCGCATCGACGAGCACTCACCGAGGCAAATATCAAGACAGCATTCCGGAAGACCGGTGTCTGGCCATTTGATCCCTCCGTCATAACCGCAGACATGATGGCACCCAGCATCGAGACGTCCATCCAAGGACATCTTCCCGTTGCGCCGTCTACTCCGATACGCGCTGTTACGACGTACATTGGCAACGTCCATCGGAGCAACAAACGCCGGCGACTTGAAGAAGATTCAGAGCAGGGGTATGAAGCGGGAGGCTCAGCAACACATCCGGCGTACCTTTCGGATATGCTTACAACAATCAGCAACAGCTCGTCCGCATTCCTTGTCTCATCCTCACCCATCCCATCATCTGCCACCCCACCCCGCTTCAATCCAACACTTATATCCCCAAGCAAATCGCGCAAACGACGCTACGCGTCATTGCTTGCAGCCCCACCCGCCACCGAGCGTGAAGAGCAGATGCAAGATGCAATTCAAGAGCTTCTCGGCCAGTTGCGGGAAAGGAAGTCACAGCTTGTGTCGATGCAGTCGAGCCTGGTCCTGAACGGCGTGTATTTGGATCGTCTCCGAATGCAGCTGGCAGCGCAGGAGGAGGCTCGGACGATGGCACAGAGGAAGAAGGGACGCCTCGTGGGTGATGGGCTTCCTCGATTGTTGACATCTGTCGAGTTTGTCAGGCGTGTCCAAGACTTCCACGATGCAGCAAAGCAGAAGGAGGCCGAGGCAGCAGTACGCAAGGCCACGAAGGGGGAGCTGAAGAAGCTGATGGATGAGTGGAAGATGCTGGAGGCAGACCGGAAAGAGCAGAATCGCAAGATCAGAGAACTTGTCAAGGCAGAGCTTGCAGAGTGGAAAGCGGAGAAGAAGCAGCTGGGAAGGGGTAAGAATCCTGATTGGCCGAAGCCCTCAACGAAGGGTCGCCTTCTCGATCCGATCCCGAAACCTCAACTTGACTCCACTGAAAACACAGGCTCCGATAGTGAGGAGGACAGTGAAGAGGGGTCAGAGATTGAGTAGAAGGTCTGTAAGCCATCGTTAGAGCCATTTAATTACTATTCCGGGCTGCAATACACAAACTCTGTGTGATTTGCTGTCAGGGGTGTGTTTCCCAAAACGGAAATTTTGCTCGTTGCTCAACAGACACCTTCCAATGCTTCAAATATTATAAAATTCAAGATATAAGATCTTATTAGGTGTATTACTGCCCATACAAATTTGAACAACGATCCGAGACATAGCAGGCAAGCCATCACAGCTGCTGTACCACTGTACCATTGGCCGGTAGATGACTGTATGGACTATTACAATGCTCGAATATCTGGCATATGTATTAGAGATGTAAGTAGGAGACAGTTCGAGTCTACGGACGAAGAAAAGGATGTCACGAAGAAGAACAAATAAGGCAAAATTTTAAAAGATGTTCTCCACGAGCCGGAATCCTTGAAATAAGTATGAGCAAGGTAAAGATATGAGCCAGAAACTGAAAACTGACCACGCTGCATTGAGTCTTGACATCGACATCGAGGAAGGAGGAGGACTGAGGAAGAGGTGTCGCGAAGGGTCACACTGAACATCTAAGCTCAGCTCACACGAGACCAACACGTGAGTAATGGCGCTAGCCCGACTAACTAGGGTAGCCAGACGACTAGGCCACTATCTTGGACAAATGCCAGCCGCGCCGCCGAACCAAGCATGGGGAAATTTCGCAACCTGAGCTGGCACCAGTCGTCACAAGCGAGAAGTTGAATAAACGGGTGAAGGATTAAACCTGGCCACCTGGCTCATCTTCTGCGATCCCACACTTGTATAATGGTGTAGGTCTGGCCACCTAGGCCACTACTTGGACGGTTGAAACTTGGCGCTCTGCCCAGTTCACGCATTCGAAACGTCGTGGCATGAACCGATATCAATTGTCACCGTTAACCGGTTTCTGGGGACTTTGGTACATTACATCTTGAAGTTTGCTTGATGGTCTTGAGTCTTAGAGTCTTGACGATGGTGCGGCAGACATAGCGGAGAAGTCTGAGGACTCTGAGTGAAATCAAACTGGTGAAGATTTGAACCTGGCCCACCTTGCTTGTTTTCTGCAACGACACGCGAGCAGCCGCAGTTGTGCGAACGTTCGCCTTGAATCTTGAGGTTCACTTGATAATCCGTTGTCACCGAGCATTTAAGACGTTCGTGGAGTCACAAGTTATGTTTCGGAAGAGGCCCGCCCCAGTAACTCCAACCCGTGATCCGCACGAACAACTAAGACCAAGAACCCTCACCGCGCAAGGACACCGATGACCACCAACATCCCCCATTCCACCCACATCACTGGCGCACCCAATGCGACTCCGGAGGAAATGCAAAGACGTATCGACCAACTCGTGACTGCAGGCCAGCACCTTTCAGCAATGGCCGAAGAGGAGGAGGTCGGGTTGCCGCATTTGCTGGACGATGTTGAGACCCTGGATGACGAGAGGCGCCGGAAAGAGTGGCAGCTCGCCTCGCTATTGGGTGTGTACCGGTACCATCGACAGTACATTACGCCTATCTCACTCTCTACCAGAGTGTATCGAAGAGGTGAAGAAGCGGACGAAGGGAGACTTGCAGGTCGGCGGTAAATGTCATTCCAAGTGTTGGCCTGCTCCGCGTTGACTGCCCTGAAAAGAACGATCAAGCGAAACGGCGAGCCAAATGGAAGATTATGATAGCGTCAACGACTCGGAGCGGTTGATCGTCGTCTTCAACGGCGACGGGGAACGACCAGATAGCGCTAGCGAGCTTTATAAAGGATTCAAGATGCACTTGACTAGCGGGAGGGGCCAAGACGAATGGGATCAGGAAAATTATAGTACGCAAATAGATGTACCAATGGAATTCTAGAGGCGAATGTCAGATTAAATTCAAGGAACCAGGAGTCTGGGGCGCATTGCCTGAGTTGTTGACATCAGATTGGACATCGAGAGCTTTGGAATTCAGCGGTGCCAGTGCAGCTCGTCATGCTGACCGCCCGTTGGTCGTTTTGCACAATTGATCTGGACATCGTGAGGTACGAAGCGATAGAAAATCTACTAGAACAGCGTCACTGCTTTTGCAAGGTCAGCAACGAGCAAGGAAACGAAATAGGCATCCAACTCACAGTTCTCAGACACTGTTCACATCCACCGAGGAAAACTAGATACATCTTCAGCTGGTCGTCTATCAGTCCGTTAAGATGTGGAATCGTATTGTTGGAATGGAAGGAAGGCACGGCCAAACAAGCCAAGGTAACTGTAGACCGTTTGTCGGCGCTGGGCAACTCAAACAACTCTAGGCTAGAGTCCACGTAATGACTGAGCAGACGAGACATAGAGCAGCTAACAGAGGCAGAATGAACGGCGGAGCATTTCTTGACACTAAGCAATGGGGTGAACGGGGGAAAAGCTGCATTAGAGAAAAAAGTCGAAAGGAAGATGCTGTGGCCCACGTGATTGATTTGATTCGATCCATTTCTTCCCAGTGTGGCTTTTGGCGCAAGTAATCTCTTTCATTCGCGAAGCTCTCAGGATGGGTTCAACAAATGACTGTAGTTTCTTCCTAGTAGGACCCATCTTACTTGCTACTTGCGTCCAGCTACAACGTAACAACGATGCATCGGCGAATCCCACCAATTCACTTACTACTTATTGACCTGAACAAATTGGATTGTCGCGAGAAAGGATTAATATTGAAGATGCAGACCATTTAATCATCTAAAACCCGTTAAACTCACGAGCTATCGCCCACGACACGGCTTCTTCCACATCCTGCACTTCATGGGTCGGCTGGTGTGAGGGCGTCGTGCCCGCTGCGAAGACACCCGTTCGCACGAGAACGGACTCCCATTTGGCCGCATTGGCACCAGCAATGTCTGCAAAAACAGACTTGGTACTCGGTGGGAAGGAAACAAAGACCACGCTTACCAGAGTCGGGATTATCTCCGATCATATAGCTGTAGTCCAAGGTCAATTAAGGAGCGAGAGGTCGGGAAGACAGTCGTACATGCGCCCCGCATGTCCGTTCATCTTGTGGAGTCGTTCCTGTAACACGTGGGCTGCGAAATCGTAGGTGGCTTTTGTGGGTTTCCCGAACTGGGTGCAACTATGCTGCTCGTCTCAGTCTGAGAAGAGACGGAGGTGGCTTTCTGACTGACGGGTATTGCGAGCCAGTTAGACCCTGCAAGCTGTATTAGTGATGGTAGGAACAGTAGATAGATCACACACCTCGAACACGCCCTGGAAAGCGGCTTTGAACGCTCCTTGCCTGCCCACTATCAGGAACCACACACACAGAAACGAGCCCTCGTTCACCCTAAACGGTTGACCGGAAAGTCCGACTTCCACAAAAGATCAGGGTTGCAAAAGACGAGTTCGACGGGGTTTTTCTGTTGGTGCAAGGGCACATGAGGTCCGCCAATGTATCCAGCGGATTGGATGACGTCGCAGATAATTTGAACTGCGCAACGGATTCAATGGAAAGGCATCAGGCCGATTTTTTTTACTTACTGTCTAAAGCCCAATTACGCGGGTCATGGAAGACGAATATCGCGGGTATTCGGGTTTGAGAGAAGTCAATTGGCTTATGGGGCCGTGAGCAATGGGTGCAAAATCTCGATGGCGCCTACCAGTGTTGAGGCCTGCTCGGACGGGTTTAGCTGGTGGAATGGCCAAACACTGTGTGGGTGAAATTTCAGAGAGAGAGGTCGCGTCTCGGGTTACCTGGGATTCCAGGAAAGCACGTCTAACGGCGTCAGAGCCTTCTGAAAGCCGTAACTAGATGTGTTTTTCAACAATGGGCCCAAGGAAAGAAAGCAACTCACTCAATCGCTACCTGGCGCACCTGATCAAGTTTCCCTCCCAAAACCAGCACCGGGGAGTCGTGATACTTGTGCGACAGGGTCTTGAGGACAGTATGAGCTTGGATGTACTGTTCTGGTTCAATCTAGCCCTCGTCAATAATGCTGAAGACCAATGAAAAAGCCAAAACCAACCTTGAAGCCCAGCTGCCGCGTCAACTTCTCGCTTCGATATCGTTCACTGACACCACCGCCATTCGTGAGCTAGGGGTATGGGTGGTGGGCAGCCAAACACCAAAAGGCGCTCACAAGGATATACGGCAACTTGCTGATCAGCGCGTTCAAGAGCAAGAAAAGGCCTTGATCGAAATGGCCTACACTTTGAATGGATTATCTCCCTCCAAGATGGCGAGCGCGCGTTTTGCGGCAGGAAGCACGCTGGGTCCCCGGATTAAAACGCCATCCTAAAAGCACTTCAATAGCTTGAAGGAGAACTGCTGGACACAAACAATATCAAACACGAAAGCCGGGGGTGGGCGGGCGACTGCTGGTTCAGCAAGTCAGTGGGCACTGAGGTCGCCGCTCCGAATATATTTCGACACACCTTGCAAGCATCGGCGCAAAGATGGACGCATCAGCGGCGTCACGTGTGACTTTTCACAATGAACACACACCATGGCTCGCCATCTGTGCAGATAGAAAAGGGCGCGTTCAGGCTCCGCGCGCACTCGACACCGCCTCCCCGGTTCACTCTTTTACAGGGGTCAAATATGCGGACTCCTCGTGGAGTGCCCTCTAATCTGGCGATTGCGTCTGTGTTGCTGTTGGCGTTGGCATCCATCGCAAGCTTTTCTTTCGCATACTACTTGTTCGCAACAAGGTTGGAATGGCTCTCCCGCTCTAGCTTATTGCTTACGAGTGTCGTCAAGCCGCGTTTGAGTCTCAACGTCGATTCTTTTCCTTGTTGCTGTGGAAATGGCAAGCATTGGAAGCGATAGCTTCGTGTGAGCTCTTCTTACTCCTTGTGAACTACGGCCATATGTTGACCCACTCTTAGCTTTTGAATGTGACTGAGCTTCACACAAACGCAGTTGAAGTTTCGCGTCTGGGTGATGCTTCTGCATGCGTCAAAGAAGATGCAAAGACCAGTCACGGCCGGTACTCTTACCACTATTAGTACTATGCGAGCAGAGGCCTTCAACTCAATATATTGCTTCTTCGTACTTATCTGTCCTAAACGGTCCATTCTGGTCGAAGTCGTAGATGCAGTACAATTACACACACACTTGGATTACAACAACATCTCTAAAATTTTACATATCGACCACATGGCCGCGCCGAATGTCCTTTCTAGCCCTCAACTTAGCCAAACTCAGCGCCCTCGCGCGCATCCATATATCCTCCCACGTACTATGTGACCCCTCTTGTGTTGTTGAGCTTGTCCGCCGATGATGATGATGCCGGCCAAAAGGCAAGTGACCAGACTCAGACGCCGACCCAAGCGACCTTCTTGGAAACGCAACACGTCCCTCGTCATCCGCTTCGTCTCCAGAAAGTAGCCCATCTTCCGTCGACAACTTCCGATCAGCCAGCGACGTATGCCCAGACGAACTCGTATAGCGAGACTGACTCGCCACCGAACCAGACAAGACAGACGAGACGAATGACTCGGACGAATCGCCAGCACCAGCGCAGAATGACGATATTGTCGAGCGCCCAGCCGAAGACCCACACCTGCTATAGGATATTATTGGCTGTGTCATCTCGTCCTCCTGAATGCCTTCCAAGATAGCACCAACGCGTTCAGTTATCGAAGTTCCCCCATGACGGCCCAAGTAGCCCATATTAACTGGTGTCGAAGCAGATATGGGAATCGCTGGTCGTTGAGCTGGCGGAAAAACGGGTTTAGAGTCGGACTGGGAGAGTTTTGATGCCGGCAGTCTTCCTCCTCGCGGTCCCGCAAAGCGATGGAAGAATCCGTTTCCAGAGCCTGCCCGCCAAAATGCAGACTGGGTTGATTCTGACGCGACAAGAGAAGACTGCGACGTCGGTATCCGACTGGGAAACGCTCCAGCGACCGACGCAGAACGTGGTATGATCGGTGCAGTAATAGTCGAGGCTGAAGTTGATTGTGGGATGACTGTCGTTGAAGCCGAACGAGACATCATCGATAAAGGGCTTTTCTTCGCGGGCTCAGGAGACGGAACATGAACTCCAGCGGCAGCAAGGACACGTTCGACTGAAGCATGCCCACGGGGATGCTGCATCCGATGTGCGTATACACAGCGAATACTCCCATTCGCACTAAGGTTTGGCATCAATTCGCGATCACGGGACCAGGCACGAGAATGACAAACCTCAGCTCGAACACGAATTCTCCTCCAAGCAGCCTAATATCGCCACCCTTCGCCCAAACCGGCAGACCAGAGCGAATGGCGCGCATCAGAACCGACCCAATGCCAGAAAACGACCCATGAGTGATGTATGTTTCTGGCGCAGCCTCTGGATCAATGGAATCACCATGGCCAACGCTGTTCTCAAGTGTGTCGTGGCCGCAGCATGTCGAAGAAGAAGAGCTGTCCAATGATGCTGCCAAAGGAGGTGCCCCATCCCAACCCATTCCCAACGCAGCATAAACGCCTTCGGCAGGCATCGGATCCACAAATATACGCACACTAGCAATACCACACGACCCAGAAAACTGGAATGAGTCAAGGTATTTCCCAGCAAGCGTATGGGAGCCTGGAGCAATGACGAGGAGATGAGTTTCGTTGTCTCCGACTTGTTTTGTGGACTCGATTAGCCTTTCGAGAAGGTTTTCTGCAGGACAATTTGCCGAGTATTTATTACAGGTTGCAGCACGGACACCCCCAGCGAGTGCAACCATATAGTCCTGACAAAGAGGGCACCAAAAATGTCGCAAGAAGATGACGACAGTGCGACGAAGCTCTGTGCCCGGCCTGGGTCCCACTCCAACAACACCCAGGTCAAGAGATTCGCGAGACATCCCAAGGAGTTGACCGAATTGCACACGGACTCCATTGGGAGACACGAGAGGCAGACGGACTGCGCGCTCAATAGCATTTTGTGTTGGTGGAGTAAGAGGAAGAAGCGGGCCAGAGCGCTTCGAATTCAAAGAACGGTTACTCGAGGGCGATTTTCTGAGGACAGAAGGGGGTTTTCGTGGGCTCGAATGTCCGTCGAGCGAGGCTGAAGTATATTCAGATGGCGATGCCGAGAGTTTCCCGGAAGAACGGGCTCCAGAAAGCGAAACTGAGTGACCATCGACCGACCTCGAGCGGCCCATAAACTGTTTACGCAAGAAAAGAGTCGCTGTGAATAAGAAACGCTTGAGCATAAGAATACAAAAAGCCAAAAAGCAACGGACTGAAAGAAGGGGCGTCTTCTCCTGGAGATGTCGGAGGGGTGGTCAGATCGGTCTCGCCGGAGGACTGTGAGTTTGTTGAGTACGAAAACTGGGTCGATACTGGCGAGGCGGGAGTTGGGATAATGGGAAGGTCGACCAACACCATTGGACGTGTCGCAGCCTTGTAACGAGCCAGTTCCACGGGCAGCAAGTCTGGTGGAAAATTGACTGGGGTGGGGCCTGAGATGGTAGGTTTTCGTGGAGAGGGAGATGGAGCAGAGTGTAAAAGACGGGCGAGGCGAGTTCGCGTGCTGCTCGATGTGGGTAACGACGGCGAGGCAGAGGACTGTGTTCGACGACGAGAATAGTGTGAGTGGATGTCGCTGTCTGGCGTTATTGGCGGTGGAGTGGAGAGTGGCAAGGAGACAGGTAGCGCAAACGAATGGCGAGTAGGGAGAGAACTGGAGTGGTCATCGTCGATGGTGGCGTTATAGACTGGAGGGGGTTTGCGACGGACTGCGGATGGCATCTGGAATAGATAGTGGTGGTGGTCGCAAGCAAGCTGAGACAAGAGATTGTGTCCAATTTGAAGGCAACGCGGGACCCGCTCGGCTTCCTCAAGGCAAACCAAAAACGTGTTTGGGACTTCTTCGCTTTACCCAACTACGGTCCTATTCGCCGCAATTTACTGTAAAGTGTATTCCTGGACCTCTGCAGCGGGTATCCATTGCACGGCGGCTATTTGACATCATGGCTTTGGCTCGGAGATTATTTGTGATTGTTTGCGTGACTTGTTTCCAAGTTCTTTCTTTCGCCAAAACAGCCTGCATCTTGCCCTTGATTTGCTTAGTTCAACGCCGCTGTCCCTGCTCTACACTTGCGACCCGTCGTCTCCGAAGAAGCGCAATCCGCAAAGCTCCCACTTTATGCAACCTTCATCTAACCGCTTCCGTGTGGTATCTATTTCATTCCCCCAACAACAGCTAGTCTTTTGCACTGTCTCTCCTGTTACGGTGCTTTTGTAATCGCGTCTTCAAGTCTACGAGATCAAATTACCCAAAGATAGAGCCCGAAGGGTGAACGTATGTAAAAGCAACGATCAAACTCGTCGAATCAACGAAGTATTTCAGCGCTCTAGGCCAGTCATGACAACATTTGGCACAATCTTGGTCTTATAGTATCCTTTCAGAAAATTTAATCCCAATCTATTCATCAATGAGCGAGAAAGATACTTGAACTAGAGGCGTACCGGGACTCACTGAATGTTGTAGTCGTTGCTATCATCCCAAGCTGTGAGTGGATAGAGAACAGCCACTATATTATGCTTATGAGAGCTGCCTTGATAGCGGAGCTGCTTTTCTCCAACGGTGCTCTCCCATTGTAAATACCCTGCATGTGCTGAGACCACTGGAAGTCGCTCTTCCAGAGGTCAAAGTCAAAGTATGTGTCCTCGTATTTCTTTTCGAGCTCTTGTTCTTCTTGTTTCTTGTTGGCGTCGCTTGTGAACACTGACACACATGTCAACAGAGGTTATCAAGCTTAGACGCACTCATCGTAATGCGCATAATATCCGCCATGGAGCTCAAGGGCCCTTCGCGCAGCACTTACTACATAAATCCAACGCGACGCAGCACTGAGGTCCGCGATGTCGCGCGGCTCTAGCTAAGTATTGATCAGTGTTGTTGATAAGCTGAGTGAAGCTGAGATCGTACGCAAAAAAATCTGCAAGCGATCTTCTCTGGGTCACCAGCGACTCGTCGGTAGGAAATTTTCAGCGGCGGTGGCTGGGGATTCCAATCATCCTACATCCATTGTGGGGTCACTGTAACCACCGCGACTTGCCGAGGTGGTACATCTATGTATAGGTGGAACACCGCTATTTGGGTTCGCAGATGGGTTGAGTTGAGGTGACATGTCGAAAGAGACTTGGAGAAATCGGCCTTTTTCTTTGACAAGTTCAGAGAGTGCTTCGTGAGAGTACATCTTCATAGGTTGCATATGCTCGTGTTGGTCAATGTTATTGGAGGCCCGACTCTCATAGGGCAATGTCGCTAGCTTGTCCCTTGTCAAACGATAGTGTTTGACTGCATTCGCAGTCTAAAGGCGTGTCCAGGTCAGCGTCAATTACTTCGAAACCACTGCATGACGTTGTCAGGATGATTCGGCGACTGCTCTCAACTGCTGATCGAAATGCTCTTTGCGTTAGGTTCAACTTTAAATCGGAAGACGTAATGGAACTTGTCAGCAGAACCATTGGACATTGCACACTGGAAGAACTCGCAAGTTAAAGTTATTAATATCGTACAACTAGCCACCTTCTTTCGATTCGGGGTCAGCAAATTCCCTCCAACCATCTTGGAGAGTGTTAGCCTCGGGATGCTCAAATCGCTGCAATTAATTATGAGTCCCACTGCCGTTGGCTTGAAAATCTTCTGGTCGAGATTGGAATTGGAATATATTGGATCAAAAGGCAAGACGTGAGCGATGGCCACTCCCTTTCAAGTTCAGATTCAGAATTCGTCCCAGCCTTTAGACTCGTGAATAAGAGGGAAATGGATTACAACGCGACTCACCAGGTGCCCATTGCCAATCACTCGTGAAATCGCCGCCATCGAAATCCACCTGGTAGAGTGGATAGAGGACCGCAACTACATTGCGACTATTGCGACTGGGACCGCTGTAATAGCCGCTGTAGTAGAAGTCGTCGTCTTGCTTCTCCATCCATCTCGAGTATTGTTGCATATGCGTTGACCACTGGAAGTGACTCTTCCATTCTCCATGATCATAAGGAAATCTAGCCTTATATTCGGCTTCGAGTTCCTTCTCCTCACGTTCGCGGCATTGACGGACACTACAAACCGTTTTTTTTATCATTGAATTGTCGAGTTCCACCGCGTACTGGTCATAATGAGCATGAAATCCGCCATGCAGCGTGACGGCCCTTCGTGCGACTGTCTCGACATCAATCCACTGCGACGCAGCTGCAAGATCGTTGATGACGTGTGGTTCAATCTAGGCGGTTTCTCAGTTTTGTCTGACAGATAAAGGTTCAAGCCATACACAATAAAGCCGACAAGCATCCCCAACCGAGACCACATTAGTCACATGGGATGGCTTCCAGCAAATCCTCTCTGGGTCCGGTTTCTCTCCGCTCGTGACCCGCTCATACGTTGGTATCTTGAGAGGTGGCGGCTGCGGGTCCTTCTCGATCCTCAACCACCTCGGCAAGTCGGACAGCTTCACCCGGAGAATCGTCACTGTAGGACGGCCTTCCGCCGCCGGCCCGGGGTCGCCGACATACTCCTCGATACCAATGATAAGAGGAGTACCGATGAACAAGCTTTTCTCCCGCGCAAGGTCGAAGAGAGCTTCGTGAGAGTACAGCTTCATAGGCCGCATAAACTGGTGTTGCTTGATGTTCTTGGAGTCACGACTCTCGTAGGGCAATGTTGCTAGCTCGTCCCTCGTCAGATGATAGTGTTTCACTGCGTTCGTGGCGGTAACGGTCTACAAAGTCGTTTCAGTGGTATGTAGTGTATTGAACACTCCAAGACGTACGCATGTATAAGCAGCATGCTTAAAGGTGCCGTCGATCCTCCGAGGGCCACGACATGCGATGAGCTCTTTCCACTCTTTCTTCCGTTTGTTGATACCAGTATTCTTCGTCTTCTTGTTCTTCGACTCTGGTTTTTGTGGTGAGGCAGAGCTCGGCGACGCGCGCTTTCGTGTCTGGCCTTGTCGTTCTGGGGGCATGACGAGTGGGAATGAAATGCAGGAATCGGAGTTTGAAATTCATCGGAAGCGTATAAGTGATGCCTCAAGACTGACTCCCGCAGTCAGCGAAATGCCTTTCTCCCATTCCTCGTAGTGGTGGACGAGAAAGGCATCTTTTAATGTCGTCGCGGAATGATACGGACCTCTGGAAGCCGTCACTGTCAATCAAAACACATCAAACTTCCGAAAAAAATAAATGTCCTTTCAACGTTGACGACTGAACTGAACTCCCAAATACTTGAAGAAAACAGGCGCCAGCTTCTAACCAAACTCATCTTCGCATTGTCAAGATCAAGCGTATAGTAGTTGCCTCGATATAGGAAGCAGCAACTTGTCCGCACAAGTTTTTCGCTGTCCCCTCGATTGGATCCAATTTCGCCTCGGAGTCCATTGAACATTGACCATGAAAGTTCTGTATAACATGCCATCCTCCTTTACCCCTTATCTCAGTAAATTCCTTCCAACAACGCAACAACGTCCTCGAGAGTGTTTAGCTCGGGCTGCAGCGCACGCTGCGCAACTTTGGGCAAATCCTCCCTTGGCACATTATATTGGCCCAGCGTGCTCTTCAACCCGAGCCTGTCAACCAACCTGAAGTAACATCGAACTTGAGCAACATAGATGTAAGACGGAAAAGCAACCAACCCGGTGATCAGTTCAGATAGCTTCAGAACATCACCTTCGACAGATCCGGTAGTGGGCTCTTCGAGATAAAAGAGGCATCGAGCGAGGGCCTGCTTGTCTGCTGCTGAAGCAGTGCGCGCCTGGAGTGCGACAACGGGAGCGAGGGTGAGGCAAGAGGTGATTCCATGCGGAATGCTATAGGCTGCTCCAAGTTTGTGGCCAAGGGCATGCGAAAGGCCGAGTGCGCTAACATCGTTTAGTCGGCCCAAAGTCAAACCAAAAAACTTCAAACCTGTATCTTTCCCACCTGTTTGCGATTCGACTCAGATTATCGACCGAAAGAGGAGACAACGCACTTGGTCGGCCAGAGACTCATCCATGTCGCCAGTTGAAGTTTGTGCCGAGCCTCAATGTTGGTAGGGTCCGCCTGCGATATAGGAAGGTACTCGAACAAGTCTCGTAAAGCTGCATAGCACAGAATTTTCGCTGGCGGTGAAACGAATGGTCGGTATAAGCTCTCTAATCCACCAATTATTGAGAAGAGAAACGAATACAAATTTGTTGACACCTACCGACGCAGTGATCGACGGCCCGGATTCCGGTGGAAATCCTTACTCTCGGTTAGATAACCACTGGGCGGAGTTGCGAGACTGCATACCAAAGACGTCTGGGCGTCGGGAGGGTCAACTCCGCGTCGAGAATGATCCCTGCAGGCGCAAGTTCTTGGTGAGAAACAGCGACCTTCAACCCATTCTCGTCTGTATAGCCAGCGCCGATCTGTTGTGGATGATTAGTAATTTCTCAATAAATATGCAGATCGCCAAGCTGACCGAGTATTCGGCGGCGCTGAGAGTGGTAGGTATGGCTATCTGAGGAATGGGACTCGTGGCCCCGGTTTTTTCCATGAACCGGTACCGGATTGCTTTCGCACCGTCGACCGGGGAGCCTCCACCCACGGCAACGATGAAGTCCGCTTTGCTTTCTTCTAGGACCTTGATGCAGGCGTTAATTCCAGCGACAGGTGTATGTTCGCCTATATCTGTGAAAGAGCCGGCAAAGGCATCGAGGCTAGTGAGAAGTGCTTCGATCTTGCTGACTACATCAGTCTGGAAAAATGTAAGACTTGGTAGAGTCGCTGGTGCAGAGGACCTTGGTGTAAAGACTGCGCCCAGTAACGATTAAGCCTTTCTTGACATTGAGACGTTGTATGAGCTTTGGTAGAGCGGTAGCAGTCACTCCAGGTCCATAGTGAATACTCTTCAGTGTGTCTGTCCAGCCATACGAGCCCTAAAGAGTTCGGGAGGTCGAATGCTTGCTATTGAGGAGCAAACCTGCAGATGTTCGTAGGAAGCCGACATGGTGGTAGAACTTGAAGATCTAACGCGTGACGTCATGCGTCAGCCTTTTCGATGCGGACACACTGGGTTCTCAAACTCGGAGTCAAAGAGTATAACCCGCTATAACCCGACGCGTGAGTTGGCGTGCCAATGTCCAAGGAGTAGCTTTTCAAGTTGTCCTGTTGTTTGATAACACAATGAATCACTCACAAGACCGTACCGTTCGGGAATAACACTGACCGGCCGTTTGATTCATAGCATGTTCGAGAAGCAACCGAGCTCCGAATGGTCCGAGGCAATTGCTTCATGATGCTGTGGCGTTGCACCTGGGTTTGAAGGGTTGAACTTGTTTCGTGGGTGGCAGAAGATATGAGAGTAGTCCGAGAGTAGTCTTGTACTTACTCTGGACATCACTACCTTTTCATTATGCAGTGGAGCGGAGACAATAACCGACATTAGAAGGAAAGAATTCAAAGATGTGCCTGTCCGAGTCGGCGGAAGTTGTTTGCCCGCACCAAAAGGGGTAATTCGTGGCGATCATCCTTGTTTGCAGCCAACCACCATCTCGCTATGGCTTCAGACGACACTTCTTGGATCCCGCAGGGGACTCACAACGTGGTCATTGGTCCTTCACTCCATAAACACCTCAAAGCTCGGCGAGGAGTACCTGCCCAACCACCAAAACGAGTGGGCCCTCCAGAACGGGACTTTTTCACGTTTCGATGTTGGTTCTACGACTTTCCCCGGGCTTCGCTTACCCTCTTTAGACAACTTTAAGCCAACCTCCGTCGATATAACTAAACCAGGCACCATAGAAGTCAATCGCAACGGCAAGGCAGATGGTGGGTCGGTGAGAGTAGAGCATCCCTCCGCTCAGGTGCGTCGTTCGCGGTCTCGTCAATATAACACGCGTCTGAAAGCACTCATATAGCCTGGGGAGAGCAATGTCTATCTTGGCACCGAAATTCCGTCCAAAGAATTTGACTGCGTCCTGATATACGACGAAGAAACCGGGGTACTGCGGAATGTCTTCCCTTGCTGTTTCGGCTCATTCGCCTTAGGACTACAAGCTTGAGAAACTGGAAGCGTGCATGAACTTGTCCTTCGACAAACGACGACAAACTGAATGTGTGTTTCATTGCCACGGGACTAGATCGGTCTATTAATGCATTCACAATAGCACTACCGGCCTCGTCTGCCTCGACGCCTGCCCCACCTATTTTAGACAATGAACACCCCATGGAACTAGATGCTATAGGCGAGCTAGACGACGACATATCCCAATACCACGCGCTACGCCAAGAAGAAGAGGAAGATGAAGAAGGCGAACTATTACCCATACCACCGGTCCCCGTGCCACCCAAACCGGCAGCACCTAAACCACCACGCAAGATTGCCAAGAAGCCTCCCCCGCCCCCACCGCCATTACCCGCCGAACTAGACGGCGATGCGTATGAAGAAGATTTACAATTTGGCAAACCGACTGTCAAGCGACGCCGAAAAACACCGCCCCCTCCTCCCCCTCCCGTTCCCGTTCCAGTTGTACCTGACTTATCATTACCTGGGTCTTCCTCTGGATGGACCGCTCCGCCCCCTCCAATCGCGGTACCGTCAGACTCAGAAGATCCCGAATCTGATTGGGAGGAAGCCGTGCCGACTGGCGTGGTTGTGCCTATATCAACAGTTGATATCGACATGAACGATCTTGAGGCAGAACTCGAGGCAGAATTATTCGATGCTGGTGATGGTGAAGACGGGTCAGACGACGACTTTCTCGCGAACGCCATGCCGAACACGTTCAACTCGGACCCGCCAATACCGAAAGGCGTGCCCTTGTCGCTTCAACAGTTCGCTGCTTCCCAGGAGGGGAGGTGGTTATAGCGAGGACGAGTATTCTTCGAGCGAGGAGAGCGACGATGATTGACGACACATTTTCACTGGAATTTTGGCGGCACCATTTTTTGCCTTTGCATCGGACGGACTATGACTTGAGTTAAGCTGTTTGATTGCGGCCATTGCTGGATACGTATCATCGCACGGGATTTATTTATGTACCCATAGGCAACCACCGCTGCCTTTTTTAATTGCAATGAGGATCAGGCAACAGCTAGGAGGTATCAGTCGTGTTTCGTTGGAGACACCAGAGTTAAGGCGCCCATTAATGTCTGTCATTTGCCGACTGACAGTTCGCCCTCACACACACACACACGAAATCATTTGTCCCAGCTCGTGGATATCAGTCATTAAACAGTCAGGAAGGCAAAGCAAAATTATGCAGTAGTAGCTCTGGGTGGGGAGGAAAATGCGATATAACTCATCTAGAAAACCTGCCTACAAAAATCATGAATATATGGTATCTGCATTGTCCGGTTTCAAAGCACGGTGAAATGTCCGATGAAATGGTGGTGCGTAAAACTATGCGTTTTCGCAGAAAAGCGCAAGTCTATCACGACGAGGAAGACGGGGCAGCGGCGCTGCCGGTTGCGGAGGCAGCCGGACGCGGGACCTGAGAGAGACCGAGTACGTTGGTGTTGCCGTCAGGTGATTTACCGGTAAAGTCTTTCGGGAGTGGTTGTGAGGCAGCACCATTGGATCCATCGCTGGGCTTGTTGTCTCCGCCGGAAGACGAGCCGGATGACGACGATGAAGAGCCAGATGACGATGAGTCAGACGAGCCAGACGACTTGTTGTTGGACGACGAGTCAGTGGGTTTGCTTGCATTGGCACCAGCAATGATCGACGCAGCCTCATCAGGCGTGATGGTGGTCGTAGTGGTCGTGGTTCCGCCGGTGTTGGTGCCGGATCCACCACGGACGAGCTGGCCAAGGGTCTCTGGCTGGGCGTCGATGAAGGCAATGGCGGGGCCAGCGACCTGCTTGATAGTGTCACGGTCGATAACGTTGTTGGCGAGCGGGTTATCGTCAGAGGTGATCCAGATGGAGACGGGGCCATTGACACCTGGGGGGACGATGCACTTCTCGATGGGGAGGTTGATCGAGAATGGCATGCCTCCAATCATCATGTTGCAGAATTGGCCAGTGCTCTGAACGCCATCACCCTCGAACGTCAGAAGTGTGCCAGCAGAGGGCGTGCCTTTGTTGGTGATCTTGAGCGTCTTGGTGGGTGTGATACCAGTGTTGCAGTCGCCAGTGATGAAGCCAACAGCAAGCGACAAGACCTCCTGAGGAGTGAAAGGGACATCAAATGCTTGGGGAATGGCAGAACCAGTGCCCGAGAGCAAGTTGAGAAGGGTCTGGTGACGAGCCTCGACCGTCAAAATGGAGGCAGCGGCATCGAGGAAAATTGGGTCGTCAATCAAGGTAGCACCACCGAGATATGCCGAGACACCGAGATATTCCACAACACGAGCAGTCGCAGCCATCGTGGCGACATCCGTCAACACACTGTCAAAGTTGAAGCTGCATTTCAACGGCTCGGCACCGTTGTCTTTGAGCGCTTGTTGGATGAATGTCGTGTGCGCTGCCTCGTCCCCTTGGATTGTCGTCAAAGACTGGGTAACAATCGAAGCGGAGGAGAAGCCGGCATTGGAAAAGTCAGATTCGCTGAACTTTTTGATGCCCTGGGCGTAGAACTCGGTCTCCAATTGCTCAAGGACGTTGGCGAACTCTATTAGATGAGTCAGGGTCCGACAAATTATATGTATGACAACGGGACGCACGGAAAACGAGAGCATCATTCGCTGAAGCGGCCCGCGACTTGACTGGGCGAGCAGATACCAAAAGAGGGGAGGCGGCCAGGACGGCGAGGAAAGAAGTTGAATAACGCATTTTTCAGGGAGCTACCGGGAAGAGCCTGCTTAAGGAATGTGGGAAGATATCGCAAGCGATGAGGTGCAACCGGGCAGCCAGGAACACCTGTTTGGACAGTCAGTAAGCAAATCTGAACGGAGAACTAGCAGGACGGACGAGGGGGCACGGGCAAAAAAAGAAAAGGGAGGGAGGAGGGGAAACGAAAGGGTGAAAGATGTGATGGGAGTTAGTCGGTTTTGTACAGCCAGGCGATCCGACACTTTGGATTGCGAGATCATGATTCGGTGACACCGGTAGCCGCACTGGTGACTGGTCACTATGGAAATATGCTCGCACCCAATTGGACCTTTCCGTTGGCTTGAAGTTGAGAGGGTGCGTAGAATAATATCCAGGTCAACGGAAACCAAAGAGAGAGAGAAAACCAAGCTCATTTGGAGAGTTCGACCCTAGCATCTCTTGGCAATATGGACTGACAGACAGCCGGCAGTGGGCGGCAAGTGGGGTGATTTGCAACATCCAGAAATAGACGAGTCTAGGCTCCGCCAAATGAAGGGGGCCAATGAACGCGAGAGATGGCCATAAACGATTCAGTTCCGATCCAAAAACCATCAATCCATCTGATCGGGCCATTCGGCCATGAAGCTAACCATAGATTGCAACATGAAAGAAAGGCGATGTATCGGCGACGAGACACGATAACCAAGTAGCGACGCGTTGTTTCAACGTTGTAACCTACCGATTGACCGCCCGCACGGAATGCATTTTTCAATAAAAACACTCCAGATTTCGGCGGGCGATATCGATAAGGGAATAGTAAAAAGACTGAAGATGTAGATTCAGGGTGTTTTGCTTCTGACCGAGCACCTTGCACTGGCTAGAGTGTTTGTGGTTCCCCAAAAGAATTAAATTCTCCCTAAAAGGGAAGGGAATTGTGAGATTTTGAATTTATTTGGGTTTAATTGAACTGAGAGTCATTCAATAAGAGTATTCTCACTGCTGGAGATTGGCAAGGAATAAATCATGGGTAGCTCATTAGATTTAAGCTCTATAGGTCCAAGTTTGCAACAATTTCTTTCGCAACTTGACCATCGGCGTGACATGTTACATGCGTTGTGACTCGGACAATCGTTCTCATTCTTGACGGTCATTCGCACAAACTCAGATCAGTTTGTGAACTTGACCAACCAGTACTCGGCGCGTCATGGACGAGGCACAAAGCCTTGACGCGCTCAGCGCTGTCCTGACAGGCCTGGAGTCCCAACCATTCGACTCGGGCCTACACGCGAAGCACATCAAGCTTACGCAGTCTCTCCAGCAAGACCCTCAATCCGCTATTGAACTCATGACGTCTTGCATTGCTGCACCGGAGGAAGTTTGGCTTGCACGAATTCGACCCGCCGAAGCCGCTGTGGACGTCGCCTCAGCAGAGAGTGTAGAGGAAGTGCTGTCGTTGTACAAGCTTGCAGAGGATGACTATATGTGTGAGTTTTACTTCTTTTCTGTGTGCAGAACAGCTCACGTCAACTACAGCTCTTACCATACTTAAGAAACACGCGGAATTCGTCGTAGCCTGCTACAACCAGTACAAGGAGACTGAAAAGCCAGCAGAATTCGACGAACAGTTTTCTGCCGCGTGGACGCGAGAGGCGTTGACCGAGATTGTCGACAAAACCTTGCGCCACCCATCTGTGCGTGTCCTGTGATTGAGATTGGGTTGACCAACATCGTCATTCTAGAATAATGAGGTGTGGAACGTGCTTCGCGAATGGGAGCTTGACGAACTAGATGCGGTCCCAGAAGCCGACAAGTGAGTTGACATCGGAAAGTGCTGAATCTTACAACTTACATCCCTCAGATTGGAAGCAGTCACCCGCGTCGAAAAGTTTATCTTGGCTCGTCTAGCGCTGCCACATCCTCGTATGTCTATGCACAAGTTCCTTGCTCCATTTGACTCTCTCGTCAGATTTGGAAGAGGTTGCGCAGGGTTATTCGTCTTTCACCACCAAGCACAAACCAACAGATGCATACGAGTCGTTGCTCGTAGCAGCATCGAAGATTCGTGGCAAGGCAACGAAGGCATACCAAAAGCGTGAGTCTTGGGAGACAACTTTGGTATGACCTTCTCGCTCAGCTTTCGTGATTTCTCATGCAGTTACAAGTCTCAAACACCGACACTCGAAAACTTTGCGCTCCGCATTACTTCTGAACGTCGAGCTAAGAATCCTGACTGGTCCCTGGTGAAAACCTTGTTTGAGCGTGCTATCGCAGAGGCAGCCAAGCGCATGTTTAACGGAGAAGAAGGGGTAGAATCGATACTGAAGACGTTTTGGAATGGGTATTCAGATGCGGCAGTAAGTCTAGCGCGGCTCACTCTGACTTGTGACTAAGCTTCAAACAGCGCATCCTTGGGGTTGGAACAGAGGATGAGCTTGGGATATTTTTGAGGGCTGTGCGAAGTGTTCCTGGATCTGGTGAGACCTGGGCGAGGTATCTGCGCTGTTTGGCAAGTCCATTGCTGCTGGTAGTTCACGATGAGGCTCATTTCTATCAACAGGAACGAGCGGGAGAAGCATCAGTTGCAGGTAAGAGAGGGTATTTTTTATTGAGGATTCGTATCTCAACAATTGACCAGACATATATGATAAGGCATTGAGCTCCAACCTACTGCAATCCAACGTCGAAGAGCTTGTGCCTCTCATTCTCGCACGTGGTTCATACGAGAAACGTTTGTTTGAATCCAGCGAAGGAGGTGTGTGGAGTGTCTGTACAAATCATCTGTTTTCGAACGACACTATTTTCACAGACGAAGACCGCTTCGTTACACTGGTCGCGACCCTCGAGGCAGGCGTGGATCTTGTGCGAAAAGGTAGCAATATTACTTCACCGCAGATTCACCCATTGATCAGATGCATTGTAGCTTCCACCACTGGAGACGCTCGTCTTCGCGTTGAAAAGTTCCTCGTTTCGGTGGTAAGCACTCTTGCTGGGAATATGGCTTAACATCATTGTTTCCTCCAGTATGATGCGGCGAACATGGAAGACAGCGGACTTGAGATTCTGCATGCATCGGCAAAGCACAATAAGACGAGTTATAACGCTTGGATCACATATACAGATGCACTGATGTATGTCCCTATCTTCGCTTGCGCAAATTCGGCTGAAATCTCATGTCAGACGACATGGGCGCCATGACCAGGCACGGAAGACTTTTGTGGATCTACATGCGAAGAATCTTGACTGGCCTGAAGCGCTTTGGGAAGCATGGCTCGCATTTGAGCACCTTCATGGCTCCGTTCAGGAACTTGAAACCTGTGGGGACAAGATTGAGAAGGCACAATATGTCGTGAACACACGCAGAGCCAAGGTCGGATTCCTTATTCTCTTGAATTTCAATTTTTTGACAAACTATAGGATGCAGAGAGGCAAGCTGCTCAGTATGCAGCTCAACAAATGGCTTCTGTGCCCGTCGAACAGGCTCCGGTTCCTCAACTCGACTCCGTAGATGCTGTGCCGATGGAGGTTGATTCGACAGCGCCTGGCCCGCGCGGCAAGAAGCGAGCGGCTGAAGATCCTTCGTTGGACGAAGGAAACAAGAAGCCGAAACTAGGTATGTTTCCATCTTACTCCTCAATAATCGGGTCTTGAACAAAATGAGCAGCTAAAACAGCTCCACTCAAACGGTATGTTGCGTATTTCATTGGTGGATAGTACTCAACATAGTACAGGGATCGTGAGAACTGTACCGTCTTTGTGGCTGACTTGCCCTCCGACGTCACTGAGGACGATTTAGTAGCCTTATTCAAAGATGTGAGTTTGGGTCTGTTATCGTGGGCTCTAATAATATACCTCCCTAGTGCGGGGATGTACGGGAAGTTAAGATTAGACCACTTGCAGGGGCGGTAGTTGCGACTGTTGAGATGGCAGATCGGGTACGATTGCTAGCTCGCGACTGAATCTTTGACTGATTGTGCCATTCAGGAAAACATTCCGGCCGCATTGACGAAAGACAAGAAACGCGTCCGCGGCAAAGAAATTGCTGTCCATCTCGCATGGAAATCGACACTATATGTTGCCAACTACCCCGAAAGCGCCGATGATGCAACCCTGCGGGAATTGTTTGGAAAGGTACTCGATGTGATCCCCCTTTTGACTAAACTAATACCCCCCGTAGTATGGCACCTTGTTTGATGTTCGTTGGCCCAGCAAGAAATTCAAGGAAACGCGTCGCTTTTCTTACGTGCAGTTCACGTCTCCCGTGCGTGATCGCGTCTGATGATGATTGGCACGATGGCCTGACATTGATTAGATGGACGCTGAAAAAGCTCTGGAGTTGCATGGTCGCGAGCTGGAGCCTGGTCTTCCCTTAACGGTCTTGATCTCGAATCCGGAACGCAAGAAAGCAAGAACTGACCAGGACGCCAATGATCGAGAGTTATATGTTGCTGGGCTTAGCAAACATACCTCAAAACAAGATCTGCAAAATCTCTTTAAAGCCGTGAGTATTCATTCGAGATTTGTTTGGTCCTCAATTGAGAATACTGTAGTATGGCATTATCAAAGAGGTTCGTTTGGCAACGGACAATCATAACCAGTGCAAAGGGTTCGCATTTGTCGAGTTTGAAGAACAAGTATATCGCTTTCTGAGTCCCGTTATCCATCCATCTGACTATCTTCACAGTCGTCTGCGCAAGATGCTCTCGAAGCCAACAATCAAGAGCTCAAAGGCCGCCGCATTGCTGTTACACTGGCAGACTCGCGAGCACGGAAAAGTCGGGGCAATGAACCCGATAACGGCCTTGGCAAAAAGGCGGATACTCGTAGTCGCTCTGTCCGTGTACGAAACTTACCGGCGGGCACGCAAGAAGGCTTACTCCAGCAAGTCCTCGAAAAAATTGCGCAAGTCAAGCGGGTGGAAGTGTTCGCCGACACCAACGAGGCAGTCGTGGAATTGGGAAACGCTGCAGAAGCGGGCAAATTATTGCTGCGGACCGAGCCTATCGAGTTTGAGGGCCAAGTGTTGACTCTCTCGGAAGAGAGCAGTGATCAGAAGGCGGCGAAGAAGGAAGGTGTGTTTGTGCCTCGGGCAGCAAAACCAAGGGCAGGTTTGGGGCATAAAAAGACCGGCGCTCCTCGGATATCAGCTCAGATGGCGCCTCCTGCCGATGTACCGCGGCCTGCCAAAGGCACAGACGCAAAAGGGAGAGGTCAAGACGATTTTAGGAAGCTGCTTGGTTGATTATCTCAGCAATCACGATACACCTCGTCAGTGCAGCTTCAGTGTTCGTCAGTGCAATCTGTAAGCTTTGTGGGTGCATGTGACTAAGTTGTCGTCATCGGCTGACTTGAAGCTGGGTGACGAGCACGAGTCGACATTAAAAATTAGCTTTCTTCGCGACACACGCCAAATGGAAATTTCTCATTAAGCTGACTAAGCATCGACTGGTGACATATAAATAAGGCTGAAGCTTTGGTAGGCTCTCCATGCCTCGGGCCGTTAGTACAGCAAAACAAGAGTGGATTGATCTCATCCACAGCCGTAGGCTGTCGGGGATTGAGACTCTCTGCAAGCATTCTCCTCTTACTGTGGTGGGTCACCCAATATATCTGAACGACAGGAACTTAGCTGAAACTATTTCATAGACTGTAGATTCAACGGATGCAAGGAAGACATACCATCTGACGACAGACGAATTGGCGACGCTCCCTTATGAGAGCCGGCCCTCTGCTAATATAGGCCGACATGCGTTTATGCAGCCCATGAAGCTATACAACGCAAAGGCGCTCTACAACCTTGCGCGGGAGAAAAGCAGAGTTCTCAATATCCCTCTTCGTGTTCGTAACCCAGGTTCGACCGCGATGGCCACCACTATATCGCCGAGTATATCGCTGCCGTCCAACTTTCCCAAGTGGCTTAATGACGAGAGGAATGCACAACCGCGACCGTTGCGAATTTCAGCATATCAACGGGTTGCCGATGACCCTGAGATGGAGAAGATTCGATGGAGAGGCTCACTCGTCCCTCATTTGGTGTCTTTGGAGGATGCTTGCTGGCTTTATTGTGTGCGGGGTCCGACACGGTTCATTTTTCCTCCACTGAAAACGCTCTTTAGATCAAGCCGAAGGACATCGCTGACCTGAGGGCTATCTCTCCTTGGCTCGATGCTCAGACTGTTGCACAAAGAGCTGTTACCCTTCATGGCGGGTTCTACGCACATCATGACTAGTGAGTATAATTCTACAATTCCTTGCCATGACCTAACGGTTTGAAGCGTCCACCGACGACGACAGGAAGAGGAAGCAAGTCTCGACGAGAAATATAGGGGTTTGCACATCGTTCAGGATTGGCGCAGCGACTTCACTTGGTCCGCCCATGTCAGCGATTATCTGGACTGGGTCCGAGTCCAAAACAACAGTATAGACGACAGTTCGCGTCTGTACTGGGACCGCCGCACCGGGGAAGAGGAGTACACAGTGGCCGTGCTCTACCCACTGGAATATGGGTGCGACAACGACTATGGCTGTGGATGGCAATGGTACCCTGGTGGGCCCGCCCTTGTTTCATCCGTTATCTTGCCTTATGATTGGATTAGAGTGGGACAGCTTTTGAACTTTTCAAAAAACGGCAACGCACACTTGACTCAGACGGCTCAGGTTGTTTTACTGAAACTAGTAAAATAATCAGGTAGCCTGATAATAAAACTTACCCTTGCTCATTACTGCAATCACGCCAGTTGTTAATTGACTCGTTCACCAGCCCTGCACCAATTATTCACTCAAAGAAAGAAAATGTGATGGTCAACAAATGGTCAAGTAGCTGGGATGAGCCAACTTGAAAGGCCTCAATAAACAAGATTACGTGGTTAGGTACGATACGGTATACTTTATTTAGACACCTGAGTATTCAAGTTATTGCCTCTTTTCAACATCCTCGCTCTTCTTCGCATCGTCGTCCTTCAGCGCATAGGTCTCGTCCACGGTTGTGTCCATCGGGATCTCCTGCATCAACAGGCACGAGAGGAGCCCCAGCCCAGCAATCCCCGTCATAACTTGCCAGATCGTCGACATGCTCAGCGCGAATGCGGTCCGGACTTCCTGCTTCAGCGGTTCCGGGAGCTGGCGGATCACGGGTATGGCTATATAGGCGATCTCGAAGCCGGGCGGGAAGCGTGCGACGAACTCGGCGGGGAGTTTTCGTCTGAGTTCATTCTGTTGTTTTTTGTTCAGACTTGAAAAGCGAGGAAAGGAAGGAGGAATTTAGTTACCTGCAAGACTGTGCTCGAAATCGTGATGCCCCACGCTTGGAAGAAAGCACGGGTGAATGTGAAAAGCGCCAACGCGGAAGCAGAGCGATTGTTGGGAAGCGGGGCAAGGATCGGGAATATTGGCGCAGCGAACTAAAAGGTGAGTCAACTAACAAATACTGCAAAATGCACAACGAGGCTGACCAGCATGCCAATCCCGGCACCAAGCAGGATTTGATAGCCCACCCATTTGGCCGTCGAGGTGTCCGCGCGAAGCATGGTGATGATACCAAGGCTGGCAATCAAGATTGCCCATGAGAGATAGTTGGTCAGTCGGTACTTTTTGAGTACTGTTATGGCGGCACCAGCGACCAACGCCATTGGGGCCGTGACCAGCGCGCCAGGAAGGACATCGACAGCCGAGCGGATTGGCGACGCGCCAAAGCAAGCTTGGAAGTAGACTATGCCCAGTAAGTTATAGTGTCGTAGCAAAGGAAAATGGTCTACCTGGCATGTAGTAGATGACAGAGATACTTGTGATGGCGTGTACTGCAGTTGCGAGAAGACCAGAGAGCGATGTGCGATTCCCAATCACATCAAGAGGAATCGTCGGATGTGTGGGAACCTTGGCTTCATAAACAGCAAAAGCAACCAGCATGCTGAGACCGATGACGAGCGGCGCCAGCGTCTGGACAGAATCCCAGGGGTAGCGAATGCCTCCCCAGGCGAGCCCGATAATCGCCAGTCCGGAACCGGTTATGACCATCGCATTCCCCCTACAAAAGGTCAGAACAACGAATGCACGCTGAAACTGCGCCTACATCCAGTCTACTTGAGCCAATCGGGTTCGAGTAGAACCTTCTGGTCGTCTGACATTGAGATAGACGACAACGAGGATGAAAGCAAAGCCGGACACGGGAAGATTGAGATCTGCGTGTATGTTAGAAAATACGATTCAGACCGAGACGTAAACGCACAGAAGAGCCACCGCCATGCTTTGTGGTCAACGCTGGCTAGAGCACCCCCCTATGTGCCGTTAGCGAAACGCAAGATCATGCCCAGAAGAGCTGCATACAATCGGAGGGCCGATACTCTAAGGCAGATATTTAGTCCGCGGTGAATTTGAAGAACAGGTGCACCTACTGAAGCAAACGACCAAACAAGGCCGACCATCCCTTGATAAATTCCTCGCTCCGCAAGGGGAACCAGATCTGCGACGAGGATTTCTGAGAGTGCGAGAATTCCACCGCCGCCGACGCCCTGGACAGCGCGCGCCGCAATCAGCATTTGCTTGTGAACAAGTCAACGACGAGGATAACGATCGGATAGCTCAACATACCATATTCTGAGCTGCTCCCGCTATGGCACTCCCAACAGCGAAGAACGCGATACTAATGAGGGTGATTGGTCGTCTGGGGTCCAATGAATTATTCGTTCAGACCAAAGACAAAATAACACGACTCACCGTCCGAAAGCATCTGCCAGGCTCCCGCTCAAAGGAATAAATGCGGTACTTGACAACGCGTACGCCGACCCGACCCATGTAAATTCGCCCTGCGTATCGTGCAAGGCATCCGCAATCGTGGGGAGCGCCGTCCCGACTGCGGTCAAGTCCAATGCGGAGAGAAATGTGGTGACGCAGATAGCCAGAAAGCTCATGTAAAATGCGCGACTCTTGCCTTTAGATGCGATTGCGGTGGGCTCCACATGTTCTTCTTCTTGTGTGAGTGTCGGGACAGAGTGAACCTCGGTCTCGTTGTTGGCCATGGCTCAGGGCGGGCAGAGGAGCAGGAGTATGGCCCGAAAGACAGCCCAAGTCCGTGATCTTCCTTCGTTTTAAAATACCGAGCATTCGGCAGGAACGCGTAGGCCATTCCCGCAACCCACCGTGGATTTTGACAGGTTCCAAGCCGAGTTGAACAACTTGTGGGGGCTTTGTCAGCACGGAAAGACGCAAATTGGCACGGGTCCACGCAAAGACGAGGGGGACGATCGATGCAAGCGTGTTAATCTGGTTGATTCGCCGGGATGTTGCGCGTGACAGAAGCGGCATTTCCGTCGCTGTCCGACGGAACGATTTTGCCTCCACTGGATCAATTTGTGTTCCAACGCCAGAGTATAAAGTAGAAGGTCGTGTCGGCCTTACAGTATCATCCGCGTACGTCGAACGCAAAGAAAAAGAAGCATTGGGACAGTTGAGTTGCTGATGAGGCAGGTTGAAAGCTCGACAGTCTCATTAATCATGATGTGACACAGAATACTGTGCAATTTTAATTTTTTTCGTCAGTCACGCATCACACCCAAATTTCGTCATGTCACAAGGTTCCGACGGGATTGATGATGGGATCATGGGCCGGACGGCCCCCACACGCTCCGCACGAAATCCTCAATTCGTCATCAATGTCACTGGAATATGAGAAAAGTACTCGATGTCTCGTAGAGTCGTAGTACTCCTACTGCGATGAAGCACCAACTACTACTAAAAAGTAAACTGTAACTAATTATATACCGAAATAAAAATAAAATCATGATCATCAATGTGGCTCCTGACCGGCCTGACCGCCGACTTGGCTTGAACTCGAATCATGTCGCTGCGACTTGACACTCTTCCTCCCGAACTCCTTCTGAGGCTGCCTTACTTTGTCCACTCGATCGAGGACATTCTGTCGCTTTCCTCCACATGTCGGGTGCTCTATCATACCTGCGCGAATCCCAGTCCCCATGTCATCTCGAAACTGGTGGCTGAATCTGGACGCATCTTCTTTCGCCCTCATCCGCACATGCTCATCGCTGCGACCGCGCGACAGCTTGCGGACTGGGCCATCCAGCATGATGAGCGCCGGTTCCGGCTTGAAGAAGCTATTCGTGGTGGCGTCGACAAACTTCTCGAGTTGGCCATTGATGTAGTTGGGCTGACTATGGACGATATCCGGCGACTGCTGCGATTCAAATATGCGGTACTCAACCCCCTCGACAAGCAACTTGACCTGTCCTCTGGTCCAGGGTCTGGGTATGGAATGACGATATGCAACGACCCGGAAACAACGCTGTTAACATGGGTAATTTATGGCGAACTCTTCCACCATTCAATGGAGCTGGGCTATTTGTCCAGTGATCAGCTTCGCCACCAACCACTTAGCAGCGTAACTCGGTACAAATGGCTCGCATACTGCGTGCCCGACGTTAACTCGTTCAATTACCTCAATTTCAAAAACCAACCAAACTTCTTCAAGGACTATAAACAAGAGGAGAACGATCGTTTCCAACAGCTGAGCCTCCAGACAGCCATGGATTTTCTGTGCCCGCAGCTTTGGGAGGACGCGCTGCAGCCAACAGTCCTTTGGAAGACGATAGATCCAGTAATACGGGAAACTTATGTCAGCTGCGCAATGAATCTGGGCTTCTCTAGCTTGGAGTTACTCGTGCCTGGAGGACCAGAGAGATTGACTGCGCAACTGGAGCTCATCGCTGCCAGTCTATCCAATGCACTCAATGTCGGCCCGGGACTGCAGACGGCTGGACGCCTGATTCAAGCGCGAAACGCAGAGCTCCGTGAACTGATCGAAGACCCCTGGTGGCTCACTGGATTCCCGGACCTCGATGTCGACCTTAGCCTCACTTTGTGGGGGAATTGGTCTGGCGAGAACGGACGCGTGTTGATGAAGGCGATAAGAACACCAGCAGTCACAGTAAATACGGCTTGAACTAATGGTCTACCTAAACAATGAATGTTTTGCTTGTCGATGACAGTCAGCGCACACTTCACGAGCACAGTACATCATAAGCTATCACCGGACCAGTGTCTTGGACACGGGAGACTCGCAAGGATCGAGTCAGTCGCTTCATAAGTATATACCGTAACTTACTTGAGTAGAATTCTTACTGCAGCTTGTGCTCTCCAAGTACCATGCACATCGCTATCATGACTGCGATGGTAGGTAGCTGATGTGTGCCATTTCTTCAGGGCAGAAGCGCTTGAGCGGCTGTGATATACACTCGGCCACGTGCACGTGATCGCTGACATCTGCCATCAGAATTGATGCGTTCGGTCTCTTTGCCTTGCCCCCCATGTCGTCCAAGGGTGCAGTCGACGACCTCTACGGTGGTCAGTCATCAAATGTCTACATACCACTCTTTCTTGACTCTTCATGCAGACATTTACGGAGACGAAGAGTTGGAAATTCTCGACTCCGAAGCCCAGCTCGTCGATGCTCCTGAAGTCGCCCCCATCGCGTCAGTGTCCACGAAGCCTGAGCCCCACCATGCCCTCCCCCCCAAACCTGTTTCTCAAGCTGCAAGTTCCCCAGCGACTTCCAACTCAAATTCCCTGTCGTACTCTGCACAAATAGCCCAGCAGTTCTCCGCCTACAAACAAACCCCAAGCCAGGAACGACAACAAAGACCACCAGAAGCAGCGACCTCTACGCCTATTCCAACGTTCGAAAACCTCGAAACTTCCCCCATACCGACCCACGCCACGCAAACCTATGTCTCGGGTGATACCGTGTTTGGCAAAAAGCCGTCCGAGATGCACGATTCTGGGTGAGCCAATTGTTTATCACTGCCCGCTGACTATGTTGTTGCTTGCATACCCTGCTATGCTAGCTACTCATACCGCACGTCGTGTATCGGACCTCGATATCCGTTACGTTACCTTCTTTTTTTACTTGTCCTTCCTTTTTTCCCCTTGCGCACAATTTAGCCGATACTAATTATTTCGATCTTTTAACCCAACCTACCTTCTGGCCCACCTCCACGATACCTTGTACCTGTTTTCGACGATCTCTGCTTGCTCTCTACGCTCTACCGCTCTACAGCAAAATGTTTATCGGTGGCCTTAACTGGGAAACTACAGATGGTACTTGCTCCTCTCATGCCTCCGTCAACGTCCATAGCTAATCGCACCGTCTTTTCCTCCTCTCCACGTAGAAGGTCTAAGAAACTATTTTTCGCAGTTTGGCAAGGTACCCCGAAAGTTACCATCTTCCTCTTTGACTAATCCCCCTCGAATAAGGTCGACGCATGCACCATCATGCGCGATCCGTCTGGGACATCTCGCGGGTTTGCATTCATGACCTTTGAGGACGCAGCCTCCGTCTCGTTGGTCCTCGGAAAGGAACATGTACTGGATGGCAAAGCGGTATGGGGCTTGCAATGCGTTTACCATGAATGTGACTCGAAACTAGATTGATCCAAAACGCGCGATACCGCGTGAGGAGCACCTCCGCAATACGCGTTACTTTGTGGGTGGGCTGTCCCCAAACACGACATCGGAGTCCATGAAGGCTTTCTTTAGCTCCTGTGCGCTGCTGCTATTCATAGTATTTGTTGTTGACTTTATTCAGATGGCAAGGTGGTCGACGCCACAGTGATGGTCGATCGTGAAACAGGCCGTGGTAAAGGTTTTGGATTCGTCACTTTTGAAGACGCGACGAATGCCGACCAGCTCGTTGGTAAGCTTGGGCTGCAAATCGACGATAAGGAGGTGCGAATGTTTGCTGTTTCTGCAGCGCGATTTATGCTTCGTAGATTGAGGTTAAGATGGCTCAGCCACGAAGCCAACGCGATCGGGAGCGAACTGGCCCTAACAACTCCTCCCAGCAGCAAGTCAGCGCCATTCCGACGTTTAGCAGTCAGACACAACAGCAACCACAGCAGCAGCAGCAACAGCAGGTGCCGATGCCAATACCGATGATGTTTGCGCGTCCGGGGATGATGAATGGCATGGCTGGGATGAACGCGATGGGTATGGGTGGAATGGGAAACATGATGGGGGTCAACCCGATGATGATGGGTATGAACCCAATGAGCATGATGGGAATGGGTATGATGAACGGAATGGGTGCGATGAATAATATGGCGATGAACAACATGGCCCAAATGGGAATGGGTGGGCCGATGCGGATGGGAATGGGTGGACCGATGGCGGCAATGGGCGGGGCGGGGGCGATGGGAATGGGAAACATGACCATGCCTACACTTCGTGGTGGAATGGGCATCAACTTTGGCAGGACACCCGCCATGACGAATGGCTCGGGCGGCCCAGCACGGATAAGCACTCGGGGCCAACACAGCTTCCACCCATATTCCAGGTAGCACAACTAAATCTTCGTTTGCTTTCTTGTTCGCGGGCTTTTCGACTAATTTACTTAACTACTGCTGCCCAAAACTGTTGTAATATTATATCCACGATGACCAGATAGCTCTTTATTTTGCTTGTGGCTCTCGATTACATCCGCTCTCATCTGAGACACCACCTATAAGTGGCTATGGTGGCGCTGCTGCACTGCTCTGTGCTTCTTCCCTCTTCCCCCCATCCGACGCGACATTTGCGAGAGAGTGGCCCCGTCCATTCTCGGTGATGACTGGACGGACTCATGATTGAAGGCTTACCGCTGCTGCAACTCGTTGGCCACTGACCTGGGAGAGCACCGGCAGCCTGTCGCGTAGTGGATCGCTCCCTCTGGCCGTCTTTCGAGATGGCTTTGGGACGTGACCTCACTAAGCAGCAGCGCTGAGCGGCGGCCTCTGACAACCTCCTACGACGTGGCCAACGAGTGATAATGAAGAGGCATAAAAAACGATAACGGGCACGGTAGCGGCAGCCAACGATCCGAGTCTGTCCATGATCTGACCCATCGACAACTACTCCTGGGCTGGATAGAGGTGTTGGGGAGCGGCCGTGCTGGAGACGAGGTCATGCTGGCTGGTGAACGATGCACCAGCCCTAGCGTGGACATCAGGCTTGAGCATTACCAAGTGCGTATCGTATGCTCTTATATTATATGCGGCTCATAGTCATTGTCATGTCTTCATAACCAATGATCCACCTGGCAGTGGGAGGAGTTGGCCGCAGTGGCGCTGGAGGTGTTTGTTAATTGACACGTGATGTCCAGTGTCTCGCACGTGATCGTGACCGACTCGTCCTCTACTTATGTAGCCTTACATTTCTTTCCCAAGTTCGACGAAGTAGAAAACTGCTTTGTACAATTAAATTATTATTTGTGGTTCCAAGTAACTTAGGCTAATGAATGTGTGCGTAAGAATACAGTGGCAGCTACAGCAAGATGCGAAAGGGACTATATGCGATATGGTTCCTCCAAAATGATACGGTAAGATTTGGGAGACGGGAAAAGAGCCATGCGACAAATGGAGATGCAAAGTGGTCCATACCAGCTTAAAATGCAGGTTGGGCTTTTGGGGAGGTGCACGAAATCGAATTGAATGGGAACGAATGTGGGTTGACGAATGACGAAGGGTGCGTAGTGAAAAGAAAATGCGAACTGGAGGTGTGTTAGCTTGTCCCGGAGCTGTAATTAGTGCTTACCTCTACCTCAGCTTCAGCTCGACATCGAGCCACTGATATATGCGCGTGATTTTAGCCCCGGGGTCGCAACTCCGTTTTCCATCCGGGGAGAAGAAGCGAGCACTTGAGCAATGGAAGGCGGTCTGCCGCGTTTCAAGTTGGCGGTATAAGCAGCAGAGGCGGACGAGACAGAGGACACCGATATTCGGTTACTAGTCGACTTACGTCTCTCCTCTTGGGTTCGGCGGGTTTCAGCAGCAAGGATAGCTGCTGCCACAACTGGGTCTTGAACCCGGACTGAAACAGGTGGGGGCGGGAGTTCTATGCGAGAGAGCGGCAAGGTTGTCTCGGGAATAGCTCCCAAAGACGCGACGGTGGTTGCTGGTGTACCCGTGATTGCGGCATTGAGTGAAAGGGAGGAAGTAGACGACGAAGGGGAGTTGGTAGTGCCCATTGACGATGTCGACGAGCGTGGTGATAAATGCGGGATGGCCGTATCTGATGTCGTTGACGAACGCTGTAAGGTGGACATCGGAATATGGTTGCGCTTGACCTTCCGACCAGTGGTGGACGAGGACTCCGCACCAGACGTACCAGAGTCTCTATATGAGTCAGAAGTCGTTTGATGAGACTCTGTTCCAGAATCTTCGCTTGCGAAATGGGTTGCAGGGTCCCGGTTATTGGTGAGTAGCCATTTGAGTCCTTGCAGCTCTTTGTCTCGTCTTGTCGCATCCATCTCTAACCCATCGATCTTCTTTTGCAGGGACCGTTTCTCAGCTACGTGGGAGTCTGTTATGGTCAGTAGATAGCTCGCCAGCTCGTCGTACTGTTGCTGCCGTAGCGAGAGGGCTTTCTGGGTTTCTTCAAGCTGGTGAGTTCGGAGTTTTAATTCCTGCCGCAACTGATCCGGCGAAGCGGTTTCGCTGTCGAAGTTCTCCTTCTCAGACGGCACGTCCGGTAATTTTTTGCTCTCTACGGAGGATTGTGAAGATACCGAATTTGCCGACGACATAGTCGATAATGTCTGGGCTCGTTGACGACGAGGGGGGCTGTCATTCTTTAGAGCGAGCGCGGGCAATGGAATAAGGGGCAACGCAGAGGATGGGGGATTAGACGGTGGTGGAGGTAACGGAAACGCTGGCGGCCTATCCGGCGGTGTTTTCATAATTGACCTCGGTGAAGATTTTTCACTGTACTTGTACGGCATTGTCGTTGCGAGCGTTCTCCGTTTCTCCGCAGTCGGAGTGAGCATAGACACGGACGATTTGGGGGCATCTGACATGACAGCCTCCGAGTCCTCTGAATCGAGAGTCGTGTTCACATGTTTTCGAGAGATCCGAGATGTTGTCGTAGATCGTGCAATACGGCGTTTCATCGTGGGAATATGCGGCACTGAAGAATCAGACGAAGTAGACGGCCTTGGGAATCGCACTGATTCGTTGGTGGGTGTCCGTTGCCCATCCTCGACTTTGGGGAGCGTAAACAGATCCTTGTAGTCTTCGAGACTGTCAGGCGGCACGGACACGGTGATAGTGGGTTGATTTGGTCTGGGGGTCAGAGAGCGGGTGCTCTCTGACACTGTAGAATCGATAGACGGCTCGCGAGAAGGAGGAGTGGGCGGTGACAGGGTGTGAGACGGAGACTGTTCAGTCGTAGACTTTGTTCGTGGTCGGGGTGATATGCTAAGTAGTTTCTGTCGTGAAGGAACGAAATGAGCCAGCTTAGAGCTCAGGGAGGTGGAGGGGAGCTTTGAGGGGGATGATTGTTGTGAGCGTTCGGCGTCAGAAACGAATGGAACATCTGGTCTAGAACATGCTTAGAGGAGGAGAGTAAAATGCTTGCTTGACCACGTACATTACGTCCACTAACTTGGAAGCGCTGCTGTTACGAGCCTCAGCTTCGGATTGGCGACTAGTTGGGCTCGGTGAGGATGTTGACGCGTCTGAATGCGTTGATTTTTTCCTCTGTCTTCCTAGAAAAGGGATTCGGCTGCTACGCTTCCTGACAGGGGACTCTGGTTCAGAAAGGAAGGTAGGAGACGAGGAACCAGGCTCATCAGCGTCGGCAGAACGCGTCTTGCCGGTTTTGAAAAAATCAGAGATGTCCGATGTTTTAGTACGGAGACGAATGCCTGGAGAAGGGGTGGTCATGGCCGGAAAGGGCGTACGACAGCAAAGGCGACGCGTTAGCCAGCGATAGAGAGCGTGGTCGTGGTGGTGGGAGGAGGAGGAAATTTGAGAATATTCTGGACTGCCGTAAAGTAGTGGTTCATGAGAAGCCTATCTAACGTCACAGCTTGTGATTCCCCCAAATTTCCTTTTCCAAAATCTTTCAACCTGCCTCAGCAACTCAACTGTCCCTTCGCCTCCTCTGCGTCTTTCTCCAGGGAACTCGGGATGCCGAATGGCTTGGTTCACCGAGAATTGGCTTCTCATGGCACGGGTAAAGTAAGGCTGCTTCGGAGGCATGGGAGATTTTTTCATTTGCCCAAGGGCTCCTGCTGCGACCGTGTACACCCGCGACTTCCTTTGGCGCCCTGTTATTCTTCTCTTCGATCCACATGCTCTTGAACCTACACCACTAGCTTACTTTTTGCGTCCTCTAGCCGCCAGTTTCATTCTTATCAACCTGTTTCCTGATCTCGAGGTGTTTCGGCTGCGTCACTTCCCCGTCCAATTGATACGCTCGGGAAAAAAAGTTGTGAGCCTTTGTGGGTTCATGCCGACCTCATGCTCACTTGTTTTGCTTGTTTGATCGACACCCTCTCCGTGAATCCGACCCATCCATTCATGCGACCATCGCACCCTACCTAGCTGCACACTTTTTTTTTGTCTCAACTAGGTGGGGTAGGATGGCATTCGTCCTTATTGTTGGGGAACCCATAATGAAACTCACACGTCAGTGAAGTTGATTGTAACCTGGCTGACAGACGTGTGAGGCAGACAACCTCTTCATATCCTCCACATTCCACTGTCCATAGGTCTCGTGCATTCGACTTCGATTCCGCTTGTTGTGCTGCACCCGTTCCAATCTTCATAATCGCTGTTCAGTAGAGCAGGATCTCCGCGTCCAGGTATCGCATCGCTCAACAAGCAGACGATCGCGACCATACGACCCGTACGTATTGTCCTGATTCTTATAGTTTATTTCGTTAATAATGACCGACTTCCCGCCGGCTTAGCTGCCTTAGCACACAACACCATACCATTAATCTTGTCAGCGAGTGCTAGCCAGCCCCCTCGAACCCACTGGAACTCAATGCGCCACAGAAGGGAAAAATTGAAGTATTGTACACATGTAATTGACTTGAACTAATAAGTCTTCATATTTCTCACCAGGGTTAGGGTTAGGGTTAATATCCCAAAAGACAGAAGTCACACAGACCGCCAGCATCTATGTACAGTACCTCGGCATCAAGTCTTCATGTAGCTCCGTCTGCAAAGGTCTATAACCCGGTCAAGTCGAAGTAAGGATCAGCGCTGTTTTCATGTTGCCGAGCCGACCCTGAAGGAACCAAAGTACTGGGTTCAAAGCCCACTCAGCTTCAATGATAGTTTTATCCTATCCCAAGCCTGAGTGGGCTCCTCTAAATTGAATCATCAGAGAAGGTATTTATATATATCTAGGCTTCATGTCAGTTTTCAGCAGTTTTCCCTGTGGTCTTGAGAATTGGCTGCATGGATGCATCAGACGCGACTCGTCACAACATAGGGGCTGTTATGTCACGCAAAATCAGACATGACACTTTGCCTTCTCCCAACTTGAAGAGATAGCTTCACAGGTGCGTAACATCGTCTCAAACTCTCAACGTCCATGCGATCTCATCTTACCGCCTAATCAGAAATGGAGCCTCACGATGCTCAATATCCATCAACAACGCAGCCCGAGACTCCCCACCCAACCTCGATATTTTCACAATTGCGTCAGTTTAATCCGCTCAGCTCCTTCTTCGCTTCATCCACCAGCCCCACGACCCCGCTTTCCTTCCCTTCGACCGCAATGGCTGGAGACTCCTTCTTTATTGGCGAGCAGTTACCCACTCCAACGCCAACACGCCCCTCTACTCCACGACCAGGCCGATTTCCCGTTGTCAAGAGCATTATCACTGGCCTTTCTTCTCGTAGTACCCGCCAACAACCTGTACGCATTGCCGTCGTTCAGACCCAAGTCCAGCGCGAAGAGGAGATGCAGAGCGAGACAACATTGACACCGACCATTGTTTCGGAGTGTACGGCGTTGCATTTTGCCGACGATCTTTCAATCCAGCCCGGATTCTACGAGTCTTCAGATGATACGCCACCACTCACTCCTGAATCGAGCGAGTCAACTGGATCGCTCTCGCCATTGCTGTCGCAGGATGGTTTGCAATTGTTGGACGAGCTGGAGTATTATGAAGACAGCTACTCTGAAGACGATTCTTTCACGCGTCCCTACTCTCAAGAAATCAAGGAAGGCAAGCGGCCGGCCCCTCCCATCGTCAGTTGTTTGCTACTGCTTCCTGACGATGACCTCATACTATTCTGCAGGATTGTGATGACACTCTACTTGACGATATTTCATCTGAGGCTGAAGAAGCGAAAGTTGTTGCACCAGAAGATTCAGAGGAATGGTATGGCTTGGAGTACACTTTGGAATTAAGCACTCGTCAGCGTCGTGCATCCGAGACACCTGAAATATCGACAGGAGAGCATTCAAAGGTGTGTGTTGGCCATGTCTTTCGTTGATCTGCTCATCAAGTATGCAGTCTCGCGAGTCTTGGCTCGCTTTGCATCAAGGATTCGTTCATCCGTATTATCAAGACCAACAGTTCTCTTTGTGGAAAGACTGGCATCGTTACCTTGACCGTCAGGACGAAAGACGGCGCCATCGTCGAAGTCGGGCATTCAGAGCGCATGCAAAGGAGCTCGCTTGGCTCTACGTGGACGAGATGAAAACGCGAGACTACATTTTCTGGCAGGCGGACGAGTATGGGCAAATCGACAAGGAGCTTTTGGAGCGTCTCGAGCTTATTGAAGCCCATCGAGCTGTGTGTTCAAGTTATCTCTCCCTCTTCCTTCCACTCAAAAAACCGTCACAGGACTCATACTATCCGCCCCAAAAGCATAATCGAGCATGGCATCTAAAGCGCTCTCGCTCCGTCGCCACGTTGAATGAGTTGTGTCCGCCTACCTTCCAGATTTTTTCCGGTCCTGTAAGCTACGAAGTGTAGAATGTACTAGTTTAGATATTGTAGATAGAGCCTTCGTGTAGCATTTTGGAACTTGTAAATCAGTATTCATTGTACTTGGCAAAAGTGGCTTGGAGGATACAAGATCATCAATTCTGACTCATCGATCAACCGCGATCACGCGGCTCTCACTCAACCAACCTCAAACTCTCTTCCTCGTTCGGCCCCGCTATGACGGGCAAAAAACGCAAATCTGACGGCGCCATTACCTCAAAACGACCTGCCAAACAACCTCGCCGCACTCTAGACTCATATTTTTCCCCCCAAGTGCTCGCCCCTGCCAGTTCCGTCGACGATGACGACCGCAAGATGGTTTCGCTGAACTATGAGCAGACTGCCATCTTGAGACAGGTGGTAGACGACGGAGAGAATGTCTTTTTCACGGGAAGTGCGGGTACGTGCCACTGCCGGAATGTGTTGGTCCTGTTTGACAAGGGTATTCGTAGGGACGGGGAAATCACTCCTACTACGCGCCATTATCAAAGCCCTCAAGAACAAACATGGAAAGTCAGACGTGGTATCTGTGACCGCGAGCACAGGCATGGCTGCCTCGAATATTGGAGGTGTGCTATCTGTCTCGTTGCATCTTCTGAGCGCTGATGTTGTTCAGGAATGACCATTCATGCATGGGGAGCGGTGGCACCCACTCAAACAGAATTTGAATTCCAAGTCAGCTGCATACGCAAGTGCAGGCCTGCGCTGCAGAGATGGCAGAAGACCAAGGTACTCGTTATTGACGAAGGTGCGTGTGTGTTCGTTCATCGTTTGGAACGCAATGGATGACCCGCGGCAGTGTCTATGGTGGATGGCCCACTCTTTTCTCGTATTTGTCAACTTGCTCAGCATCTACGGAAGAACAATTCGCCTTTTGGGGGCATCCAACTGGTAGTAACCGGCGATTTCTTCCAGTTGCCACCAGTGGCAAAACAAGGCGAAGCGGTATTTGCATTTGAATCTGCGGAGTGGAAACGCTGCATACGGCATACGATATTACTGTCCGAAGTATTCAGGCAAAAAGACAACGGTATGTGGTGAACCGACGCGACTGCATTGGATTTATACTGCGGTCAGAATTTGCTGCTCTTCTCAACGAACTTCGTCTGGGAAATATCCCTCCCACCGCTGTTTCTGTATTTCAGTCTCTAGCACGTCCCCTTCCACCAGATCCGAGTGGTATTTTGCCCACTGAACTATTCCCCATGCGGTATGAGGTCGACAAATCCAACTCGACACGCCTCGCGAAGCTTACAACGCCTGCCCAAACATTCACATCGCGCGACAGCGGCAAGGCTCAACCGGACAAACGCGTCAAGCTACTGGAAACGATGTCGGCACTTCGAGAACTGACGCTCAAAGTCGGTGCCCAAGTCATGCTGATCAAGAATCTAGACGAGCGCTTGGTAAATGGGTCAGTGGGGAAAGTCCTTGGGTTCTATCGCATTGCCGACGTGAGAGGAGGCCCGGGCAATGGTGCTGGTGCAAAGAACGGCACAGCGCCAGTTCGAAATGTTGTTATGGTGGATGGGCGACCAGCGCCCAAGTTGGAGAAACCACCGCTCTCAAGTAGCAATAAGGTCAATGTCTCTTCGGAGGTCAAGCAAGAAGCCAAACCCAAATCCACCAACGACACCAAACCCAAAACAAACACGGTTTCGAAAGATCAGCTGCTGTATCCCTTAGTCGAATTTCCAGCGCTCGATGGCTCAGAAACGGAGGTCGTTTTGTTGGTCCGAGACGAATTCCGTATCGAAGACTCGCAAGGCGAGGTGCTAGCAAAGCGAATGCAGATTCCGTTGATTCTCGCATGGGCTATTTCGATCCACAAAAGCCAGGGGCAAACTATTCATCGAGTCAAGATTGACCTGGGTAAAGTTTTCGAGAAGGGTGCGTTTTTCTTCCCTCTTCTTTCCTATCATGCTCAATGCGGTTGATGGTTTAGGCCAATCTTATGTTGCGCTGTCTCGAGCTGCTTCGATGACTGGGCTTCAAGTCCTGAACTTTAACGCTCACAAGGTAATAACTCAATTCGCCGTTGCAGCCCGGGCTCACATCGCGATAGGTTCAAGCACACCCTAAGGTGGTTGAATGGAGCAAGACATTGCAAACCTATCAACCGTCATGAGGCCTCAACACAACCTAATCATTGCTCCATTTCACAGATCTTAATTGCTCCATTCCCTAAATCTATTTGGCATCTCTTTAGCATCTTTCAGTAGTCAATTGGCATAGGTCAGGCTCATAAGGAGTCGTTTATTGGAGGAGGGAGGGTTAGAATACAGATACAACACGACGAAATAAACAAATCAAACATCCTAGTTGTCCCCATGACATTATGTCAATCTTTAGCCTCTAAAAATGCGTCCAATTCAGCATCCAAATCTTCTCTGGTGACTGTTGGCCGCTCGTTCCGACTGTGACGCTCCCTTTCGCTACCACGGCCATTCCGACGAGTTCCATCTCGCCTAGAGCTACCTCCATTGCGACTGCGAGTACCATTCCTGCGCGAATCGGAGCGTTGTGCGTCCACTTCTTGTCGGAGTCGACCCGAATCATCATCACCGGTTCTGTGGCCTCTATCCTCCAGAGCATCAGCATACATCGTCCCTCTCACTCTACGAGGCAGAGGTGCGGTAAGGCGTGATTCGAGCGAATTCGGTTGGAGGCGAAGGACCGAAGTGCGCTGAAGTAAGGTTCGGCCGTCTGATGCGATAAAATCCGACCGCATTTTTGACACTGGCTCTTGTTCCGGCTCTGGCTCTGGCTCTGGCTCGTCGTCCGCACGAATAAACTCATCAAGTTCGGCGTCTAGAGCGGCTCGTACTTGCTCGCGATCAATCTCGACACTGCTACCACGTCTTCTCCGCTTGGAGGCGGGGTATTCCAAGTTGGTTGGGTCCTGATTAGACTCCTTCCCAGCTCCCCAACCATGTTTCTTGTAGAATTGACTCTGTTGCCGTGCGCCACGCTTCTTGACATCTTCGGGGAGGGCCCAGCGCATGCGTATCACACCCTTCAGTCCTTCTCCCTTGCCGAGACTACGATTTATGCGGTCCTCGGGTGGCCAGATAGCGACAGGAATGGGTTTAGCAGTGACGAACCCATCCGTATCGGGTTCCTCCGTAATGTGCTTTTGCAGAAGTCGGTAAGCAGCCCGAGCAGCGGCTTTCGAGTCGAATACGAAAACGCAATGCTCGTCGTCAACCTGAGTGCATTCAGTGGCCATATTTCCTGGAAGTGGGATACGTACCCATTCCAAGCCTAATGGATGAGAGTCAAAGTGTGTCGCATAGGCGAACAAACCAGCCGTCGGGAGGCTGGCAATGGGCGAGCCACCAAGGAGCAGCGCGTTCCCGCGAGATGTTGTGTCTAATGGAGGTTAACTGATACTCCACCTCAGCAAAAAATAACCGTAATATGCACCTTCTTCCATGTCGACCTCGTCGTCCATAGCAGAATCCTCTTCGTGTTTGCGCTTACCATTGATAGAATTATTAGGGCCCCTCGACGCAGACCTTCGGCGACGAGCGCACCTTGCTGCCCGCCCTCGCAACGCTTTCAGAGAGAAGGTAGACTTTGGTCTGGCCAATCCGTTTCGCCAGCGAGGCCTGTTCTTCAGCGGTAGGAAGTTGCTCCTCATATGCGGTGTCATTGTCGTACGACAGCGCTGCTGGATATAGGTCGTCGGGGGAGGTGTCCATTGCAAGAGAATATAATGAGGGCAGAGAAGAAAGAGAGGTATTGTCCGTGACAGCTGTGACACCCTTTCGAAATGAGCGGCGATGAAGGTGCTGTTGTGAACAAGAACAAGATACATCGGAAGGACAAGCGTTGGTTACAGCCTGCTGTTTCTGGTGCGAATAGCTGACTTTGCATACAGCCTGGGACACGGATGATATTGACCAGTGTGTTTTGCTCTAAAAATGTTTGTCTTGTCAACTAAAACCGACTGGCAGTGTACGCCCGAAGATGCTCGCCTTCGTACAGAGCCTGACGTATCTTAGTGGAAAATCGACGCATTTGCGCGCGAAGATTATATTGCAGCAAAACCTTTCTCCGAAGAGTCCTCGTTTGCGACTCTGTTCCCAAAATACCGTGAAAAATATCTTCGCGAGGTTTGGAGTGCTGTAACCCAGGCACTGGACGCTCATGTGAGTTTTCTCTCCACTCTCAAATACCAGATTTGACGTAAATTCAGCATCTCGCATGCACTCTCGATTTGGTCAGCGGTTCTATGTCTGTACGAACGACACGAAAAACATTCGATCCCTACATCATATTGAAAGGGCGGGATTTACTCAAATTACTTGCTCGAGGCGTCCCTGTTACTCAAGCGGTCAGAATTCTGGAGGATTCTGTTGCCTGCGACATCATTAAAATTGGCAGCCTTGTGCGGAATAAAGAGCGATTTGTGAAGCGAAGACAGCGTATAATTGGGCCAGATGGGAGTACTTTGAAGGTACGAGCATGAAACTTTGCGCGTTCGGAGGTGCTCATGGGTTGCAGGCCATTGAACTGTTGACCCAATGCTATGTCCTCGTCCAAGGCAACACAGTCAGTGCCATGGGTCCGTATAAGTCGCTCAAAGAGGTGCGAAGGATCGTTTTGGATTGCATGAAGAACATTCATCCAATATACCGGATAAAAGTGTGACGTCTTTGCTTCACTATCTAATTGCTCATTTCAAACCAGGAACTTATGATAAAACGGGAGCTTGCGAAGGACCCCAAACTTGCAAACGAGTCCTGGGATCGTTTCTTACCTAAGTTCCGCAAGCGGCATCTCAAAACCTCAGAAAAGACAGCGAAGAAGAACGAGGCATTGGAGGCCAAAAAAGAGGCGCGTGCGGCTGCAGGTTTACCGGAGGCGGGACCTTCCAAGCCAGCCAAGAAGGTATACACACCGTTCCCGCCTGCACAGCTCCCTCGAAAGGTACCTATACGTCTCTCTTCCGATCGAAACCGTCTCAATATTTCGTCCAGATCGACTTGCAACTCGAATCAGGAGAGTATTTCCTCAAATCGCACGAGAAAGAAGCAAAGGAGATCGAACGTCGCAAACAAAAGGTCAGGCACCTGTCTTTCATGCCATTCATTGACTCAATATCATAGCAAACGGAAACAACTGCCAAGAGGCGAGCCGAACGAGCAGAAGCATTTGTGGCGCCTGTAGAGGAGGCGGCGCCAACAGTAGAGGAAAAGCGACATCGAAAACGGAAAGCAGAGACAACTGAAGCAGCAGTGGAATTGGAAGAGGGTGTCGAGCGGATCAAGAAGAAGAAAAAGAAAAAGGCTGTCGAGGACAACGACTACTAGTTGGTAGTAGGCGAATTTCGGCGGAGTTACGTAATCGCTGATATGAATTTTCCAAGATCAGCGCCATGGGCGGAACTATTTCTGTCCGTCAATGCATGTCGCGCCCACAAGAAACCTCTCTTGGCTACCATGTCCACTCCTCCTACAATCCTCTTCAATGCCTCGCCATTACCCTCTCCACGCTTTTCGACATTTGACACCCAGCTCGACAATGATTTCAGGCCTTCACATTCTATTGAGGGTATTTACGACCCATACTCCCCTCGCGAACCTCTAATTCCCAACCGAATATCTCGCACACATATTCCACAACAGCTATCCCTCACCGGGTCGAGATACCATGACTTCGACCCATACCCCACACAGAAGCAGGAACATCTTACGCCGAGTACGAGTTCAGAAACAGACTTTCTGAAAACCCCTTCTTCCGCACTCTTTCCCATGGGCCATCCTAAGCCGCCTAGAAGACATCCTTTTGCAACTGGGTTTGAAGCGCCTGAATGGTGGTCCATTTTGATTCACATTGCTCTGTGTGCACTGGCGTATCCAGTTCTCTACGCATTCGTCGTCATTGCTACCAATCGACCCATTTTCTGGAGTCGTCTTCTTGTTGGTGCTGGTTGTGGGGCGGTTGGTGTGTCCCTAGGTTGGAGCTTGACGCGTCTGGGGCAACGATTCCTTGAAGCGGCTAGTGCGTTGATCATCGCTGATGTTTCCTTGTACTAAAGCCCAACATTGCAGCATGGGCAACACTGATAAACCAATCTCGTGCCTCTCAAGACCCTGGAATCAGCTTGCGAAGCTTCGCCAAAAGCGCAGAATCTTCAACAAGTATCATGTCTGGCGTCCGACTACTTTTTGGCCGTTGCTACAAAAGGCAGAAGTCAGATCAGCAAAGCGCCAGATCGCAGAATGAGTGGGTCTCCTATTGAAACACCACTGACCCTGAAACCTACCCAGTTCTCGCTCGTGGTCGGCATATGTGGTTGTGTTTCTTGTGATTCTTGCCATCGCATCATCGTTACCATTCATCCTTGGACGCGTCGTTGACATACAAGCATCAATCGAGGTATTTTCTCCGGAAATTTTGTGGGTCACTTGCGGAACGCCCTAACGCTTGGACAGCATCAGCACGTTAATTACTTCGAAGTTGCCATTGCGGCAGACTTGAGCGACGAAGATATTAGCCGGGCGGCTGCATTGAACACCAATGCATTCAATGTGACCTCGTGTTTGGAATTGAGGAACAACGCTAATCTCTTACAAGAACTACGCCCTTACTTGGACAATCGCCCCATTCTCGACCCACGGCACCCTCCCCTCCCCTGTCTCCTTCACATGGGAAAACGACACAGTCTACTTCTCCGAAACGATCCTTTCACAGGTTCTTCCTGGTGGGACGGGTTTCGGCACTTTTGATGCCAACACAACAGCCGCTTCAATTGATCTGACCAGCACCAACCAACCAGCGCCGCCAGCTGCCAACAGTATCAACCCCGGTTGGACATTGCGGTCCGTATATCTTAATTTGGTTTTCATCGGGCTGAACCAACCGATAGGTATCCTCGTTGGGGCTTGCGCATCCACTGCGTCAAATCTTCTGACCCCAACACGATGTAAGAGACTCATGCCAACAATTGAAGGGTTTTGACATCATATTTAGCGTTCCCAAGGCTGCCTCCGGTCTCTCCTATGTCTACACTCCTCGAGAAACTCTCCGGTCGCTATTTTCTTCGTTTGGAAAGGAGTTGCCCGCCAATTTAGAGACACCGCTCAACATCACGAAGTTAATGATGGGGAACGATACATTTCCTGCCTCACTCAAGGCTGAGGATATCGCACTCGGAGGTTCGCTCAAATGTTTTGTCGTGTTCAATGCTAAGAGTTAGCCGTTTTCTGGGATAATGGCGTCGCGCATAGCTTTAAGAGTACACCAATCTCCGAAGGTTTGTTTCGTCTTCATTCCACTCATTTCTGACGGGTAGTTAGGCGAAGATGGAGCTGGATTCGCCTCAATCGAAACCTTATTGGTCTGATTTGAAAGTCACCTTGAGTGAGGCTGATTGGTAAATCTAGGTTCGATTGAACACGACCTACGCTCCTCAAGGCACTTTCTTGACCCATAGCGAAGTAGCAGTCCCGGATGTGCATGGTATGATGCTAGAGACTGGCTTGACATATGCTAATTATTTTGTAGGAGCAAACACCTTCATTGGATATGACTCTGCCGTCTGTTTGGAGCTCTACGAGCCCTACGTGCTGGATACCTATAACAGCACGGCAGGCTTTCCTGCGTCTATGCGCATCGTAAACAAGGGCAACGCTGTCGTCGACGTAATTAACAGGGAGAAGAACACCCAACAACCTCTGAGGGACCCGACATTGAAGAGGGAGTTGCTTTCGTCGAATCTCCGCCCAGTGTATGAGGTCGCTCACGAAAACTCGGCAAATCAGATTCTCAAGGTAAGGGCGAAACATGTTTTCGTGCTCTTGACTAATGGTTTTAGGACAATGGTCGAGACGCCTACTATGTTTTATCGCCGACGCTGTTGTCGTTTACCGGTGGGGACGGCCCTCGCGGGTACTTGGAGCTATCAGCGCCGTTCTTCGCTCAGGCGCGGGCACTCGCCGACGCGTCCAACGTGCTCACCTACCTCGTTGGCTCTGGCCAAACCGTCGCACGGTGCTACCCTGACCGCATCACGACCACCGTGAGAATCGCCACCCGGGACGCTGTTGTTGTGTTGGCCACCGTGTTGGTGTTGGGGCTGCTGGCTGGGCTGTTCGTTCCGCGTCTGCCATTCGCGATCCCCCGTCGCGGATTCGGGCTTTATTCGTGGCTCGCGGGCTTCTACAGCAACGAGTTGGTGCTGGGCCGCACTGAAGCACGTCCATCGGAGGGTATTCCGAAGCATTTGGAGTTGGAAGAGATCAAGCGGCATATGGGTGATTTGAAGTTCCGATATGTTGTCTAGACGGAGTTCTTCATCGGACTAGTACTTAGCATGGACGTTTGGACACTGGCATTATCATTATTTGTGGATTTATTCTCGTAGACAGTCACGATGACAAGACAGTATTTATTGGTGAGACTATCACGGGATGTAAGACCGTCTTGCTTCTCGACCCTCTCCATTGCGCGATCACGTGCGAGACACGGCATCACGTGAAAATCAACAAGCTCTCCGACTCCCAAGAGGTGGATGGAAACATGATAATAAGCACCCGCATATGATAGAAGAGCATACGATACGCACTTGGAGCCCAAGCCGGGCGCCCACTTCGAAGAACTTGAAGTGGCACAACTGATCACAACATGACATCGTCTCCAATACGGCCGCTCCCCAACACCTCTATCCAGCCCAGGAGTAGTTGTCGATGGGTCAGATCATGGACACAGACTGAGATCGTTGGCTGCCGCTACTGTGCCCGTTATCGTTTTTTATGCCTCTTCATCTTCACTCGTTGGCCACGTCGTGGGAGGTTGTCAGAGGCCGCCGCTCAGCGCTGCTGCTTAGTGAGGTCACGTCCCAAAGCTATCTCGGAAGACGGCCAGAGGGAGCGATCCACTACGCGACAGGCTGCCGGTGCTCTCCCAGGTCAGTGGCCAACGAGTTGCAGCAGCGGTAAGCCTTCAATCGTGAGTCCGTCCAGTCATCACCGAGAATGGACGGGGCCACTCTCTCGCAAATGTCGCGTCGGATGGGGGGAAGAGGGAAGAAGCACAGAGCAGTGTAGCAGCGCCACCAAGCAACTTATAGGTGGTGTCTCAGATCTCGGAGTCAGAGGAGAGCGGATGTAATCGAGGGCCGCCAATTGTGAACAACTGTCGTCAACGTTGTCCTTGTCGTCGGAAGAGGCACTACACGTATGAAATCAGTAGGTAACGTGCGTCATTGGTTTGCGCGTAGACTTCAGCAAACGAACATCGAGAGCTAAACAGCCGCCTTTTCTCATTCTGTCGGCGCACAAAAATCACATTTCACTTTTGAACTACTTGTCAGGTATATGCAACAACCGCTGAACTTCAGAATGAAGTTGACCTACCGCCTCAACGCTGCTCAGCAGCGGACGTGACGACGGGTCTTTCTCGAATCGTAGTCGGACGTGCGAGGGATCAAAACCCTCTGACGCTGGCAGTCTTGCAAACGCGTTTATTGCGTGCATAATGTTTAAGAAGACCACGGTGGCGCTGATTCATCCATCAATTGGAGGCTGATTTTTGCAGAGAGCAGTCTTACCTAGATCCCGTGGTCGATACCCGTTCAACGGGACCGAAACGCGAGCAATGGCGTGTGAGGTCCGCTGGTTCATGGCCGGGGCCGGTGTAGTGGAAGGTGATACAACGCGATGCTCCGTTTTTAATGCTCTCCGCCAAGTTGGGTGAGAAAGGGTGCGAGTCCGGTTCAAATTGGGGATGTAGTCGCCGACCGTGGAGGTATATGCCACGATATAAAGCGTCCTCAAAGAACGCCAGTGCCGACGCGTGGAGAGTGAAGTGGATATACTGATCAAATCAGATCACGGCTACCGCAGAAAGAGGCAAAAAAACGCACTGCGACGTTGTCTAGTGGTTTATAGCTTATGTTATGCAACGCACCACCGCGAATGCAGTCCGCGAGCTCGATGACTGTCGTGTTTCGCGGGACTCCGCGGAGTGCAACCTTGCAAGAACGATTCTTGAGTGCTTCAGTCCTTGCTAGTGCAGCAGTGACACAGCGATCTCGAACGCGCGATACTTGCGCGCCCAGTTGGCGGAGGTCCTTGAAAGCCTGCGCAGCAATAAGCCAAAAGCGGAAGGGGAATAGAAAACTGTCCACCCAAGAGGCAACCCGAGCGCTCAGAAAACTAATGAACGCTTTGCTTGGATTACCTTTGACAAAGTTGAAGCGGTCGATAGCTCCGAAGGGCGTGAGCTGTTGGGCCAAAGCGTTTTCAGTCATATGAACATTGGCAAATGTAGCTCGAATAGTACGACTGGAGGTCGGATGAAACGGAGCCGGCTTTTGCCCCATTACAGGCGAGAATTCGAGACGCTGGCCGTACAAAAGGACGGGATGGTTGCTGACTTGCTCTAGTAGCTCAGAAGCAGCTGTCGAGTCGTAAAACGTTATACGAACGTTGCGGCTCGGTTGTAGGATGTCTTCGACGTTATATATTGGACCAGCGAGCACTACATCAAGAGTTTCTCCGATAAGAGCATGGGGGGGAACGTTCTGGATGCTGATTGTATGCTGGCCTTTCGCTAATTGTGAAATCGAGCGCTGCAGAGATGGTTTGTTTCGAAGACGCGTCAAGTTTTTCGTGATCATAGTTGAGAGCAGGTCGTGTCAGTTCACAGTCACACAACGGCTATTCTACGTACAAGAAAATTATCTAGTCTCAGCACGGGGGTAAGTAAAGTACAAGCATCGGCTATAAGCTATCCATTGTAGACCAAGGACAAAGTGGATCACTTAGTCTTCATCGTCCTCGTCATCCGAAGCGGCCTTCTTTGCCTTTTTCTTCGCCGGGGCCTTTGCCTTTGCTTTGGACGCAGGTTTCTAAACGACAGTGAGCAAAAGAGACCTCGAGACAGAATAAGGAAGCTATTACTTTGCGCTTTTTACCCGCGTCTTCATCATCATCTGCGTCCTCTGGTTCGTCATCGTCGTCGTCGTCGGCCTGTTGGGAGCATGTAAATATTTTTAAAAAAATTGGACCTATAGATGACCGCACCTTCTTCTTTGTCGCCCGTTTCTTGGGGGCGGCCTTCTTTGCCGGTGCTCTCTTCTTTTTGGGCTTTTCTTCTTCTGGCTCATCGTCAGAGCCACCTTCGACACCCTCCATTTCCTTCGAAAAATCTTCTCCCTCACTGTCGTCGTCCTTCTTCTTCTTCTTGGGTGCTGCACGTTTTTTAGGTGCGGCCTTTTTCGGCTTTGGCTCGTCCTCGTCGTCACTTGCAGCTTTCTGTTGAGCAATAAGAAATAAAAACTTGGTTAAGCAGCCCTCTATACCTTTTTGCGACTACTTTTCTTCTTCGCGGGAGCTGCATCATCACTCCCTTCGCCCTCTGAATCATCTCCACCTTTGCGAGCTGACTCAGGGATGTCTTCCTCTACCACAAACACGGTCAGGAATACTGTTCGCAGAATATCTTGGAAGAGAAACATACTGTTGACATGACCGTTCTCGTACGCGTCCCTCACGCGTTGCTGGTCCTCTTCATTCAGCTCCTCAAAGCCGTCGACGTCCTCGGCTTCGTCATGCTTGCTTTTCATGTTCTGGAGAACCTACAGAGCGTCATCTTATTTGCAGGACTGAGATAAGTACAAACAACATACTTTAGGTGTGACACAGCCCCAATGGCGCCACGAACTGGCAATAACAGTCGGTCATCAGGGATCCAAGCAAGCCGACACGCAAAGGTGGAACATACAAGCTCGTGTTACCACCCATGTCGACTAGGGTCCCAAAACGAAGCTCTCCCTTCTGAATTGCGGTCCCTGAAAGGCAGAAAAGAAGCTTCAGCGGCCAGGCAGGGGGGGGAGCAGTGATATCAACCTTTGCAAGGTTTTCCTCCTGCGTGACCAGTCAGTCTCTGGATATTGGGAGATATACATAAAGAAACCTTTGCATTTTGCACGACCCGACACCGCGTACTCGAGTCGATAGCCTGTCTTTTTTTCAGACATCGTGGTGGGTTGGTTGAATAAACGACGAAACTGTGACTGGTCACCGTAACGGCTTGACGGTGCCTGTGCCCAAACCTCCCACCACCACGCTTCTTGTTTTACCAAGACAACACCTTGAATGCGCGCCAATGGTTTGCTCTTCGTCATCAATGTGCTCGCCAACTTTCAAGTTACCGTTCTGGCGCTGTCTCTTGGAAAGCGGAATCAAGCAAACATGGACGCCGCTTGCCCAGAACTGACGAATCGTTGTGCACCCAAGACAAGCTTGTTGGTATGGCTCGAACAACTGCAGGCGTAAACAAGCCTGCCGCTCAAGATTCGGCACAACAAGCAACAGAGTTGTCAACAAGTCCAGTCCACCCAGTGCTTCAAGTTGCGTCATTGGCAATCAGGCAAATGCGACAGGGTGGATTTCCGGGAAATACACGAGTCCATAGCATTCATTAAAGTTCAGAAAACAGACCCTCTATTCTTTGGTCTGCTCCGAAATCGGGAATGTATTACTTTTGTGAGGCGCGTCTGATCGTGATATAAAAATTGAATAGACTGGAGCGAGCGCGTTGACGCGACCCGAGCGTGACCGCGTCTTTTCTTGTCGACCACGATGATGAAACGGCGGAAGCCCGGACCCACAAATGCTTCTTCCTCGGTGCAAACTTACTCCGTTAAGGATTTTCGTTGACCCCTGCCAAAAGGCTCCACTGCCATTATGTGACGAAATAACTACTTTTCTTCATGCCTCCGCGACGCCCTCCAGGATTGCTCGATATTGGGCCGTCTAACCATCAACGCTTCCAGAGCGAGGCACAGCAGCATGCAACAGGATCGGCTTCCCAAGATGGGCAACTGGCAGTTGTTGTCTCTGCTCCACTTCAATCGACAGACGACTTGCCGTTGCTCTCACCACCATACAAGGTCCGCGTGTTTCTGCGCATGCTAAGCCCTTGCTCATTGCCATAATCTGACAACTCAACACTCCTCAGAGCCACGCCAGCCGAACCAACTTGCTCTCTGGCCGCGACCGCACTCCGTCCCCGAGCCCTAGCTATAGAACGTCATACATGCCATCGCCGTCCGGCGACTCTACTGACGAGAAGGGCAAAGCCAAAGCTACTGTCCATTACCCAGATGACATAGCTGTTCCGCCCCAAATTCACGACCCTGAGGACCACCACTCTCTATTGTCTTCAGCTGCAGGGACTGATGATGAGGATGACGACGATTACAACTGGTCGGATGAGGAGGACCTGGTTGACGAGGAGGCCAAGTTCGAGAATAAGATTGGGACGAAGAAGAAGACAGGCTGGGGACCCAAACGGTGCGTGGGCTTGCCTTTTCATTGACTGTGTCGTAACGCGACTAGGATTATCACACTGTTATTCTCCTCCCTCCTCGGCTCGACATTCCTAGCCGGGGTCCTCGTCGCTCCCGCCCTCATACTGCATTTTTACTGGTATCGTCCACACAAAGATGCATTCCGCCACAAGGTCACCGTCAATGTCGAAGCGTGGCTGTTTTGGGCCGCCGCTAACCTCCTCATATCATGGTATCTGGCCTTCATCATCGACGTCGTCCCCACCTTCATTCGCTTCCTTATCTCGGTCTCATGGGGTCACGTCTCCGAAACAATCAAGTCGCGCATTGAGATGTACAACGCGGTCAAAAACACATTTAAGCCAGTATTCTACGCCGCCAGCTGCTGGGTTTCCTGGGTCATCATTTTTGACCACATCTTCCACATGGTTGGTGAGGGCAGCGCGAACCACCAGCGTTACACGTCCACTGTCCACCGGGTCATTGAATTCTTCTTCTTTCTGACCCTCGTACTCTGCGCTCAGAGGCTGCTTTCTCACCTTATCGCGTTCGCTTTCCACCGAACAGCGTTCAAAGACCGTATCGAAGCCGTTGCAGAAACCTTGGCGGTTGTCGAGAAACTGCGAGATTACCGCCCTAAATCGAAACGTTCTTCCGGGCTTCGGACTCCGCTTTTCGGTCTTGGAACACCGACGCTCGAGAAAGACCACTTCAGCTTTCTTTCAAGTAAACTCAAGTACCACAAGAAGCATCCAGAGCATCGGGACTGGCAAGGCGACGAAGGCAAACATCACGGTAAACATGCGGAGACTCCGGTCAGCGAGGACAGCCCGCACCAGTACCCGCCTTCTCGAGATCATCGTGACAGAGATGCAACGCTGGTTGGAACAGCGGCGAAAATGGTCAAAGACGCGGTGCTGCATGATGCCCGGAATATCAAGGGTGAAGATGCCGCTGGAAATCTTGAGTGGAATGTCAGTTCGTCCTCTGAAGCAAAGGTAAATTCTACGCATCCCGTGTCTTTTAACTCAACTCCTTCTATAGCGGCTTGCTCGTTCGATCTACATGCGTCTGAAATCCCCAACACGCCATTACCTCCTCCCAATCGACTTTCGTCCTCCGTTTGCGGACCAAGAGGCTGCAGATGCCGCTTTCCGTGTCTTTGATAAGGACAACAACGGCGACCTTTCGCGGGCGGAAATAAAAACGACTCTGGTTAAGGTGTACAAGGAGCGTCGCTTCCTTGCCCGCTCCATGCGGGACGTCAATGCCGCACTAAAAACTCTGGACTACATCCTCATCTTCTTCGCCCTCGGCGTCCAATTCTTCATCTCTCTCAGTGTGTTTGGGGTCAACATCACGAGCAGCTTGACCAGTGTTTATTCCCTCATCGTTGCCGCCAGTTTCATCTTCAAGTCTGCTGCGAGCAGCGCATTTGACTCCATTATGTTTCTTTTTGTGACACACCCGTTTGACACTGGTGACCGGTGTTTTATCGACGATGAGGTTATGGTCGTAAAAAAGATGGAGCTCTTTGCGGCATGTCTATCCTTCTTGTGAGAGCACTCGCTAACATTCAGATCTAGACGACATTTACTCGTTGGGACGGGACTGAGTCCTATTATTTCAACAGTCAACTATGCAACAAATTCATGTTTGTCGTCATTTACTATCTCTCTGCTCAAATTAACCGGGAATGCGTAGAATCAACGTCCGAAGAAGCGGAGTAAGGGTTTACACCCAATACTTTCCACCAAATACTGACGTTTGTACCTTAGAAAATGTACGAAAACCTAACAATGCAGGTCGCATGGCGAACCCCACTAGAAAAATTAGACGCACTAGAAGCTGCCATCAACAAATGGCTGTCGACAGAGGAGAACCGGTGGTTTGTGCCGAGCACGGGAATCACTTTCCAACGGATCGAGTTTCAGCGATATTTAGAGTTTACCATGGCCATCGGGCATAATGGGTCAGTTGGCAATCTACTTTTGCGCCATATAATCTAACCCGCGTTTTACTTAGAACCTGGCAAGATTGGAGTTTGGTGAGTTGTAATCAATTCACGTGCGACAACTCCCAAATAATCTTTTCTGTAGCGAAGTGCCCGCAAAACTGCATTCCACGCTGCCGTCCAGTACTATTGCCGCGAACTAGGAATTGAATGCTACAACTCCCCACAACCTATCATCTGGACGGACGCGACTGCTGGCCTCCCACCATACAACAGTCCCAATCCTAGCGGGGTTGACCTTTCTCCAGAAGGGGGCTCGAACGACGACCGCGTGATTGCGCCGATCCGCCGGACGATGGCGACTTCATTGGGCTTCACGCCGCATGCAGAATCGACCCTGTTGCGGGCCCGTACTCATGGGCGGAAGGCTGCGATGCGGGCAGCGGGCGGGGGCGACATGTAGAATCTAGATGGATGAATAGAGAGAATAGAGACAACTGGCTTGCGCCAGCTAAATGTATATAGATTAACTCGTGAGGCTATTCCCTTATTTTTCGAGACTGCAAACTGATAGCCTTGCAAGCAGATGTAGGAAGAGCAAGATCTCTAGTCCTCGACAAGTTTTCTGTAAATGCTTATTGCCAAACAGTCAATGCATATCGTTTATACTATAGGTGCCTCTCTCTTGCTGAAATTCTTAGCATCAAGCGTTCTTGGTGGTCAAAAGTTCCGATGACGTCATGCTCACAAACTACACCACCTTCCGCAAGAGGACATCTACTCCAAGGTCTCCAGCTGCAAGTCTCCATCGCTTAGCGCCCGCTACGTAGCCCCTGACGAATCATGACGTGCGCCCTTCAGAGGCGTATTTAACGGCGCTTCTGGCGCGCCACCTCCCACAGAAAACCCACACACAAACACAAATCATCCCTCACGAACATAACCCTCACGAAATAATGCCTCTTTTTGGATCCACCACGACCCGCACCACCTCAGTCCCCACGCGCAGACGGGGCCTGTTCCAGCGTACCAAGCCTAGTCGTACCACCCGCATCAGTGAGTGTTGTCTGGTTCCTCAAGCGTTGATTGACCACCTATTGCAGAGAATGCGATTGACCCCACGGTGACCACGACTACCCACACCACTCGCGTCCCCTTCATGACCAGAGTCAAGCGGACGCTCGGTATCAGAAGCAAGCCAAAGCGCCGCGGCACTTTTTCACGCTTCCAGCCTCGCACTCGTCGCACCCGCCAAACTACCTTGATCTAATATGTAGTATTGCCGTCTCGCGCACTGCGCCCGGACATCCACTCTTTATACTGTACTTACTATTATACCTGGATGGCGGGAAAGAAAGCTAATAATCGGACGATGTATTTTGTATCAACAATTCTTATTTGCCCACTATTTTGGGTAGATATGTCTCCTCCTATACAGCCCCCCTCGCCTCCTTGATCTCGTTCAACTTAGCCTCCCTTGCTGCTTCATGAATCCTTTGACCTTCCATTAGCTGCTCCGCATGCGTCTTCTTCTTCTCCAACTCCGCATGTAGCTTCACGTCTTGTTGTTGTTTGAGCTATGACCAGGTAAATTGGCTTGATTCATCCCGAGCGGTAAGACAACCAACCTTCACATCTCGCTCCGACGTCTCCAGTTCGTTGACCGCGCGATTATGTTCGTGTGTCGCTTTATTTAGGGCATCCGCCGCGCTGGCTTCGTTACGACCGAGTTTCTCGTTTTGTTTCTCAGCCTTGTTAAATGCCTGGTCGTTGGGATCAGCTAACAGCGGGGAGGCACGAGCAACTGGATCGACCTTCTCCGCTTTGGATGCGGTCTTCTCCGCGTGTGAAACGTCGTGGAGGATGTGCTTCACCTGTTTCGCCTCGTCTTTGGACTCTTTTCGAAGGCTCTTCTCGAGATGTTTGAGCTCGGCCTCGGAACTAGGGATGGTTGGGTTCGACATGTTGAAAGATGCGGTTTCTGGTTGGTGGTAGCCTTGCGCTGTCCTATTTATGTCAGTCAAGCGGCGCATTGATGTCATAGCGGAGCGATTTGAGCCCCTCGACCTCGACATTGAGAATGGATCGAAAAGATACAATACCTAGAATGACCGAAGGAATGACGCCAGCAATAAGACAGGAGACGAGCAGTGCTTGAGACACGAGGCTTGAAGCTTTGGCTGGAGGTTTGACGGAAAAATAATTACATTGTTACTAGTCTATCCCTTGAAGTTACAGAACGAGTGGATGGTGGTCTGGAGGAAGTTATGCAGAGGAATCTTCGGAAAGTCGCGAGTCAGGCGTTGCGGAGCCAGATGCTTTAGGAATGAGACCAGCTTCTTCACGGAGTTCACGAATCTTGGTGTTGCGATCTTCCTGTTTACGGTTGAGCACACTGATTCTAGTCGAAGAGGGAATGAAAGGCGTACGTTATTGGCCAACTGTGCTTTCAGCGCCTCTGCCACACGTGCCTTCTTATTCTCGAGATCCAGAGAGATTCGTTTGTCTTCCTCGCGCTTGAGCTATACAGTTGGTTGGGCAAAGTTAATGAAAGCCGCGACAAGATACCTCAGCATCTCGTTCGGCGTGGCGCAGCTGCGATGACGCTTCTTCGTGTTTGAGAGTAGCTGTGTTGAGAGCTTTGAGCGACGCGGTCTCGATTTTTGCAGCCTTCTCGATAGTCTCTTCCGCCTTGTTGGATGCCTGCGAGAAGCTTCAGAGCTGGCGAGACCGCGATTCCGACCTGCTGAACCTTCTGAACTTTGGACTTGAGTTTTTCGATCGCTATGACTGCTTTCATCGCCTCCTTGAGGTCTGCACTCTCGCGCTTGGCTTCCTTGTTGAACTGCTTCTCGAGCTTTTTGATGGCAGCAGGCGAGTTGGGGGTGCTAGTCGGCATCGTCGTCGCGAAGAAGGATGAAGTGCTGTGACCGGAATGTGACGGGATTATCTAATCAATCCTTCGCGCTTTTGCCTTGCTCAGGCTTACCATGCTCAGCAATGTCGATGCGACTCTGACCTATGCTGCTGCGTAGCATCTACTTGGATCCAAACCATGGTTCCAGAATATTTAGAGCTTGGTCTCCAATGGCAGATAGAGGTGAAACATGTTCGTGTGCTCAATGCTGAAGTCTACGCGCAAACCAATGGCGCAACTTGGTTACTTACTGATTTCATGCAGGTAGAACTCTGGGTGCCTCTTACGACGACAAGGACAACGTCGACGACAGTTGTTCACAATTGGCGGCTCTCGATTACATCCGCTCTTCTCTGACTCCGAGATCTGAGACCCCACCTATAAGTTGCTTGGTGGCGCTGCTACACTGCTCTGTGCTTCTTCCCTCTTCCCTCCATCCGACGCGATATTTGCGAGAGAGAGTGGCACCGTCCATTCTCGGTGATGACTGGACGGACTCACGATTGAAGGCTTACCGCTGCTGCAACTCGTTGGCCACTGACCTGGGAGAGCACCGGCAGCCTGTCGCGTAGTGGATCGCTCCCTCTGGCCGTCTTCCGAGATGGCTTTGGGACGTGACCTCACTAAGCAACAGCGCTGAGCGGCAGCCTCTGACAACCTCCCACGACGTGGCCAACGAGTGAAGATGAAGAGGCATAAAAAACGATAACGGGCACAGTAGCGGCAGCCAACGATCTCGGTCTGTGTCCATGATCTGATCCATCGACAACTACTCCTGGGCTGGATAGAGGTGTTGGGGAGCGGCCGTGCTGGAGACGAGGTCATGCTGGCTGGTGATGTACCAGCCCCAGCGTGGGCACCAAGCCCAAGTTTCAAGTGCGTATACCATGCCATTTCTATACGGGACGCTAACTACCAGCATGATGCTTCGAATTTCTTCGACCTCGTCTCGGGATACTCGGGGGGCTGGGAAGTTGTTGATGTCCACGTGATGTCAGGCCTTGCACGTGATCGCGAAGAGGTGACATAGTTTATGGAGCTTATGCCATATAAAGTTATGCACGCTCGAACGGTTGACACATACACATACAAATTATTCAACATTGCCTTCTTTACCACCTAACGGTCCCATGATGAGTAGGAAGTCGGAGATGCAACGCGTCGGCCACCCTCTGCCAAATCGGGTTACCAGCCCAAGCTTGACTCCACATTTGGGCAACGGATGAAGACAGTAGCCAGCGCTGAACCTCTATTCAGCGAAGCAGAGAGTATAAAAGTGTACCTCATCCAAAGACGGAAATGGTTGCGGCAGATGTACATAGTAGTATGATAGTACTAGTAGTAGGAGAAGACCAATGCGACGACGCCCCCAGAAGTGTAGTAACACTGTAGTTGTAAGGAGAGGTCATTGGGATACATAGTCACGATGTCCCCGCAGAAGGCAGGGATGTTCGCATAGCGCCAGATGCCTAGCGGTCAATGCTTGCCCAAACAGGTGTTGTATCGGCGAAAACGGGGGTAGAAGGACAAATAAACCCATTCGGCGCATCCAGAGTACAAATTCCAGGTATGTTGGAGAGCATCCAATTGTTGACAACCCTTACAACGAAGCAGGTAACCACGACAGCAACGATTTGGACAGCGAACATCGTTCTTGCCAGTGGGGATTTTCATGCATTGACCGAGTTTGACTAGGTCACGGTTTGAGGTCATTTGAGAACGACACTGCTTGCTGGGTCCCTGCTGAAGAAATTGATTCGAAGATTATGCGGACCACTGGTCTTTCGGGCATGATATAAACTCTTCCACGGCAGTTTAACAAGTTGATGGGTCTTGGCTTGAAGGAAAGAGAGCCGGGGGGGGCTAGATAACAACGCCGAGCAGAGCCGCCCAAACGGGAAGACCTCCACGGCCAATAAAGATCCATAGAACTGCAGCCCCGTTGATAACAGTAAACCACCACCGGGGATGGATAGACTTGCATCAGCGTTGAGTGAATATCGCGTTCTGCCTTGAGGAATGTTCCGAGAATATCGCGACCGTACCAAACTACAGAGTTCAACGATTGTACCAAGCGGAGCAGAAGCACATACGACAAGTGTGTGTAAACAAGGCGCCGAAGAATGCGAATGCCACGAAGGACCCAACGCACATAGAGTTCGTCAGGCATACCGGCGAATATCCCGCATAAGCGGTGGAGTTGAAGACACCGTCGACAATCATAGCGCTGACATAGTATGGCGCACCAGTGTTGTCAAAGACAGCGGTAAATACGCTAGGAAGAATGTGTTGGTATCTGGGGCCGATCAGTCTCGCCAACCAGCCAAAAATGTCGAGCTAACAGTAGATCGCGGGAGGGATCAGCCAAAACCAGACGAAGAAGGCAGCGATGACATTCATAGAAAACCACCACTGAGCATAGTTAGAAAGACGGACCACGATGGAAATGGATGAACTTGCGGGAGTAGTTAGAGGACTGCCGATCATATTGACCATTGCCCAATCAAACGTGACAATGCCCATTCTAAGCCGGAAAAGCCGAACATGGCATTGGCGGCCACACTCTGAAACGAGCCAACAACACCATGTAAACATGAAAAGACCAGTAAAAAGGCAGTCCGGAATCCAGTATCCCCCGAAACTAATTATCAAGTGAATCATACGAAAAGGCATGCTGTGACTATTTGGACTAACCTTATGCAAAACAATCGCTTGCGCCTCAAGTATCCTCCGTCGTGTTGGCCATTCGTAGAATGGAGAGTTTTGAACCAGGTCGAGTTGACCAATGCATTAGGACCATGAAGATGGCTATACAACATATTGACGCAAGAATCTGGCCAACGAATTTTTTTTTTTAGTTCCAAGTATCAACAGGATTTGGTGGGCCTGGTGGAAGAATTTGCGCTGAGTGGCAACAATGCTTGTAGCGATGGTATCGTTCAAGCTATCAACACAGACGTGCCCCTGAAAAGACTTAGGCAATGAGCGCGGCCCGTAAATCAAGGCAGACCTTGATGTCACAGCAGCCATTCCAGGAATTTCCCTGCGGCAAACGACAACAGCTGTCCTATAATTCCAGCGATCAATATCGATGGTGCTGTTCGCAGGGCATCAGCAAAGCAGTTAAATCCCGATAAACAAAGATTTGATTGATTCCGCAAGGTATAAGCGTGAAGGCCAGGCTAAGAAACCACCTTTGTTCAAGTGAATTGGGATGCTATGGGTAACGAGCACGTAGACGGACATGCGGAAGGTGTTGACAGACACATTTGGATCGTCCATCGTTGAAACTGCCATTCGCATCTCTGGGCATGGAGACTCACTAAAAGAATATCAGATCGTAATTATTATCAAAGGGTAAGATGGATGAATTTACTTGTTGTCATTGAGATACTTGAGTAAAAAATTTGTCGTCAAGCACGGCAGAACATTTCGGGCGTGGCTGAAAAAGTTGGTTGGGTCAGCGTAAGAGCGCTGGAACTGAAACCGGGGTATTTCATGTAGGACTCCATATTGGATAGAGGGAGAGTACTGGACGCCTGAATCCCATGAGCTTCATTAATACTCAACGTAGAGAAACAATGCGAAGGTTGCAGGTGCTTTCAATTTTGCCCATCGAGGTGTTCATAAAAAAGTGATGTCGGCGAAACACGTGCTGTGCCTATCACAATCTGCTTCACCTCTTCCTCTCTTCCACCATGCCGGTCCTTGGGCGTTAGCGGCTTGGACTTTGTGTTCAAGCCGCTTGCCTTCCTAGAGCTCCTGATAGACTTTTAGACGACATAGACCTTCATAGAAATTTCCTTTATGGCCCCAATTACGCCTTCTTCGCTTCCTCCGCTCCGATCTCTGGCCAAATTCTCCCCGGAAGAGATCTCGCGAGAGATTCAAAAAATATGCGAACTATACTGGCCTTCGACTCCCCCTCTTCTAACCGGCCTCTCAATCACCAAACGAAAACCGCACCGCCCACCATTTGGCGAGTTCACGATTCCCGACTCGGGTTATGCCTCCGCAGTGGTTTCCGACGACGAAAGCGATGAGGAGGACGGTCACTCGGAGTCGTCGGACGTTATAGATGGGCTTCGCGCTGACCCCTTTGAACGCACGTTTGCTGTCCAGTGGTTGACGGGTTTCATCCGGCGCATCGACGATCTTTTTTTGGATGAAGATCCACGTGAGCATTTGCTTGACCAGGCGTCTGCTCTCCTTGCACGGTTCACCCATCAAGATGATGCCGAGGAGCCAGATATTACTCGAGTATTCACCTTTCCTGTCGCCAACGGATCGTCACTCCAAATCGAGCTCAATGACGCAGCGCTTTCGAGCTCAGATCACACTTCAGTAGGCCTCCAAAGCTGGGGTAGTGCAATCGTATTTGCGGAGCGACTATGTGCGGATCCTACCTCATTCGGGCTAATCGACACTGAGCTACGGGTGCTTGAACTCGGTGCGGGTACTGGTTTGCTGAGCATTGCTGCTGCAAAGCTACTTCCTCGAGCACTGGTTGTAGCAACCGACTACCATCCTGCAATCCTTGCCAACCTTGCCAGCAATGTCCGTACCAACTCGGAGCGGATTCGTGTGGCTGCTTTGGACTGGTCAAAACCATCGTATGACCCACCCCTCGACCAAGTCTTCGATGTCATCCTTGCAGCCGACGTCGTCTATCACCCAGATCATGCTCGCTGGCTTCGCGCTTGTGTGACGCGTTTGCTCAGTCCTCAAGGCAGATTCCATCTCATCGTCCCTGTGCGAACTTCTGGGCGACATGAAGGCGTGGATCGCACAATCGATGAAGTTTTTGGAAATAGTCGCGTGCCGGTTGATGTCATCGAATCAGGACATCGACTGGCCATACTGGAGGCGACGGAGGTGGGTAGACAAGGTGGTGGCGTTGGTCGAGCAGACGAATCTGGGTATAGATTGTTCAATATTGGATGGGTCCCTTGTTCGATTTAATAGGCTCTAATAATAACGATTCAAGCTTCCTGTTGCGAGGGCAGTTTCGAGAATTCTGGCAAATCGTTGATCTTGATCACAGACAGAAGATACGATACTACTGTCGATTACCACGAGTCTATCAATCTGGATTATTTATTTACAACAACTTCCACCCTTCGAATTCCGGTCCGACCAAATGAATTTAAACTGCGGCCGCCCGTGGAGAACTATAAAGAGGAACACCCGAGCCACGAGTGGGGAAAAGGAACGAAGGCTCGAGGGAACACCCGTGTGAGCAAGTCCCCAACTCCGTTTGGCAAGTATACGTCCTAGCGCTTGAAGTTGATGAGAGGGAGGAAAAACAAGCCACGGTCGTGCAAGTCGATGGCAGATGGCCTGCTGCGTGCTCGGGGTCCGGGACGACTGACCCGTATTATAACCACCCGGAGTTAAGACTGGACGTCACGAGTTGAATATACTTACTCAACAATCAGTCCCTCTGGCCAAAATCCCGCATAGAAACTGAGAATCAAATACGATAGCGACAAACCTGGGGGGCAGGCAGAGGAGGTTTAAGAAAGAGATCTCAGTAGCATTTGACCCTCCATAGTCAGATGAGGACGTAAGATCGAGGAGAAGGTCGAACTTGGAATCCTACTATTTTCGGCGATGTTACACTGTGACGTGTGATGTCTTGGTGGCTAATTCGGGATGCACCTTAAAGCGTGCTGTGACCCGCGTCGACACCTTTCACCCCCACCACCACCTTGCTGCTCTATGATCACCCGTATACCAAGCTGCTTGTAATGGACGTTGTCCAATAACCCCGGCTTGCTTCGTGCTGGTCGGGTGTGCTCGTCAGCGCACCCCTTCAATAACAATGGTGAGTAACCCACATTTCTCCCTCCGTCTTCGTCGCTCAAGGCATCGCAGGTTCTAATTAGCGACAAGAAATATGCCTGTGAAACATGTATCAAAGGCCACCGCTCGTCGGCCTGCAAACACACCGACCGACCACTCTTCGAAATCAAGAAAAAGGGTCGTCCGGTCACCCAATGCGAGCACTGCAGAGAATTACGAAAAACAAAACAAGTCCACGTCAAATGCATATGTGAAGTGAAAGAACCGCCCTCCCCCACCTCCCTCCCCGGAAAGCCAAAGAAAAAAGGTTTGTTTCTTGTTCGTGGAGCCATGACTCTTATTGACCTGCTTAGGCACTCCCGTTATCCCTGCCGAGGCCGCCTTCCCTCATGGCGTGCCACAAGAACTAGCGTCAGACTCTGAACAAGGGGGTATGCTTATTGCAGCCTGACCTCGTTTGAGTGTGATCGCTAAACATCCCCACAGGCTCAGCGCCCTCTTTATCGGGTTGTAGCTGTAATGCTGGCACTGGAGAGTGTCACTGCTGTACTCCTCGTACTCGCCCCAGCCAACGCAAGCCATCAGCACCCACGAGTACCATTCCCAGTCCCACTCAACCCTCTTCCCCCAACCCCGATTCGCCCAGCAAAGACCATCGCACCCCATCCCATCATATTCTCGCTCGAATTGCGGAACTTCGGCCCGTTCTCCCACGAATGTCCGCTCGTGATGCTGCCCTCCAAGCCCAGACAGGTGGTCAACATGATCTCTTCCACGGCTCAGGCCATCATCATGCCGACCATTTCTCTCCATACGGACGAGCCTATGCCCACGAAGGCGGATTTTATCAACAAGATGCCCGCAGTGTGGAGTCACTTGTCAGCGTCAACTCGATATCTTCCCATCTCAGCAGTCGTAGCCAAGGGAAGAACGTTAAAGCAGGCTCCAAAGGCCAAGCCGAACACGCCCATGGCCCACGTAGCGCGTCCTTTGATGGTCAACCGGGGACATTCTCGGGCTTCTTCGGCGTTAACCAAGTACCACAAGCACAAGCGGAATGGCGTTTACCACCGAGTCTAACACGAGCCTCCGGCGAACCAGCCCCATACCCCCGTTCAGAACCCTCATTCCCCCTTACCGAAGACGTCTCTGGGTTTGAAGGTAATGCCTATCCACGGTCTGAGGGTGGAGCTCAGCAAGAGCGGGTTACTCAAGATATGACCAACATGCGAATGTGCGGTTGCGGAGAGACTTGCGCTTGTCCTGGTTGTGCTTTGCACAATCCAACGAACAGGAGTACGAGCTCAAGCCCTCGCGGTTGTGTCGATGCTGCTTGTGGTGATGCATGTCTTGACTGCACCATGTTGGAGTTATCCGGCTTTACTAGCTTTGGCGATGCCCCGACCAAGAAGGAAGATGATATGTCATCCCCATTCGAGCCCTTCGAGAACGAAATACCGACACAACCACCTGAAGCCCAAGTACGACTGGAAAGCTATGACATCGACGCCGAACGATTTGATATTGATCTTGAACTCGAAAATTACGATCCTGGGGTCCCATATGGGCCGGTCAACGCATTTGAGCAAATCGATGAGTGGATCCAAGCACTACCGCCTCCACCACCTTCGGGAACGGTCCAGTCCCCATTCGAATTCCCCGAAGGAGAACTCGCCTTAGAACATTCACCTGGCGGTTTTGACTTGCAGGGCGCAGCTCCACCGACCTGGGGATCGATTCAAATGTTCGACGTTGACGCTGAACAAATGTCTCTTGCGGGTGGTCCCTCGACTCATCAGCGAAGCGCGAGTAGCGAAAGTCGATTGACTGGACTAAGTGGTACTTCTCCGGACTTGCCCGGTTTGGCATTTTCCCATTCACGCGGGAGTAGTGGCGCATTCCTTACCGTGCCCGGTCCAGACGACCACCGCAGGAGTCGAAGCTCGAGTTCCGCTTCATCCGATGTCTCTTCGGGTATCTTTGGTGGGGCCGCCGCCGCCTTCAGTCCCGGAAGTACACCACTCGAGCACGGGCAACTCCCAGCGACCAAACAATTGCAGCAGCCGCCGCCGATGGAGTTGTCGATGATGGTGATGCAGCACCCAGTCCTGACGATCTTCCCGCCTCCGCCTGTGTCTGGAATTGCGGTCAGCGAGTTTATGGATGACGAACAGATGTCTTTCTACTAGACGTTTTCCCGGGTAGGTTTTTTTTCTCAACTACGCACATATGCAACACCCCCTTAACGCCCGGACACGCGTACATAATCAGCATACCTACCAAGTCCTCGTTTCTTGTTCTTCTTTTTTCTTCTGTTTTTCCTTTTGAACTAATATTCTCTGCCTTTGCTACGAGTCTCTCTTGTTTGTTTGTTTCTTGGCCATGGCATCTGCATCGCATCTCTTGTCGCATTGACCATTCCCCCCTTGTATTTTGTATAAGTACTAGTGAATAGAGTGAAAGAATGTTAGCTTGTATCTATCCTAGACCTTGTTTGTAGCTCTGTATACTAGCTGCACGAATGCCGCTACCACAACAGGGCCTACTTATTTCCGAATGCAACGTGTCACGTCTCATCATCTCAACCACACCAAAGCGCATTGTTGCGGTCTCCGAAATATTTCTGGTGCCGGTGCTATGGATTCCGGATGCGACTAGTTCTCAGGCTTGTAAGCGTTGCACAGCACCAGCATGAATTATCGTCGGTGTCCAACTCCCAACGAGATTCCACGAGTATGGATAGTGCCCAATTCAGCGGCCGGGAAAGTAGGTGATTGAGAGTTCTAAGCCATGATAGGTTTCCTGTCGGCTCCGCCGTTGAAAGCGGAATCCACTGCTAGTATCATTCTCTCTGGCGCCTGCTCGGAAGAAATTGACGGCAGCATACAACAGCAGCGCCGAGGCACCATCTTCCCGCCCATAACTCAATCCTGCTGTTCCGTTCCGCGATCGTCGTGCCGCGCTCTGAGCTCGTATTAATAGCGGACGATTTTCGCTCGTTGTCCTCCAAGCGACTTTTTTTCGCGCTCTCCAGGATGAAGTGGTCCATGATCCTCCTCCTTGCGTATGGTTAGTATGCCACCACAATCGAGCTGAATTTAACGGACTGCAGAGGCCGCTGCCCTTCCCGCGTTCGTCACGGTCTTTGCAGGCCCATTTGCGGACGCGTACGGCGGCACCACACCGACCGCCACAATCCTCGGTGTCGACGACGCAGGGCACACGACCTACGCACTCGACATCGCAGGAACTCTTTTTGTGCCAACGGGCAGCGACTCCCCGGCCTCGCCCGGGCCCTCTCGGGCCGTGGCGACCCTACCTGGTCCGTCTCGTGCCCTATAAGAATGGCAAGTAGCGCTTATTTACCTCGCGAACTACAGGCACGCTGGTTGCGGGTGCGGACTACGTCTCCAGGGCGCTGTCTGGCGTTGTTTCCGTCACAGGCTGGGCGGGCCCGGGCGTTGTTTACGTGAACGGCGGCGGGGCGTGCACGCGCAGTCACGGTGCAGATAACATCATTTGCGACGTCCCGGGCCTACGAGGACTGGCAGATACAACGACGGTGACGATCGCGGCCAGTGCATATCCGCAGGTGTCACAAGTATTGGATGTCGTCGGCGGGAAAAGTAATGCGGCGGCGGCGAAGGCAGGCGTGAGCGCTGTGGCCGTCGGCGCTGTGGTGGTCCTTTTGTCAGCGATACTGTGTTGATAAGATAAGATAATCCACCTCCAGTGTCCTCCACCATTCTTTCAACAACTTCCGATGCGGGAGGAAAATGATCAGCCTTCTTAGCAGCGAGAATGTGAGCTCGAGATGATCCCCAGTCTTTTGCGGTGGTTTCGCAACCAGAACAAAAAATAGATTTTGAAAAAGTACCTAGCTCCTTCCATGTCGTGTCCTGAGAAATGACAAGTCATCGCAACGAGAAGCTGGTGGATGAAAGAGGACGCGGGCAGATGCGTCAAGCTGCGTAAGGCCGCGTCACATCAAACTAGAGTGAATTCCCACTTGCGCGACGATCTTTAAATGCCGTCCTCCGCGACGACCAGCACGGGTGCCGAGCAGTAACCCCCGCTTCGCAACTTGGCCAGTAATTCTGGTGGAGGATAAAAGGCCGGCGCAGGAGTATGTGCCCTCAGTTTCTCCCTCGTTCTTTCTTTCAAGCCTCTTTATTCTTCTCCAGACAATGATGTCGTTGTCCTTCACCCTTCTCCTCTCCGTTCTGGCCTGCAGCCGTGCGCGCTTCTCTCTTCCAGCTTGCTCATATCGCTCACCCGCTGCAGAGGTCTTCGCCGCCCCGATGCCGGCGCTGGTCACCGTCATCGCCCCAATCCCGGGTGCCGGCCAGACCGGGACCGCCACCATCCTCGGCGTGGACCAGGCGGGCCACACGACATTCGCGATCGCAGAACCGGTGGTCGACGGCTCCAGCACGCTTACCGTCCTGACTGGTAAGCCATCTTTCTTTTTCTGCTCGAGGTTTTAAACAAGCGGACGCAGCGACCCTCGTGGCGGGCGCCAACTTCGCCTCGGAGACATTCTCTGCCTCGTTCTCCCAGCCCGGCTTTGCGTTCGACGCCGTCCTGGGCGGAGAGTGCACCATCACCGGGGACATCGCTGTCTGCAACGACGGCACGGAGACGGTGACGACCGACGCGGCGTTCGTCACTGCCAGCCTGACACAGGTTCTGGACGTCGCGGAGCCCACGCCGCTTTGAGTAGTAGCAGCAGGATTAGATTCAGCAGAAATATACTGGGTATACCGAGTCGGAATCTACAGCCGGGCGTTGCTCGGCATCTTCTTCAGTGCCTGCCGCACGCCCAAGTCCGCCATGACATCCTCTGCACCGGCCAGGACTTTATTTGATCAGTGGACGGTCTAGACGGGACGAGGGTCTACTCACTTGCGTCGAACGGAGTCGTTCTCCTGAAGTTCTCGATTACTTTGCCCATCCCCGTGACCGTAATAGCGCGGCCGCCGAATATCTGGGCCGCATCGTTGCCGATTTCGGTGCCGCATCGTCCGACAAATCTAGTAGCGGTAAGCGACAAGAGAAGGCCAATGGTGAGCGACACACTGTTTGCATAGGGCGATCGGGCCCGCAAGGAGCTCCGAGGTCTGCGCATAGGTCATCTGCAACCGCAGGTCAGTATTTCGTGGCTGACAGGTAAGCCCTACGTTGTTCATGTTATGCGTCACACTCTCCAGCCAGTTCTGGCCCGCCTCGACACGCGAGATCATCCCCGCAAGCTTCGCGCGGATGACCGGCTGGGCATGGAGGGGCTTGCCGAAGACGACCCGCTGCGACGCCCACTTGAGGCATTCCTCGACGACGACGCGCTGCGCGGCGAGCGCGGTGCAGGTGACCATCCACCGCTCGTGGTTGAAGTTAGAGCTGGATTGTTTTGATAAGATTGATAAGATAAGATAAGATCACGCACAGGATGACCTTCATCCCGTTCCCGACTTGGCCCAGGGTGTTGCCGACGGGCACGCGCGCGCGGTTGAATGTCACGAAAGCCGTGCCTGCGGTGGGGGAGTAGGAGGTCTTGATGGCTTTGGTGTTGACGCTGTCGGAGCGCTCGACGAGGATTACGGTGAAGCCGGTCTACAAGCAGTTAGAAAAGCAGACAGACACAATGAAACGCACATCGGTCTTGCAAAGTGTCGTGAAGTAGTCCGCAAAATGGCCGTTGGTGATCCACCTAAAATGGAGGTTAGCTTTTAGCAGCAAACAAAACACACTTTTACTTTTTCGTGCCGGTTATGACCCAGTAATCGCCTTCTCGGACCGCGACGGTCTGGATCCCACTCACATCCGACCCCGCAAATGCCTCGGTGATGGCGAGCGCGATGTATTTTTTGCCGCCAAACACCTCCGGCACGATACGCGCCTTCAGCTCTGGCGAGCCGAAGTTCAGGACTGGCGGCAGGCCGATGACTGCGCCGGCGAGGATGCCGTCGATGAAACCGCGTGTCCCGAAACGCGCCAGTTCGGTGTTGATGATGAGCTGCAGAACAGGTAAGCTGACTGTTGTTTTTTGGAAGAATGAATGGGGGGACCTCGTGGAAGTAGTCGAACTCTTCGGGCTCCACTAGACCGTTCAGAAGTTTTCTCCCTTGAAGGTGCTTCCCTGGTCCCAGCCGCATTGCGATGATGTTGACCTCTCTGTTTTATAATGAGATTGTGCAGAAGTGAGATGAAGAAACGTACGCCATCTTGTCGACCACCTCTTGCGGAATTTTCTTGCCAGAGTCCTCGGATTCAATCTACAACCCATTGACTTTTGCTGGCAGTATTGCAATATACGCACGGCAGCAGGCTTAACGACCTCCTCGAAGAACGTCCTTCACGGACATCAGGTTGTGAAAAGTCTATTTCTGGGCAACTTACCTCACACCCGCTTGGAACTTCCTATGCCTCTCGGTGAAATACGGGCTACGGAAGCCTGGGACGAGCCACGACGCCTCTGCGTAGGGTACGCTTGAAATAGCGCCAGGAGGGGGCGGTTTTATCAGCGACTTTTGACCATGGAGGGTGCCGATGACGAGCCGCTTGTATTGTGGCCGTTCGAGGACTTCGAGTCGGTGCAGCCCGAAGAAGGCCTGTAGTGTAAGGTGAGTGTTATGAGCAATGTTATTTTTTGCCACGCTACCTGGGTCGCATCCTTGCCCGCTATTTATGGTGAGCATTGGGTCTGTCGAGCAGGTATTAATATGACGCACCTATTGTGTCAACGAAGAGGACATTCGGACCGCCCGGGTGCATGTCGGCGAAGCGCGACAGGTCATAGACCTTCGAGTCGACGACGATCCACTACCAACATTGCTCAGCGCGGAATGCGGGGTAAATTGAGAGCATACAAGGTCGCCTGGTTGGTTGTGCTTTTCCAAGCGTCAGTTTGGGCGCGCTCGAGCTCGATGCGAGCCGTACCTTGGCCACTTCCTCCTCAGTGAACTGCTTCGACATGGTTGTTACAAACCGAACTGGAAAACGCGGACCGGAGAATCGGACATTTTGGTGAGCAGCGAATTCACATGGGGGCGATCTCATTGGTCGCCCATTGGCTTTCTCACGCAGTCTTCAGATGCCTAAAAATTCGAAAAGCCGAAGTCGTCACCACCACTGTCAAGTAGGCAATAAGTCGTCAGGCTAACAAGTCCTGAGTCTGCACGACGAAGGCTTGAAATAACTGCGACAAAATACATAATTTACATGGTGATAATAGATTATAATAGCCTCCAGTGGATTGGAACCAGCCGACCGGCTTCTATAATTACTTTGGCAGCGACTGAAGATACGTAGCAGCTGGCAAACAGCTACTTCTTGACCGCTCCAAGGCCACTCGTATGTTGCCAGCAAGTGTTTGGGTGATCGACTTTGCGAGGGGCTGTTTTCGTTTTATTCAGGAGTACGGGAAGGCGGGGTAAGTAAGCAATCGTTGCCGATAGAATTAGAGTGTGTGCTTGGAAAGCAAGAGCATCCTTCTCATCCTTGGCAACAGCTGGATTGATAGGTATGTGGAGCTCCTTGATGGTTGCTCAGCGTGGGTGCATTTTCGAGGACTGAGAGGGTGAAAACTTGGTGAAAACGCAGCAAAAAGAGTCGAGTACGACGCCAGCGCGACAAGACCCAGGTTAAGAATACTTCGAGACAGATATAGAGCTAGCACGACTGCGTTGTTATGTTGTCGGGAGGTCGGCTGATGAGGTGGTTTTTGGCAAGATTTGTTCGCACATGTTGTGCATATCAAACTTCAGGCTACCAGTTCTTGTCTTCCTCCTTCACCTCCGATGCAGCGAGTCTGGTCGACGTACCTCGAAAACTCAAACTCCCGGCGGGGTCGGACGGACAGCCCTCATAAACTGGTGCGTAAATCGTTTTGGGGCCACCCCGGCATGACGAAAGGATCTAACAAGGGCCATGTCATATAGAATTCATCGTCAGTTCCATCTCGGTCGCGACTCTCCGTTGACTTACCACCCTTTTTTTGTTTCTCTTTACCAGCAGGGAGTCCTCCATTGCCCCCTCCGTTATTTCGCAGGCGCCGTTGGTCCCCAACGCTCAGATGCCCTCACGACTCGACCCGTCCCATCTTGCTGCTGGCTCCAGCTCCCCCAATCCTTTCGACGGCGGCAGCACGGTCTCACTCACCGTCAACTATCTCCCTTCCAAACTTCCCGTACCCGGCTCTCTCAAACGGAGGAGTGGGAAAGGTGTGGATGGCCTGTTCAGGAAACCAGGCGGCGGTGTCGACGCTTTCCGCAGTGGCGAGGCGCGAATGCCTGACGCCCACGATGAAGACTATGACGGGGTGAATGGGACGATATTTGGTGGTCGTCGCAAGCGGTGGAACAAGTTCAAGTGGATATTGTTTATCGCCAACACCCTCCTCATCTGCTACTCCCTCCTCGCCCTCGTTTTCTGTCTCCTCACATGGTTCAACGTCTGGCAACACGCCGACATCATACGGGTGGCCAACCGCAGCGAGCTCGTGTTATCAACACTGGCTGCATCAGTCGCAATATTCACCTCGTTACTGGGCTTTGCCGGCATCCTCCTCAACAACCGCGGTTTCCTTGCCGTCTACACCTTCTTGCTATGGATATGCTTCGCCCTCATGGTCATTCCTGGTTACTTGACCTACAAGCACAGGCACCTCAACATCGAAGGCAAGGTCAACAACCAATGGTCCCGCGATCTCGGCGCCCTAGGCCGCTTACGCATTCAAAACGAGCTCTCATGTTGTGGCTACTTCTCCCCATACGTGGAGGCTACCGTCAGCAGCACATGTTACTCTCGTAGCATTCTCCCTGGGTGCAAGAAGCCCTACCTCAATTTCGAGAAACTCGTTCTCGAAAGGTGGTACATCGCCGCTTTCGGGCTTGTTCCCGTCCACATTGGCGTCATCTTATCCGGCCTGCTCTGTTCCAATCATGTAACATATCGTTTCGGCAAAGGGATGACCCCCAAGGCATACCGCCTCAGCGCCAAGAGCATGGCGTTGATCATGGACAACTACGCCAAGTGTGTACAGCTATATTTGTCCCCCCTCACAGCTGACATTCTCCACAGCCAATTAGCTGAGCAATATGGCCCAGAGGCCGCCCACGAGATGCTAGCCCGCTCCCGGTCAAACCTCAATCTCTCTGACGACTACTCAAGGCGATAGCCTTCCCGACTGACTGTTGTAAATATCATAACTAACCCCCCTCCACGCCCGCCCGCTCGTTCGATACCCACCCCCACACGCCCACAGGCACGCAACTTACCGTTTACGCCCACCCTCCACAGTGCAAAAACTTTTATAATCGACGATACCTGGCCTGTACTCACCCACTTGTTGCCCTTTTTGGAGTACCTCCGTTTTTTATTACCTTTTGTATTATGGACGCTATGGCGCACCCCTGGCTTGTCAGCCCCACCGGAATACATTCGTTAGATGGAGTGTAATCATGCGTGGTGTGGACTTGGAACAACAGATAAGTACTTGGTTCCGGCGCGTCTATGTGCCTCCTGTTCTTTGATCTCTCACTAACTCACTTTTATCTTGCTGACTCTTGCGGTTATACACGCTAGTTAACACGGTTCAAGATCAATGCGGGGGGCATACCAAATTTCTGCATCAATCGACCTGATGCTACTTCGTATCGATGAAACAAGTCTTGATCCTCTAACTATTACCAGCACTTACTGAAAAGGCAGGTTGTACCGCTCAGTCATTTGTTCCCACATTTTCTGCGAATTTCGACAAGTCAGCCTGAGGGCTCTCCGCGAAAACCATGGGCTCTCACTGCTCAGACCATCACGCAAACGACTCATATCGTTGAGTTGATCAAGGTTCAGGCGGCCGATTGGAGTCGACGATGGTTGAGTCTAACGCAATTATAACGTCTTCGATAGAAAGCAGAGCGATATCACGTAGTTTGTGGACCATGATATGGTGTTATATTATTCGTTGACCCACGTTCAAACTTCCAAGTTGAAAGGTTGGAGCCCACAGGGTTGAATCCGGTTGATCCAGAACACACACCGAGAATTCTGAACGACAAAATAGTATCGACAGCCTCGAGTACCATCAGTCATCCAGAATGAGCGTAGAATGTGCATTGTGCTTCCAGGTTCATATTGCGTGCGCGAAGAAAGTCCAGGATCATCCCCATTTGAAGGCTTTCGGTCCATCGGAGAGTGTCTTGTTGGAAGAGGTCGGCGTTGGTGAAGACTCGGACAGAGCGACCTGTGAGAGTCGTCCTGACGAGGGAGAACTTGAAGCGCTTCAACTGCCAGTGTGGCGGATGGTCAAAGTATCGATTTCCCTCGGGGTTGTTTCTAGAGAGAAGCAGTACTTAAATCAGAGAGATAAGTAACGCTACATGCAAGACTGGCCGCCGGGTGCCAAGGGAGGGATGGTGGTGAAATTCGTGAATGAAGACACACTGGAAAACTCGAACATGAGCGCGGAAAGGCGGTGCCAAGCCCTTGACTCGCATGCATTCCCGTCCAGGTGCCAAAGCTTCGCGGGGTAGTAAGCATCATTGACCACTGTGGAACTTGTGCGTCTGCTTCCAAAGACGCGGACAAACTCCTCCTGTTTCCAACCGGAAGTGGCTCCGATATCTGGACGACCGTGAATTCAAGTTGTGAGGTATCAGCATTGGGGCTCCCGGGATTGGGACGGTTGTGGCCTGTGGGCGACGACGCTAGCCCTGCCAGTGTGTTGCCGATTGAAGATCCGTGGACTGCGTGTTGAATGCGGTTGGGAGCCGGCTACGGGCGACAGCAGCGTCAAGACTTGACTCGCCGGACCTCGAAACAGCTGTCGAAGCAAGTTTTGCAGCCCAGGGCCAGTGGGCCATAGCCCGAACGAACACACACTCCATTATATGAGGTGGCGGTCGAGTCAAAGAGTCGGCAGCCGTGCCACGCAGGACAGCTGCTCAACGTTCAATATGCAGGGTTTAGTCCGAGGTCAAGTTAAGTGAGTTGACGGCATCAACATCATGATCAACACGCATGACGTAGGTATCAAAAACATTTAAACATACACACTGCACTACCACATCCACACCCCAAACAGAACAACACCCACCAGCCCGACCCCCGCCGGCGCCCGGCCCCGGCCCGCCGCGCTCTTCTTGCTCGCGGCCGGCCCCGGCGCCGCGCCCGCGACGTCGAGGACCTGCGTGAACGCGGCGGCGGGCGCGCCCTCGAGGAACAGCACCCCGTCGCCGTCCGCGCAGTCGAGCAGCCCCGCGCTGGCCGTGCACGCCGCGCCGAGCGCCGTCGCGATGCGCACGCCGTCCGCGAACGTGCGCGTCGCGCCGAGCGTCATCGACGCGAAGTCCGCGCCCGCCACGAGCGTCGCTGCGTGTCATCAGCATCATTGATTATTAAGTAAGAAAAGGAAGGGGGGCACCGGTGGCGGTGGCCTCGACGCGGGAGGTGACGGGGCGGCCGAGGGCGTCGGTCGCGAAGATGGGCTCGGCGACGGCGTAGGTGGTGTGCCCCGCCGCGGCGTCGACGCCGAGCACGGCCGCGCTGAGCGGGAGCGGGTTCGGCAGCGGGGCGAGCACGGTGACGAGCGCCGGCGCCGGCGCCGCGGAGATGCATATGGCTGGTGTGTGGGTGAGCTGGGGGAGAGAGGAAGGGAAGGGGCGTACAGTGGAGGCAGAGGGCCAGGGAGAGGACGCGGAGGGAGCGCGACAACGACATCGTTGTGAATGAAGAAAAGAGTTGGGTTTGAAGAGAACTGAGAAAGGAAGGCGGAAAGTGAAAGCGAAGGTGAAGTGCTGAAATCCAGCGCGCACGCGTCCTTTTATACGCTGCCCACCACTCTCACTCCCACCCCATCGTTGCGCGTATCGTGATCGCCAATCCCACGAGTGGTGACTCACCCAGCACGATCGTCGTGCACGCCCACCTCATCTCTCGTCAGAGAAGCCCCGCGTCCATCACCGTGACACGGCTCCAGAGTCCAGACGCGCACAGCGAGAAACGGTCTGCAGCTGGGCCCACGTACACGTACACGTCCGAGTCCGGCGAACCCGGCCCTTGGCGCGCCAGCAGACACCAGACCATTGCACGCCCCAGCCGCACTGGGCCACTGGCAGAGCCGGAATCCCCAGTCCTCTCGCAGACACCCCGGCCGGGCCGGGCCGCCGGCATCACGAACAGCAGAAGCAGATCGGGAGCAGCAGCAGCCCACGCCGCTCGGTTGTCGTCAACGGCGCCGGCGCTGACGCCGGCGCTGACAGTCCCAGTGATGCAGCAGCCAGCGTACGCGTGCCCGCCTGAGTAAGTCCAGCGAGCTGCGGTGTCGCCGTGAGTCGCCCTGGCGCCCGGCCAGGCGCCGGCGGGCGTAGCAACAGCCGCCGCCACCCAGAGCTTGTCACGAGGTGCTGGTATACCCCAGCCAGGGAGGCGTGAAGAAAGCCCCGGGCCGCAGGGTGGTGGTCGTTCGATCCGGCCAGACGAGGAGAACAGGATGGGAAAAAAAAAGAAAACGAACGGTCACGGTCACGCCCATCACTTCTTCTTCTCCGCTACAACTCGTCAACATGCGGCGCGTCCGCTGGGACCCCCGATGTTGCGCGTTCGGTCTGAGAGAACAGGAAGGATCGGAGCGGGCTGGTCGGTCACAGCGGTCACCCACTGGCATCCGCGCGGGTGCAACCGCCACGGATATTATGCGCTCACTGCGCCAGCGAGTTGTCGCCGTCTCGGGGGCGAATTCAGCTTCGAATGCGGACAGCACAACTTGAAGATGTTATTAGGACAAGTACCGTACCCGGGCGGGTGCCAGTGACATGCTGCGGCCTCTACATGAAATAACGTGACGGAACCAAACATCTGCCAGCGCGGCAGTGGTGCCGCCAACACAGCGCTCTCTACACCACCACCAACGACAACAACGCCAGCAACACGCCCGCGGCAGCGCCGGCGACACCGCCCACGCCGCTCGGGGCCGCGGCCGCGCGTTCTTCTTGCTGGGCCCGAGCCCGGGGAAGCCGGCGGGCCCGGGCCCGGGGGCGGGCGGCTGAGTCGGGGCGGGCCGCTGATGTCGAGCACCTGCGACAGGTCGCCGGGCGCGAGCGTCGAGATGTCCACCGTGACCGTCCCGCCGTCGCCGCCGCGCCCGCGCCCGCCGCCGCCGCGGCCACGCTGCACGCGCCGCCGAACACGAACGTGAACCCGGGCTCCGCGCCCGACACCGTCGCGGACGCGTAGTCCGAGCCCGCCACCAGCGTCGCTGCGCCCATCAGCCATCAGTAGCGCTAAGGGGGAGGGAAGACGCACCGGTGAACGTCGCGACCGCGCTGGCGTCCGCGCCGTCGCCGTCGAACACGGGCGCCGCGATCGCGAACGTGGTGTGCCCCGCGCCGTCCGTGCCGCCGACGCGCGCGGTCGGCGGCGTGATCCCGTCGCCGATCGGGTAGAACGGCGCGAACACCGTCGTCAGCTTCGGGGCCGGCGCCGGGGCGGCGGCGGCCCGGCGTGCAAGGAGGGGGAGGAGGAGGTACAGCTTGCAGGAGATCATCGTGGATGGATGTGGATGGAGGGCCCGGTGGGGGCCCTTATGAGGGCTGGCGGAGGCGCCGGCGCGTCGCGGTCGTGGCAGCGGCCCAGGACATGATCATGACGCGGGGCGTCCGGCGCTGTTCGTTCCCGTACCGACCGACGCGTTGTTGGACTGTTAAATGAGAAAAGACGATGCTTTCGCGGGATTCTGCGGCGCCGGGCCGGGGACCGCTGCGCAACCACGGAAATGATGCATGCTCTCGATCCAAGTGGGCGACGTGCGCAGCAGCAGATGCGTGGGGTGCAGGCAGCCACATCTAAGTATAGTGCGCTGGATACTTGTGCGCGCTATCTCGATCTCCACGGCACACGACGTGCATCACACCGTGACTCAACACCGCTTGCCACACTGCGGGTGCGTCGCTGCGCAACTGCGACGGCGTGTCCGACAAGGACGACCGTGAAACACCAGTGGGCAGATGACTTGGAAAGCTATAAATGCTATCCGCGCCGGCGCCGGCGCCAGCCCCGCCCGGGCCGCGCCGCGCCGCTCTTCTTTGCGCCGGGCGTCGGGCGTCGGGCCGCATCTGCAGGCTGCGCTGAGCCCTCATACCCCCCCTGAGCCGGCCAGGACACGAGTCACGGTATTCGCGC